TCGGAGGCGTCCGCCCGCGCTCTAGGTGGCGACATAGCTTCCGTTTTTTTCACTCGACTTACATAACGAACATCGTCTGGCGGATGACATATGTACGAGCGTATACTGGTATGTATATTAACGAAAAACATATGCATCTTCGGTTCTTGGAAGTCAAGACACCAAGACAACGTTTTGGTAATTAATGACCAGCTCGACAGGTTGGCGCGTGGCAGCTTTTTCTTTGCCGCCCACTCGTATGTTTTGCTAGCAACTTGAATGTAAATGCGTTGATTTCGTTTTTTACCGTTCGCCTTCAACTTTGGTGTATTTCAGCGTGGGTCCGCTGGTCTGGCCTGGAAAACGAGCGTTGGCTGGAAAACAACTTAAGGCCTGGACGGCCAAGCAGCATTACAATTCATTAACTAAACTGAGCTTAAGCCTTCGATTTCCATTCATAAAATCTTATTTTGAGTGCTGCTTTTATAATGCCAACTTTTTGGATGTACAATAAAATCGGTGCCTTTAAACTCTGTGTTTTGAAAGTATCGAAAAAGAAACTTAAAGAAATGCGAGCGATTACTTAATTTTACAGTGTCGCCATGATTTGCGAACCAATCGTAAATTATCTTTCAAGTCACTTCATTATTATTGTCGAAGAGACAATAATTCAAATTCTGTCCTCGACTTTTTTGGAGCAAAGCAAGCATTCCATGTCAGCTTCATCAATCATTGAAGAAAAACTGCGCACTACGCCGCGAACTCGACAACGTACCCTAGCATATTCCACATATGGACTCCAAATCGAAATAGATTATTGGCCGGATTTTTATTTTGCAACCGAAAAACAGCCCTGTGAGGGAACATGCCCGCTTTGAGTCAATAGGCCATGAAGTGCACTTAACCCACTGGCTAACAATAAAGCCAGCATTCGCTACTGGGCGCCCCGGCTGGCCAAACGAATCGGACGCCCCCCAAGCTCACTACTCCCTGTTGCGCTCTTTGTGCCGATTGAAAACTCAGCAAGTTTTCAAAACAATTTATGAGTGCCGGCGAGGAGTCACGAAGGGGGGAATCGGGGAATCGGGGAATCGGGTAATGGGCCAACTGATGAAGGGGGCCCTTCGTGGTCATATTGTGCCGGCCGGCAATTGTTATCGAGATCAAAAAGCGCTGATTAAAGCAAGTCGTGGGCTTTCCAGCGCCACATGCACTTTCGATTCTGGGCATTGTCGTCATCAAAGAGCAATGCTTCTGGGTTTTGGGTGATCTTCGGGGCTTTAATTCTTTACTTTCTTTCTTAACACAAATATTTAATAATTTGGACCATCATTTCTATTTATATTTATTTCTCATCGAAAGCGATATAAAAGGAAAAGGAGTAAATGCCCATTTGATGGAAAAATAAAGTTAGCAACCTTAGACCCTTGCATTGTAAAGATTTTCCAAAATAATCCAATAAATAAGCAAGAGCTTATTTTGACACTTATGCAGCTTGCAGGAGTTTCTGCCTTTATGTTTCTCTCTATATTGATAATTCAAAGTCAAAAGCGTATTCAAACTTCGCCCTACAACTCCGCTTTGCCATCATCCAAATTATGTTTCAATGTGGGTTAAGCGCTCCAGCAAACGCCAAGTCATCCGTGGCATCCGAGAGACCAACGCAGTTGCAGCTCCTCTCTTCCATATGGGGAGGCGTTCTAACAGCTCACTGGGATTGATGACTTCAATGCCCTACTATACTCATACGGATGCACCACTTTTTGGAGGTTTAATTTGATTTGTGGTTTCGTTTCGTTTTCGTTTTCGGTTTCTGTTTCAGCCATGGCTTGCCGTAGATTTGTGGTCATCCGCGATGTTCCTTCTTTAGGCGTGAATTGTCGAAATGCGTAAGGCATTGATATAGGGGTTAGTTAGCCGAGAAGTCAGGCATCCGAAATTAAATAATTATAGTGTCCGAAGAGCAGCTGACCCTAGGAATGCGCTTGTTCTGGAAGACAGTTACGCAGCGTTGGCAGATGAAATGAACTTCTCATAATAAGATATTAAGTTGGAAGAGGGTAGGAGAATAGGATAATCTCGACCTCATACTACTCGTAGTAGAACCACAGATTCTGAGTAGCCTTTAAGTCAGATAATTATAAACTTACTAACTAAATTAAACATGAATAATTAGTTGAACGGCGAACACATTCCGTAAAGAGCTATAACGATATATACTCAACGTTGTTTCTTTCTTGGCCAAAGGCTTCTACCCAAACACCTCAGTCCGAGATCGAAGCTCACACCTTCCAGATAGTCCAGACTAGCAGCAGAGACATGCCCCCAGAAGTAGCCAACAGGCCTGTACCTAGTTGTTGGGAAGTAAAAACTTGAGTTGAAGCCACACCCCTCCCGTTTCCCCGGAGCCATCAGCAAAGTCTACAAAGAAGAGTCATGAGCGCAGCAACAAGAGCGGAAAAAAGCTTCCAAGTTTCTTTTTATTTGAGGCAGCGGAAATTATTATTAATTGCTTGGAATGCCTGCTGCCTTCTGCCGGCTGCCTCCTCCCAGAAAAGCATGGTCCATGGTCCACGCTCCGCGTTCTTCGCTAGCCCCTAATGGCTTCCGTTGGCGTGGCCACAGTTTTTCTGCCCTCCACTTTGATACGTCTCCATCGAATCATTTCGATGACGTAAAAAGCCGCTCTGATGGCCAAAAACTAGCCCGAGTTCTTGGCCCAAAAACTGAAAAACCGATCTGAGCATTGCCAGTTATGTGGGGAAAATGCGTTGGATTGCCGCGGATTATTTGGAGATTGAGTACGAGTACGAGTACGAGAGCATGTACGAGTGCGAGTACAGGGGGTTATTGGCCTTGGCTGGACTGGCAGTTGGCGTGGGTAAACAGTTGCGAGATTAGCGCTGTTTGGCCAAGCGTGCTCAGATGGTCGCTCCAGCAATTGTTTGCCCAGGAAGCAGAGTGGGGCGAGTCCGCCAACGACTTGGACAACTGCATCTAGCGTTCCGCGGGCAGAAGCACGCAGCGTAAAGTTGAAAGTGGAGTGGAGCACACGATTACACTGGGAGAAAATCTGCAGATAGATTATATAGATATAGATTGGATTACAGAGCTCGAATGTCAAGTGAATGACCGTTAAATACAAATTCCTTAAATAATTTCAATGATCCTGCATACGTATTTCGAAAATTAATAGAATGAAAATATAAGTTTTAACTAGTCGAAAGTTTCTGAATACTTTTAAAATTAAGATTAAGACTAAGTTTAAATTTATGTTAGTACATTTAGTAATGGTGTAGGTGTCTGGAAGCTCCACAGAAAAGGGCCTGGGCACAACAGCCAAGCAAAAACGGACTGGCAAAAACGTACTGGCAAAGAAGGTGAACGACTCTCCCTAATTGAGTTTGAATGGCGGAACGGAAATTTTGCAACAAAGGCTGAGGGAAAACTTTGCGTTGCAGTGATTTCGCAGCAATTGTCGGAATTTCGAGGAACGCTTTTCCACAGGGACTGACTTATGGACAACTGACGACTCCTCTGACAACAATTGAACTTTAAAAAAGCGAAACAGTTCCAGGCAAAAGCTCAAATAACGACTTAAGTCACAAGGCAAATTAAGCCTTTGGTCCACGCTTTTCGTCATGATTTTATCAGTCGGGATTGGACGCCCTTGTTTCGGATTATGGTATCCTTCTTTAAGTCTTTGAATCTGTTGTTGAGCTTGAAGGGATCAGTGAGTCTAAATAACCAAATATATTCATAACTGAATTCTCTCAAAAATGGGTGAAGCTTGGATGCCACCTGTTACCGAAATCTTCAAAATGCTTTTGCTCAAGTCTGATCTTATTGGGTTCATCCAAAGCGTTCACAACTGCCTTATCTTAAGCGAATTGCAATCTGGCACCGCAATCAAGCCGAACCTCCAAGAGAACAGTAGCTAACCCAATACCCGGCTGGCTTATCGATGGACCGGGTTGTGTTCCAAAAATTCTTTGTTTATTTTGACACGTTCAGCTGGAGTCTCTGATTGCCGCCGCTGGTGAGTCTTAAAAAAAGTCGCTTCGTATTTCCGAAAACGTCGCTGGAACTTGGCCCTTTCGGGCGTATTTTTATACCCTCTACCGCTGGCCACTGCCTTTCCGATCTGTCCGTAATTTGTTTATGGCAACTGTTGCCTCGATTAGAAGTCGGCGTTGACAGCTCCACGGATGATTGAGTCTTGGGAGACGGCGACATGTGTGGCAGCCGCGTCGGAGTCTGTTTGTTGTTTCCCCGCCGCGTGGCAATTGGTGGCAGATTGCGGCGACTGCGGCCCGAAGCGCATCGCAGCAGACAATAGACTACCACACATTTCTACCCTAATGACTGTGGCCCTGAACGAATTTGAAGTGGATTCGGGACCCGGTCGCCTTCCCAGAGAAGACGTAAACACATCGCCCGGTAGCCTTCAAGTGTTTGTGTATGTAATTGCAACGAATGAGTTAGAAGGGGCTGGGGGATGGGGGTTGTATCTCTAAGAAAACTTCTTTCCAGGGGGAGCTATTTTGTGTAAAATAACATAACACCAAATACTGACAGCTGACTGTTGCGACCAATCCCGAAATAAAACACGAAGGAATTCGTTCCTTAATTCATTCTTTCACCTTACGGTGAACATTACTCGTATACCTTTTTACCAAAACCACCACTAAACTTGCATATTTAAAAATAATCGGATATAGTTTTTAGAGCAAAATTGTTATCAAAGCTTTGCCGAAATCTGTTGATATGCAATATTTATGCTGGAAATAATAGAAGTACAAGCTAAAGTTAAGGAAATTTCAAGTGATTTACAACTTTTGAAAATATTTAGTTTAGACTCCCTTTTTTCTCGATTAATTTGAGAGCATTCACCTTTATGTGTGATGCGTTTGAAAGAAATCTGACCACCACCTTCAATCTTATTTTGTTATCAGTGGATCCAGTGGATAAAATTTTTAGGATTTTTGCAGATATTTTGTAAAAAAACTCATCAGTTCCACCTAAACACTCCAGATTACAGTCTCGGCTCCCATGTCCACGGTGGTCCAGCCCAAGGCATTGGTCACGAGCTGCTGCAACTGGCGCAGAGGCACTCCAGCCTTCTCCAGCTCGGCGGTCAGGGCGCGGTACTCCTTCAGGGAGCGCAGATCACGAAGCATTCGCCGGAACTCAGAGCCCCGGATGAGACGGACGGCGCTTGAAAGCTCGGAGTCGGAGGAATACAATCGAAGGTACATATCCCTCAAGGTGGCACGGGGCAGGGCGTCGCGGAGATCCTGGAGGAGTCCTCGGACTCCCGGCCGCCGCTTGGGAAGCTTGCTGGTGGGCGGGTCTGAGATGTGAACATCTAGGAACACCCTCACAAACTCCATGTAATAGGCAGGGTTCAGCTTGAGCCGCCGACAGGTATAGTCGTGCAGAGCTTGGTGCTGCTTCGTGGCCCGCAACCGCTGCACTTGCTCCTTGATTCCATCGCTTCGAAGCAACTTGATTAACTCCCTAACCTGGGAGTCCTCGACGGCATTCGCCAAGATGTTTCTCAGTTGGGGAGCCGGTAGGAGTGGGCGGGCAACCCGGATGAGATTGGTTAGGCCGCGCTCGGCATTACTGGGGCACTCGTTGTTCCTCTTGGAAAGTAGCACGTCCTCCACAGTGTCTTTGGACTCCGAAAGCTCCGGGCTGAGGGTAGTGCCAGCTGACATTTCGCCTACTTCACGGGCGATTCGTGGATGCTCCTGCTCCTCCCACACGGGTAGCCAGTTGATCTTGTGGACATCTAACGGGCTCTTCTCGTCGGTGGGTACGACCAGCTCAGGGAGCTCATGCGATTCATCTGGAAAGCCATCGTCGATCCCAATCGTTGTGCTATCAAGCAAATCCTGTGATTACGAAAGTCAATTTAAAATACAGTTATTGGAGTAGGTATTGGGTATGGCTCATTAGTGCGGACTGATAATTGCTCTTTTAGAGGGTCGGTTTAATGTAACAGATATGAATATTTTCCCACTCTACCTGGGACTCCTGTGGTTCCTGCACCGAGTGTCCTGCGACAAGAAGCAGGCAACAACTGAAGATAATCACCAATCGATTCATGACGGACTGTGCCTCTCTCCGTCGTTAATTTCTTCTTTTATAGCACTCCCAGCACTTTATCTGCTGTTTACCAACTCATATTTGCTTGAAAATTCGCAGGCAAATATTCGCATCCAAAGCAAAGAATCAACACGAAAAAAGTGGAACGACCTTGACAGGGCTCAGCAAAGAAAGCTCATCAATCTTTCACGCTCTCCCACGAATGCACAAATGGACGAATTGCATCGCAGAACACAGTTAGCAGTGAAATAATCTGTGTTTTTCTTGTTGATATTTGAAAAAGGTTGCGAGTTCATACCACTTCGGCGCAGTTCAATTGTAGTTAGTATCGGAGAACAATCTGGAAAGAAGTCTATAATTTGAATTCTGATTCGCCACTTACCATTACCAGTAATCGGTAAAGTGTGCCGAGTAAAAATGTAAATTATTGAAAGAAAATCGACACCCAATCATATCAGTTTACTCACGTTCAGAGGCGAAAAAGACAGAGCATCCTTGACCGTAACAACAAACAATTCCCATCAATCTTATGGCCCGTTGAGATTTCACTAGGCCTCCTTGCATAGGATCCCCATTCAAGTTAGTTGCCATATAATCCCTCATATCCCATAAAAATCTTCACCAAAACACAATCAAATGAAATTTTATGTTAATCCCAAAAGCCCCAGCAACCTGGAGCATCTTCCTGCCCCGAATGGGACTCGCTCGGCAAAGAATGAATATTCATGTCTGTCGGGAACGGAGGCCGGAATATCCTTGGCCACCGCCTGGGGTCTTGCCAATTTCGATACGCAAATGTTTCGCTCATTGTCAACAACAGCACAGAGCTGAAGGGAGAAATAAAAGTTAGTCGTTCCGGGAAAGGGGAGCCCCGCCAAATGAGTCCCTTGCGAATTCTGTGTAAATGATTTTTGGGGTTACGCTTTTAAATTTTCCGAAAACCGCCTGAACAAGAATGCTCTGGAAACTTCCCATTGGGAGCACGTTTGTTTGAGCAAGAAGCAAAAAAAAAAAAGAACATTTCGGGTTTGCTAATAAATAAAGTAGTTGCAAAATTTCTTAACTGTTTATGGAATAAATAAGGGCTAACCCTTAGCACCTTTATAAAACCATTCGCATCACGGCCCAGAAAATTCGTAAGAACAATGAACTGTAGCCTGAATTTTGGTTCAAGGTGGATTCTTCATTGCATTCATCCACCTTGAAGGAAACCCCAGAAGTTATTTTTCTAACAATTTTAATTTAATATCAATTTAAAGAAAATATTAATTTAGAGGCTTAGACAAATTTGATAGACCCAGTATTTTGCACAGACGTTATTTTTTGAAACCGTGGCCTTAGTATTGTAGTGCTTGCTCATTCGAACAGCGGTTCTGCTTGCAGGTTTTTTCGGTGTATGAATATCAATCCACCGGAATACCCCTTTCCAGTATCTGAGATATTGTTTCAATTCTTGTCAGTTGTTGGGCGCCTATTTATAGCTGAAACGAAAAATCCATTAGAATATTGCGGCAGACGCAGTTTTTGCCCTCAACCCTGCCCCATAATTCGCGAGTGGGGTGGCAGACAGAAAAGTACGAAGAGTACCTGGCTAGCTGGAAAAATATTATATTGGGAGTGCCGAACCGAAAAGCTTTCCCATATAAACAAGCATTAGAGACTTGGGCTCAACTTGTGCGGCTAGATGGATATGAAGCTAGGTGGCAAGATGTGGCTGTAGAGAGGGTGGATTCCAACAGTCACGCAACGGGTTAGTGGGGTCATGACATGGAAGGCGTGGCGGGGCCAACGTCCAAAACAAACTATTTTTGGGGAGCGAGACGGTCGGACATCAGGGTAATTTTCCCTTGAGTCCAGACAGCTGGGTAAGCACGACACTCCTTTTCTTTATCACCCCTAATTGATTCAAAAATGGAATTTGAATCCGCGTTTAAGTTCGGAGGCAGAAGGGATTGGTTTTGGCTCCAGCGCGTCCTGGACAGGTGGTCAATCAAATGCCCGATAAAGTAGGCTCTTCAATCAAAAACCCGGCGAATTGCATCATTATCACCCAATGAAGCTTACAGTCAATATGCAAATCAGTTCGTAGCCTTAACTGACTAATATCTGTCGAGACTGGCAATTATAACAAGTGGAAGCGCAAACACAAATATTAATGACCCCTAGCCAGGGTAAACAAAGCTTCACACATGTGTGTATATAAACCAAGATATTTCCGAATCAATCGCCGTTGTCCTAATAAAAGCTTTATTTGGGAATGTAAATATAATATTCACAGTGAAGGCCCTAATTATTGACAAAGCAACACGATTCACTTTTGGGCTGTTTACCTACATGTGTACATCGAACGTACTGTGAACGAAAGAAGGCTGCAGTTAGTTCTGAAACTATCATATTATATACCTCTTACTTGCCAAATTTATTAATAAATAAGATAACGAAAATCAACAAAGTGAAGAATTTTACTAGCGACCATTTCATTTTTTAGAAGCAAAGCTAGAAAATCTAAGAATTTATATAATTTATCATTCCGATCTAACATCAATGAGGTTGATTCTGGGAAGGAGTTAGGAAGAATATCGGAATACACATGTTGTTAAATAGGCAACTGTGTAAATATACATTGATTTATATATCTGCAAGCTACTTTTTCCTGGGTTACGTTTCCACCACATTTCGATATATGTAAGTTTGTTACCATTATATTATTAATTATCCCACATAGTATCCAAACTAAGGGTTTGTGAATCCATCAGAATAAAATTAGAGCCTAATAGCATATTTTAAAATCAATTGTCTTATAATTTCATCCCTCAGAAGAGAAGGTTCTAATATCAGTTCTGTTGAAAATTTGAATTTTTAAAATAGACCGCCGATGACATGTCCGAGTTCAACCCTGTCGACTGCCGCCTACCAACACTAACACTGGAGGTTGCAAACTGCGAACAGCTGATCGGCCTGGGGGCGCTTCGCAACACTCAACCGAAGAACGAAAAGAGAGTACAGAAGAAAATTTGTTTCACTTTTTCAACAGAAATACAAGATGTAAAACGGGCGCATCAACGGCCCAAATTAGTGAAAACTCATTCGGGAAACAAAATGCAAGCGACGGATAGTAATAGTAAGTGTCGAATCGGCGTAGTAAGCCCTAAACCTACCTGTGAAAATTTTCAACTTCGACCTGTCTGCTTGTGGGTGAACTGTACGGGGAGGGCTTCTGTAGTCGAAAGAGAGAGAGAGAGAAACCAGGCGAGAGAGGAAGAAAAATCAATAAAATTGTAGTGAAGCGCGATTGACGTGAGCAAAACAAAGACCGACTACGAAAGAGCGAGCCAAATGAAGCCCGGAAAAGCAACAACAGTGTGTCCGTTAGCTGCTTGAAATGCGCTGGCCGAAAAGAGAAGGCGGATCAAAGAAGCAACTGAAAACGGAGTTCCACTAAACAAACAAGTGCGCAATAACAGCTTTGAACAGCTGTCTCGCTAAAACAATATTCGCTCACAATGTAAATAATATGCAGATTGGGAGAAAATCGTACTAAGCAACGCACACAGAGAAACAAAACCATTCAAGAGGCAACGTTCGCACGTCCATTCACTCTCGGAAAGTAAATATCGAGTGGAATACAATGACGGCACTTTTTGCGTGATTCACCTCCAGAGGCAGTTAATTAAAGCGGCGGCGGTGGTGGCGGCAATAGAATAGCTACCGAAACAAGCAATAACTCCAACTGGAATGTGCGACTGTGTGATTTAAAGATCACTTCGGCTCAATTAAGAGTGTTTATGGTGGAGACAGTGGTTTCCTAATAAATAACACATCGCCGAAGTAAATGTGTATGTCACACCTTGGGAGATGAGTACAGGATGGGCAAATTGCCTGTTTTCCATGTTAGATGCAAAGCTTCCGATGTGTTTTCAGTTCCACGATTAGATGCTTTCTATATCGGTACTTGCAGTTTAAACGCATTAAGTAATTATTATTAATGAAATTCGGCAGCCTTGAATCTCGAATGAGTAAGCTAGTAACCGCCCAAAACGAAATCAATGACCTACTACTTAGTTACCTAAAAATTAAATTGATTTTCAAAGGGGTCAAACGCAGTTTTTAGTTAGTGAAATTAGGACAGGATCATTTGCAGTTATTTAAAATATTTAAAGCAAATAACTCGCCTACACTATACTGAATAGCTGCAATTTGACAATTCTTTCTAAATTACTCTAAACTAAGATTAATATACATATGTTTCATTTTCGGCTTTGCAGATTAATTAAAGCGCCAACAAAGCATCACAAAGATGAACGTAATGCGGAAGCTGCGTGGAGCAGCTACTGCAGGCAGCTCAAGTAGCAGCAGCGGCGGCTCATCGACGGCCAACAACACCTCTCCCGTGGGCAACAGGTCAGCTGATTTGGGCTCCACACCTGCCACAAACGGACGAACAAGCGAGGAGGCCCTGATGGATGCCCGCGTCCAAGTGAGCCTCAGCACACTGAAGAAGCTCTTCAATGAGTACACTCATCCAAGAGAACCGCTGAGTGAGCAGGAGCGCGACGGTAAGCTCTACGAGATGCTGCCCCTCTTTTGCAAAGTGAGTAAGCTGATACACACGGATGGAATAGCCGCTAAGTCCCGTCCTTACAGGTCTTCACAAGCTCTGCGGCTAACGACATGAGTGAAAAGTTCTGGGATGTGGTCGCTTTTTGCCAGCAAGTTTCCCGTCTCATGGTCAGCGAAATCCGCAAGCGCGCCTCCAACCAGAGTACGGAGGCGGCGTCTATTGCCATTGTCAAGTTTCTTGAGGTCGAAACCACAGAGGAAACCAGCAGCGGGTGGATGCTTCTCGCAACCCTTAACCTACTGGCCAATGGAGACGTATCTCTCATACAGGTACGTTAAATATGAAAACATAGAAATAGGCAGGAAAATCGACTTAGCTTCTTTGTAGATAAGTTGTAATTAGTTCCCAAATTTCCTTTTATTTACATACGGACCTGCGAAAACTAGTTTCTAAGGTCAAAAGGCTATGCCTTTGGTGGTCCAGAACTCCTCTGAGATATTTCATCCGTTCTTTCCGCAGTTCCTAAAGTTCCATGATTAGAAGATTCAATGGGTGTATCCTTATCATCTGCATTAGTTTCGGCGAGTGGGTCTTTAAGTTTTTTTAATTTTTCTGCTGCGTCTTTTGGCTCATTAAGCAATTCAGCATTACCTAAAGATCTGAGGCGAGAATAGCTCGAACCTTGTTCGACCAGGAGGATCTCTGACTTCTCTTTCTTGTCGATTTCTGACAAAAGCGTGGATCGCCTGCTCAGCCTACTCAGCCTGCGGTCCATCTGATTTGGTTTTATTGTTACTTCGCTGCTCTGACTTGACTTGGTCGAATCGATACTAAACGTGCTTCTGTCCTCGATTTTGGCCCACAGACTGGAGGAATCGCTCGTGCCACGCCAGGTTGAGATGGGTCGACGTCGCTTACCGAACTCCTCCTCTAGGGAGGCGCCGTACTCGGTGACCGCCGCTGGGATATCTGATTCACTGGTTGTTATAGTCGGCGTAGACAGAAAACTTTCGTCGCTTTCGATTTGTTGCAGCGAAAAGAACTTCCTTTGCATCTCCCTCAGCATCTGCCAAGCGCGAGACACCAAGTGTGGCTGCTCCTCATCCGCATTTGGTCGGAAGTATAGGGGCTGGGAGTTTGCCAGCTTAAAGTAGCACCTGCAGAATCTGCAAAGAAAGTCGTCAACTGGCTTGGAAAGCACGAAGAGCCCGGAAGTTCCAGCTTCAATGCGGTCGAAAAACATGCGTCCAGTTGCTTGATTTCTCCAGTCCCCTGGTTCCATGCGCATCAGTAGATCGAACACATGGAACATGTGCATCAGGTACATAGTTCCTGTAATCAGAGCAGCGATACTCTGCTGTTTGCAGTGCGCGAAGTGTGGGTGCTCCAGGTACTCTACGGTAGAATTGATGGAAGCCAGGTGAGGGTCTTGCATGGCGGTGCGCATTATCAGCACTCCGCAAAAGTAGTGCGCAATCACAGCGGTCACAGTGAGCAGCAGCTGCGAGGAGAGCACTGAGCTCCGAGCTAGCATCAGCCGAAATGCTCCCAGTGCGGCGAGCATAGTGAACGACGAAAATGTTGCGCAGTACAGGATCACGTGCGGAGTACGCTCGGGCCAGTACGTAGATCCCCTCATGTGGTAAAACATACACACACTGCCCAGCACCACTTCAATAAGCTTGAAGAATACCCAAACCTGGTTCATCTTAGAGACGATCCGAAAAATACAAGTTGAGAGTAGTTGTGATTTAGTTTTGAATAAGGTTATAACTCAAAAAGAATTGACAGCTTAGACCTGAAGTAACTACCCACATGTGTGCATATATAACGACTCTCTTTGTAGCTTCTGATAATTACACGGATTAGTAATCTTATGATAGAGAGAAAAGAAGAATTGCTATTTTAGCCCAGTGCTTACGTCAAGATTTTATAGCAAGAGTTAAGTCTTAGGATTTAGCTTGTTGTTTTCCAACTAACAAATGTATCCAAACTCTTAGATTTTTTTTCTTGTTTATATATCTTTAATTCTCAGGTTTATTGAGAATCGATATTTTTGTATCCATGTCCATATGAAAGCCTTCGATATTCCGGATGGCCAAAAATTATTATTATTTGTAGAAGCTTGAGATACCTATAAAGTCAAGACAGATTGTAGAAGTAGTTTATATATAAGAAATAAGAGAAGAGTAATTAAATGAAACCTCTGCTTTCTGCTATTCTAGGTTATGACCGCCGCAGCGGTACCATCTACCCTTGTGAAGTGCTTGTATTTGTTCTTCGATTTGCCAATAGTTGAGGACGACGAACCATCAGCAGATGGAGGGGCAGTGAGTGAGTTTAATGCCCACGAGAGGCGAACTCTCTTGCAGAAGGTGTTTGTGCAGCTGCTGGTGAAGCTGTGCTCGTACCCTTATCCCGCCGAGGAACTTGCCCGCATGGACGACTTAACACTGCTGTTTTCGGCCATCACTTCGCCGTGTCCTATCCACAACATTGTGTGGCGTAAAAATGCTGCTGAAATCCTTACCACAATATCCAGGAACGGTCTGACCGATGCCGTGGTTAGCTATATACATTGTAAGTACACAATTTCATACATTTAACATTTCTCTAAAACTATGAAGTGTAAAATTTAAGGGCTAGTTCTTTGCAAACTAAATCAAAATACTGAATATTTCTTAGTCCGCTTTACAGTATTTCTTAAAATGGTATACCCTTTTATGTGCCAAACAAAATGTATTTTTAAATGACTTTATATTAAATCTTTTTAGCCAAGGGCTGCATGGCGCTGTGCGTGGACAATATGCAGCGCCTGACATTTGGGAATCCTTTGGAAATCGTCGAAATGTTCGTTACCGTGTTCTGCTTTCTCAAGGACTCCAGTCAGGTATCCCAGATTTTAATGGATGATTTTCGCGCCTCCCAGGGATACGTGTTTCTCAGCGATTTCCTGCTAAAGTAAGTGGAATAGTTGAGAGCTGAAGCCCATCCAAACTAATGATAACTTTTAGGTTTGACAATAACCGTAGCCAATCGCTGGAAATACAAGCGGCGATTCGTAACCTTGTGCTAATGATCTCTTCGTTGTGCATGTGCGGCTTCTACGAACTTCGACCTCCAGCTTCGCAGTTCAACACTGCCTTTAAGCTGCAGAATTTCCAGCTGCCGCAGGCCACCTCCCGAGAGACGTGTGTTCGGAATGTCTACGCCTTTCAGGTGCTACAGAATGTTTTTCTCAAGTCTACGACGCCTGCACTCTGTTGCACTATTCTGGACGCAATTTCTCGGGTGTATCACTCAGAAAACGCCAATTACTTCATCTTAGAGTCGGAGCAAACGCTCAGTTCGTTCGCGGAGCGCATCCATCTGAAAAGCCCGCAAATTCAAGAAAAATTCTACGACTTGCTAGAGTTTATTGTCTTCCAGTTGAACTTTGTTCCGTGTAAGGAGTTGATCAGCCTTTCGATTCTACTAAAGCACAACCAGTCGACGCCCTGCAGCATCCTTTGCCTAAAGACATTGCTAAACATTCTACGGCACAACGCTGTCTTTAAGGACGTTTACCGCGAAGTGGGTATACTGGAGATCTTCGTTGGTTGCCTGACGCGATATTCAGCTCATGTGATGCAAATTACCAAAGGCGACGAGTCATTGGTGGTGGACTTAGAGGGTGACGCGGGGGAAGACCTGCTTGATACGCTCGGAAAATATGTCCTGGAGGCGCTCACAATGCTGCTGGGCGGCGGAGCCAGCAACAATGCCCAACTTTTCCGTGAGTACAACGGAGCCAAATGCGTCCATGAGCTGGTAAAGTTCAAGCACTGTCGGCCTCAGGCACTCGGAATCGTTAGAGAGCTAATTCTGTCCGCCGGTGGAGACGACGACATGCTGCACATACTGTCACTGATGCACAGCGTGAGCCCACTACAGGTGGAGTTCAAAATCCAGATACTAAACATGTTGCTCGGATGCCTAAAAGACTCCCATCGCACACGCACCGTCTTCCGTAAAGTGGGCGGATTTGTTTACGTCACCAGCGTATTCGTATCTCTCGACGGCAGTATGGCCCATCCTCATCCGGACATTCCACAACAGGATCTCATTTTGCTACTGCAAATAGTCTTTCAGACTCTTGCCACCGCCATGAGATTTGAGCCGGCCAACGCCAAGTTCTTTCATCAGGAAATTAGCAGCAGCTCTTTGTGCGATACTCTTCGTCTGCTCGGATGCTTTGGGGGATCCTCTGCTTTAGAGGACTTCACCGGTATCTATGAGCCGCAGCAGTCACTGCTCAAGTATTACCATGAGATTTTCAGCGGAGACATTCTGACTGTCAGGTAAGTCCTTTTGATTAAAAATTATGAAAGCAATTTTGCTTTCGACCTTATCAGAACTAGTTTATAGGAATGCCTAGTTCTTACGTATTTCAAAGTCGGATAGATCTTGAATGACCTAAACAGTTATACTAGAATGCTTAAACGCGAAGAGTAAATTGCAAAACATGTTGACGATGTAAATGACAGTATATCGAAACGGGTTCATGTTTTGCTACATTTTATTTTGAATAACTTAGAGAAGCGATAAAAACATAACTTTAGCATAATCTTTCTTTAGTTTTTGTTAAATAAATAAGCTCTTGATGTAAATAGACATGCTTACTAAATAACCAAATTTAGCACAAGAAAATATAATTTGCTCTGCTCTAATCTCGCTCTCAATTTTCGGCTACGGCTACAAAAAGCACAGAATATAATTTTCAGCTAATGCTGTAGTTATAGCCCCCGACTCCTCAAAACTTCGAGCAGAGCAGAGCAGATCAGTTTTCGACTTTTTGCTACGGCTCTGATCTTTCTCTCGTCAAAGTAAGAGCGGTAGCAATAGCAGAGGAACATTTCTAAAAATCCCGCTTCTATGGAGTAGTAAATGCAAACCCTGGTATAAATCAGTATATAAAACACCATTTACTTATTTGGATTTACATCAACAGCTTCTCTGACGACGTTCCCTATCCGTTGTCCTATGTGTGCATCGTATTTCGCCTGCTCTACAGTATTGCGTTGGACAATTTTGAGTCTCCGAACCTCAGTGGCATCATAACACTCGTCAGCGATCCTCCAGCGCTTCTGAGATCACCAAGCAAGGAGCTGGCGGCTCCCGTGCACCCCAACCAGCTGAATCTCACGCAACCCAGTCCCGAGCCAAGGATAGTGCACCCAGGTGTGGTACTCTGCATGCTTCAGCTTCTACCCGCTGTAGAGTACGAATCAGCTCCGGTGCAAGCAGTTCAACTGCAGGTATACCTCAGCGAAATCATCAAATCGTTGGTAAGGAGCGAGCGCAACCAGCAAATTATGTGCGACCACGGACTGGCGGAAAAGCTGCTCAAACTTACGCGGAAAGCGCTAGCTGAGGAAGCGCACCCGTTGCACGTGCCCATGCAGTACATTCTGGAACGTCTTGCTGCTCAAGCGCTGCAACCCACAGAGCTGCGTCAGTTTCTACGCTTGGGCGAACCGCTTTCATGTGCGGATATAGATCTTCAGCAGCCATACAAGCTAGGCGGACCCGTTCCGCTGACTCGAATCAAGACTCTGGTATCCATGACAACGCCGCGCGACTTCCGTGCTCACGGATCGAGCACGCTACCTCCGTTCGTCGAGCTGGACATGTCCGCCGAGGGTTTCGGTTGCTTGTACTTGCCCTCACTGGCGCCTCAAGCGACGGCCACAGCAGGTGGGACCATCGATGCGAATACCATTGGGGGCATTGGAGCCGGCGATCGCATCTTTCCACCCCAGACCGGTCTGACATACTCCACATGGTTCTGTGTAGAAAAGTTTTCTGATCCAAAAACGGATCCACACTGCGTTCGCCTCCTTACATTGGTGAGGACCATTCACAACCCACGCGAAGAAAATCTAGCATGTCTATCCATTTTGCTCTCGGCGCGAGACAAGGCGATCGTCGTCTCCACTCAAGAGACTTTAGTGACGCCCAGGAAAAGTAAGTTCACATTGTATGCAGGGCTAAAAAAAAATCTAGTCAAAACAAATATAAACCATATTTTAAAATTATTGCCTGAATACTAAAGGGGATGCTCTCAATTAAAACTTTCATCCTTCCAGGTATTGGTGACTGGGAACCAGAAGGATCAGATGACGGCATAGCTCGCATTTGGTGTCCTGATCTTTTGCACGAGGGCCAATGGCATAACCTGGTCGTTGTGCTTAACAGAGCCGTGCTGAAGAACTCTAGTTTATTCCTCTATTTAGACGGGGTGCCCATGCATACCCAAAAGCTTCACTACATCGCCCAGCACCCGGCAGCTGGTAACGCCAGTTTGACGTCAGCGACACAGATTTTCGGATATATCGGTACACCGCCTATATGGCGACGTTACTCGCGACTATGCTGGAAGCAAGGTGTGTGCCATCTGATTGAAGATGTGCTTACTCAGCAGACAGTGCAGACCATCTACCAACTAGGACCTCACTACATGGGCTCGCTGCAAGCGCCACAGCTTGGCAAGCAGTCCGAGTCGTTGGCCCCTTTGGTACCAGAGGATCGCGTCCTCCTTGGTCTTAACGCTAAAGCTGTTTCCAAGCTTACGCTGGTTAAAATCCGCAAAGTGTACAGTAGGGCCGATAACAAGAGCATCGCAAAGCAACTGAATATGAACTCGCATGAAAATGCCACGCCCATCAAGTAAGCAATAAGAGGAAAGAGTTTGGTTTACATCCTTATTCCTATGATCTGTTTTTTAGAATTCTACACAACTCCGCTGGACACCTCGCAGGGGCCGGTCGCTCCCTTGGCGGTGTGGTCGTTGGTTATCTTGGAGTTAGAGTATTTAGTCCACATCCCGTCTCTGCTATGATTGACACAGTAGGCGGCTGCAACGTGCTGCTCGGCATCATCGCCATGGCTCAAGACGTAGAGTCCTTATATGCAGGAGTCAAAGCTTTGACCTGCGTAGTTCGAAGCAATCGTGCCGCCCAAGCAGAAATGGACAGAAAACGCTGCTACCAGACGCTAGGCATGTTCTTTAAGAAGAAGAAGCATCTGCTTAATTCGCACATTCTGCACCTAACCTTTGGCCTAGTGGGTACGGTGAACAGCGGACAAGACATGTCAGCCATTCCAAACGTGACCGCTTTCCAGGACCTTTTATGTGACCTAGAGATCTGGCATAACGCACCGAACGGACTTCTACGGTCCCTTCTAGAGCATCTGCTGGAGCTGGTGGTGGAGTCCAGCGATAAAAAGCAGAATGTAAAGATCATGAGGGACCTGCAGCTTTTGGTAAAGCTTCTGCACATCATAACTCAAATCCAAGACCACTCGACCCGAGAGATTCTCTTCAGTTTGCTGGAGACTTTACTAGGCGGACAGCCAAGGCACACCGATCTGCTGCTTTTCGGTCAGTATGTAGCGGCAAAACTACCGCAGGCTAGTCTTGGTGTCTTGGAACGCGCCGTGCTTCTACCCAGTATGAAGAACCCTGTCGAGGACCAGGATGGGGGAGTGGCCCAGAATATCTACTTGCGCAATCGATGCCTTTCCCTGCTCCACGGGCTTCTATTCACGCCCCGTAACACTGTAAACTACGTAATCTGCGACGACATTTCCAAAACCTTGGGCATGGATTGGCTTCTACTCTTCATGCAACCGCACGTCCACTTTACTACTGTCATCATTGCAGTGCGCATTCTAGTCGTGGTATGCGCCAACGAGAGTTTTCTTGTGCGTTTTCGGGATGCCACACACAATGGAGGTTACCTTCGATTCACAGAGATGGTGTCACAGCGAAAATTGCTTGGCCTTGGTGCTCAACAGCTTAACCAGCGTCCGACGAATGGCACTGGCACAGTCATTGTAGCCACCCCACAGAACACCATACAGCATCTGCCGACACAGATCGCAGGCGAGGTACGAGCTGCGGCTTTAAATATACCGGGTAAGTACAAATTTGAACCCAAATTCTTCAGTTTTTAGCAAACATACGTCCCAATATAAACTAATTAAGTCTAAAATCATTTTCCCTAAACGCTTTCATGATTCCGGATCTTCAGGTTTCCAGCTTCTTGAATGGCTCATGAACCATCACCTGGACGTACCAGAGCTGTACTTCTTAATTACCGCCCTGATTATGGGACAGCCTGTAAAGGTGCTGGCTACTGAGCACACCAAGTTTGACCTTGATCGCGTCTGGTCGTTTCTATGGGGTGCTCCTGTCTCTGCCAACACGCAGCTGCCTAAACTCAATGTTTGTCCTGAGGGAGTTTGCGTACTCCTGGCTATGGTGCGGGGAATCGTCCATGGCGGAGAATGCGCTCCGTGGCTACACAGTCACCCGGAGACTATTATTCAGCTTCTTTTTAGTCTTTACCAAAACCTCAGCGATTTTGCACCAGTGATGATGGCTGGAGATGTTATCACCTCGCTAGTGGCCGTGCTTTTTCCATTTGCAACTCGACCTGTAGACTCCGAGCCAAACAGTGGAACAACCACCCCCACAGACGACACTGGAAGTAGCTTTGTTTTGCCTCCAGCAGAGGTCCTGCACAGCGCACCGCCTCCAAAGCTAACCACTCATCCGGTGTGCATTTGCATTATCGACTTCTTGCGCGTTATAGTCGTCGATTCTCTCGGTCTAAATATGCAAGGAAAGCTTACGCCGGTAATCGATCTCGTGCTGGACGCATCACCGGACTCGGCAGAGCTACTTCTGCAGGTCCAGTACCAGACACAGATCATCATCGCCCTAATGGATCACCTGCTGGCCGCCGACGTACTTGTAGGCGAACAGGCAGCACTGCCCCTGGTGCCTCTATTACAAAGCCAAATGCAGTACATCGCCCCCAACGTCTTTTACTTAACTGCTCGCATCGTGGACAAGCTGTGGCAGGGCTGTCTTGCCCGCAATCCTCACGACATTTTCGACTTTGTAATTAAACTAATCGTGCAGGCCAAGCGGCGGTCGTCGTCCTTATCCCTAGAGCACCTGCACCACTCGCTGAATCGCAGCATTCTTTTCCTGCTTTCCCGCCCGACCGACGACTCTCGGGCTGACCAGATGAGTGTGCTAGAGGCACTTCACAAGATCATACAGCACCGTCTGCTTATTTTCGGAGCGGGCAACCACGAGTTAGAGTTCATTGGGTGCCTTACTTACTGCTTGCTACAATTGACTGCAGACATGAAAATTATACTGGAGCCGGCCACCAGTCGAAACACCACCTGGCACGTTAATCCCCAGACGGAAACGGCAGAGCCCAAAGACGAAGATCTTAATCAGCTACAGGGTCGAAACCTGATTGTAGGCGCTGCCTTTCGCGTGTGGGAGGAGCTGTACGTTTGCAAGAAGCCTGCCATTGAAGAGGTTTTTAAAGTCTCCCTCACATCCCCACCGCCCAATTCCAAAGCACCTGATCTGCAGACGACACGTGAACAGGTAATGGATCTGGCCTCTAAACTATGGTTTAACTATGTGGAGGCAGAGCGCAAGGCAACTTATCGCGCGCCCTGGGAACTGCACACCCAGATTCAGTCAAAAATCCAAAAGGTTACTGGTGGGCTGTCGCGTTTGACCAGTCGAACTAAAACCAAAAAGGAGGAACTGGTTCGAACCAAGTCGACTTTGACTCGAGAGGTCGCTTATGAATCAACTAGCATTCACGTACAGCTTATAAAAGATCTTCTGGACTTGCGCGCCAAGCAGTATCAGCAGATGCTGCAGCATACTCAGCGTTACGTCTATCAAGACTGGGTTCAGTCAGAGATGGAGCTTACTCGTGAGCGGGGGCTGTGGGGTCCTACTGGCAGCTGCTCACTGGATAAGTGGATATTAGATACCACCGAGGGACCCCACCGTATGCGCAAGAAGACGATGCGCAATGATGTCTTTTACCTGCACTATCCGTACCGCCCGGAGTTGGAGCTTGCAGACAACCGACAACTGAAGTACAAAGTAGCCTCCAGTCTGGATAGTAAGACGTACGCACTGCATGGCCCGCAGCAGCCTCGCATCCTGGCAGAGGCTGCGGAACACCATGCGATGCAGCAGCAGAGTTCGCTGGAAGCAGTACACTCACATCGATTGGAGAGCAGTACTTCAACATCAACGCCACCACCTCTTGTTTTACCAAAGCTTGTTGGCCACGGTTCTGCACCTTATCCACAGGAGTCAGTCGATGGAAATGCTCCAGAGGATGACGAGGAGGATGAGGATACTTCGATGACCAGCGATAATGAGACTTTCTTGCGGTTACTGGAAGAGCAGGAGAAGATCAGCTTTATGTTCCGGTGTGCGAGGGTCCAGGGACTAGATACGTTTGAAGGACTTTTATTGTTTGGCAAGGAGCACTGTTACATCGTGGATGGATTTACGTTGTTAAAGAACCGCGAGATTCGTGACATTGACACCCTTCCCCCAGGAGCTTATGAGCCAATTATTCCCAACTCTGGGGGAACCTCTTCGGCTACTTCGCGAGCAGTTAGCCACAAGCTCAGGCAATGCTCAAAGTTCGCTTACGAGGAAATTCGTGAGGTCCACAAGCGGCGATACCTGCTTCAGCCAATCGCTTTGGAGATTTTCTCTGAGGATGGACGCAACTATCTTCTGAGCTTTCCGCGCAAGGTGCGTAACAAGGTTAACCAGCGCTTTCTGGCTCTGGCCACTGCACTAAACGATAATGCGCAGCAGTCTGTAGCAGGTCAGAAGCGCACGGCCAGCGTGGAGCAAACAGCTGGCATATTTAGCGGCCTGATCGGCGAAACCTCGGTAACTCAGCGCTGGGTGCGTGGCGAGATCTCAAACTTCCAGTACCTTATGCACCTGAACACGCTGGCTGGGCGGAGCTATAACGACTTAATGCAGTATCCAGTTTTTCCCTGGATTCTGGCCGACTATGACTCCGAGGAACTGGATCTGACCAACCCAAAGACCTTCCGGGACTTTTCGCGGCCAATGGGTGCCCAAGCCGAAGAACGCCTAGAGCAGTTCCAGAAGCGCTTTAAAGAGTGGGACGATCCGCACGGCGAAACGCCGCCATATCATTACGGCACCCATTATAGTTCCGCCATGATTGTGTGCTCTTATCTGGTGCGGCTTGAGCCCTTTTCGCAGCCATTTCTCAAATTACAGGGCGGGCACTTCGACCTTGCGGACCGCATGTTTCACAGCATTAAGGAGGCCTGGCTGTCTGCTTCTAAGCTGAACATGGCCGACGTCAAGGAACTCATTCCTGAATTCTTCTACCTGCCCGAGTTCCTCAGCAACTTCAACAGCTTTGATCTGGGTACAAAGCAGAATGGGGAGACCCTCAATCACGTTATCCTGCCGCCGTGGGCCAAGCACGATCCGAGAGAGTTCATCCGACTCCACAGAAGCGCCTTGGAGTGCGACTATGTTAGCCAGAACCTACATTTGGTGAGTGTGGATTGATTTCTAACAGTTGAATGGCAGACAATCTTAAATATACTATCCTCTTGCAGTGGATTGACTTAATCTTTGGCTGCAAGCAACAGGGACCCGCCGCAATTGATGCCGTCAATGTGTTTCACCACCTGTTCTACGAGGGAAACGTGGATATATACAAGTAATTACAAAATAGTTTACTAAAGTATTATTTTAATAAGATTATGTAAACTTATGTTTTTTTATTTATTTGCAGCATTGACGATCCACTTAAAAAAAATGCCACCATTGGCTTTATAAACAACTTTGGCCAGATTCCAAAGCAGCTATTCAAAAAGGCGCATCCTGCTAAAAAGATGGGCAGTTCCCGTCACTCTGCTCTAATCGACCCAACTTCTCTAATTCAGGGCAATAGCACAGTGCTGCAAACCGACCGGCTTTTTTTTCACAACTTGGACAACCTGAAGCCCAGCCTGCAGCCCATCAAGGAGCTAAAAGGTCCAGTCGGTCAAATCTTACAGCCTGACAAGACGGTGTTTGCGGTTGAGCAGAACAAAGTTATGATGCCGCCTTCGTACACGAAGTATATAGCCTGGGGCTTTGCCGATCACTCTCTCCGCGTGGGACTCTACGACACGGATCGGGCATCCTTTGTGTCTGAGGCATCTGCCCAGAACTCGGGGGAGATCTTGGCATGCGCCTGCCCAAATGCCAAAATGATTGTCACAGCGGGCACTAGCTCCGTAGTGACAATTTGGAAGTTCGACGCAAATCGAAAAAGCCTTGCCGTAAAGCACTCGTTGCATGGACACACCGATGCTGTTACTTGTCTAGCTGCAAGTTCAGCGTACAATGTCATAGTTTCCGGATCGCGGGATGGTACGGCCATAGTCTGGGATATGACGCGGTTCACTTTTGTGCGCCAACTGCGAGGCCATGCTGGTGTGGTGGCTGCTGTGGCCATTAATGAGCTGACCGGCGATATTGCCACATGCTCGGCCACCTGGCTCCACGTGTGGTCCATCAATGGCGATGCCTTGGCTATGGTCAACACTTGTGTGGGCAGTGCGGACCGCATGCAGCAGATCTTATGTGTGGCGTTCTCGCAGATCCGTGAATGGGATCAGCAGAATGTAGTCATTACTGGCTCGACCGATGGTGTTGTGAGGGTCAGTAAGAGGAAACTTTAAAATATTTTACAATCTAAAGTCTATTTCCAAGCAGATGTGGTCCCTAGAGCACATACAGGTACCTATAGATCGCAAATTGAGGCGAGGAATGGAGGTGTCTTCGCAGGACAAGCCCGACTCTGCCTCTATCGACGGCAAGGACAATAAGGAAGACAAAATGAACCTGATTACGAAAATAAAAAACCTTTCCGAGTCAGAAGAAGAGTTAGGTTAGTTATTATTTTTTTTTATCTTTTCCTTTCGAAGTGCCTATTTCTTCAGTTATTTCGTGAATTTAATTTGTGTCTGAAAGTTTGGCCAAATACGTATTTAGTATAAGCCTATAATTTCGAGTACTTAAAATTTTTATGATTTTTTGGCTCCACATATATATATATTTTCTCATTCTTCCTTTTGCAGAAATTGTCAAATCCGCCTCCGAAAGTAGCATTTCAGAGGCCTCGCAGCACAGCCATGAGTCGAGTAAGTCAGCTGAAACAGGTGTCAAGGCAGGGCCGCTGGGTGAGCATAGAAAAAGCTCCATTCCGGGAGCAAAGTCCTTGCATGAAATGAAATCCACCACTGCAGAAGCTCAGGGAAGCAGCTATAATTCTAAATCCAATGATGGTAAGAATGCCTGCACGTTACTGTGCTGAAAACTAACCTTCTTCAATTTTCTAGATGAGCACTCTATAAGGCCGAGCAAATCAGATACCAGCCTTACTGACGGCTTCGTTGTTATAGACAATGACCGGCATAAAGGTGATCAGATTCTAAGAAAAGGCAAGTTTTTGAAATGTTATAGATTTGATTCTGAATTTGCCTTCTATTTAATTTTATTAAATGTGTATTAGCGTTTAACCTTTTCCGTAAAAGTTGACCGAGCCAAGATTGACGCATTCAAAAAATATGTTAGGGCCAAATTGAAAAACTACACTCTGTTCTATTCGTTGCTACTCAACATTGCTCCTATTCTCTAATTAAGAAATCACCTTAGAGATTAATTATATATTTGTTTACACTTAGGCTTCCGATGGCAACGCCAATTGATGTTCCGCTCGAAGCTAACCATGCATACGGCCTATGATCGCAAAGATAATGCTGAACCAGCTAGCATCACAGCGTTAACGGTATCCAAAGATCACAAAATATTATATGTCGGTAAGTGTCAAAATAAATAAATAAATAATTTAAATTAAATTTAAACATTTGAAATTAATTAAAGGTGATGCACGAGGTCGTATCTTTTCGTGGAGCGTAACGGAACAGCCTGGACGCGGAGTTGCCGATCATTGGCTGAAAGACGAAGGAGCCGATCAATGTGTCAAATGCCACGTCAAGTAAATTCTTTAATATATCAAGTAAACTGTAGACAGAATGTTGATGTATTTAAAATCAATGTTTTTTTCAGATTTACACTTTATGAGAGAAAACACCATTGTCGCAATTGTGGCCAAGTGTTCTGCAATAAGTGCAGTCGCTTCGAGTCGGAAATATCTCGTCTGCGAATCCTGAAGCCAGTAAGGGTATGCCAGGCGTGCTATAGTCAACTGAGAACGAGTTCGTTGGACAATTAGGAAAATGAAAGACGTGTTTCTGTGTATATTCGGAACTGTTGAACGTAGTTAGGTCGAAAGCTTTTATTTTTATGGATTTCTTAGTTTTATCCAATTTACTTTAATCTAACATAAACCAAAGGCTGTTATATGATTTTATTCTTATTTAACATAGTTCAATTCGAATTTTGTATGTACACAATGCAAGTTGCAATATAATTTATATATTTATTTATAACTATTTATTAAACACTGAGTTAAACCATAATAAATGTTGCTTTTACAACGCAAGCATTGACAATTTGTAGTAATGTAACACAGATGTAATATCTTATAAATAATGACTGTAAAGTGAACACATTCGAAGTATGTATGAGCAGCCTAGAAAGTCAGTTCTTAGCTTGATGTTTTCCGCACTGATAGGCAGCATTGCCGTCAGTCCGCAACAGATAAATCAATAATAGTCGAACTAAGCACCGCCAGTTATATCAATTAAATAGTTAACTCGAACACTTTTCTATAAAACAAATCCAAACACATCACTAAGGATATCCCCGCACTTTTTGCGGGACCAATACACGTTTTAGCACACAACATTACAACCTCACACTAAACTAAAGGCAAGTAGTTTTTCTCAGCATTACCTTTAAATGCGGAAAGAAGTTAAGGCAAGCAAAGAATGTAGTCGGTCACGAGTTGGAAAAGCAATATTTGAAATTGCAATTTAATTAATTACGCGTTGCAATAATTGAAAAGAAAATGTATAAAATGATAAGCTGTCAGTCATCCTTCTGGAAAAATCTTTGAACAAATGTGTAACTTCAGTTCCGAGCTTTAAACCATTCAATAACTTCCATCCGTTACGACAAGAAGTTTAAACCCAGTTAAATAATGTATATACGAAAGTCAAATAACAATGAAGGTCTTATTAATATAGGACAAATAAATTAGATAAATATATCGGTAGCCGTGGTAGAAAAACATTCCGTATTTTGTAGAGAATCTACATGTTGCATTGATAATAATTTACAAATTAAACATATATGTACGGGGTGCTGTTAAAGAGTAAATGAATGTCGCGGTAGGAGCAACAAATGCGATTCCATTTTCACCAGTCTGTTAAAGTAATTACCAAACTCTATCCAAAAACTTGACAAAGACACCAACGCCAGAGAACATGTAACTTTATATCCTCTACAAACGTTTCAAAGAATTATACAGCTCAAAGATTTCAAAAGTGTTATATTTCAAGCCGGAAAGATAAGTGTTATATAAACATACTTAGCCAGTTAGTGCAATAAGGAAGAAAGCACCACAGCAAAAACATGACAACCTGTATCAACATAAAAACTACATAAGTTTCTAGAAAGAATCATATAAATATAAATATATATATTTATTGTTAGTGTGTGAGATCGAAAACATAAATATTATGGCATGCAAAGTTTAAAAATACAATTTAATAAAATGAACTATGTTAACAAAGGTCAGGTCTTTTACTGATTTAAATTAAGTAGTTAATTATGGCAATACATCACATACACTGTAGAGCTGTAAACAATTATTTTTTTTAAGAATCGATTATTTTCGATTCAATTCTTGAAAAGATCGATTAAATCGATTCAAAATCGAAAACAAAAAAAAACTTCTTTTTGAGAAAAAGCTATATTTTGCTTAAAAACCAAACTTACAGTTGCAAACAAAACTAAAATACGTTAAAAAATTTGTTTGAGATCAATGTTTTGTTTATTTAAAACCCATGGGTTTTTATTTGTAAGTACAAGCTTGTCTACGTTTTTCGGTTTCAAGACCGTTCTGGGGTCGGTGACTATGCGTTGGGCGCTGACAACAATCTACTTTATTTATTTTTCCTCAACACCAACACACACTGATTCTGAAAGCGATTAATATTTACTAGTTTCCTTGAGTTATGTTACTTAAAAAATTTTTTTTGTTAACTTAAATTTGTTTTAAGGTGAGCAAACTGGTCGATGCATCGATTCCCTTTAAAAAAATAGATTTTTTCGGGTCATCCAGAAAGATTGATTAAATTGATTTAAAAATCAAATTGTTTACAGCTTTAATACCCTGCTGGTCGTGGCACGAAACACGATCGACACACGAAGGTTCGTGTTTACGCGTTTTTGAATTCCAATTCCAATCATCTTTTAACTATGGCAAGTCCGAGTGTTTTCTCCACTTAGTCTAAGAATCTACTTCTGTTTATTTTTTGTCACTACCTATACATACATAACATCACAGTTAGATAGTCAATATGGTTTACATGGTTCTGGGGTAACCCATTGGTTTCGGTAGTGAAATCGGACAAGGCGTCCATTTCTGCCTTTAAAAACATTATTTTGAAATTTTCGAACCAGTAACTGATATTTGTAACTATATTATATATGATTTGGCAATTGCATATTTATGTCCCTATATAAAATAAGTTTAAGATTCAAGATCTGTATATCCCGATAACCCTATTGTGACTTTTGACTAACATCAAAAATGTGCTGTGCATTTCAAGATGTGTAAGATTTTTCTTTATTAATCATTTAATCCTTTAAATTAGACCCAAACCACGCAGTGCTTCGCTCACCACAGCTGACATTGTTCGGGCTGAAAACTACTGCTCCGGCATCCAAAAGTTCTTTGGAACGGGACGAACCCTTTGATTATTTGCTGCAGACGCTGCTCGTCGCCGTCGTGCTCAAGAAAGTTAGTTGCATCTCCGTCCCCACAGAAAAACTGCGCCAGGTTGAGAAAAAAGATCTTTTGGGGGGGGACGTCGGTAAAGTCTGTGCCGTTTATGTCCTTGGCGATCTGCATGTATGCGGAGTAGGCGAGATCCAGACCCACAATATCCGCCATACGTTCGTCAAGGTATTGCGTTTTGTTGCGGTTCATGCAGTTTAACCCTGCCTCGTAACGTGGCGAGCTAAATATCTCTACGCCAGTGTCGTGAACGTTTCCGAAACTATCTAACAAAACCCCGCTGGTGTCGACGGAGTGGGCTAGCTCATGAGCAAGAACGAATCCCAGAAGGCTGTATTTAAATACTTCGTTGCTTTCCGGAACAAAAAGCGGCTCCTGAAGAAGCCCATAAGGCACGATAATAATATTCCGCCTAATTAGGTAGAAGGGGCTGGAGCTCATCGCCGAGATCGGATCCGGCATGTAGAAGTACTCGTCGGGACTTATAGTCGATTGGTTAAGTTGTGCCATCTGCCTTCGTGTTCGGAACTCCAGTAGATTGAGATGTTCCCGACTGTAGTCAAAGTCTGTCGAAGAGAAGACCAGATCCTCATAGTGTTGGCTAACGAAACTACGATGCTCACGCCCTGTAGGCATGTTGCCGATGTTCAGGATGATATTTCGAGCCTTCGTGGCCACCATCCTTCTCTGCTTACTCGTCAAACCAAGACGATTTTTATCGATTTGCATCAGGAACTGCCGACGCAATTGGTCAAAGATCTCTTGGATTTCCTGGGTGTAGTTCTGCAGCGTAGCCTGGTCTAGAAAGCGCTGCTCGTAGAGTAGGTTTGATGCCAGGTTCATGCTACGACGCACATCCTTTATGCAATCAATGGGCTCTTCGCTGTCCATGGTGTCTTCCAGAAGGTAGAGCACAAATCGAGTCATGATATAATTAGCTACCACTATGGTGTCTGAGGAGTCCATTAGCCGCTTAAGGACCGTGAAGTAGTGCAAATTCTGGACCTGCACTCTGAAGTGTCGGGAGATGCGGTAGCCAAGAGTTAACTCGACGAAACTGTGCCAATCGTAGCCGGTCATGCGCTGCAGCTGATGCAGACTCATTATTCGGCTGTCATCATCATCGTCCGCTTCCGTCAAGACCCGTACAGCAGATTCCAGCCTTCTTATTTTCTGCGCCAGAGGCAGTACACTTTTCGAGGGCACACCCATAATCTGGAGAATTGCAACTGTTTCCGTAAAGGTGTTCAGGTGCTGCGAATCTTCCCCAAACGTGGGCTTACTGAGGTCCAATAGGAACTCGCTACTGTTTTGGTAATTCGGTGTGACCAATAAGTCTACCAAGACATTGGTGAAGCCGTATCGGTGCAGGTATGCCAAAGTTCTCATCCACTGGAACTGATCCTTGGGCCAGGGTTTCCCACGGGCGGTGAACTGGGGCCATACGAGTGTCTCGTCTGGGGGGGCCAGTCTTAGGTAGTGCTCTGCACTTCGGGTCGTTTTCGGAGCATTGCGACAAGTAAGATAGAATCGCAGGGCTTTAGCCTCTACGCTTGACTTGTCTAAGCCTGGCGAGGTCGAGCGGTGTTCCAGCTCTTCCATCAATTGGACGAAGTTCTTATTCACCTTGTGGTCTAACATCTGGGTGATCTCGGTAAAGGGGTCGTTGATATGGCGCTTCGCGTACTTTCCACATGCATACTGGAAATAATTGCCACACGCACTGGCATCTTCCACGACATAGCCGAGGATGTTGTTCAGCAGTCGTGTGTTTGGATTGGTCTCGGCCCTTTGGGCTGTACAAACTGTGTAACTTGCGGCAAATAACAAGCAGGCGATCAACATCATAGCGGTCAGCACACTAAACCGAGAACCATATTTGCCAATTTCAGAGGAAATCAGCGCGCCATAGCTGATAGCCTTTGCAAGAGATAACAAGTAAAACTGACCTGTAAAAAACGAATAGCACGGTGACTTCAGTCTGTTCTGCTGCTGTTTTTCAGCATTGAGCGTATTGTTAAATACTTTTGACTTTTGGCCTACATGATCGCCGTCTGAATCGCCTATGTCACTGGAGGTAAGGGGAGTTTTCTAATGACAGACAGCAAGACGGCAATGGAAAATACAATTGTCATACTTTTGCGAAGCACTTGTAATTCGAATATTCTTAATAACAGGTTTGTAAGAGGAAACATTTAGGATTGGTCTGAAACACGTAAAGGAGAGATCTATTCGCGTATGGTTAATGCCAATACGATCCCACCCAAGTATTTGTGGTCAAAACTATTCTTCAAGACAATAAATATTCATTTTTATGCTTTGAAATTTGATGGAAAATATTTGGTCAGCATTTGATCAGAAACGTATTTTAAAATTTGAAATAGTAAATAAGAACAAGTTACAACTTGTTGTGGTACAACATTTTATACTTTAAAGAATCGTCGAGATTATTAAACAAAATGATGAGTTTCTTCAAATAAAAATAACCAAATAAATCAAATGAAACTGGAAGTGTCAGTGCTCCGTGTATCAGATACCCATCAGTCTGATAACCTGCTACTTTAACGATTTTAGCTTCAAAATAAAAATTCTAGTAGCGAAACAATGTCATCATTCTTTTTTTGTACAAATGCCTTCAGGTAAATCATGCCGACTGTTGTAATATAGCCCCATATGGGCAATCAACTATAGCCATCAGATGGCGCTACAGAACTTTTAAACAAATGGCTTACAGAGTTACGAGGCATCCGATAGCCGCAGCAATCGACAATGGTAATCTTTCTTCTTCAACCTCAATTTCCCGTCTTCTTTGCAAGCAAGGAACCCAAAAGTAGCCCCGAATAATGTACATCGACAGCCTTTTCACCACGTTAAATTTATCTGAATTACAATTTTTCTAAGTGTGCCGGTGGGAGGTAGTCGATTTCAATGGAGGTTGCCGAGTGTGGCGGGATAGCTAGCTGTTTGGTGCTAGCGTCTCCCGCTCTGCCAGCCTTGATTAAAGTGCGCCTTTCCAGCAGGGCAGCGTCCACCAGGGCAACAGTTGCCACCAGGACATTCGAACTGACTCTGCCCTCGCGCCCCGTTGCCACTACCGCCCGCCTCCATTCGGGGACAATGGCCGCCAGGACAATTGCAGCAGGATCCACAGTTGTTGGTTTTCGGTCCTTGCAAGTAGCCTCTGCTGAAGCTGCAACTGTTGTTACCACAGAAGCCGTCCATGCTCACTGGAAATAAAATGTTTAGAACTCGTTTTCCCAGAGTCATCTCTGATCTTACCTGACACTTTTATAAAGAGCCGTACAAATTTTTAGAAAATGAATAGTTAGTAGTGAACCTTTTTTCTGGACGGACTTCCGAGTTGTTTGAAGAGGCCGAATCGAATGAAAATCGAGCTATCCCAGCCTCGACAGACAGAGAAATGAAACCCATGGCCTCCCTTGTCACCGAAACTTCTTTTCGAACTTTCATTCGAATTTGAGCGAGCGCCTGCGCAGGGTTTCCGGGAAGTGGTGAGTTTCCTTCGCCTCGGGGGCGTGGCCTAGCCACACACACTGCAAACCCAAATCCTGCCGGGGTTGCAGGAGCAAAAGAGAACGCAAATGCAGCTAAAGGGAGGGGGCATAGAAAAATGCGACTTCTTGATGCCGCAAATTTGCCATGTATGTGTAGAGCGGGGTGGGGGGAGTAGGAGGTTGGTGGTGGGTGGTGTTGGGTTCAGGGTCGGCAGAATGGTGGGGTGGCAAAGTTACGACCGACGGCGACGTTCACGTCGTTGCTGCAAATGACTTTGCGTTCTGACTGGTTAATATAACCACAGGAACGTATTTGGAAGGCGTGCGTGGGGCAGCGTTATATACGAGCAGTGGGCCGGCCTTGTAACCACAGTCAGCCAAATGGGCTGTGTAATGGACACGGGGCTTATCCTGAGCCCCTCGCCGAATCGACTTACAAGACTCCACCCTCTAAGCCGAATGTCATGTGCAAGACGTTCAGCGGCGTGGTCGTGTGGGTGAGCACGGCACCCGCTCACACTGTCCCAAAAGTCACTTCAATTTGGATGAGAGTCAGTAAATCAACCCCTATCAACATACCAGCAACCGACCGAGCTGCGATTGCGATTTCGATAGCCATAGTTACTCCAGCCAGTGCCAGCTGGGGAAACGCCATTGCGGAATTCCCCAAAGCACTTCCACTCACTCAGGCAGGGTCCATGTCTAGCCTTATGCTGGAATAGATGTGTGGAAGCTATATGTCCTTCCACATATGATGTGTTACTCTACTTTATGGACAACTCCATTCTGTTTCCGATGATTGCTCTTATTAAGAATCTCCGAACTGCTATTGCCTCTGATTAAGGGACATTCTAATGACCTCTATACTGCCATAATTTGGCTGAACTTTATATACCTAAAAGATGAATCGATCTTCATCTGTTCGATCATATTAAAGATACATTGAAATCTTTTTAAAATCAATTTTTCCTTTGTTTCAAGCTTATTTTGAATCAGAACATCATTTCTAAGTTTATTAAGGAACTTGATATTTGGGATCGTACACCAATCGCTTTAAAAGTAAAGTTGTTTTTTCATCACTGAAAAGAAACGATTTGACTTTGATTATCGGAATTAGGCGACTGCACCCTGCCACAGGAAATAAGTACAATACGAAGCTACTATAATAATTGACTTGGTCTTAAATGGCATTTCATAATGTAACTAATATAAAACTAACATTTAAATCGATGGCAGGCAACTCAAGTGACTCGCCCGGTTAAATGTACCCTAACTGAGCCGCCCTTTCGGCAGAAGAGGTCCTGACTTTAGAACTAATAATCCGTCAGCCTACAAGCGCCGGATTGCACCGAACAAAGAGCAAAAAATGTAGGAAAATCGAGAGAAGCCAGGAGAGTTTTGCAGCTACGCCGACGAAGGATATTTGCCCAGCAAGGAGCAGGACATCGGAAGGACGCCGAGCGAGATGGCTAGCTGTGGGAGCAGGACAGCGCCAGCACACACCACTACAATGTCGCAGTCGCAGTCGCAGTCGCAGTACCACGGCTAGCTTTTCGTCATTCTTGACATTTTGTGGTGAATTGTCGAAAGCCACAGGATATGTCTGTGCGCCAGTGTGCGTGCGGAGCGCCGCTGCGCCAGTGTGCGTGAGCAGCTGGGTCGGTGGGTTTGCAGGTTGAAAAACAAAAATGGTGGACGGCAGGAAGTCCCCTCATTTGCTGTAATCGCATCAGGCCGGGCACTGAAAAAAGGGCGTTTTCCGGTTGGTTACCCGGCGCTCCTCGCTCTCCTCCCTCGGCTCTTTTTCTCTCTCTTCTCTGGCGTCCACCCACTCCGGAATGGGAGAGTGGGATGGGAGAAGGGTGGTAGAGTGGGTGGCTGCTTTTGGTCCACTATCAAGGGATGAAATGTAACATTTGGTAGCTTTTCGTAAATTTTCGACTTTCGTTTGCGTTCTTTTTTTTTTGTTTGTTTTTGTTCGTTTTGCTTCGATTTCCCCGGGTCTGGTTCTGTGTTCTGGGTTCTCGGTTTTCGGTTCTCGGATCTCGGATCTCTATTCCCGGAGCTCGCTGCCTTTCATTTTCCCAACTCAACTGCGCTTTCCGCCTTTTCGTTTGTGGCTTTGGGGGGTGGCGGATGGGCGGGGTGGCTACTGCCTTTGGCTTGGCTCGCCCTCCTGTCAAATTGACTGCAAAAAAGGACCTCTCCTTGGCAGCTTCACTTTCGTAATTGGCGGTCTGTTCGCTGCTGGCTCTGCCAGCCTTAGCTTCCCGTTTCATTCGCAGTTGGTCCGTCAGCCCAGGCGATCCGATTTCGCAATCGCACTTGCGTCCGCAGGAGGTTTCAGTGTCCAGATTCCAGCGGCAGCATTCGCGTCGGCATCTGAACGTCAGAAGGCGTTTCCCGAATTTCAAGTGACATAGTGCTCCGGTGATACTATCCCAACTTAAAGTGCGCAGTGTGGAACGTACAATTAAGCAAACTGGATACGTTAGGGTTCAAATACTTCCACCAAAGGAAAATGGGCACAGGTAAAGGAATGCGTCGGGACTTTCTATGTCAACTGGCATACCGGCGGCGTCTGAAATCTCTTGTACGACATCATAACATAAATTGCCAGAACGGTATCCTTGAAATCGGCTTCGGGAAAGTGAAAAACCGATTGATTACGCGTACCAGGCCTATCCATTTTACTCGGTGGAATTTCATTAACATGGCTGCTTAAGGGTACTTAGTTGGAATTAGTTTGCTAAATTGTGTTATGTTTTCATTCGGTTTTTTACGGAAATTTGTTAGATATCTGAAAGAATTTCAAGAATTTGCATTTCTTCATGTTCCTATGGTGGTTACTTATTTCCTTAGTTCGGTAATAAAGAGGAGTGTCATTCAAAGTTTCTTATCTGTGTTACAATGTAAAAGTTCCAATTTTTTCGTAAAAAACCAAACCCTATTTGAAAAGTTCCTACAAGGCCTTTCCTCTTTTTGCAATTAAATTTCTTTTAACTCCATTGATGAACTCAGTTACTAGAATGACCGGTAACGAGCCACGTTACTAAAGCTAACTTGGATCAGGAAGTCGATCAAAAGAAGTTCACCCAAGTTTTAATCAATGAAAGTCGGTTAAGGTTAAAGTTAATAATAATAATAATAGCTAAGAAGTTCAAAGAAAGTATGATTTCTGGCACTGATGGACTTTTTGGCTACGCCATTCCAGTAAACCGTTTTCGGTCATTGAATACTCATTTTACTTTTAAGTTCCTTTGGTTACCTCTCCCAACTTTAGCTAATTCTAATTTTAAAAACCTATTCTGGAGCTCTCACGCCTATAATGCAAGCCTGTCACGTTTTTCCCACATTCTTCAGGCCTTTCGCCTATCTAAACATGTCCGAGATTTCCATAAAAAATTCAAAAAGCATATTGCATAAGGTTAATATGGGTCTTAACCCACCCACCGACCAGCCAACACGAAAAAGGGTTTTCGAAGTAGGAAGTGATGGCATAAATAAACAGAAATATGTAAAATCAACAATGGCAAATTTTAAAAAAGAAAACAACGGACTGGAAAAGGCCCGATTCCGAAGGTGTCAACGGGTCTTCATATTCCGATTCCGATGCAACCCCAGAAAAGGCGGCACGCCCGGCCACTCGAGAGGTGTTAACACGCTGCGGACAATTGCCGATCCGCAGGGTGTGAAAATTGGCAACACGCGCCAGCCAAGCCCCGACCCAAGCCCTAACCCAAATCCAAACCGAGGGAACTCCACTGGCGACAATATGTCAAATGTCACAGGACAAAGGACCACAACAAAGGGCGAGCGTTTTATTTTGACAAGTGCCGGGTGTTGAACTTAATTTGCGAAGCGTGCCACTCAAAGGGCTGCCATCCTCCCATCTCGCCATCCCGCTCCTGCTTGCCACATGCCGTCCAAGACGAGATGCGAGTGTGCGGGCCACTTTCACAAGCTAATCCGCGGCAAACTCACTCAAAGCTGTGCCGCAAAGTAGGCAGCTCCCCTTGGGCGTGACTCCTGGTTTTGGCCAGGTTAAAGGAGCAGGGCGAAGTGGACGTAGCAGGAAGTAAAAGTGAAATAAGCCAAAGACAAAGTGCATTTCCTTTCTATTATTCCTGCATGGGCAGCTACAAGAATCGAACCATTTTGAGCTAACCAGAAGCAATGTTAAGAGCAACTCTCAAATTTAAATACGTTTTTGAAATTCCGAAAATTAGAATGAATTGCTTTGCAATGAATTTGGTTTATCGGAGTCCCTGAAAATATTTAAAATGAAAGTATTCCTCACAAGTTCAGATTGTTAAGACTAAGAAAAACCCTTTTCAGGAGTATGCGTTACATTTAGCTCCAGTTAAGTAGTATTTGTGATAGTGGGGTCTGGTTTAACCTGTAAATCCATCAATTTGAAATTTTCGTATCATTTTTAGCGGGCGACCGCCTGTTGGACATTCCCTGCAAGGTGTGCGGCGATCGCAGCTCCGGGAAGCACTACGGAATCTACAGCTGCGATGGTGAGTCCAGGAAGGGCCGAAGTAATAAGAGTGTAAGCTTAGCTAATCCTTTCAGGCTGCTCGGGCTTCTTTAAGCGGAGCATTCACCGAAATCGGATTTACACCTGTAAGGCCACCGGGGATCTCAAGGGTCGATGTCCTGTGGACAAGACCCATCGCAACCAGTGCCGCGCGTGTCGCCTGGCCAAGTGCTTCCAATCCGCCATGAATAAGGACGGTAAGTACCATACTAACGCTGTAACCACTCCTCTGCTGCGCCGCAAGTATTGTTTTACTTTCCAAATACACTTAATTATGCAGCAAATTAGCTCGAGAAGCCTGTTTTCGCCAAGGTCCTTGGGCATAAATTACATAAAACTCGGAAACCGAAATGCCGCCGGCTCCTTCCGCCCACAGTTGGGGCTAGACTGCGGGACTGTCATTTGAATTTTGGCTGAATTTGTCATTAAGCTGATTATAAATTATGCGAGCCCCAATCCTGTGGTCGCACCTCGGGGGAAAAGGACTTAATGGGGGAAAGTGTTGGAACTGATTTTGCAAACTACACAAAGACAAAATTAGACTATTCATTTAGATAATACAAATGTGGACGAAATGTCCGAATTGTGGTACCAAAACGTACCTAAGTACCTGTCCCTCTCCTGTATATCTCAATCGTTTATGAGTTTATAATGTCAGCAGGCTTGTTTAGGACTTTAGACTTTTAGACTTTAGACACTTTCCAGGATTTTTAATGTTTATATTAACCAAACATCAAATTTCAATACTTTTAAACAAGGAACTACACCTTTTTTTTTGCAATTTAAGCAGATTTTGATTGCATTTTATTGTAGATGTTCAAGTGATTTCTAGATTTATTTTGATTTAAATTACTCATCCCTCATCGACCCATTATTTTTAGTTATGGAAACTTTACAAACTACGTAAATTACAATCGTAAATCACATGACCATATCGAAGATAATCGCTTTTTTCAGTCTCTTGATAAAGCTCATTCAGAAAAGATCTCAAAATTGATATCAGACAATATAGCACCATATAGCTGGCCATCGGTACTCCCGTAGCCACAACCAAGCCCAACACACAGCTCAAAGCAGTAATGCTAGCTTTAAAGCTCTTAAGCCAACATTAAATGTAGCGTAAAAACACATAATAGCGACGACCATTCGTGGTATCCTCGGTCGGGAGGGGGGCGGACTTCAGCGACTACATCCAGGAGCCAGACTCATCTCATGGATTCAGTACCCAGTAGTCAGTATGCGTATTCAGTATTCAGCGTTCAGGGGCTACCATTGACGGGTTCACTGCACAGACGAGCCGGCCCAGAGCACGGGACCAGAGCAGCGTGAGAAACGCTGCAGATTTTCCACACGCAAGGGCCACTCTTTCGGGGAGGTCGATTGACAATGTGCACTTAATAGCGGATTACACGCATTATCCGCTCGCTGAAAATGCGACTAAAATGTATTGACAATCAAGTGATGATGCCCAAAGCTCGAACTTAGACGTCAGTCAACCCAAGGACCTTCTCAGCGGTGGTGGCTGGTGTGCCCAAGTGAGGGCGGTGGGCGATGGGTGGTGAAGGATCCTTGTACAGCTAGCCACCAACCAAGAGAGACTAGAGTACCCCATATAAAAAGGACAACAGAAAAAGAAAAGCGAGATGGTCTTGTGGTAGTCGATGCAGATGATAACCGACGAACAAATTCCCTGAAAAAGAGAGAAAGCTCCACTTATGGAAAGTAGATAAAGGGTAGATGGAGATGAAAAGGGGCAATATGTAGATTGAATAATGAATTGAATAATGATTCGAAAACAAACCTCAAACCTGTCTGTTGTTAAGTCAAAATTGAAACTCATATTACATAATCGAAAGATACGTTGTCGCCATTTCTTAATTTTTTTTATAAATCCGATTCATTACTATTTTTTATAGGATTATCCCTGCGATGAAATAACATGTACAAGTTTCCCTAGTCCAAGCCAAGCCATCACAACAATGTCAGAGATATGAACAGGATGTGGGATGAACAAACTTGTTTCTCGCATTCCCTGCCATATTTTCTTAGTTCGCCGCTACAAAGCCTCATGTTGGGATGCCTTTTTGGGGTTTTTCTTGGCTGGTTCCGTAAATAAACAACAAACACACATGGACGCCAGCAATTCACACATCTTCCGCCATCCTCACCTCACTCCAGGGCCAGGGAAATGCTCCGCCCTATCGCCGTTCTGGAATCCCAGACAAAATGCTTTTGTTGTTTAGAGCAGAAAGCAAAAAAGCCACAAAAATCGTTCAAGGCACGTTTGTGTAACATTTTTGTGAGTTTGGGTGGACGAGTGGGCTGAGGTCATGCGAGTAGCAAAGTTGTTGGGGGTCGCTAGTGCTGATGACTGTGGTGGGGCTTTCGGGTCTGAAATGAGTTCAAGCAGCGGCTTTTCCGTTCCCAGTATTCCAAGTTTTCGTTGCTCTATGTCATTTTCCGATGTCGGTGCCAAAGGGCAAGTAAAGCTAAGGCCTCGCAGCTCTTTGGATAGTTATTATGCAGTTAAGACAGAGAGTCGCTTTACGAAAACGTTGCACTAGCAGTTTGACTAAATAATCTTGAAAGGGAAGATCATCAGCTTCATCAAAACTACTCTTTTTGAACATCAAAAGAAGGGACCTTCTAGTCGAGGCATACGGCTATAATATACCCGTAACTCTGTTAACCAATTTTATTAACATTAATATGGTAGAAGAAGAAAATGTCATCTGTGATTTTACAAAGTAGATGCCCTGAGGCATTTCATTATTTAAATAATATAAATTAACATTCATTCATTTCCTAATTACTTCTAAAAGAATAATGGGATTTAATCATATTAAGCGAAAGAACATTCGAAATCAAAATACTTTTCACACTTTTCAAATCGAACAACGTTCGCTTGTTTTATCGAGTTCCGAATTAACGTATTTTAGTGTAATCTAAAGATCTCCTTAGATCCTGCAGTTTGTATGAATACAGTCTGACAAATAGATGTTTAATATGAAAGAATAGCCTAATAGCCACACAGTTTAGGACTTCGTTTGGTCTAGCAATGGCGTCTCATTAAGATATGAGAATGAAAGGTTCCTCCAAGACAGATTCCACCCACCCATGTCCGACTGAACAGCGATTTGACAGTTTCCAGCTGACCAATCAGCACGTCAGCGCACTTTAGAACTGACAAATAAGTTATTATGGGAAAATATGACAGGCGTCGCACATTTCGCTGTCAAAGCGCTCTGAACCCAGAGCTGACAGAATTACAAATGTTGGCTACTTTGTATGCTAATATCCTGGGAAGGACGGAGAAAAATAAGAAGCGGCGACAAGAGCTCTGCTTACAAATTATGTTGCCACTTGTCACATTTAATGGTATTTGCATTTGTATACCCCAAAGTGTCAGCATCATCAACACGCATACTACACGTAGCGCCCCCTCCGTGGCTCACTTTCTTTCTTTCTGTGCCAATATTTACGCGGCGATTTAAGCGGATTTCTCGTTTTGAGTGATTTGTGTTGCCTCGCGAGTCTCATTCTTAAAAAGTGTCTTTCGGCTGAGAGCTGCGCAGAGGGGAGTGATGATGGTGGGGTCATTATATCCCAGGGTGTGGGATGAGGCGAGAAGTGATGTGTAATGAAGCTTATAAGGGCCAAGAAAGATGTATAAATATTAGAAATAGAGATATTTCACTAAGACATTCTAATCCCTCGATATTTATTTCTGGTTTTTTAAACAGTTAGGCTGTTAACAAACTAATTTTGAATGAGTTGCTAGTTTCGAAATTTCTTGTGTATCCCTATGCCTAGTTCAAGTTGTTTATAGTTCAATTAAGAGTCTAATTTCTTGGTTTTACTGCATACATTTCGGCATATTTACAACAGATTTTTTTAACCACATATCATAAAATCATGTTTTATTGATGCTTTAAACACTTTTCCAAATGTATTTCGTTTTCTTAAAAATTGGTAGAATAATCTCCGCTTTGAGTCTTAGAAATCCTTTTAAAGAAATATGTATGTAGGATTGTATGTTCTTGCCAAAGTTTGGGGATTTGATCGAAATATGCATACTTTATTACTCGAAAGCTAATGGTTCAGCAATTCTACAGCTATTGTGGAAATGATAAAGAATGGAGTGCATCTATATAAGAGCGCAGTAAGAAAGGGTTGAATTCATACAGAGCGATTTGTGTGAGATTCATCAATATTGGCGTAGGATTTTATTGTCTTGGCTTGAGTCGATCCGTACTAACTTTAACCTTAGCGCTTAACGAAGGCAACTTTCTCCTCCTGTGAGCAAAGTTCATGGGATTAAACAAGAGAAGGCGATAAGACAAACAGCAGACACAATCCCAAGTGGACGGGCAGAAACCTTTTCCTGGAATCAGCCAAGTGTAAACCCATCGAGAAGGACTGCTGAATGGAAGTGGTCTTAGTTTCTGTTGGTGCTGCGACTCGCACCTAGAATGTACATTGTACGAGTATATTGTTGCATACTTCTGGGCTCTTAAGCTCTTTTGTCAACAGACTGTGGTTCCCCAGACTGGCTTCATTTTCGGGCCATGACTGTGGGAGTGGCTCGTTTTGTCCATGACGGTGTCAATGTAAATTTCTGTTGTTGTTGATGTCTATTCCAGAGACGACTTTTTGGCGCTGGCGCAAAAGGCAGTCTCGGCTAATTTCATGACCACATTTTAACGTATTGATTTTTGCTGATGTGCATGCCATCGCACCATGTCGTACGCACGCCTATACATATATATATAGAGGAAAATGTACCCTTGTGATATTTATTGCGTAGCTTTTAAGCCGCCCGGTTCGGATGAGTTATCGTCGAACACCCCCACCACATTACGTATACGCAATTTCATTTACACATGGCTGCAGGGCACAGAAAGCCATGGCTGAGAGACACGCCCACACATGCAAACTCACACGCACATACACACATACACATGCGCTGCCTGTTTTACTTAATTGACATTATAGCCTACTACGATATGTGCATACACTTTCGCCAGAGACTGTGCGACATGTAAATGCGCCTGGCTTGCACATGTCATGGACATGAAGCCCAACACCCACATCCACACCGACATCCGTGCCCACATCCTGCCTGCATTGCAGTGTGCGTGAGTGAGTCAAACGTGTCAGTGTCAACATTAAAAGCGGATTTAAAATCACTTACCCACTGGGCGAGCGCAGCTCGAACGAGAGTCAGAGGCGTAAAAGCCGTTGGCCTCATCATGCTCGGAGCCACTTGCCACGTCACAAATTCATAAGAAGGGCCTCAAGCCTTGTCGTAGATATCAACAATATATCACCGGATCCAACTATACTAGATAAGTCTTAGCATAATGAAACCAATATTCGATATAGACAGTTTTTCTTTATATCTCGAAGTTTGAATTAAGATTTGAGAAATTCGGTCCCGATTTATCGAATGCCGATAGCAGCAATAAAAATTCGCTTTATAAATAAAAAATCGATTATTTATGATGGAAAGATGTGTTCTTAAGCTGTGCCCCTGTGTTCTACGATTGTGAATGCTATCATTCAGTATCGTTAAATAATGCTTTCATAAAATAGATCATAGAAATGCTGCTTTTAAGAACCGGCAACAAAAAATCAAATGGAGAAGTTCTACGGCTACAAGATCCCGTTACTCTACAACAGGAGATTTAACATAAAAGCGCCATCTGTTGATAAGCCCATACGTTATGTAAATTTTTCCGTAACATTACAGTGACTGCTGTTCCTTACAGCCTTTATATCTCGATTGCTTCTTAAGCAAGTTGGTACGACGGCAGGCACAGCCAAATTAAATAGTTTCTGATTTAAAATTCTCTCCGAGTTCATGAGCGCTGATTTATGCAATATATCGCAATCACAAATATTCGTTCTGTCAGACAGACAGGCATGTCTAACTCTACTTGGCTAGAGTTCCTGATCATATTTCTACACTATGGACACTTTAGGCCTTTTCAGGAAAAGTTAAAGTTCATATAAAATTTGGATGATGAAATACGTATACAACTTTTATGAAATTTAAGACCATTCTAACGGGTTTCCTAGAATAATTTTCAGTGTTAGTTCCTTTACTTTACCTTTACTATAGAATTTAAAATGAAACTGTGCCAAAAAGGCTCCAAAAAGGTGAACTCCTCGTCATCACATGTACATCCGCCTAAAAGAACAACAAATCGCACCCAACGTAAGTCTTAAATATTTTATAGCAAAGCGAGTATGATACCGTGCTAAGAAAGTGTTTAAATCTCATGAATATGAAATCTAATTAACACTTGACTTATAAACTCTTACGGAAATCAAGGAGCTTCTCTCACACCACAGTCCTTGCTACTCCTTCCTCCACCGCATATAAGCACCTGAACAGTTTCCCAGGCTTTTCCGAAATGTGGTACAGAAAGTTACGCCCGCTGGCTAAAAGAACGAGCGAAAAAATTACAGTCTACAAATCTAATTAGCAACCCATTACGATGATCGCACCCCTCCTCGCTGAGCACAACTCCCCCGCAGGACAGCGAGACACATGGAAAAGGAGCAGCATAGCAAACATATTGACCGATTTGCTGAAGTTAATCAATTAATTAGGGTAGCGCACAGGGAAGCGGACCAGAAGCTCCGTGAAACCAAAAACAATTATGTCAAGATACATGCATTCATGGGCTGCTGAGGAGGAAAAGGACCAGGCAAGACAGCCGAGGGTCGGACGGAGCAGACGGAACAGACAAAGACAGGATTGTCTTGGCAGGGATGCCAGAATGGGTCAGGAAAACGCGGCGGAAAAATTAATGATAAGTGGCTGTGGAAAGCGAGCTGCCACGCAGCTGTTCCATTCCCACAGCGAGGCACGACCACGGCGACTTCACGACGATACCGCACGCAAAACCCAAATGATGGGCATCATCACCGGACTCGAAAGCAGCCATCTCCGTGGCGAGGACGAAGGATACCCGGGCGCCCATAAGCTGAAAAGCGCAACGCGTGCCCCAGAAATCGAAATAAATAAATCGGTAAACGGTAATGAGCAGCGCCCGTGCCTTCTATGCGGGGCCTCCCACTCGGGCCTCAGATAATGTCGTAATCAAACCTCACCAAAAGGGAATATATCAGAATGCGATTGTTTGGCAGGCAAATTAAAAGTAAATAAGGCAACGTTTGCAAATTGCGAGGGGGCGGACGCCGTGGCACTCAAACCCAGGCCCAGGCCCAAACCGAAAATAAAATAAAATAAAAAGATATATAAACCGTGAAATTAGGAAAACACTTGAAGTGATTCGATGTGCTCCGAGGTGGTGTAAGCAGGGGTGTTCGCGTGCGCCCATCATCCCGGGTCGGTCGGGGGTTGCCCAGACTAGCAGTGGCAGCGGAGTGCTTAATAGTCCATAATAGCCGCATTATGGGTTCTCGGGCTGACTGAATTGTCGGGCCAACAATGGCCTAAGAATTGAGCAATTGTCAAGTAGTTAGCTGCTGAGTAATTTCCATAGGTGTAGCCCAGCCAGAATCATTTTTTTTCGCGGACTCTGTGAAAGTAAGTACTTTCAGACTTGAGGTTTATTTCACTTCTTTGCCTATATCTGTGGTATAAATCCTCGATCTATGGTCGGACCACGGATCTGTTGGCCTCTCACCCTATAGAAGTATACACTACTTTAATTTCCTAAACATTTTCTGAGTAAAAAGATTAACACTTTGTGGATGGTGAACTCAATCTACCTCAAGAATTGACAGATTCTCCCAACTCTGCAGCGACTGTTCATTAGCTGAGCTAGCGTTATCAACTTGATTCGGCTAAGCTTTTTCCAGAACGCCTACAGCTCTTGCTGTGTTGCACGGAAAACAGACACGACTTGTGCATTTCCACTTTCATAACTTCGCAGGAAGTAAATCGTTACTTTTACCCATCAACTTTCCTTTCCGCCCTTGGTTTCGGTGCTTTCGGGTGCCTTCCAATCAGGAAAAAATGGCTTAGTTCCCACAGAAGGGGATGCAGATATTTTAAGTTTTCCTGTCATTCTAGCTGATTCTGTTGCCTTTTTCGCGCGCTTCCATGTTTGAGCAGGCCTGGGGAAGGGGCTTTCGGAGTCACAGCCAAAGGGTTAACTTGGTGCTTGAGTTCCGCGGGGGCATATTCAACTTTCAACTTTCTTTCGTATTCGCATTTCGCTGAACCACATTTTTAAGTCCGCACGAAACTGGGACCTGAAGTTTGTTAAACCCGCAGCGTAAAAATTTGATGAGTTTGGCATTTTCTTTAATTGAAATTTGTGATCTTTTAAAAGCTTTGAGACTTTCCCGCTCTACGCAGCCGCTTTTTTCTAGTTTTATGAATGTAGGCACGGGAAGTAGCTAGGCTTGGGGGCAAAGGTCCCCACCTGACTGTAGTCATTTTACAGAGCGAAGCACTCACATATGCGATTAGCTGGGGATTAAAATGTCACCCCTTTACGCCACGTCATGCAATCTACAAGACTCGCAGCGCAGCTATAGATACATTTAATTACAAACAAATAAAAGTCATGACAGCCACACACACACATGGTGTGCTCCTCAACCCCCATTTTCCGCTCAGGACTGGCCCGAGGCATATGCAACAGTTCACACGCCCGAGGACAGTTCGCCTATCCTATCCAATCCAATCCGCTACTTTGTGTCCTCTTGGCTCGTATCTTTGCATCTCCAGCGCTCTAATAATCGGTTTATTATTTCTTTCCTTCTGCCGCCCACTCCTGACCTGAATCGGAGGAAGCCCAACCTCTGGGACCTCACCACAAAACCTCTTCCGAAAAGTTTCAGAAGGCAAAGGGAAGATGGGACCAAGCTAGGCAAGAGTATCTTTGAAATTAACTTTATTTATTTAACTACTTAGAGGCAGATTATCGCAATTACACACTTGAAGTGATTTTATGCATGCCAGCGTGGTCTCTCGGTCCCTTGTAAAGAGCAGCATTATAACTTCAGAGCTATATAGTTTAAGTATCTGTGCAGACCTTTCAGGAGTAGTAACTAATTTGCATTTTCACGTACCTATGCCATTGCCTAGGCCATTGACTGAAAGGGTGCATGCTTAGGCTTCAGGGAGGTCTAATTTTGGGATTGATGATTTAGACTATTGAATTTCAAATGAGCTTAATATCTAAATACACTTATAACGCCAAACACATTATTACAAAACTTAAACCGTTCAGAAGTTTTTCTACAGCCAAGACTCCATTTTTTCTTCCTCAGCTGTGCAGCACGAGCGCGGTCCGAGGAAACCCAAGTTACATCCCCAACTGCACCACCACCACCACCATGCTGCGGCCGCTGCTGCCGCGGCCCACCATGCAGCAGCCGCCCATCACCACCACCACCATCATCACCACGCCCACGCAGCGGCGGCCCATCATGCGGCGGCTGCTGCAGCGGCTGCTGCGGGCCTACACCACCACCACCACGGCGGCCACCTGCCCGTGTCACTGGTCACGAATGTATCGGCCTCGTTCAACTACACACAGCACATCTCCACCCATCCTTCCGCTGCAGCCGCAACACCCGGTAGCTTCCACCTGTCGGCCAGTGGGCAACAGCAGGGTCCAGTTCCCCCGAGTGGCCACCTGCACCACGGAGCCGCGGGCCATCAGCATGCAACGGCCTTCCATCATCCGGGACATTCTGGCCACTCGCTGCCAGCTACACATGGCGGCGTGGCGGGCAACCCAGCCGGCAACTCAACCTCCATCTCGAGTGGCGGACCCGGTCCCACGCTCCCCTTTCCGTCGCATTTGCTGCACCACAACCTGATCGCGGAAGCTGCTAGCAAGCTACCGGCGATCACTGCCACAGCTGTTGCGGCCGTTGTGTCCTCCACGGCCACGCCCTACGCTTCGACCGCCCAGGCTTCTTCTTCCAGCAGCAACAATCTCAACTACTCCTCGCCTTCGCCCAGCAACTCGATCCAGTCCATCTCAAGCATTGGATCAAGAAGCGTCGGTGGGGAGGAGGGTCTCAGCCTGGGCAGCGAGAGTCCGCGGGTGAACGTAGAAACGGAGACACCTTCGCCATCGGCCTCGCCTCCCCTGAGTGCCGGCAGCATTTCGCCGGCTCCTACGCAGACCACCTCCTCGGGCTCTCCGCAGCACCGCCAGACGTCGCGGCACAGTCTCAGTGAGGCCACCACTCCACCCAGCCACACCTCCCTGCTGATCCGCGCTAACAATAATAACAACAACAACAATAACAACGGAGAGCACAAGCAAGCCAGTTACACATCCGGATCGCCAACTCCCACCACCCCCACACCCCCTCCTCCGAGGCCAGGTGTCATTACCTGCCCCACGACAACGAGCTCCAGCGGGTTCCTGGAGTTGCTACTCAGCCCGGACAAGTGCCAGGAGCTCATCCAGTACCAAGTGCAGCACAACACGCTGGTCTTTCCGCAGCAGCTGCTTGACTCGCGGTTGCTCTCCTGGGAGATGCTGCAGGAGACGACGGCGCGCCTGCTCTTCATGGCGGTGCGCTGGGTTAAGTGCCTCATGCCCTTCCAGACGCTTTCAAAGAACGACCAGCACCTTCTGCTGCAGGTGAGAATACTGGCTTTTGCCGCCTTAAAAACAGACTTGTTTTTATTAATGATACAGGTCGAGGTGGTACTAAGCCTATTTTTACTTGCTAAATTGATTGGTGAGAGAGAGAGCTGATATAGATAGATACAGGCAGTAGACAGTAATAAGCGAGAAGAAACGACTATCAGATTCTCGTATCTATTGGTTAAACCCTCCACTGGAGGTTTCATCATACCTCTTTCGTGCCTCTTATCATAAATTATTATATTTTTTTAGGCTTAGGTAATAGTAACGTTAGGAGACACAGCTTTCAGCAACTGCCTTATAGATCAGATTGATTTAAGAGTAATCTATGTCTCATGTATTTTATTCCAGGAGTCATGGAAGGAGCTCTTCCTGCTGAACCTCGCGCAGTGGACTATACCCTTGGACCTAACGCCCATCCTAGAATCGCCACTTATCCGAGAGCGGGTGCTGCAGGACGAGGCCACGCAGACAGAGATGAAGACGATCCAGGAGATCCTGTGCCGTTTCCGCCAGATCACTCCCGACGGCAGTGAGGTAGGCTGTATGAAGGCTATCGCTCTGTTCGCTCCGGAGACCGCCGGCCTCTGCGACGTGCAGCCAGTGGAGATGCTGCAGGACCAGGCGCAGTGCATCCTCTCCGACCATGTGCGGCTGCGCTACCCTCGCCAGGCTACCCGCTTCGGTAGGCTCCTGCTCTTGTTGCCGTCACTCCGAACCATCCGTGCGGCCACCATCGAGGCGCTCTTCTTCAAGGAGACCATCGGCAACGTGCCCATTGCGCGGCTGCTGCGCGACATGTACACCATGGAGCCAGCCCAGGTGGACAAGTGAACCAGTCCCGGACGGAACAGGCCTGAAACCGAACCAAAATCGATTCTGTAGCACCTAAGCGGCATCAGCCTCTGCCACCTGCAAAAATATTTGTATTCCAAAGCGACCCGAAAACCATTCAGATTGACTGTGAAGAGAATTGGGAAATTGGGCAGCAGCGCAGGTGCGACAGTTCGCAGGGCGCCATGTAATAGATGCGTATGTACCATCCATGCTCCTCCATTGGTGCTTCTGTCCCGCGTCTGCCTCGGTCGCAGCCGTGCCCACACCTTGATTTATCGCAGGAAACGCGCTGCGCTCTCCTCGCTTTCGTTTCTTTTCTGACATTTTTATTCTTATTTTATTTCATCTTTTTCCAGCGATTTTTCTTTTTGACTGCCTGGGCGGCGCTCTTTATTTATCTTTCATTCGACGTTTTGTCGTCGCTTTTCTAAAAATTCCCCATGTTATTTCAACCTGGGAAAGACCTCCACCCACCATCCGTCATCCCATTCCCATGTCCTTACTTACAAATCAGTCCCCTCGTTGTCGCACAAATGTTTGACCTTTCGCGAGCGTTGGCTTTGGAATACTCTTTAAAATGGCGATGAGGATGTTGAGAATTCTAGTGATTTTGGGAAAAGTATTTAGACCGACCTTGGCTTGTAACTCGGTCATGTATCTGATAGATGAAGAAGTGACTAAGCCATCAAATCACTTGCAGATAAAACAAAAAACTTACTTGACAAGATCATTTCTAGTGTTGACCCAGTTTGTGACTCCGTTCCCATTGTACAGGGTATTCAGTCATTCCTGAAAGCCTCGCCCCACTCGTAGACTCCTGATTTAATAAGACCGCCCTTTATTCACGTGTTTTTCCATTCCATCCTTTTTCCTTTTGGCGTAACATTCGAAAAACGCGTTTAGAAATCGTGAAAATGAAAAAACAACTTTGCCGCAGGTCAAGCGACCGAATTTATGTTGCATGTTATGCCCCCCTGTTACTGCTGGCCCGTTGGTTGCCTCCCCTGCTTGATGCTTCAGTTAGTTTTATCTAATGCACATATATGCAGGTGGGTGGCGCTATATACCCGTGTAACACATCTGCAGTGCGCATTGGAAGAGCTTCGCTGTGCAGGCCGAATGCTTTGTAATTGATTTTTCACATTGATACTCGTAGCGTGGTAAGGACGTATTTCAGACACAGAAAACACAAAGCATTAATAAATATAAACAGATGTAAAATGTATTATGATGGCCAACAGCCAACTAAGCAAACTTAAATAAATTGAAATATATTAGAAACATTCGTGTACTTTTATTTGGGCTGTTATCATATTGAGAAAAACTTAAAAAGGCGAACAGACGGCCGCCATCAAGGACTTAAACTCGGTAATCAGTAAAATCCAAAACTTCTATAACCTTAATCCCAACACCTTAGCTCTTACATACCCCAAGTTTCTTGGTCGCTTCTTGATACCTTGATACCATATTGATTAACGAATTAAATACACTCTTTCTGCCTACCCATTTCGGTCTGCGGGATTTGGCGTTAACATCGTACCCAACAGCTCACTAGAGGTAAAATAAATAAAATAAATGCTTCAATTTAAATACGTAGAAGCATTAGGTTTGTTGCAATAGTTTTGTCGTGACGCATGGTGGAATGGTAAGGAAGGAATGAAAGGGAAAAAGTAAAAGAAGGGTAAGTAATGTTAAGTGGGAGTGTCGGAGGGAGTGCGCTAATCACAAATCAGATGCATCTTAATTTTGGCTGAAGCTCAACTCCTGCGAACACCGCTTTTGAGCTTTGTCGGTGATAGCACTGAAGAGCTGAACAGTTTTATCGAATGTTCGATCCTTTAGAGACCTCCAAAAATAGTACTTCACCTTTCAAGTAAAAAGAGATTAGGAAAACCTTTTAATTTGAAATATTCACATTATTTATTTCATGTTATTTGAGTTTACTCGTCGACTATAAGCTACAAGGAATGTAGAATGAGAGTAGAGACTTATTTATTCCAACTCAGTCAGGCTATGGCCAAGTGGACAAGTGGACAGTATGCTGATCCCAAGTTGCTGATGCTAAAAATGTCTAATCAGTGAGAATGTAATGCCTAATCTGTCCAATCTGTAAAGCCAAAGACTTGCTTAAGCTGAATTCCAAAAACGTAAACACGGCATTTATTATGATTTAGAAGTAAATATTGATTCTTAGATTCAGGAGCCTTACTATTAATAAACTTAATAGTCAAATAGAAAAGCTCCTCGTGATGAGAAAATATTGATTGGAATTGCCCAGCGTTGTTTATTAATCGAAAATCGCAGAGGATCCTTCTGAAGGTGAGCCAAGTGAGGTCCATTTAATTAATTGAAATAATAAAAAATAAGGGAAACGCCAATCACTCCGAGGATTTGGCAAGCACTGCGGACCAGCTACTGTTCCCAGTGGGGTCTTATTTAAATGGGCGCCAGTTTGGTAAAACTAAACAAATGGCAGAAACCTGGTAAGCCAGAGCAAATTCGGTTAATGGCAGTAATGCTGAGGAAAAGGAGAACATTAACCATTTTAAGCAATTAAAACAATTAAGTGCCGGCCACTATTTGCTGAGTAGAAAGGGGGAGGGGCCATAGGAAAAAGCGATGAGTAAATAACTCAAAAAAGTGCCGAAAAAACTGCCATTTCGGAGGACAAAGCAAGTGGCAAATAAAAATGTAAATCATAAAAAGCGTAATGAACATAAAAATCCTCAATTTGTATGCTGTCGCATATTCCACAATGCTTGAGGATTGTCCAAGGAGGGTCCACGTGAGTGGTCTTTGGAGCGGGTGGAGCTGCCATAAATTCAGCCAGCAGATCCCAGTCCGAATGGGAGCGTCCTCACAAAGGATGTGCGCTATGCGTCTATTATTGATGCCCGGTCTGAGGACATCTCCTGTCATCAAAGAGCCCGATCCAATTGTCTGAGACAAATGTCTTTGCAAAAGGTAAGGAAAGCAGTCTTATTTTGCATATGCAAACGCCTGGGGCTCCAAATCGAGGGACAGCCGCACGAACCGCTCGACCGCTCGACCGCTCGGACATGTTGCACATCACCCTTTCGGACCTCCCGCCCCTGCCTCCGCCTCCTCCTTGGGAAAAGTTTCAGCATCGCTCTCAGTTCCTTTCACACTTTTATTTTGCTGCCGGCCATGGGCAATACATCTTGGGCCACAAAACACAAAATCGTCTTAAGTATTTTGTGTGGTTTAAATAAAGTAAAAATAATAATGCAAAAATAAAACCCGATGCCCAGCTGTCCTTCTGAGAGCGTGGGAGTGTGTAAGGGATAAGCGTGCTACATCCGCTTAGCGCTGTCTCCTTCTAGACTTGGCATCCCCAGATCCTGATGTGTCCTCCGAAACCCTCACGAATAAATTAACATTGTAAAATCGAAACACCTGCGGAAACTTATGGCGCCAAAGTGTAAATTTTAGTTTATGTGTTTTTAATTTAAATGTTTTCCAGAAGTTTTGCTTAATTTTTTCCGTTTAATAATGACCATCTATTGATATATTACTCGAACTAGTCCCTAAAGGGCATCCAACTGTCACTCTAGACGGATTGCCGAGAAGTTTTCGCTTTTCTTGCTCCTTTCTGGCCATTTACTTTTGGGTCTCGTTGTTGCGTAAATGATTTTATTTCGTTTCTGTACAATTTTTGATGTACTATTATTCTATGCCCAAGTCCCCAATGTCCATCATTGTTTTTTATAGACACATTGCTGTGCCCACAGCTCAGCTCACAGTGGCCCAGCAAAAGGGTTAGCTCAAGCGCCGCCAACGAGGAGAGCTTCTTCGTCACCATGACATGCGAATTAGCCCGGCAAAAAGGTGGGCTGCATATGGGATATGAGATGTGTGCCGTGTGATGTGTGATGTGTGATGTGGGTTATGGTATATGTGAAATTGCCGATTTTGTGAGTACAAGATCCACGCAATCTTGATGATGTGAACTGTGGCACTTGTCCATCCAATTTGGAGCGTGGGTCGGCATAGCGCACTACGGGATTGACGGCTGCTTTCCGATTCTGAGCTGGTGCATACTGCTAGTACGGCGGATATACCGAAACAGCGGGTGGGGGAGAACATCACTTATAAGGCTGTAATCTGCCACAGATACCAAAGGATTCGATGATTAAACGGGAGTACAAGATAAGGCCACAACGAATGGAAAGCTAGCTCTGATTCCCAAAGCAATTATGGAACTTCACAGCAAAGAAGAAATGCAACTGGCCTCTGAAAAACAATACCTACTCTCAAAGTCGAAACTATATCCCATTATGCTGCTTAAATGTTGGTAATAATTTTGATTGAATTTCTGTTCTGGTGTTTCAGAGCGATTGGTTGCCATTGCAAATTTTAGGAAGTCTTCTTCACTTGTTATGTTACTTTACATGCCAAGTTGGTAAACGGAATACCCGGAGAAGATCTACTTCGTTATAAGTTAAATTAGTGCCCGGAGAGAAGCAAAACCTTTATTTGGCCTCCTTCTAATTTATCCAACTAATAACTAGAAAAATATGAAACACATGCAAAAGCAGCCTGAGTTTAAGCTCGGGAAAAAAGCAGCCAGATACATCTCATCGCCCACTCCCAATCTCACTCCCATTGCCTATGTCATTTCCACACACGCACACAGCGGGCATCGGCATTCCATTTCCCCTGTCTTTCGGAGCATCCGCCAAAGCAGAGAAAACCAGAGATACCAAGTCAGGCCACGAGCATAACGTGCAGCTTTCCAGCTTTCGCCGCAATCAATTTTACGGGTGCACAGCAGCAACTACCAGGAACAGCCTCAGATGCGGCAGTGGAATAAGAGCAACCCCGAGCAGAGCCAGCCAAGCCACCCATCACAGTCCCAGTCATCTCTCGAGCAGCGTTAGACACGCCAGGAGGAAGAGGGGCGCACGTGGTCCGGCTCACATGAAGGTATTAGCCCGTAACAGCGCTGCATGGCATGGGTCAACGCCACTGCATCTATGTATTCGTCGCACTGCCAGAGGGCAAAGACTTGTCCTGCAGCACTACTAAATAGAAAAAATATATCGGCCAAATTGACCAAAATCTTAGATTGAGTTTCCAAATACTAGATTCGCGGTCAGTTCTTCCATGAGTAAAATACGCAAAAATACCAGGAAAATCTAATTGTATTTTGAATACGAATATATTTCCTACAGATAAATCATCATAGCTGTATAGTAAAACAGAAAGGGAAGCTAGAGCGCCGAGACTATCAGCTGATTTCAAAATTTTAAAGCGAAAAGCAGAAACGCCACCTATTGGCGATGAATTATCTGCCCATGTGCCTCTGTCCCATTCTGTAGAACGTTGATGCCCTAAAAGAAGTGTAAGCATCTTAGGAAGAAGGTTCTTATACCATTTGGACAGACACATAGTTCGCGGGGATGAATCTTATATCTTAAGAGTTAATACGATAAAATTTCGTTAATAGGAAGTCGAAAAACTGTAGAGCTTGGGCTGGAATTTGAAGGGTATCATAATATTATTTCTAATCGTATCTCAGTTAATACAAAATCTACCTCATTCTCTCGTTAGTTGATTGTTGTTAACGGAAGGGTTTAACCTACTAAATTATACGAATATACCTCTTTAGAAGCTCACAGTTGTATTCGTATGAGAGAAGGGTATACAAAATTAAGGAGGCCAACGGAGAAGGTAAGAACTTGCAGAATTAGAAAGCTAGGAACTTTTTCTCTCGCCAATAAAATCTGAATTGACCAACTTTTTACCCAGCTGATCCGGAGCTAAAGATGAGATAGAGATCATTATCAGTTAACTCAAAGCAGATATTTAGGACTTAGAATCAAAATTAAATTTAATTTAATTCAGTTTGTTACGGTAGAATGTAGTAAAATCTTGAAACAATGCCTTGTTGGGCATCGAAACCATTTATCACTTTAATATTAATGCTATAGTTTTAAGCTGAAAGTGTCTTTTCTATGACCATGTTTCTTAAATATAACTACAATTTTCAAAAACCTATTACTCTGTTAGCATAGCAGCTCTCTACAGAAAGAATCTGAAACTCAGCCGGCAGTGACGTCATTGAAAGATATAAAGCTCTATAACCTTAATTTGTCAACAAACTTTAAGGAAATGGTCCGACATTTTTGGTAGAACGAGATGTTTTATCAATCAAACAGTTTTTAGGTCAAATATATCTCGTACAGCTTTTATCGCTCTTCAGATCTTTGCGTTCATGGTCAAGAATATATACAATTTGTAATTTAGAAACGTTTCCTTATTTATGTTACCTTATGTTTAGCTAATACAATACATCTCGACACCTGACTGGGAAGAGTAAGTTAGGCCAGTGGAATAGCTAACATAACCGACAAAAAGTAGGCCACTTTACTTTCTGACATCAGTGATGTCCTGTTGTTAAAATGTATTTATTAAGCCTTTTAATATTGTTGATTTCTTTACGAAATATAAGTCAGAAGATCAAATATAATTTTTAGCAAGAAACGCTATAGTCAAATGCCCCGACTATAAGATACCCTTTACTGTATTACACCGTTTTAAAGTATTCATTTTGCTAGTAAAAATGGACAAAGCGCCACCTTTTGTCGAATAAGCATGTTTACTAACTGATGCTGACGTCACTGCCCATGCGATGCCTTATAACCCATATTTCTTTATAAATAGCGAAATATAGTTCCGATTTAAAAACTCTTTAGTAATATTGAAAAAAAAATGTCATACAAGATCAAACGAAGACATACACTAAAATAAAAAGATTTGGAATTTAAAATCGCTATAAAAAAAAGTGTATATATTTTTCAAAACATTGCGGCTTATGATGTATAACACCACTCTGTTCATATGGCTGCCTCGGCTGGCTTTAGAGTAGTCCATTCGGTCAACCAAATTGGATGGCCCTCAGTGGCCCTGATGGCGACTTCCACCTCAGGTCGTCAATAGTCTCTGGGTGGTTGGCGTAACACTTATCCTTGCAGTTTCAGTTGAAGACTCTCCACTTTGGAAGAATGTTTTCAATATTTCCCAGTTTTCTTAACTTAACCATTTAGAAATAAACTTGCACTGCTTAGGGATCTTAAGAATCTGTCTGCTTAATCTCAACTCTTTATCTCTCATAGTTCCTGTGATCTTAGCGTTCATACAGACAGACGGACGGTAAGGCGGACATCATTTAGTCGACTTCGCTATTGATACTGAACAATAAATATAATTTATACGGTCGGGAACGCTTCCTTCTACCTGTTACATACTTTTCAACAAGTCTAATATACCCTTTTACTCTAAGAGTAAAAGGAATAACAAAATTTCAGGGCCTACAGAAAGTCAGAGTTAAGATTATCAATATCAGTTTGGGGGTGAAATTCAAGCGCATCCTCTTGGATCCATGATAGGAGTCCATCCGATTATCTATCAGATTCCAATGGTGGAGCAGGAACTAAAAATATGTGCAGTGAAACCAAACTATTCAGGCATTATCCATGACGTAGGCTTATTAAAATGTGACGGTCTCAAGAAGTATATAAAATATTGAAATGGTGTTAGACAAGTCCACGTGGTATGAAATATATTTTAATCTTGATAACTGATCCTAAGAATCCCTATTTTTATTTTAAAATATTTTATTTATTTAAAAACTCATAAAGTCTGTTATAACATTAGTGACACGCGTTCACACTGGATGCTCTGTGGAAGAGCCGAAAACACCCTTGATGTGGCACATCATATCGTCTTTTGCACACGATGGGTCGGAAGATGGAGAGTCCTTTTGACTTTCACTAAATCCGAGAAGGTCACTGACAATCTGGGCCAGTCCTTTTGGAATGCTTTTCACGTTGGATATGGCCTTTCCAAGGCTCTCCAGGCTCATCGATCCGGCTTTAACAGTATTTCCCGTTGAGGACATAGCCTTGAGAAACCGCTGTTTAACCCAGTCGGGTATGACATTCAGTTGAGCTAGTTGAAAGGCTAATAGAAAGCTACCCCTTATTATTTACAACTATTTACTATATTTTTCATTACTAACCACTGCAAATAATTAAAATTTGCAGCAAAGTTATCCACTTCAGCCTGTCCATCGTTTTTTTATGATATGGGCTTGTCAACTATATTCTATAAATCACGATTTGAACCTAGCATTATAAAGGAAAAATTTAGTGACTAAATTAGAGTGACTAAATGATTACAAGGTATATTATTCAGATTAAAGAAAGCTGTTTTCGGCAAGCCGAAGACTATCTACCCTTGCAATTCCATATTTCTTAAAGTATGATAATGAGCTTATTCTACATTTTGAAAAGGACTGCTTATAAGCAGTATATAAGGTTTTCGTAGATAATTGTTCGTTAAGCTAAGCTTTCTTAAAATACAAAAAACTTTGTAATTTCATGTTAATACTTTACAAAACTTAATATTGTATTGTTTGTATTTAGTGGGCACTAATCTTAAGACAGTTGAAAAAAAATCTCATGAGTAACACCTAAAATAAATTGTACATCTTCCTGATCTGGATCACTAGCCAAATATGTATCAGCATGCCTCAGAGAACTCTCTCTCTCGAGAATTGTAAAAACTGGAAAGTTTAGACTAGGCATGCAACGGTGGATGAATTCCCTAGATTCTTTATGCTTAAACCAAACTTTCTAGCTCTTATATGCCGTTCCAAAGATCGCAGTTAGTTATGGCAGGGTGATAAGCATTTTAAAGGAAATAAATAAATATAACACGTCTGGTTTAGTGGTTTAGAAGTCGTGAACGAAAAAATCCGAACGAGTGTCCCAAGAGGTGCATTGAACTCAATTCCTTTTCCTGCCAAATTATACCCGTTACTCGTAGAGTGAAAGAAGAATACTAGATTTGTTGAAAAGTATGTAACATATAGAAGAAAGCGTTTCAAACCCTATAAAGTATATATATAGCCATATATAGTATATAGCCATGTCCGTCTGTACGTCCGTCCGTATGAACGCTGAGATCTCAGGAACTATAACGGATACGAAGTTGAGATTAAGCATGAAGATTTACCCCATACGCCCACCAAGCTCAAAAGACGGTTTTCGCATTTTCTAGAAAAGCTGATATCTCGGTAACTATAAGTTAAAAAAAGTTCAGATTAATTATGTTTTTAGTATGATAAGTATTTTTTTATGACGCCCCAAATACAAATTCTTTTTTTCCTATCTAGCCACGCCCACCCTAACACCCACAAAACCCGGAAAACCAAAAGGCAAAAAATCTCTGGAACTATAAGAGCTAGAAAGTTGCGCTTAAGAACACGTATTTTAGAGATGCCACTCCAACTCGACACGAGTTTTCTTCTACGCCCACTCTAACGCCATTTATGAAGAAATTTTATTAGGCCTCAGTGACGTCATTATCTCACTCGTCTTTCTCTGACAATAGATGGCGCCTTGTGAATTTCCACTAGCAAAATGAATATTTTAAAATTGTGTAAAACAGTAACGGGTATCTTATAGTCGCGGTACTCGACTATAGCGAATCCTCTTCTTATTTATTTATTTTTTTTTTTTTTTTTTTTTGACTGAAAGAAAGAAATTAGTGGCAGAAATCCTACTTCATCTTGGTAGGGGTAGGACGACGACCTTGGAATGACGACCACTCCGGTCAGATGAATCAGGTTTTAAGTCGTTGCGAATAAAATATAAAAATATTAGATATGGACCGATCTTCTTCTTCTTATAATTTGGCTAATAAGTAAAAGGGTTCTATAACTTAGTAGAAACTTAGTACTCCTGTAAGACATGGGTGCACAATACTTAATTGAATTTGGCGCTACAATCGCAGATTTTGCAGCACTAAACAACTGAATGGTACTGTGCGCAGCGGTGTTTTGCAGCACTGGCCATTATCTCAGGGATGCATCGTTAGGAAATACAGGAATTAAACCAAATAAAAGAGTTGAATTGCTCCTCCGAAATTAAAGGATTTTTAAGCAATTTCGGCAAGTGCTAGATTTTCAGGATGGGCTGCGCATACCACACATAAAGGAAAGTGACCGGATTTCCTGAATTGTACCCTCTCACACTCTCACGCACACCCACTCAGACACGAGCTCTCTCCGCTCTTGAAATCGCTTGAATTGTTGTCGGCCGCATCGCTTGTTTTGCTTATATTAGCAAGTGTGGAGTGCAAACCAAGTATCAGTAGTCGCCGCGGCTCCGACGTGTCAGTTTAAGGTTTGATTCTCAGATCGATTAGTCGCGCCAATTTGCGAAGCAAAGCAGCAGAGGAAGCAACAATAACGACAGAATGGCGGACAAAGTAAATGTGTGCATTGTGGGCTCCGGCAATTGGTGAGTTCATATAATTATCGCCAGATGCACCTACTTACTTACATAATACTCTCACTCCCGCCGCAATTTTAACCTTGCGCCCGCAGGGGTTCGGCCATAGCTAAAATCGTGGGTGCCAACGCCGCCGCCCTGCCGGAGTTCGAGGAGCGGGTTACCATGTTTGTCTACGAGGAGCTCATTGACGGCAAGAAACTGACGGAAATCATAAACGAGACGCACGAGAACGTCAAGTACCTGAAAGGACACAAGCTGCCCCCCAATGTGGTGAGTGGACTAAACTGCCTGCCCACCAACCAAAGTTGGTAATTAGACTTATGTAACTGCCAAGCGGATTGTTAGCAGCCATGTGCTTACATAAAAGGCTACATGCCTTGATCTTGGCCGTGCAGCGCCAAATTATCTAATCAGTCGAGTCCGCGACTATTTATACACCCGCTCTCGCTCTCTTGCACTGTTCTCTTGCTGCAGTTTTCAGGGCCAGGAGCTGCAACACCTCTGGCACCACCTTGGCGCTATTCTCGATGCTCTCCCGAGAGATAGCCCAATGCCTTTGACGTAGGTCAAGGCCAGTGGGTGTGGGGCGCATTACCCCGTTTACATGACTGACGAAGTTGCGTCAACATACCTTTGTATTAGTCGATAATTGGCCAACTGATAATCAGGCGATACCTTTCAAAACGATGGTAAAAACACATGTACGTGCTCCACAAACCACTCGAACAGTTCTGTTATCCGATAATAGATAAGCCATTCGGGGTTGGGTGATAAAGTCCGTCCAAAAGGAGGGTCAGCAGCCCATCCACGACCGAGTTCCCTGATGGCCCTGTAAACAGCCTAAGTTTCCACTTTGCTTAGGAAAAAACCTATCCCACGTCTGCCATGCGTTGGCGGCATGGATTGATAAACGTGAAAAACAAAATCCAAACAAAATTCGGGCGGGACCTCTATGCCGCGCCGTTTGTTTGTCACTAAAATTCACACAGATATACTCGGACATTTTGGCAAACTTTCAGATGTCTTAAGGTGGCGGCTGTTGGAGAGGAAAATCGTAACAAATAGAAAAGGCAAAAAATAAATGATGTTGAAATTCTATAAGCAATGATCGAGACCAATGTCAGATATGCAAACAGTATACAAAGCAATGAAAATGTGTCAGCAAGATAATGGAATTGCAAAGGAAAAAGAAAACATTTTTATATTTTGTTTATTTGTTGATTTGCTAATCGGTTACTCAACACATTTTCTTAATAATCAAAATAGTTGACTATGTTAATATAATATATGAAAACTAATCGAAAGAAAAGAAAGTTATACAAACTTCCCTCAAGCTCAGTTCACATGCATTTTTCGTCGTCATGCAGAAAGTTCATTACATAAACACATATTTAACCTTAACCCTTTAAAATTACCAGTGCCTCGCCGCTCAAACATCTTTGACATCCTAACATTAACAGCACTAGAGCAAAAAACACGCTGTATTAGCATTATGAACTCATTTCTAATGCGACAAACAGGTTGGCAATCTAGCCCGGCGATATGAAGAAAATAATATATGTATGTATACAAAGTCAACCATATCAGGCTGAGCCGTTCGATCTAGCGAGCCCAAAGAATTAGACAGTCTAGACAGCTGCGAAACAAGCCTCCAAAAGTTGGAGTGAAACACGTGCTGGGAAAATGATTTCCTCGATCCGTCTGCAGTTCCCTTCATTCAACCTTCAGCATGCTTATCGGAGTTTTATATTTTTGTTTTTTGCTGTTATCGCAGTAATTAGAAAAATTTACTTTTTGCCCCCATTCCACAGGTTGCTGTGCCTGACCTTGTTGAGGCCGCGAAGAACGCAGACATTCTGATCTTCGTGGTGCCCCATCAGTTTATCCCCAACTTCTGCAAACAGCTCCTGGGCAAAATCAAGCCTAACGCCATCGCTATCTCCCTGATCAAGGGCTTCGACAAGGCCGAGGGTGGTGGAATCGATCTGATTTCGCATATCATCACGCGTCACCTAAAGGTAAGTCTGAGTCGCAGAGGTGACACCGCCACAAATCTAATCCGCTTGTCAATTCTTCATCGCAGATCCCATGCGCTGTGTTGATGGGCGCCAACCTGGCCAACGAGGTTGCCGAGGGTAACTTCTGCGAAACTACCATTGGCTGCACGGACAAGAAGTACGGCAAGGTCCTGCGTGATCTCTTCCAGGCCAATCACTTCCGCGTGGTGGTTGTAGACGACGCTGACGCAGTGGAGGTATGTGGGGCCCTTAAGAACATCGTCGCCTGCGGCGCGGGCTTTGTCGATGGCCTGAAGCTCGGCGATAATACAAAAGCAGCTGTCATCCGGCTGGGTCTCATGGAGATGATTCGCTTCGTAGATGTATTCTACCCCGGAAGCAAACTGTCCACTTTCTTCGAAAGCTGTGGCGTAGCAGATCTGATCACGACGTGTTACGGTGAGTGCTAACAAGGCGAAGAAGGGCGTCAGGGCATTAAAACGAGAAATTGTAGCTGTCAGCATAAGACAAGCATCGAATTTGATATAACAATCAATAACAATTTTCCATTTTACTAATTCGGTCATTAATTGTTGGATTTTCTAATCTTTAGTTGACAATCTTTTCATAATTTGTTCGATTTTAGTAAATGTATGCCAATGCTGTAAAGTCCTGATATAAATTAATTATTCTGAAACTTACAGGTGGACGAAATCGCCGCGTCTCTGAGGCCTTTGTGACTTCCGGGAAAACTATCGAGGAGCTGGAGAAGGAAATGCTTAATGGCCAGAAGCTGCAGGGCCCGCCCACTGCCGAGGAGGTGAACTATATGTTGAAGAACAAGGGTCTGGAGGACAAGTACGACTGATTTAACAACTAGGATTATAAAATAGAATATATCTAACTGATTCCCATCTATTGCAGATTCCCCCTATTCACGGCTATCCACAAAATATGCACAAATCAGCTTAAGCCTAATGATTTAATCGATTGCATACGCAATCACCCTGAGCATATGTAAGTGTTTCGTTTGCGTTTCTTATCCCTCTTTTGCGCCTGTCTATCCCGCTATCCTGTTGTCTTGCCTCCCCGAAACCGTGAAATGCGCTCTTGCTTTGTATTCTCACCGTAAACTTTTGATTTATTATTGTTTCCTTAGTGGCTTTGTTTTAAGTTTACCTTTCTCCTATACTAAGTTGACGCACCTTCTGTTTCTTTAAATTTTGAATTGTTTACCTACTGTTACTTAATTAATATATAATCTAAGTTTAACATTAATAAAAAGCGATATGATGAAACTCAAAACAAAATTCAAAATTTTTTAAATCGAAAATATCATAAATTCTTAAACAATATCGTTCATATTCCCGTTCATTTTATCAGCCATTTATTTCGTCACATCCCATTATCATTGCTAGAACATAAAAACCGTTAATTTCCTTCATTACAAATTAGTTTTCTTCTCTTCTTTTTATATTATTTTTCATAGGGATACTTCCATCATGCCGACGCCAAAACTTTAAACTGTGTTACACCTAAACAAGAACAGTCAAATGTATATTGTAAATACTATACCTACCCGCATAGATCAAGTCAACGCAAGTCATCTCACCAACGCATATGCTCCTGGCATTTATAGATAGACCATATACGAGTATATGCATTATGTCAGAAAATTCGTTCCACGTCAACTGCATTTACTTTCTTTACTCGCAAGTGACTTTCAATGTGTAAAGTGTTTAAGTGTTAGATAAACGAACCAAACCCAAGTGTCATAGTTGTTGAACTTAATTGGAATTGTTAAAAGAGAATGTAAATTAAATTGCAATTTTTGTACATACATACCTCTCAAAAGTGTTCCTAATTCATTTAACATTCAAAAATTGGCAGCTTCAAATCGGCAAAAAGAGTACGTATGGAAATTTTTAGGTTAATACATTTTGCAATTTTCAGTTTACCAAGCACTGTTGTTTTTTTATAACAAAATTATATTACTTACCACGGATGCTAAATCATTTCATTATAAATGATTACTTTTTTAATTCACAGGCAAAATTTGTAAACCACTAAAATATGATAAAAGAAGCCGGATCGTTTTTAACATTTCTATGCACCACAGAGAGTAAATGTATTTTTTCAGCACAACTCCAAATCAATGTATCTTTGGAGTTCACTCACTAACCAGTTGACCAAAAGATTGTATATAGGTTGTCGCATTAGTTAGCTTATTCTTTTTAATCCAAAACCACGCATATCCAACGAACCACGGAAGAGGACTACTAACCAACACCAAAGTCTGCTTCAATTTTAAAACTTAGTTTTTTTAATCCTAACTAGCCAAGAAAGAAGCGCAAGTACCTAACAATTATATTGTAATTTTGTGGCCAAGAGTATTACAGCGGTAATCGAAGGAGCTAGGAAGAGAATCTTAGTCGAAGTTAAATTGGACTGTGTAAACACTAGAATTAATTGAAACCAAAAGATCGTTGCATAAATAAAAGCTGAGTAGTTAACTGGGATTTTTATTTATTATGTTTTTTAAGGATTTAATAGTTTACTATATCAACTGGGTGCGCAAACTCGGGGAAGACATTAATAAAAAAATAAGCTATTTGTAATTTTTAGCCGTAAGGCAACTACTTTGCATGAAGATATGCTGAGTTAATCCTATTGTTTCAAGTAAAACCAACGAAAAAGTATCGCTAAACAAAAGAAGCGATTCTAGAGATGTCTACGATGCGCAATTTGGGACGGTGTTTTCAGCTACTAACATATTTCTTGTTAAATTAATTAAAATTTCAAACTATTTTTTATTTATATTTAAACGTATACTTATATATTATTCTATGTCCTGGGAAAAATGGCGGACAGTAATGTTCAATACACATTTCTTGGAAAACTCAGAAAAGTTTTTCACATTCCAGAAGGTAGAGTATTATCCTTTTTGCGGCTCATTAAAAATTAGCCACCAGTATCAAAACATTTTCACACCAATGTAAGAGCATGCTTATTTTGCGTTCATGGTAAATAAATCAATTAGGCTTTTGATCCTGATCACGAATATACCTACCTTTTACACACTTTTTAATGAATACATTACCCCTTTTACATTATGTAACTGGCTTAAAAATATGAACTTCAGATGAAATAATATAATATGTAATAATGTTATTACTAATGTTATTTTCAAAAAAACTTTAGCTTGTAGAATTTGAATTCAGATTCTCCAACCCAAATAAATTGATCAACTTTCCACGATTTCCCTTTAAGGGTGAATATAACTCTTCCTACACATTTTTTAAAGTGTACATAGATATGTACGAGGTGTGTTCAAAAAGTAAGGTGACTTTGTATTTTCAAGAAAAACTATTAATTTATTTATCAATATTTATGTTGTCCCCTTCAAAGTAATCCCCCTCAGATACAATACACTTATGCCAACGGTTTTTCCAATCCTCAAAGCACTTCCCATAAGCACTTTTCGGTATAGCCTTGAGCTCTTGCAGCGATGCAGTCTTTATCTCTTCAATCGTTGCAAATCTCCGTCCTTTCATAGGTCTCTTCAGTTTTGGGAACAAGAAAAAGTCACATGGGGCCAAATCCGGTGAATATGGTGGCTGAGGCATTATTGTGGTGTTGTTTTTGGCCAAAAAATCTCTCACAAGCAAAGATGAGTGAGCAGGGGCATTATCGTGATGCAAAAGCCATGAATTGTTTTTCCACAATTCTGGACGTTTCTCTCGTATTGCTTCTCGCAAACGGCGCATAACTTCCAGATAATACTGTTTATTGACCGTACGACCATATGGTAAGAACTCCTGATGGACCACGCCATGGTAATCGAAGAAAACAGTGATCAAAACTTTGACATTTGATCGAACTTGGCGTGCTTTTTTCGGTCTTGGCTCGCCTGGGCTCTTCCATTGGGACGATTGGGCTTTGGTTTCGATATCATAACCATATACCCATGATTCGTCACCAGTTATGACCCTTTTGAGTAAATCTGGGTCGTCGTTGACGTCATTCAACAGCTCTTGAGCGATGCTCATGCGACGGTTCTTTTGGTCAAAATTCAGCAATTTCGGAACAAACTTCGCTGACACACGACTCTTACCCAAAACGTTTGAAAAAATTTCATGGCACGAGCCAAGCGATATACCGACATCTTCAGCAACTTCTCTGATAGTGATTCGACGATTTTCCAAAACAATTTTCGTCACTGCTTGAACGTTTTCATCAGTTGTTGACGTGCTTGGGCGTCCAGAGCGAGGCTGGTCATTGGCATCTTCCCGGCCATCTTGGAAGAGTTTGTACCACTTGTACACATTTTTTTTACTCAGAACAGTTTCACCGTATGCCACTGTCAACATTTCAAGTGTTTCAGAGCACTTAATTTTATTTTTTACACAAAATTTGATGCAAATCCTTTGATCCATATTTTTCGATAGCAAAAAATCGCCGAGCTCGCAAAATAACTTGTAACTTTACGCCTCTCACAACCAAACAAAAGAGGATGTTCCATTGAAACTTGGTACAGATGTTAGGGAAGAGGAGAGAGGATGTTCCATTGAAACTTGGTACAGATGTTAGGGAAGAGTGTATCAATATAACAAAACAAAAAAATCGATAATCGAAAATATGTTGCCCGCGAAATTTGAAAAGTCACCTTACTTTTTGAACACACCTCGTACATACCGCAACCCAGTCCGTTTCAAACGTTGTGCTAATAGTAAAAGTAGTAATGGACTATTTAATTATTACTAATAATGATTTTCGTGCCGTATTTCTAGAATTTGTAATTTAAAAGGTGCCTTGGGTAATAGTGTCATATTATAAATATTAGTAATCAAATATCTGCTGATTATATTTTAATCTGCGATGCGATACATCGATAGTCGGTTAGTCGATTATTAGATGGCAGTAAAACAATGATTAATCGCAACCAACTCTAGATACCAGTGTTTACGTTTCCCTAATACTGCTAGATTTGCAAGAAGAAGAGGCATAACAATATTATTTTTGCTTTCGGGGACTGGAATTTTCCTACGCCCTAATTGACCAAACAAACCTAGATTCCTCAAATAATGGCGTTGGACCTATAGATATGTGACAGTATCAATTGTGGGTTAGCAATGTAAGTATTGAACGCGCCTTGTCGCAGGTATTTCCGCTGAACAGTGGCATCATAAATATTTTCCTTTGTTGATTTTCGATGGACTGCTAATAATATAGATGGAAAAACAGAAATGTGCCTAACGCATTTGTTAATCTGCGTTAGACACATACAAATGTATCTCATGTAAATGTTCACCTGATAGTAACTAGAATTTTACAGTCGCAGCAGCTACGATTATCATAGAACAGGGAAATATCGCATGGGATAAGGACACGGTCGAAGCAGGATTAACCATGGATCCGCAAAAGATCACCGAGCTGGCCAATTTGCTCCGCCAAAACGGCGATAAAATATTAAGCTCCGAGTTTACCTTGACGTTATCAGGTGAGAAAGCTAAGATATACGCTAAAGAAACTAGCACGCAAATAAACATGCATGTATTGGCTGATGACTTGGGTTTGTTATGGCTTTCATTCAGATCACTTATCGCATTTTACGCCACAGGTCCCCTTCTGCGGGCGTTGAACGATTCCTTCACACTGATCGCGGACGTTGAAATCGGATCTACCGTTGGTTCCCACCTACAGCAACAATCCTTCCAAGTTGTGAAGCCCATTAATGCGAAATCCAGCGTCTTCCCTGACCTTCAGCTGGTCCACGACTTTGTCCAGAAGACGACACTGCTGAAGCTAACCTATTTCCCCAGCGAGCACTATTTCGATGGCGCCATCGACATCGCCAAATTCCGAGCACTTCGACGGCTCGAGGTGAATAAGATCAACATAAGCCAGGTAGTTGGTATCCAACCGCTGCGCGGACAGCTGCAGCACTTGATCTGCGTAAGAAGCCTTAACTGCGTGGATGAAATTATCACTCGCTGTGGCGGCGACAACTCCAATGGCTTTGTATGGAACGAACTACAGACGGCTGACTTTAGCTACAACAGCCTGCGCAGCGTAGACTCAGCACTGGAGTTTGCTCAGCACCTGCAACACCTTATTCTACGGCACAACAAGCTGACTAGTGTGACCGCCATCAAATGGCTGCCTCACCTAAAGACCTTGGATCTAAGCTACAACTGCCTTACGCACCTTCCGCAGTTTCACATGGAGGCCTGCAAGCGACTGCAAGTTCTTAACGTCAGTAACAATTACGTGGAGGAACTTCTGGACGTCGCAAAGCTAGATGCTTTGAGCAGCCTGAATCTTTCAGACAATTGCCTGTTGGAGCATTCGCAACTGCTACCTTTAAGTGCCCTAATGACCCTGACGGTACTCAATCTGCAGGGCAATCCCCTTGCCTGCAATCCGAAGCACCGTCAGGCGACAGCGCAGTATCTGAATAAGAACTGCGCTTCGATGAAGTTTGTTTTGGACTTTGAGCCACTTTCTAAGGCGGAAAAAGCGCTCACAGGCAGTCAGAAGTGGCGCTACATAGGTTCGTTTAACCACCGATTGCCTAGGAGTAGCTCCGTGTCTATTACCAGCTCAAGTGCTTCTATTAACACCAGTGATGGTTCGCAGTTTTCCAGCTTCGGCTCTCAGCGTTCGGTAACAGCCAGGGAAAGGGAATTTCCTGAGTTAGATCAGTCGATGGTATCGGACACCTCTCAATACAGCAAAATGATAAGCTCCATAAAGATCCGAACAGTGGATATAGAGGAGAACCATGAGACTGAGTCAGAGACGACAGCTGTTGGCCCGCCAAAGCTTCAGTCGGACTTGGAAGAGCGTCCTGATTCCTCTCACTTGGAGACCAAAAGGAAAATAGAGACACTTCGTCTTACTTATGGCAATGAATGGTTAAAGACGGGGAATGCTGAGCTTATGCTAGGTATAGAAACTCAGCCTTCTGAGCAAGAGCGCAACGAGTCTCGACAACTGTTTAATGAGTTCCTAGGGGAGTTCTCTGGACCACCAAAAATGAAAGTCAACTCAGCGAATTCTGAACATCTCAATATAAGCTCTACTCCCACAAACAATTATTCGTTAAATACCACTTTTGACACGACCCTGACCCCAATTAAGTCGGATGCGAACGACACAAGTGGTCAAACGCTTTACGAGACCTGTCCTGAGGGTGAGGTGACACAATACGACAGTATCGTCAAGGAAACGTCAACAGAGGAGCCACCGCTTGATAAGCACGACGAGTTGTTGAGACTGTATGCAAATAGTTCGAATGGTGGTCAGGAAGAGGATCCGGGTGAGTCAATTTGAGCTCTTTATAAATGCGTTTTTACGAGTGTATTGAACTTTTCAGTATCAGATGAGGAGTCTGACGAGGAAACCTATACAGTCTACCATGAACAAAAGCCAAGCGAAGCCTTGTTTCTCACTATATCTTCGAATTTCATACGAGAAAAAGATACACTAACAGAGCGGTAGGTTTCGAACTGTGCAAAAAGATAAATTTATTTTTATGGTTTCCATTATGCATTTTATTACCAAATAGGACAAAAACCAAATGGAGTTTGAAAATTCTAGAGTCCTGCGAGCGTGTCAAGGCAAATACCTTACGAATTAATTTCGACACGATGCGAAAGGATAAACAGGAGCGTATCTATTGCGTAGAGAACGCCTTGTGTCAAGTGGGTGAATAGATAAATTGTAAATAACAAGCATCTATTTGTTTTCGTGTTTTTTAAGGAACTGGAAAAGAAACTGCGAGACATTCTCTCGCAACGTGATCTGACTGAGATGAACATATCCATCTATCGGTGCGTGAATTGTCTAACCGAATTTTTTATTGATCAGAAAAGCAAGCGGTATAACAATGTTAAGGGTAGGTACAGAGCTCCCAGGACGAACACTTAAATTAAAAACATATTTTTAGACTTGAGATGTCCTGAGTGCCGCAGTGTCTATGTGGCCGAAGTAACGGAATTGTCCTCCTCTTTAACCAAGCCTTCTGGGGAAGTGGTAGCAGAGCCCAAACTTTCTCCCGCTATGATTATGGAGGAATCGCCTATGGAGTCATTTACTGGGCCAACGAATAAGGAAGAGAATAACAGCATTGGCAAGTCCTTGGCCACTTTCCTTATTTCAATTAATTTAGATCTTGTAAATTTCTATGCAAATTTCCATTGCGGTTAAGTTTTTGGTTCTGAAGCATTTAACAACCATTTTATTAAGATTTGATTTGGTTTCTGTTGTATTTGGTTAATATTTTTAAGTTTGTGTTGGACCCATTTACTGTACATTAATTTACTTTATATTTCTTTTTATTTCTTTTGCATGCGAACACAAATCGATAATGGCAAAACCAATCTAACTTTTGTATATTTACATTGTTCTTTTGGACTTTTTCTCTCATCCACCAAACGACAACAATTAAATTGTTGCGATGTACAAATTAATTAATACTTCAGTGGCACACTGCAGGCTTACGGCTGCTAAAAGCACAACCAAGCGTAGGAGTTTGATGCAAGCCACAAAAAGTTAATATGCCAATTTGTATAATTTGTTTTTTACTTAACAATTTGCTTTTGCTCTTGTTCTGTAATGTGAAGCAGCATTTGGGCATGAAGCACAGAGAAGCTAACTCACTAATAGGTGTTGAATGGCCTGATCTTGTACATGTCTTATACTATTTGGGGGCCTGGTCCAGTAACTTTTTCTGAAGCATATATAAGACGTGTAAAAAACCCCACATTTAAAAATTTAAAACAAAAACAATGTTTATTAAATTAGAGAACAATGCTGCTTCCATTAAAATATTTAAGCTTATAATAGGATCTCACTAATATATTACCATTATAGGTTCCGCCAATTCGCTAAACGAGAGCAGTTCTTGCTCGAAAATTACCAACTCCCAGAGCTCTTTTGACTCCAATCAGTCTGTAGTAGGAAGCTCCAACACAGATCGTGATCTAGAGTTTCGGGCGAACGAAAGTGATGTAGACATCATCTCCAATCCGAGCCAATCCAGCATAGAGGTTCTGGATCCGAATTATGTTCAGAGTGCCAGTCGGAAGACCTCAGAAGAACGCCGCATATCCCAGCTGCCCCATCTGGAGACCATAGGCGATGAAATAAAGCAATCTAAGAGTTTTATCGAACGAGAGTTTGGGCAGCTTCTGGCGGAACAGGCCCAGCCTACTGTGCCGGCTGCAACAGCTGCCACAGTCCCCTCCACACCATCTGTGTCTCAAGTTCCGCTTACAGAGAGCAGCTCGTCAGGATCTGTAACGGACAGCATTTGCACTACATACGAGCAGCAGGGCACGGATGTTCCGCAGAATATTTCAAATTCCCTGCTTACTGAATCAGCAAACAGTCAATTCAGTAGTACTGAAACTGATACCAATAGTCATTTAAAAAGCGCTGAAGTAGTCAGCCACGTACCGTTCGCATCCGTTTTTCAGTCAACCAACCGGCTCATGTCCAGCTCAAAAAGAACGATCGAGTCTGAGACTACTGTCTTAGGTACTCAGCCCTACAAATTTAACTACAACGACTTTAATGATATCGATCACCGCTTGAAACTCTACTTCTACCAACGCAAGTTCAAAGAGGAAGGTGAGCATTTTAAGTGGCTGGCGAAGGGTCTCATCTTTAATGACCAAACTCAGACCGTGGGAGAAGGCCTTGTGGTGATATCTAACTGCATGTGTTACCTAATGGAGGCGTTTTCTGTGCCCCAAGACGATGTGACCAAGTGGCTGAGGCAGGTCGTCAGTGTGTCTGTAAGACGCTTAGTGGCTATTGAGTTGCTGCCCTGGAAGCTTGGGTTATTCTTTGCTCTAAGGGATTGGGGGGGATTCAAGCTGCTTATGTACGACATGCTAAGGACCGATAGTCTACTTCTTTATTTAAGACGTGAGTGAACTTGATGCATATTTTTGTTTAGCAAAATGTACTGTCTACTTTTCCACAGAAAATCCTCTGCCAGAGCAGTGCACAATGAATCACCAATCATCCCCCACATACGGAAGTCAATTGCAAACTATTGAATCTGAACCAATCAAGATGTGCTCGCTTCTTGCCAGCTGCCATTCTATTTGTGACCAAGAGAAGAGCTCCTTTGGACCTTCCCTACTCCTAGTCACAGAGTCACATGTGTACGTTTCAGGGAACGGCAAATTCTCTTGGCTATCGAACAACATCCCAGAAAAGTATATTCCGCCGGAACTTAGTCTCAACCAGCCGTTAAGCAATCTAGTGGACGTGGAACGCATCACAAATCAAAAGTATGCGATCAATTTTATTGACGAGACGCAAAACAAGTGCGAGGTATGGAATTTGCTGTTCGAAACGCATGCCGCCGCCACGTGTTGCCTGAATGTCATCGGGCAAGGGTGGGAGCAACTTTTCGGCGTGCCATTTAGTCTCTCTGAAACGTAGTAGAGTCTAGGCCGAGGGATAAGCTTGTGAGAATGGCTTCACGCCAGAAAATAAAAGAAAGCTTATTCCAACTATTGTGCAAAGTTTAGAATTGTTAATCTTATTGACTATGTTATTTAATGTCGGATTAGTTTTATTAACTTAACTTTCGGAAATGTAGATCTTTCAATCAACGTGAAATGGTGCTTACCCACGAAATAAATGTAAATATTCAAATACAATGTACAGTCTATAGTTTTTATAGTTCTTGCAATATATTCGGATTAGTGGGAAATATAAAGACAAGAAAAATACGAATCACTACAAAAATCGCTGTTTAATTATGTACCTGCTATAAAAAGGGACGAGGAAAGCATTCATCATGCCAGGGATGCCAGCGCACCTTCAGGTGCCAACAACAGATGACGCCATTAAAAGTTAACAATTTCTGTTAGCATAATCTTTTTTAATTTAAAAATTTTAAAGAACTCTGTTTTGTTAAATTACTTTCATTCTCTGAAATTTCTCTCTTCCAAGTGTAAGATCAATAAGTATTTAATTTAATAATTTAATTTTTAATCTGGTAATTAAATCTAATATGCAATTTCCTTACTCTTTATTTATATTCAATACTCTACATTCCCATTCAAAAAAAATGCTGCGAAAAACTCGGATGTATAATTTTTTTATACATATAAAATCAGAGACTAAAAGTACCTGATAATTGAAATAGTTTCAAATTAAAAATCACAAATATAAATATAACAAAATTCAATTCAAAATTAACTATTTTGCTTGCTTGTTGCTTAATAAACCAAAACATATATTAAACATGTTTTCAAATATATAAAAATGGGTATTCAAGACTTTTGAAAATAATTAAGATAAATTTATTTTTGAGCGATGTTATGTAATTTAGTAACAATAATTTTTAAGAATTCAGATATAAAAAATTGGGTAGATAAACATTGTAACCGTGTCGATCTGTGCATCCAAGAATAAACATAAGATCGTGTTTTTTGAGCTTAACTCATTAATTTATACATTGCCAGCCTACCAGACTATTGCTCTTTGTGCAAATTAGTCTCAGACCTATGTACCTAATCGGATCTGCTTGTATTTCTGATCGGACGACATCAAATATTTGATTCTAACCCATCTCATCTGGATTCACTCAGTACTTCAAAGTCAATTTTATTTACTTTATTACTTATCTCCGAGCTGATCTGCGATCCAGTCGAGATGTTCTTCCTTAAAGCGAGGATCCGCCATGGTCAGAGCCGTCGATTTTGAGCTGTAGTAATACAAAACCGACACTGCGAGGGAAGAGGAGAACAGGATAAGTGGTCCAGGGAATATGTGCGGAACTCACTGATGCGTTGGCCCACTGACAAAGCAATAAGGCCCAATGGCCAATGCTGGCCGTCCTCGCCTGGGTCCTGGCGGTACTGGTAGATGATCCAAAAGTGCTGGGAGGCGGACAGTAGGAAGTATATGGTAATGCTGGCCATGAAGAGCTTGCAGTTCCGCAGGATTATGTGCGAGGCACCGACCTGGTAGGCACACGTTGAGTGCAACGCAAGGGTAAACAGCAGGTATTCCGCAATGATCAGGGCGTCCTGGGTGCTACGGTAACTTGGTCAGTAAGTGTTGTTCCGTGTTCTCTGAATACTCACACAAAGAGAAATATGACTGTCTGCAATCGGTTCCTGGCAAGAGAAGGCCCAAAGGCATTGAAGAAGAGGTCTACTCCCAAAAGGGCGAACTGGAGCAGCAGCACCCAGGAGTACCGACGCAGAGTTAGCTTCATAACAGTGTCTTAATAACGTCCAATTGCTTGCCTACCCTGTTTGTTGTGTTTTTATTGTGCGGGGTTTGTTATGTCCTTCGTCCTGGTGACGTCAAAGCTACCTCCATGGTCATGCGCACTTCCGCAGCACCAAAACCTTATCGATAGACAAAAACTCATCGAAAACAGTTACATCTGTAGATCGGCCTGATATTAAATCGCTGTGGAAATGTTATTAAAAAAGCTCAAATTTAGTGCCTGGGAAAAATTTCGATGATTCGATTCGATATCATTACCTAAAATTGGCTTTTATTTAATATTGTACTTCGTGGTGATATAACGATATGACTCTTACACAATAATATAACTAATGAAACATCAAGCTCTGCTACCTTTTTATTCTAACTAAGCATCAACTATAATTCCGGTATGGATTTTGCCATCAAGGATAGCACTTTTCAGGAAAATAAAAATGCTAACCGATTTCTGAACAATCGGAAATATAAAGGTTAGCATTTAATAAAAAATATGAACAATTTTTTAACTATTCGAAATATATTATTTTTCTGCTCGTAAAGTAAAAGCCTTTTGTGTATTCGTTATAAAGTATGTCACAGGTAGAAGTAGGTCTTGAAAAAATTATTAACGTTATTAATGTGGAAAGCCATCAATTTCCCGATTAGGCGTTAGAATGGGCCTGTCCATCTATGAACATGCCACTCGTAGGCTCTACATGTTTGACGCTCAACTTTGTATATTCTTTGTTCCCGAGATCCAAAATCTGTCATGAAAGGTTTAGGTAAACTAACAAACAGACACGCAGACATACGGTCTCCGAATCACCATGATATTCGTAAAAATATGACCACACCACATAAATTAGTTGTTTTGTTTTTATATAAAACCGTATTACTCGCGCTTTGGACACTTTTTATGCCGACATAGAATTTATTTGGATAAAATCTTAATATATTTGACAAATTAATAAAATGTACAATAAAAACAAAGTTCAAAGTTTACTTTCAGACGTATCGAGCATATTCAAATGGGTACGGTTGTTTTCCTCCTCCTACCAAGCCACCCTGTCTACGAAATCTCCTGTAGTACTGCATGTTCATTTCGGAGTAGAAGTTTGTGGGAAGGAAGTGGGACCAACTTGTCTCGTAATCGTCATTTTGTCGGTCCAGAAACGTGAACCTCGACGCGGAAATGGCTTTGGTGGCTTTTACGCGCCCGCTATGCAGGGTCGGATTTAAGGTCGCCAGAACCAAAACCAGAAACCAAAACGTCATCATCTTGGCCATTTGCTAAGAGCGCTAGGTATCCAATACCCGGTACCTAATACACTGCCCCGAAGACATGCCCTGGTATAAGGTCGTCAGCAGTTTTCGATCTCCAGTGCTTCCCTTTGCATTTTTTAAACTCGCTGTAGCTCTACTCCACCATTGGGATCAGCGATTTCGAAGTGGGCTATAAAGTGAGTTGGTTCGGAGAGTCCAACCAACAGTCACTTTTCGTTCGCCACTTCAGTAGAAAGCAGAAAAACATCCGCAATGGCATTCAACATTGGTCACCTCCTCATCGTCAGCGTTTTGGCATTGTCCGCTGTGTCCTCCGAGACCATCCAGCTGCAGCCCACACAGGGTATCCTTATCCCTGCTCCGCTGGCCGAGAACATCCGTGTGTCGCGTGCAGCCTATGGAGGATACGGAGCTCCAGCTGCCCCTGCCGCCGCCTCGTATGCCGCCCCCGCCGCTCCAGCTGCCCCCGCCTACTCGGCTCCCGCTGCCGCTTCTTACTCCGCTCCCGCTGCCCCAGCCTATGCCGTTCCCGCTCCAACTCCAGCCTACGCAGCCCCCGCTCCAGTCGCGCCTGCCTACTCGGCACCGGCCTCCATTCCGTCACCACCATGCCCTAAGAACTACCTGTTCAGCTGCCAGCCCTCCTTGCAGCCCGTGCCCTGCTCCGCCCCAGCTGCGTCTTCTTACGGATCAGCTGGCGCCTACTCGCAGTACGTGCCCCAGTACGCCGTACCCTTCGTCCGGGAACTGTAAGGCGCCAACGGAATCCAACTAGACACTTGACCCCAAAAATAAAGTACAGCGTTTATGAAAAAACATTTCAGTCTTTTTATTGTCGGCTATTTTGCAGATTGCCTAAAACATATACTTACTAAGAAATATGTTGGCTCATTTATTCGAATAGAATTAACTGAGCTGAATAAAAAAATTTACATTATAGAATGCCGTATTTTGTGAACAACACTAGGCCCCAGGATGTTATGCATCCTTGCCATGTAGTCAAGTGGAGCGACTTCTTTGTTCGTAGTTTAGAGTTTAGTTTAAGTTATATTTATTATTTAAACTAAACTTTAGAGTTCTGAGAATTCTCGAGATCAGGCAAAACCAAATCTGACCCTGACTAAATACAATTATATGGCCTGAAACACTTCCTTCCACCTGTGATGTATTTAAAAAAAACGGCGTAAATTTACGTGTGAAGGGTATGATGAATATCTTTGGATTTAATATAATAATTTAATAAGACAAAACAAACTTTTGTGATGAAGTTATGGTAGTTAAATTAGTTTAAAGGCCATATCTTCGGCTGAACCCGCATGGAACCGGCTTGATGACCGCTTCGCAGGAGAACAAGTGGTTTTTTGGGCAAGCCGGCGAAGGAGCTTCACTTAGTGGCTTGTAAAACGGATTTGGCTCCGTGCGCGGCTCATCTTCCTCCGCCTGATTATTGCTGCGTGCGAATCCACGGCCTACGAAACCTCCAAGTGCAGGACCTCCAAATCCAGGACGTCCAAGTCCAGGACGTCCAAATCCAGGACCTCCAAATCCGGGACCTCCAAATCCAGGACCTCCAAATCCAGGACCTCCAAATCCAGGACCTCCAAATCCAGGACCTCCAAATCCAGGACCACCGAAGTTATTCTCGACAATTACCTCCTGGACAATCTGCTGTTGTCTTTTCTCACGGCTTAGATGGGGGTCAAGTAGGGACTCCCTGGCTTGCGATTGCAACGGCAGAGTCGCACTTTGTACCTCTCCACACAGCGTCGGATGGAGGCCAGCCTGCTGACCCAGACCCCTCACGCCCGCCAAAAGAAAAAGGAATCCGAGACACTTCCACATTGTGAATTGTTTTTGCGACGGTGTAAACTGATACAGCCGAGGTGTAGAGCTGTTCAGCGTGCTTTTATAATCACATCCAAATAAAATAGCAGATCGAAGCAAGAAGCTACATAGCCAAGGTAACCCCGTCAACTGGGTCAGTTGGTGGAACATTCTGGAACGAATGTGGGCCGATGTTGGAAGTTGCTCAAAGAAGTGGGCTAAGGGGTTGGACTAGTCCGCAAAAAGGGCCAGGGCACCACTACTTACGGAACTTGGCTCAGAAACCCCACGAGAACCTGAAACCCGAAGGTCAGCACATTGATGTTTTCCGGCACGTAGGTTTACAGTTCAGCCGACCGTTTGATGGGATCCGATATCGCATTACCTAATCGCTTGCACTTCCCCCTTTTCCGCCTAACCCGTTGTTTCGGATGTGTCGCAAGCTTTTCACCGAAGTAAACTAAAATTCATTTTTAATTTAATTATTTTGTGTGTGCAAGCATTCACGAAGGTTCAGTGACCGAGACTTTTAGGTTAGTTCATAAAATTCTTAGTTGCAATTTTGCAATTTTTGCAGAAATGGAGCAATGTTTTGGAGCAAGTTTCAATATAGAGAAGATGGGGAAAGGGTACAACCTAGGTACCTATGTATTCAACCAGAACGATACCCACAATCTCCACAAAATAGTAATAAATATTTCACGTTTCATAACTAGAAAATTTGCTAAGACTGAGTTCGTACTCGTCCGTAACTCGTAACATATCTTAATATTCCTTATCTGTAATAAGTGCCTATTGACCTACGAAATATAACTATACAGCTGCATTATACTTTAAGTTGCATCTGTTGATAAATTAAAATAAGGCTTAAATGCATCTAAGGAATGTTTTGGGGAATACCTCTTTTTAGGAGATAACCCATTTCTCGTATTTTGAACATTTCAAAGTAAAAATATACTGAAATTATTAAAAAAAAATTGTGTTATACACTTTTCCAGGGACTACTTCAGTTTCAAGGTGGAAACTGATGGGTCTAAAATGGGTTCCCCTTTCTTAGAAACTTTCCCCCAAACAAAGTTTTTCTTCTTCTTAGCGTTTTTGTGATTTAATTGCAATGCATATTTTTGGGTATAAATTTTTAAATCCGTCAATTTTTGTGTTTCTTATCAATCGATTTCGTGGTCCGTGGACGGGATCATTGGAGTAAGGAGCGGTCGCTTAGTAGCTCGAAGACCGTAGGTCTGAGGTACATAAGCGGCGCTGTAGAGCTGCTGCTGGTGCTGAGGTACACCGTAGTTGGGGGCAACGAAGGTGGCCACCGGAGAGGAGTAGGCGCCGGCAGATCCGTAGCTGGCGGCGGGAGCACTGCATGGAACCGGGGCGAGGTTGGGCTGGCAGCTGAAGAGGTAGTTCTTGGGGCAAGGAGGAGCTGGGATGCTAGAGCCTCCATAGCCGCCGGAGCTTCCACCATAAGCTGACTTTCGGAGACGGGTCAGGTCACCGAATCCCTGTGCGGAGACTCCCTCCAGCTCGCCGTCCTGCGAGGTTAGGGACACGGTTGATCCAGTCGTGCCGGTGACAGATGCCACGTTGGTGGGCGATGCAAGAGCGGCGGCGGCGAAGGCGACCAGAGCAATGCACACGAAAGATTTCATCTTGATTGGTGAGTGAAGCTTGAGCTAAAGGCGAATGAGAACTGAGTGGACTGTCGGTAGTTACCAAAGGTGACTGATGCCAATCCCAGGCGGCTGCGTGTGTTATATAGCTGCCCAATCTGCCCAGTTAGCACTAAGCTAAGAGCTTAGTGACCACATCTACTCTTTTATTTTTTGCCTTGACTACTTTTCTGCTCCATCAGCCGAAAGTGTGAGTGTTTACCGCTGACTTTAGTAGCACCATATCGACAGCTTTTTGGGGTCATCGTGGGGCAGAAGAACGTTTAGGTCTGCGAAAATAATCTAGAATTTTAGTGGTTGCACTTAAGAAGTGGTGGGAGAAATGAAAGAGCATTCCCCTCTTTTAAGGTGTGTTCAAGACTAGGCAAAAATTGCTTAAAATGGAATTAAAAACTTTAAAACGTGTTTCAAAATGATGGCCATTAGAGTGTTCCTCTGTAAAACTCATTTGAATGTCTTATAAAACTTAGTTACAAACAAAGTTAATTGAGTTCAAGTTAGTCTACAGCTAGTTCAATCACACACTAATTGAGTGGAACTATAAGCATTGTATTCGGAATAGTATTAGGTTTATATCCAAGAGGCCCGATTAGAAAAGAACTGCTATGTGTTCATGAAAACTATGTTCAAAATAACGCATTTACATGTTTTGTTTCAGATTCGCAGAACCCAGCATTCATAATTTATTTATAAATAAATTCTTTCCCAAAATAACGAGTCGAGGCACTTAAATAAAGCTATTTTATATCATCTTTACGTTAGAAAGCAACTGGGATGCACCGAATTGGACAGACAGTATAACAGATTGTATAGGTCTTAAGTTTCTTTCCTGGTTTATATGTCATTTAGGATTAAAGTGATTATATGTATTGTAGAAAAATTGTAGATTGCTGATACCAGTTAGTTTCCATCATTGTTTTAGTATTAGCAATTGGAAAAATACTACTACTATTCAAGTAAATATCTGTATATTGAACTGTCAGTATTTGACTTGTATCAAGATGATTGCCCGTATAATAATAATAGGTAGCTAAGACTTCATTCCGAAAGATTATTAAACCTAAAAGCATATTTAGTATGTATTTAGCAGATATCCGATTTCATCGGTGTTTAGTTTTCCAATATATCTGTACATCGGTTTAGCCTTTGGTTGGTAGTGTTCACATCTATTCCGAGTTATGTTTTGCTACTATTTGTTAATCTTACTTTTTAACTGTGTAAATTAGGTATTCAATTAAATAAATCATTGTCATTTAACTTACGCGTACCGTGTCCAGTGCAGAGCAATAATAATCTTAGCACAAACTTCGAGAGATGGGAAACATATGTATTAATAGAGCTTTAAATGGTGATCTTATTAACAGTTATTTTAGAGTTACATTCTGTGGATCTAAGAATATATGTTATCTCCAGGGCTTAATGTAAAATAAGGAAAATTACGATTCTTCTAACCAGTTTAAATGCCATTAAAGTTATAACATATTATGAGCATAGAAAACAGATTTAAACTGCAAAATGGTTTATTACCTCTCCCATAGAAGTCTGGCGTATCAGTAAAGCTATATTCTGTATTGTTTTTCACACTTTGACTTATCAAAGGTAATAGGTTCTTCTTCAGACCCTTCCTAGACCCCATTTCGAGCAGAGAGACGATCGAAGAGAATATTAATTTCAAATTTAAATTCTATTAATAATAAAAAGAAAGGGGGTGCAGATTACTAAGTCCTGTGTTGTTGTTATACAGCTTATCCAAAGTCAAAAATAAAACACATACAAAAGCCATATATGACTTCATACACGAGCAACGTGCAATAATCTTGGGGAAGAGTGGCCGCTAATTAATTAGTAATATTTCTCCCTCACTCAACGACCATTAAATATTAGGTAAGCGAGCACGCGATGATCGCCGGCGAAGGAGGAATGCGTGCCACATGCCACATGCAAAGCGAGGAAGTGTCCGCAGCAGGCGCAGCCGACAGTTGATAGTGGTGACCATACGGGTGTGGACGCCCCTAACAAGATTGCAGACTTCGAGCAAAAGACAGCTACTTTCACTTGGTCATGGTCATGGTCGTGGTTGTGGTCATGTTAGCTTCGGGCTGGGATGGCTCCAGGCAGGGGGTGATTATCGCATTTCACGGATTTCAGCCTGGTTCCCGCATATGGCAGTAATGGTCATGGAATTTGAATTCGAAAACGAAAACAGAAGTGCAGAAAACAGATGCGGGGAAGCGACCAACTGACTGATTTCAGCTGTTTGAGTATACAATCAGGGAAGTCCGGCCGATAACTCCAGCCGGATAAATAGGAAGACCCACTCGAATTTCCCGACATATGGTGATAAGGCCTCCCAACTGTACAAACCAGATCTCTAAGAACGGGCATTGTTTACTGAAAGACCAACTTTAGTTCTCAAAATGATTATTGTAGTAACTTGACTTAGTTTCAATGCTCTTTAATGCTTTAAATGGTTATTTTATTTTGATAAAATAAAATTATGTTAAAAACTAAAAAATGGGACATCAGCTTCCCTTAATCCGTCCCATGTTTGGGCTTATTGGGCCAGACAGTACCCTAAGCATGAGAATGATAAAAATTGTGTGTGTTTCGCCAAAACATATTCTAAATATATTCGAAGATTGAGCGATTGTCCCATTTCAAATATATTTTATTATACACGTTACTCGTAGAGCACGTACACAAACAAAATTCGTAGAAAACCATTTCTGAGATCACTGGCCTTTGCGAAGAGATATTTCAAAATGTAGGGGATTCAATACCTAGATGCCTTCATTTTGCACTTCTGGGAGGTCATCATACATTCCCTTTAAAATACTTCTGCAAATACATAAAACCACTAAAAAATGTATTTTATTTTATGTTGGTAATCTAGTTTATATAAAACATAGTCACGCTATAACTCAACAGCAGAACACCTCACAAAACGTTAGTCGATATAAAACGTGTTTTAATATAAATGCTTGATATAAAATAATTGATGCATTAATAAATGACAGTGTTATGACGTATGCGATGACAATTTGATTTTGTATTTAATTTTTAATAAATTTACTTGGTGTTTTTATTGCCCACATATCTTTAAATCAGAAGAATCAACAACTGCAAATGAAAGGATCCTTCTTGTTTCATTTTCAATTTCAATTCTACCCTGTTTCGATATTTATTTTAAATCTATATATAATTGGAAAAAATAAAAAATAAAGTTTCTTTAAAAACCCAAAAGGTCTTTTTTTTTTTTTTTTTTATTTTAATTTAATATAATCTTATTGGTCTTAAAACGTTAAACTTCATGACTAATACTACTAGTAATACTACTACTTAGGCACCTTACTTCAGTAAATAATACCAGAAGATTCCGTAATCGGCAACAGCCTCCGCCGTTCTTTTAATCATTTTATTGATTTATTCAAAGACGCGCTTTAAAAAAGTATTTAGTATTTTCTCGGAGTGTAGATATTTGCTGTCTACATATGGATTCCATTCTTACTATATTTTACATTTCTGTGACTTAGTAAAGTAGAGTAGGCCTCAGCGTGTTAAGTAGTTCAGAAGCTTTTGCTGATCTGTTCCATATTCCACGAGTCAAAGCAAAAGCAAACTTTTGACTATAACACTTTTCGGCATAACAGCGGGGCGATTTTTAGGTCTGGAAAATTAAGCTGAAACAGCAACTAGATTTTCTCTCAGGGCATGTCCGGGGTCGAAGTGGAAATGTTACTTAAAACAGACTGCTTTCGTAGAATCCTGAACCTAAAGTCTTAGGGGTCACGTTTAATTGCTGTGGAATATACGCTATAATGACCCACTGAGACTATCTAGAAAAAGGGAATCTCTTTTGACTAACCCAAAAATATCCGCTTCTAAGATTATACATAAAGACAGCGGGGGAAAGCTTCTCTAAACAAAGAAACCCTTTTCCGTTTTAACTTATATTCTAATAGTAATTATATTTTTAAATATAATTTAACGCCCGATTCATCTTACTCCGTTTAAACCACTTGACTGATAGTTTGGGTATCACATTTGATCACTTTTGCATCCCTAGTGTATTGACCCAAAACCCAGTCTTTATATATTCTTTTGATAACTGAAAAACCAAACCAATCGCCAAATAGAGCGATATTTTATCTCGGAGACAGCATGTGGAATGCTATTAGGGAAATGAAAGAAGGCACCAAAATTATTGTTAGATTAAGCCATTTTGATAACTAAATTCAGATTTAACCATATATTCTACGTGGACAAACAAGGAAACTGATGAGGTTTTAATTGCTGTAAGTAGGCGAAGGGCAAGTTCTTTATGCTAGGATTGACACTACCCAGTCATGAATGGAACATAAACACATCAGTCTGGGGAGTTGGTCGATGTATATATATATAATGCAATGTATATGTATATCATAATTATCGATTGTAATTCGTTTTCGGCAAGCATGATAAGCTACAAAGTGTGAGCAAGCTCCGGTTTTCTAGAAATTTCCAAAACAAGCTAGGAACAACGAAGCCCCAAATCAGTAGAAGATTTTTATTTACAGAATGGTCAACCATCAGCGATTCGTGCACTACAAAATATTCTGAGAGGCCAATGCCAGTCGATAGTTGTACTCCTCGAACAGCTCAGGGGCCACTCGGTACGGCTGATCTATAAGTGACAGGCGGATGGGCGTTTGGCACGAGGGAGTGGCGTAGTTGGGCGTGGACGGTGGATCTGGTACTGCCGGTTGGTAGTAGCTCGGCTGAGTCGAATCATAAACAGAAGCAGGAGGTGGTGACGATGGTGCTGTTGGGCTGATGTATCTCTGATCATCGGCTTCCACCTGGGTGGCGGATTTCAATGCTAGAGGAGTCGATACGTAGATGATGGGTTGGTAGACTATTTGCGCCGGTTGTGCTCCAGCGTAATTTGTCTGTGCCCCCTGGTTGTACTCTGGCGTTTTTCCATACTCTTCGGATGGGACCTCAGGCTTGGTGTAGCTTGCCGGCGAATCATACGTGGGAGCTGATGGAGCAGGCGGGCTGTAGTCAACGGCTGGCGCCAGGGCTTCGTATGAAGGAACCGGCGGCGCTACGTAGCCTGCATCACCATCTCCGGGGCCATCGTACCCGGGATTGGGTAACGCGCCATTGCTATCACCGCCAAAGGAAGGACTCTGTGGCTCCGCGTAGTTTATCTGCGGTTGGACCGGCTGCCCACAACTGCCGGCGCACTGACCACACTGATTTGGCGATGGAAAGAGCTCTGGGAGTTTCTTGAAGAGTTTTATTTGCTTGAAGGGATCCAGGTCCTGGAGCTGCAGGCCATTGCAGTTGTTGGTCACAGCGGGGACAGGGACAGCTGGAGCTGGTGGATACACCACGTTGTTGGGGCAGCAGTTGTTGTTTCGGGGGAACAGATCATCCCACCACTTTAGCAGCGACCGGTTCGTGCGTTTCAAAGACTCATTTGGGGTCACCAAAGGTCCAGCATCCGCCCTGAGATAGTAGTGCGGCTCACCCGGTATTGCAATTCGGCTTGACACGCCCCTATTCTGGGCTGCAGTGGAGAGGACAAAGGCCATTACCAGCAGGCTCAGAGTCCACGATTCATACCCGGAGTGCAGCATTTTAATTGACCTCGCGAGGCGAACTCTCAATTCCAACTACCAAATACAGTAGCTGTCTTCCGATCGAACTGCCCGAGCTGCGACAGCTAAGGAGGATTAATGCGAGGTCAGCAAGTGATGATACCTTTGGTGGGTATGATGATTGGTATATGAACCACGAATCGGCTCAGTTATTATTTAATATCGTGTGCTTATTGATCGTCAGAGTAAATATTGATTACATCAGGAAGAGAAGTGAAACCAAATCGGTCAATCAATCCATTATTTTAAAATAGCTCAACCTATTTTCAACTCAAGAAGATAAAAAATAACTTCGGTTGCAAGTAGAAGAGGGTATTCAAATTTCTATCAAGCCAGCTGCTGACTGACGGATGATTGCTATTAGGAAATTTAAACTGAACTTTCGGTTTTGCAACCCTCGTCTAACCCAAATCTCGTAAGCTTCAACCGACTAGACTCGCCAGTCCCCATAACTTCACTCGGCGGACGATGACTCCGAATTGCCTGCGTTTTCTGATTAGTTTTGTTGTTTCCTTTATTGTTTATTCAAATCGTTCCCTTACGTGCTCGAAATGGGTAAACGGTAGCAAAACCCAAGTTCCTGTTTGGTCCGTGGAGCGTGACTGCCTTGGGCTTGAGTCGGTATTAGCCTGGTCAATCGAAAGCAAAATGCACTTGGCGGACGGAAGTGTGTCGAAAAAAGAAAGAGAAATGCGCATAGGCCCATAATAAATATATATATAATATGCAGTATAAATACTTCCTGAAGTGCCCATTGGCTTGTTCATCGCTTTGCCATTTAATAACTGAGTTGGCTGAAATAACTAGACAGTCGAAGGAAAATGAATCGAAAAATACAAAGAAATAAGTAAAGTTATTCAAAATCTTACCAAAAAACGCTACATTAAAGTATTCATCTTTGCAGATAGAAATAATTCTTCGTATACACAGGGTATATACCTACAGTCGTCTTAAAAATAGAGAAAGTACTAATGTCTAAATTCAAAAGTTACATTTTTTTACTTCACTTTTACCGAATTTTTTCCAATTTATAAGTGTCTTACCAAATAGTTCGAATTATTTCTTGTCAATAACTTCGCATTTCCAAACCTTTTTGTTAAATGGAACCTTATTTCGTAATTTATTAACAAATTAAGATTTTGAGAGTTCAAATAATAACAGCATAATTATTTTAGGTTAGGTATGAGAGTAAGAGGTATCTGATAGTAGCGTCTCTCGATATTAGCTAGTCAGTAAAGAATGGGATTTTAACAATTACTGTTTCATCAGCATGAGTACCTATATAGTTAAGTAGTGCAGTCGTCTACTGTGATTAGCTCACCATAATGTCAGACATTAATTTTTTAAAAGGAGGATACTTGTGAATAACCTTAAACAAATTATTTATAGTTTAGCGAAAGTTGCAACTTTGCAAACTAGGGATTTCTTCTGTCTTCTGACAGAAATACTACTTGTTAAAATTAGCACGGCACCAACAATCTGTTTACTTTAGGATAAATAAAACGATAACAAAAGCCACTTTAAAGCGTTATTATTAGATAACATTCTAAAGTCACCTTTACTGCCAGTAAGTTCCAGCACAGCATATCCTTTCGTGTGCAATCCCTAGTTCAAAGTTTCGTGTTCTTAAGATATTTAGAGGATAGATGTAAGATGAAGTCCAGATGCAAAGCGGTAAAAGGCCAAACTTTCTCTTTTTACCTACAGTATAGTACCATCTTCCCTGTTCCACCATAAAAACCACTTCTTCTTTGAGCATATCAATAAAAATTTATTCAATTTAGTAGGATCCGATCCATTTACAGATCAGGGGCCTATAACTGCTGTAGGTATCTGTGCTTTTGGGGGCTTTTGGACCGTGAATTGTGCCGCTTGCGTTTGTCCGGCATGAGAAGTTCCGAGGCCTTACTAACGAGGACTTGTATGCCGTGGCCGTCGCCGGATGCCTCGACCTCCGAGGCTGGGGTGGTCGTAGTCACCGCCTGGTCATCTTCCTTGTCGATGTCTTCAACAGAGTCTTCATGCTCGGGACTTCCCTGGGCATCTCCTACATCTGAATCGGGCTGTTCTGAGCTGGAAGGCGTCGGAGTGCTGCTGGAGAAATTCAGCTTCCCTGGCTTTTCGGAGTGTGATTCAGAGTTGGGTGCTGTTTCTGGGCTTGAAGTGGTTTCATCGTCAAGTTTGAATACCCGCTGAAAAAAGTTATCATTGGGCGTTGGAGCATTGGTCGGTGACGCTCCTAAGATTCTGTTGAAAGGATTGAAGGGGTTCAAAGCTCCAAAAGGACCAAATGGATTTAGACCCATGCCCAACTGCATTCCCATGCCGAAGGGGCCGCCGACCTGATTTTCCATGTCGTATCCCTGGGCTCCCATCTGAGGAGTCATGCCAAAAGGCCTTCCCATACCAAATGCACCTCCAAAGGGACCTGCCACTGGCGCCGGATCCAGGCCAAAGGGAGTGGCCATGGGTTGCCTGCTCATCGTTCCAAATGGGGCCCTCGGCAGACCAAAGGAGGGCGTCGGTTGCCGAGGCCCGTAGCAAGGCATTGCTATAATGACGGGTTGGAAACTTGGACATGAGGAACTGTAGCTCACCCCGTTATCCTGTGGCGCAGAGCACGGAAAAGGCGGAGGTGGAGCACTGCATCCTGTGTAGTATGGGTTGGGAGAAGGCGACGCCTCAGGATGGGAGTACATTGGAGGCGGTGGCGGAAGCGATGGTGGAGCAGGAGCCTCTGGATACTGGCTACTGTAAGAACTGTAACCCGGCGTCATTTTCCCCACCCTAGGTTCTCCAGGAACTTCTTTGTTACCAGCTGGCGCTGAGGCTTCATGTGTAGCGTATCCCGTGTCTGCCAAACTGCTGTAGAAAGCTTTCATTACCGGATCATTTTCGGGCTCCTGTGAATGGGACAGTGGAACCCTCATGAACTCGTCTTGCGGACGGGCTTGGTTCCCTACCCCGCCTGGCCGAAGGTACCGCTGGTTAGGCTCGTCCCACTTAAACCCCACATCCGGAACGGACAGCACATCTTCAGGAAACCTAAATTGATGTCGACTATTTTCGGCTATTCCGTTCTCGCTGGGGCGATTTGACGACCTCGCAGGCGACGCTGGATCAAACGAAGCGGGCGTGGTCGCTGGGCCTGGGCCAGCTGAAGCTCCTGGTGAAGCTGTTGGCGGGCTGCCAATAATTGGGTGAGAAAGTTCTGGCAGGCCATAAGACTGCGCTGGAAGTGCAGGCGCAGGGGCTGCAATCGGACTTCCATTAAATCCGTACTGGGCCTGGGCCTGGTGCTGCTGAGGAAGAGGCTCTCGCTGGAACTTCTGGTATGTCGACGGACCCGTTGGCTGGGCTTGGTGAACGGGATCTCCTGTGACTGACTGCTGTGGATATGACCCGCCTTCCAAGGCGGGATACCACGGAAAGTTGTTAACGGAATCGTGCTGTACAACGGAATGATCGTTTACCGGCCGCGACTGCTCTACAGAGGGGACGCCCTCAGGACCAAGACCAAGCCCTGCCGATTCCGCCCCCCGGCACATGTATAAAGGGCTCCCCTTGGCCGCCCTGGTTCCTGACCTCCACGCAGCTTTGCTGTGGATTCTCGCCACCGAAGTTGGCACCCCGACACATATAATAGGGCTCATCCTGCGGGCCACTAGGCCGAATCTCAACGCAGATTGTCGTCATGGTTCGCTTGCTGCGATGTAGAAGTTCACCCGAAACCTGGCTGCCGACTGGCACGTCTCTAATGGCACCCGTCGGTACTAAAATTCCGGTGGCCAGGCTTGTCCAAAGGAACAGCAGCTTTAGGGCTTGCGTTTGGCTATCCATGTTCTTCTTCCGCTCACTAACTTCCGTTTGTGAGTGGGCAGCGCTTTTATAGTGTTGATCTCGCTGTTGGAAAAGAGGGTTCATTAGAGCTGCCTCCCACACCGACATCAAACTCCCACAACTTACCCAACTTAGTTCTTCGAAGCAGTCTTTCGAAACTCCTGCTCTCGTCAGAGTTATGTTTCTCTATTAGCCGCGTTGTTTTGGTTTATTCCACTGGCCAGCGGAGTTTTGTTCACTTGCTAATCATTCCGCCGAATAAAAAGCAGTGCAAGACAATATCTAAGCCGGGCTGGGCCAGAGGGTTCGACTCGTACCTGTAATACCCTTCCAAGGGCGATGTCGATAAAGTCGTAACTTAAGTTATTCGTTGATGGTTGTACGGAACGAATAAACTAAACGATTAATAAGAAGTGCCCTGTTGGGGATGAAAAAACGCCTTAGTAATTGTAGCCTTAAAAAGTTGTTCATTATATCATTAACTATACATCTTTAAGTTCAAGTGCAGTTATTTTTTGAAGTATTTACAAGTGGTCCGAAATCTTATTAACATCTTCCATACATTAATACTTCGCTTACTTATCATAATAGAGTATCTGCATACTCCATACGCCACCAACTTCTTCGGTCGCCGTGGTTTCAGCTGATCCCTGCAAATTTTGTCAAGCATTTCAATATGGAGAACTGGACAGTTCAACAAACTCCTCCGGTTTCCTCCGGTTTTCTCGCGGTCAGCACTTTCAGAGAGTGTGTGTGCCATATGACACTCAACGGCTCGCGGGGAGCTCAGCCAATGCGGCTTGTAAATCGGTCAGTCGGTCAGCCAATGTATGATAGTTAGATAGCATGCCACCTAATTGTAACTGACCTGACCCCTGTGAAACACAACACGGTAGGCCTCCAGAGCCCTGAGATGACTAATGGACATTTTAAGGATGAAGCGTGCGTGCTTCAGGGACTCCACGGTAAGCCAGCTCTGTTTACCATCGCTGGTTTCGTTCGACAAGAGACCATCCTGAAGGGGGTACTGGATACGGGAGATTTAAGGACCTATGCAATATACTTAGGAACGTATCTGGGCAGTGTTCTACAGCTCTAATTAGCTAGAGCTATATAGAACGTCATTCCAACAGAAATTATGCTCAACCTAAAAACTCTGAAAAAGTCAAATGCCATGCCTATTAGATGGCTGTTACTATATTAACCAATGCTAGCAATGACGCCGTGTTAATTTTTAATATCAATAATATATTTTTATACTTTATGGAATCGGATCTGCCTATAACTTACTTTTGAGCCGGGTGACTCCTAATCTATAGGGGCTATAGAGATCAAGAAATGCGAAAAGGTACTCATAGAACTGATAAATGGTAACATGGCGTATATTTGTATGGTAGACAGCGCCCGATATTGACCGACAAACTGGGTTTAAAATGAATCCAGAAGGGATTAGTATCTGGTGGATCGCAGACGCCTTTTGAAATTTCGTGTAAACTGTAACTTAAAGTACATATGAATTGTTAACAATTCGACATTCTCCCCAAATTATTGTTGTATAATGGACAAAGATGAACGCGTCTACTGGCACCTTCGGTCCCTGTACAACGAGAAAGTGCCATGCCTACCACCAACAAACGTGTCAGAGCCACTCACGGCGCGCAACCTTTTTCAACTGTATATTAACACCTTTATTGGAGCCAATCTGGCTGAGTCGTGCGTGTACCCACTTGATGTGGCCAAGACCCGAATGCAGGTGGATGGCGAACAGGCTAAAAAGACGGGCGCCAAAATGCCAACGTTCCGAGCAACACTCAGTAACATGATCAAAGTGGAGGGCTTTAAGTCGCTCTATGCCGGCTTCTCGGCGATGGTGGCCCGGAACCTGATTTTCAACTCGCTGCGCGTCGTTCTCTACGACGTCTTCCGGCGTCCGTTTCTGCGCGTAAACGAACAAAACCAAGAAATTCTCAAAATCCACTTGTCGCTGGGATGCAGCTTCGCAGCAGGCTGCATAGCTCAAGCTCTGGCCAATCCCTTCGACATCGTCAAGGTGCGAATGCAGACGGAGGGCCGCCGCCGGCAGTTGGGCTACGATGCACGGGTGAACAGCATGGTGCAGGCCTTCGTGGACATCTACAAGCATGGCGGACTTCCCAGCATGTGGAAGGGCGTGGTGCCCAGCTGCATGCGCGCCTGCCTGATGACGTCCGGTGACGTGGGCAGCTATGACCTGAGCAAGCGAACCTTCAAGCGTCTGCTGAGCCTGGAGGATGGCCTGACTCTGCGTTTCCTTTCATCCATGTGCGCTGGGTTCATGGCTTCCGTGCTGAGTTGTCCGGCGGACGTAGTCAAGTCGCGGATGATGAACCAGCCCGTGGACGCAAGTGGGAAGAACCTCTATTACAAGAACTCCCTCGATTGTTTCAGAAAGTTGGTCAAGGAAGAGGGCGCCTTTATTTTGTACAAAGGTTTGATGCCCACTTGGTTTCGCCTCGGGCCCTTCTCAGTGCTCTTTTGGCTGTCCGTCGAACAGCTGCGGCAGTGGGAAGGCCAGTCTGGGTTTTAAGGGCAAAATGTTGATGTCTATATTGTGCTTGATGTATTTGTCTTCTAACACATAATATTTTATTTTATATGTATATATACGTATTTCTAATATTTCATTTAGGAGTCTTAATTTAGTGCACGCCTAGGAGGAGAGAGACCAAGTTTCATAAAAGCCATATAGAAAGACATTATCCATTGAATAGGAGTGGTTTTCATTATGGGATGCGTGGTAAAAGGGGTTAGTAATCAGTTATGTTCTTAACACCCCTTAGTAATCATATTTTGCTCATTCCCAGCATATCCCTAAGGAGTTGTTTTTATTTCGACTAGGCATCCATCTATACTGTTTAAAAAACGAAATGATTTTCTTGTCTTTGTGGATTAGTTCCTTTTTGTTTTTTAATTTATTTTTTATGTTCTCGACAAACACTAAATATATTTGGCGTAAATGGGAAAAAGCGTTAATACGGATTTCAGGCAGGCAGAGTGGGATAATCGGAGTGAGAAGAAAAGGCCAAAGTTGGAGTACCTAGTAACCAACAGAAAAACCCACCCTGTTGAACTATACCTCACGGCCTTTGCCTCGGCCTGCAGTGCCGAGGTCGTGGGCTACCCGTTCGACGTGTGCAAGACGCGAATGCAGATCCAGGGCGAGATCGTCAACATGACGGGCAGGGATGCTAAATACCGAGGTCTGCTGGCCACGGCCTCAGGAATCATTAGAGAGGAGGGTCTTCTGAAGCTATACGGTGGAATATCCGCGATGGTTTTCCGCCACTCACTCTTCAGCGGCATCAAGATGTTGATGTACGACAATCTGCGTGAGAAGATGATTGTTATGGACGCGGACGGAAATCCCCAGCTATCGTTCACGGGCTCCTGCATCAGTGGAGTCGCGGCTGGCGCCACCGCCAGCGTGCTCACCAATCCCACGGAGCTGATTAAGATCCAGATGCAGATGGAGGGCCAGAGGCGCCTGAAGGGCGAGCCCCCACGCATCCACAATGTGTTCCAGGCCCTGACTTCCATTTACAAAAGCGGGGGTTTGGTGGGGCTTTGGAAAGGAACCGTGCCTAATACATGGCGCTCTGCACTCGTCACCATAGGTGAGCCATAAAAACAGGAATTTCAAACAGCAATTAAGAGGTAAAATAACAACACGGTTACCGAAATTTTCTTTATCTAAAATAACCAATGCCAACCAATTTTAAATAATCACTTTGATGGCAGAAATTGAAGACGTTTACAGTTTTACCGCCACCTATTGTCAGAATAGTAAAAGTATAGTATAGTATGCCCTTTGGCATGTTAAATAACTGACTATGAGGAAATGTTCACCATCTACCCAAATTTTATTCATTCTATATTTAAAAAAAAAACAAATTAAAAATAACATTTTACTTGGATTGGTGTCACTTTTGCATAATCTTCTTTGTTTGTAAAATATTTTTTTAATTTTTAAGTTGTATCTTAAAAATAAGTCTTTAAATATGATCTCATCTCTCCTTAAGAAACTCCATTAAGCTCTCTTTACTAAGGCGACGTCAGCTGCTACGACCTGTGCAAGCGATTGTTGGTTGCGGAGTTCGACATGGTGGATAACCGAGAAGTCCAGCTCCTGGCCGCCATGACCTCTGGCTTAGGCGTCTGCTTTCTGAGTTTACCGGCGGATGTGGTCAAGTCTCGGATCATGAATCAGCCAACCGATGAAAAGGGGCGCGGCATCCATTACAAGGGCTCCCTGGACTGCTTAAATAGGCTGGTCAGGGAGGAGGGCATTTTGGCGATGTACAAGGGATTCCTTCCCTATTGGATGCGTGTTGGACCTGCCTCTATAGTGTTTTGGATGACCTTTGAGCAAATCAGACGATTTCGAGGCAGCGAAGGTTACTAGGTAAAATATCAATCATCCAAATTTACTGCTTTTAAAGCAAGAAAGCCAATTAAAACAGCCAAGTACACTCTTGTCCAATGTTTAAGTCATCTACTATAAGTAAAATACTTTAAAAGCTTAAAAACATATCAGAAAATAAAGAAGATTTTGTTGATAGTTGTATTATAAAGAAAACTTGGTACCTTGAAACCCATTTGAGTTTGTGATTAGTATTTTATGAAATTTACCAAAGTAAAGAAATTTGTTCATGAAATCTCTACGCCATTTTTAGTATTTAGTTCAAAGTGACAAGAGACTTTGACACAAAATTTGATATGAACGCTTCACGACTTAACCGCGTCAACCTCTGAAATGTTAGTTAAACGCCCAGCAAGGCAGCAAAATAAATTAAAAACATCGAATGCTTCATACAAAGATAAGAGAATGTGAAATATTTAATTTGAAACTTATTCACTTTTAACACAAGTTTGTTATCATTTACAAAACGAGTTTAGAGTTTGGTATACGACTACGGCATACCTGTTACTCTGTTAACCAATTTTAAAATAATAATTATGCTAGCAGAAATCGTCGTCGTACACAATTTTACTAACGCCACATATTGCCAAAACCAAATAAATCATGTTTAGGAACTGACGGTAACGTAACTACTTATGTTGGAAAATGTATTAAATGTTTTAATAAATGACCAAGAAATATTGAAATGTAAATAATTTTTATTAAATCGATATATATTGACAAAAAAAAAAGACGTTATATATGGCAATTGAAATATAAATCTTAATATTATACATGGCACAGTTTTCTCGGCATGTAGACGTTGAAGTGCGCGATGCCGAATGGAGACATCTCTAGACTTCGCATGCTTATCCCAACTTCCGGTCTGTTATATGTGGCTCCCAAGATAATCAACATAGCTATCACTCCTGATCAAATACAATTTATATTTTATACTTTATTATATATTGCATACTTTGCATACAAATAATAAAATCATTAAACCTTTTTATTAGCATTAACAAGTAGAATAACAACAAGAAGAAACGCTATGTTCCAGTCCCGCGACTATAAAATACCCGTTACTGTTTTACACAATTTTGAAATATTAATTTTGGTAGTAGAATTGAACAAAGCGCCGCCTTTTTCAAAAAAGAATGTTTACTAGCTGATGGTAACGTCACTGTCCATGTGAGGCCTTATAACCGACATTACTTCATAAATAGCGAAATAATATTCCGATTTTAAAAATCTACCATAGATTGATCGATAAATATTAACTTGCAATGTTATTCAAGGTCAAACGAAGACGAAGACTGGGCGTGGCCGGATTAAAACTCGCGTCAAGCTACAATGGCATCTCAAACACTTATTTCTAAGCCTAACTTTCTAGCTCTTACAGTTCCCGGGATCGCAGTTTTGGTTTTCCGTGTTGCGGGCGTTAGAGTGGGCGTGGCTAGATGGAAAAAAATTAATTTGTAGTGGGGGCATCATAAAAAACAATGCTTAATCCCAAAGTTCTGTTACATATAGTTAGTTACATCAGCCTTTCTACAAAAAGCTAAACCCGTCTTTCTCTGCCCGGATAATGGTACCACCATTAGATGCGAAATCTCAAGATTATATGTACTTAATCCCAACTTTATGGCTCCAATAGTTCCTGAGATTTGTTTTCGCGGCAGGATGGTGAAATAAACTTGCGCTGCGTAGGGACCTCAAGAATCTTCATGCTTAATCTCAACTTAGCATCTGTTAAAGTATCTGAGATCTCAACGTTCATAAGGACAGACCGACAGAAGGACGGACGGACGTAGCGTATATCGAGACGGGAATGGTTTAATCGACTTTGCTATTGATACTGATCAAGAATATATATACTTTATAGCGTCGAAAAAGCTTCCTTCAACATGTTACACACTTTTCAACAAGTCTAATATACCCTTTTACTTTTTTTTAGTAACAGGTTTGGATTTGCTGGCCGAAAATGTATTCTCAAATTGATTACCAACGTAATGGACATCCGTTAATCGGTACTCTCGACTAGTGAGTTTGACATTCGTACATTTGATAGCTTCGTAGGACTTGAGGGATGCATTTCAACATCCTGTAACCAGCAAAGCCAAAAAATTCGGACATCTCTCTTTGGTTTTGAGTTCAATAGGGCAGAGTTGAGCAATGGAACGGGGACTACTGGTGTCTAGTGGTTGGATGGGAATACAGCCACTGAGTTTGAGAGTTAAGGCCCAAAATCTTGAAGTCCGATATTTACATATTTAATTGAACGAACCAATCTGGAAAGCTACTCTCCCCCGTGGCCAAAGAAATTTGAATTCTCCGTTAGAGATGAAAACAAAGCACACGCGCACCAAATTGTGAAGCGATGCGAGAGCCAAAGGCTAAAAGCAACTATAATAATAAATAATAATGTTTGATTATTTTTACGGCTGATAAAAGTTGTCAAGCACCCTCGCTCGCCTTTATCTCGACTCGTCTCCAGCTCTTTCTCTGATTAATTTGTGTTTTCACCAGAAATAGCGAAAACGAAACTCGAATATTTCGAGAGAGCGAAAGTGAACGACGAGCATGTGTAGCCCAAATGTTGTGACCTGCGTTCCTCGTTCTCTACAATTTCACACATTGCGGGCATGGATGGATGATGTGGGTCAATGTCTTTCTGCCAGATGACAGCCGAGCGAGCAATAATATGCAAAGGCGACAATTACTGAAAGAAAAAGCAGCTGCAAGTGGACGATCTCCGAGAAAAATGAATATATAAATGTGTTTCATTTATGAATATCAGCCCCAAAAATAATTGCGCCATTGCGTCAGCCATTTGAAATGATTGTACGGCGACGAAAATAACCTGGCCATCAGTCCATCGGTACACACAAACACACCAAAAATGGCCAGCGCCGAAAGCACTGGCTTCTAAAATAATTAAAAGAAACCATAAATGCACACAGAATTGTTAATGCGACCATGAAGTGACTTTCGCGAGCGCGATAGGAGCGCAGGGTTCAATGATCTATCGATTCCCGATAGCCCCCACCCAGAAAGAAAAATGCAAAATATGCTTACTTTTTATGAGGAGCTTTTTCAGAACTCGCTCGGTTTTTCATTTTAATAGTATTAAAGTATCGTATTTTATATGTTTTATATCCATATATTTATGCTTTCGGTTTTCATTTCAAGTTTCTTTAGCTTGTACGAAAAATTTCGTGGAGCAGGTTTCTTGGATTTTAGGATTGTGGAAATGGAATTGGAAATGGATGTGTGGATGGATTAAGGGGCATGTGAGAGCGCGAAAGAAGACTTTAGATTTGAGTCTAGCTAAACATAGAAAGCCATTAAAATGTGAATTCCTACTCATGCTCATGCTATGCTATCAATATGTCAACTATCACGCCGGACTCCGGAGTCAGTGATGAGTAATCCTGGAGCGATAACTCAGACATAACAGACGCAAGTGGATGGCTACGCTAATGATGTATATTAACTGGCATACTTTTGCTACGACGTGAAAATGACCATCATCTTGTTAAAAGGAGAGTGAAGGGGTACCTATGCACGTTTAGACTGGCTATGGGACACTGAATCTGAACACTTTTTTGCATTTCAGTTTATTTTGAACTTAACTCCCTACTCGACAACATTGTATAAAAAATGTAACCAATGCGGCTGGTATTACGACTTCTCGGTTTTTTAATTTTCCATTTTGGTTTTCCTTCCACCATATAAAAATAGACCATAGTGGATCTCCAAATAGTTTACATATATAAATATATATAGATACATTTATTTATATTGGTTGGTATTTCCCTGCGGCTTGCCCTCCTCTCAGCTCCCTCCGACTTACTTTTCTCCGCTGGCTTACTCCACTCCCTTCCTCTATTGCTTCTGCTTCTGCTTCTGCTTCTGCTTCTGCTGGCCTCCGTCCGGCTGTCAAATCGAAATCTTCTCTCACTCACTCTTTTATATAAAACCTGCGTGTGTATTTATGTATAAATATACATAAACAGTATCGGTTGTGTAAATATTGCTATACAAAAAATCTTCCAAAAAATGCCTGCGTTGCTTTGCGTTGTTCTTATTTTTGATGTTTGTAGGTTCTTAATATTTTCTCGATTTTTGGTTGGTTTTGTTGCGTGAGCAGTTCTTGTTGCTTACAATATATCTATGTAGGTTGCCAATACATTTTTTGCAACTTTTGTTCAAAGCTGAGGACTGAATTCTTAATTATGGGGCATTTTATAGTTTTGTGTTTTCCTTTTATTTTTATCGTATAAACCAAAAAGTTTTAAATATAATAATGCAGAAATTTATAATTTTTTTTTTTTTTTGTAGTTGGGTAATTATTTGCGTTTTTGACATTTTTAAGCATATGCATTTTACTCGTTCCATTTCCTCTGCTACACACAAAACCGCAAATTTTTCTTGGCCGTTGGTTTTTCCATAAATTTAAATATTAATAATTACTTTTTATGTGTTATTAGTTCTTTTACGGGTTTCTCTTATCGAATTTGTTGCTGTTGTTGAAATTGTTGGTGTGTGTTCTTGTGGTTGATGGGTGTTTGTGTTGATTTATTCTCCTAGTACCCGCATGTAATCAGATAATCTCCAAGTTTCTCTACGACAGAAGCGGCCTGTTGGGGCTGAACGGGATCCTCGTAGATGGAAACGATCACGGCTGCAAGAGGTAACAAGTGCATATAAGGGATGTGTAAGTAAGTCGATTAGAAAAAAAGTATTCGTTAGAAAAACCAACAAAGAAATTGAAGGCCTACAATTAATTTAAAGTTTTGCGTTTATTATTCTGTACTTATATTAGTAGTCAGTACTCCCTACAGCTTGTTTTCTTCGCGCTGCTTAAAAGAAAATAAACATATTAAACATACATCATTGATCAATCCGAAGGGTGGATGCTCATTCGACAGACCGTCGAAACCAATTCCTTACCCATCGTCACAATTTTACACTTTTTAGCAGTCTATCCGGTTGACAATGATCTCGAAAGCAGGGAGAAAGCCGCTGTGAGCAGCGGAAAAATAAGAACTAACCGTTTTATTAACAACAGCAGTATCTCTTCGCCACCTGGAAATTAAGAATAAAGCGATCGTTGAAGAGCGCGTCCGCCAATCCGAGGTGAAAACTGGACGGACGACTGTCCGGCCAACTCAAGAGCAAACGAGAATGGACCCAAACGACAAGCCTCGAGTTGAGTGGCTAATACATTAATCAAATGAGCAGAAGGGTGATGGACACCTAGTTGTTTGTGTAGAATAGATATAAAATAGAAGCGTGGACGTAGGTAGCTCAATGGGAGGTCAATAAACCGTGTTTGTGCCATAAGCCTTCCCAGCCAGATGAGAAGAGCGGAGCAAAAGTGAACACCACTCCGGCGGCACAACAGATTGAGAATTGTGATTGGCAAAATGTCAACTCGATGCAAAAATAAACGTTATGCGAAAACGACAATCTAAAACTTAAAAAGACTTATAAAGCTTTCGACAATTTATGATAATGTAATAAGGAACGTGCTTAAACTTGGTTGGGATTACATACTTTGGCCGGTATAATAAAAAAAAAATCACCCGCAAGAGCGACCACAATTGGTCCATAAATGCGGTTTCACCGACTTAAACTAGCTAGATGCGAATAATAATGACTAATAATAAGTGACAGTTTTTTTTAGCATGACAAACAAAGCAAGGTCTTATCAAACTGAATTTACCCCAGAAGTGGCTATTTAGTGACACATTTTAAACGAATAGGCAACAATGTCAGGCTTCGACGCTCCATCAGGTCTTGACCGCCAAAAGCGGTGGTAATTCTAGTAGCTCGCAAGGTGCACTATTGTGGCAACGACAAGGCAAAACACCCGATCAGCTGATGGGGCCGCCTTTGAGCCAATAGACATACCAGCTTTATCGGCTGCCTGGCACTGCTCACGAGCGAATGGCCAGTTCCAAAGCTGGCCGGCAAGGAGCCGACGAACGTACAAACAAACGAACAGAGCTGAGACATTTGCTCCCTCTGGCCAACATTTCTATTTTTACGCCGCCGCCAATGTGGTTTGTCCTACACACTCACACGCACTGTGCAACATTTACACTTGAAATGGATTATGGCAATAACCTTGAGCTTATGGATGCAGCGGTGGACGGGTGGTGTGGTGGCAGGTTGCCATGTATGTATGTGCTAACGTGCAAATGTGTGTGCAAGAGCGCAACAGTTGCCGCAAAAACTGTACAAATATGGAAGCGCGGCTGGCGCGTCAGCAAACAAACTGGTCGTATATGTAAACAGCCAAAACAGAAAATCAAAAAAAAAATTGGCTGCTGAGAGAGCCAACAATAGTTTTCAAGCATTTTGCCGTCTTGAGATGAACACAATGAATCGACGCTGCTAGGTGATCACAAAAGTGTTGCAGAGCAGAAGCAGCAGCACTCACCGTAAAATCGTAATGACAATACTGCTAATGATAATTTAGCCACTCTCATTTTCTTTGACTTCATGCTAAATGCCACAACTTAAATAGACATATTTTTGTATGTTCCCTACAAACCAATGGAGCGGTAAAACAAGTTCGGTATTGAAAACTTTTGGGAGAGCACCAATAGAACTTTCAAATTCATTTTACGGCTAAACTTATCTGCTAGTGTGTTGGGCTTTGGATTAAATTCTTTTCGCCCGCGATAAGTCTGGGGGAAACGAGTGGCATTAAACATTGAGTTAAATGTCGCCTCCGGTTTGCTTTGGCTTCGCTTATAAAAAGAAACAGTTGATAACGGTTATCGGGGTGGGGCAGACAACGCACCGATAACATCGTGTGGCGACACAACATTGCAGAAACTTTGATGTCTTTTGACTATTTACATAAAATTGCATTTAGATTGTTCTTACGTTTCGTAATTTCTTATATTTGATAAAAGCTAGTGGATATATGAACTGTTTTCGAAATCTATATTTGTCGAAATTATCAAAAGTAATCTTATCGAAATGGGAAACACATTAGAGCATAAAGGAATAGTGAATTGAACCTTTTAAAAGTCCTTATGGTTGCATATTTCCTATTTCATGTTCTTATATTTTCTTCACAAATTTTTTTATATTTTGTCTTATTTTTGTTACATATTTGCTTTGTGTTATTTCTGGGTAAAATGACAATTTGAAACAGCGCTACTAGGGTCAAAATATGGCTTACCTTGTGTTGTCTTCATGCAGTGCACTCCGCTCCGGCCAAGCTTGGCACGCACCACGCGGTCTGTGCCGGAGAGGTAAATGTACCGCTGGCCGGCGAGTGTCACGCCGTTGCTGGTGAGACCATCCTGTTGGTCGAAGCCGCTGATCAGTTTGGAGAGCTCCTCTTTTGTCACCTGCGGGATGAAAAATGACTCGGGTTAACGGACGGCTTTACGTTGATACATGTTTTATAAATGAAATGTGGATTTGGGCACGTTTTGCTCAAGTTAATAATAACAATACAGTTTTTTATCGCTGTTCAAATATTTTTGACGGTCAAATCTATTTAAAGAAACCCAGCAACGACCACTCCCCAAATGAAGTTAACAAAACAGAACTGGAAGTTATTCAGATCACAAAAGCAGAAGCAACTAGGACTATCAGAGCGAGTTAATTTTGCTTAAAAAATCTTCAGACAAATGGTCTGTTACAATACAAAGGGGAGTATAGTATTTTACATTTTTAATGGTCCTCCCAAGAACACAGGCATACAAAGCATTAACTTCTGTTGAATTATCAAACTCATATGTAGCAGACGTCCCACGCAAACAGTGCTACTCACCACCGCGAGCAAATCACCACCACCCATTTGAAAACAGTTGGCAACCTCGATGACTGCCAACTCATTAACAAATGTGGTCCAATCCATTTCGGGGTGGAATAAGAGGGGTGTGGCATTCAATGGATGAGGCAGGGATACGGGATGTGCGACCGTCTTGATTTTTGGTTTTCGAAAACAAGTTTTGCACATTGGAGCGACTTGCACGGGCAGATAGAGGGAGAGAGCACACCGATGTCAATAGCCTTAGCGAAATGCAGAACAAGTTGGCAGCCCAACCCAACGGTAACAGCTGCTTAATGTGGGGTAAAGTGGGAAATTAATTTGAAAATCTCGCACAGTTGATAGTTAGTTATTTACTGCCTGCCAAATGATGACACATCGAATGCGAGTCGAACTAGGCATCGAGAAGTTTCCATTGAGCACAATCAGCGGTGAGGAAGAGAAGGAAAAGTAGAGTGCGGGGCAGAAGAGTCGCGAAAAGCCGGTTTTGCGTAGACAACAACGCCAAAAACTTTAGTGAAATAGCGATAGCGAAAATTTCGTAAGTACCAAAAAACGTTCGCAATCCCTGAAATTCGGGATTTTTAATGAATATCAGTGGTTATGAAATGCATGAGCTGGCAGATAAACGGAATTTTTGTTAAATTCAAAATAAAAATAAAGACCTTTATGATAAGCTATAGTAGATGAGTCCGTTTTCAACTCGCACTCTAAGAACGATCTGACAAGCCCCCACGCAGCTGATCACTTTCAAAAGGAAAAAGTGGACGGTCAGTGATTCATCTGAATGAAAAACCGAACTTAAGTAATGCGAAATAAGGAAAACAAGAAGTAGGGCGATATGGTAAAACGAAAGTGATACGCGTGCAGAAATAGAAGGTATCAAGTGGGCGAGAAGAGAGAGAGAGAGAGAGAGGATGACGTAGGCAGAGGATCAAGACCGAAAAACTGGACAACTGACTCCACCAAAAATATGGTTTCTAAACCGATATGAAAAATCCAGTCGACAGACAAAGCACTAGGGAGTGGCTGGACGAGCCGAGTGGAAACGCACAAGGTAGAGAGCAGGATAAGAGCAAATGGAATCGGAGTCAGAGCCGCAGTTTGAGTTGACAGGAAGTTGCACACGCATACACTGAGGGCGAAAACGTGGCGGGCATACTGAAATGCTCGGAACATTCACATTCAAAGGTAACCGACTCAACTCACTTCGACTCGACTCGATTTCCCTCTCCGCTGATGACGCGTCATTGACTGCTGAAGATATTTTCTGTATTTCTGCTCTTTTTGGAGCGATAAAGAGAACTAATTTTGGTCTGCGGATGAAACGAACAGCAAGAAAAAACTATATTGAGCGCGATAAAGGCTCCCGATAGCGAAGGGGTGGGGCTGCAGACTGCATTATCAGGAACCAGTGTTGCACAGCACCACAAAGTTGGAGCCGGCTGCTGATATCGGATTTCCCTTTTACCTCTTCCCCCTTGCAGCGTTGAAGGTATTGGTGATTACAGCGAACCGATGCTGAGTCTGAGTCACCGATAAACAGAAATATATCAAACCGGTGGGCCAGGTGGTGGTCTATTCCCACTCCTTTTGACTGGGTTTCATGATCCCCTAAAGTGGGGGTGACAGCAGACTGAGAGTGGAAGAACAGAGAGACAGGGAGAGAAAGATAGAGAGAGAGCGAAGCGGAAGAGCGGGCCTGCGCAGGAGCGCCGCTGCAGGGGGTGAAACTCGTGAGGGTGGGAGTTACTCTTTATCAAACGAAAGTAATCATGGCGGCCGAGAGAGGGAAAGGGAGACGACAGCTCGAGAGTCACACCCTTGAACTTGCGAAAATTCATTGTCAACTAGCCGTTTTCCATCCTCTTTCGGTACTTACCTCAAAGCCGTTGGACTGCGCCCAAATGTTACCGTCGTGGCCGGCGATGCACGCCTTGGTCACGCACTGCGAGGCCAGGAGTTGGTTGTCCACATAATCTTGCCAGCTCATTGTGCTTCGTTTGTCGTGGGTGCGGATTACGTTGGATTGATAGACTTTATTTGGATCGCTGTTTTACCGCACGGAGAGACGCACTTTCGTTTCGGGGGTCACACGAAATTGGCAGGGAGACAAAGAAAAACCGCAACGCCGACGATTTTTTTTCTTGGGGTGAATTACTTCCAACTGCAACGAGAGGTGGAGAAAGAGAGAGGTAGACAAAAATTAACATTTATCGTATCGTATTCGCCAATCGTCGTCCCCGTTAAAATAACAAGCCGTTAACTGCTTTTCCTCTAACCGGGTGGTGGCGGCGGCGGCGATTTAGTTCTAGACTAGCAATATGTATATCTAGTATATGCAGTGATAGTGATGCGGATTCATCGCACCAAGCACCGAATTTTCTTTTTCCGAAAAACTCACATATACACACTAAGCACAGCCACACGCACGGGGATGAGACCAAAGCAAGACCAAGACCAAGGAGACCAAGACAGACAGAAACAGAAACCGTACGGTAGTAGCACCACACACACGTCCGACTCGCTGGGAATTCTCGAAGCGTTCGAGGCGGATTTCAAAAATCGAATGAGCGCAATGCAGAATCGTAAACCGATTTTGAATTTGAGAAAACCCACTCAGCAAGAGAGAGAACACTGCAGGGGGCTGCTCTGCTCTGCGCCACGACGAAGCAAGTCAAAGCGCTCAATTTCAAGCCGTGAGTCACCCGCTCACTCACTCACCCACTTCTTTCGAGGGAGAGGAAGGGCGAGAGTGATTGCAACGGTGCGGCTGGAGCATGCGTGCAAACGAGACGGCCGTACGAATCGGGCCGTTATTAATCAGCCGGCTGCCGACAATGCAAATGAGTGAGTGAGAGCAGGCGATGACTCAACGGTTGCTCTCCGACTGAGTGTTATGATTCGCCTCTTTCTTGGCCGGCACTGAGTAACTGTCATAAATTAAAAATAGCCTTTAATTTCAACGCCTATATGTACGCAAATCTCATCTCACGTATCATAATGTGCAACACCGCACCCGCAATATGTGTGATTGCACTGGTTGGTTGACAAAGTAACTGGAATACCGAATACTTATAAACCGACCGGCAGCTCAACTTTTCCCTACTTAATTTTTTTTGCACACTTATACACACACACGCGACGCACAGCCAACGCGGTTGGCCAATTTGCGCGTACATGTGTGGTTTTTTTTTTTTTTTTTGCATTTAGGGCGCGCTCTTAGACGAAAGTCAATATCTAAGTATTTTACCGAATATGTTGGACGTTTGTTTTTTCTGACCACCCAAAGTACAGTAAAACCTAGACAAAATTCGTTTTAGACGAATTCTCAGGAACCCAACGGCACTCACTGTTCACACGCTGCGGTAAAATGTCAGAGTGACCATGGCAGAATATATGAGTTGAGACTAAATGGATATTAACTTCGGTTAATTTCCAAAAACAATCGATTGTTTCTATTGTTGGGCCGATAGCACGAGGTTTGACTTTTTTGGTTTACAAATTAGGTTAAAACTGTTTTACGTTAGATATATGAACATACATATATGATTACCTTGATTTGTAGTGATAAATAAACTGATTGGCTCACAAATATTACACAAAATTTCATGTATAAAATAGCTATTTGGTGTCTATGACTCCTACTGCTACTCTACTTATAGATAAACATTGACTATTTTATATAAGATTTTAATCTCAATTGCAGAAAAACTGCAAAAAAAATCAAACAAAACTATATGAACATAAGATGTTTGTTAATTATTTGTGTGAGTTGTAAACTGAGTTATGCATAAGTCCATATATATTGAATATTTAAAATCGAATTGATATGACAACTTCTAGACTTGCCAAAGATAATGATTATTTGTGGTTTTCAAAAATTCTTCGAGGAATCGACAACAATTTATTATCTTCGCCTCAAACCAGGAGGAAAACATTGATAAGTATTTAATTTAATCGGTTATTGATGACCTTTGTGAAATGGAGCCCTGGACTTTAGGTGGCAACGCCAAAATCACCTAAAATTTAAAAAAAATAATTTAAAATGTGCCACAAAAATTTGTCTGCTAACCAGAAGCACTTGTACGACTTTTTCCCACTTTCGTGTGCTCAAAATCTCGAAAAAACCGCCAGGTTTTCCATGACAGCTGGCGATTTATGACAATCGGACTATCGATAGTCGACGATGTTTTCTTACATCACTAAAACTTTTGCAAGATGGAGCCTCTTTTGCTTGGTTTTAACAAATCAGTAGCAGCACGTGTATAAAAAGTGCCAAATAATTTTCAGAAAATGTTAGTATACTTTTTATATTAAGCGTTCGAAATGTGAAAAGCGTCGAGGCAAATGTGTGCCCTATTGATTCTGAAACGGTTTCTGGCGATCATTGTGTGTTTCAGTGCAGAAAAAGGTTTTAAAAATTCCTGACGGTCAGAATGAGTGAAACGCAAAGAAAAAAAATTACACGCCCGAATGACAGTGCAGAGAGTGGGAGCGAGAAGGAATGAGCGAAAGAGAGCGCAGTGGTTGCTCCAAGAGAGTTTTGTTGTTGGACTTTCCAGCCTCGGTCTTTTCCTTGGAACATCCGAATTGTCGAACATTGTCGAAATACGGTGACGTCTGCCGCCACTTGACAACCTTAACGTTCGCTTGACTCATGACTGGACAATGACGCACCTTGAACGATTCTATCTTTAGTGACTTAGCGCAGTTGTCGGGTGATTTACTACTGTACCACCTCGATTTTCTTCGCTTTAGTAACACACGCCTTGAAAAATTCTCCTCTCGGCCACTTTCCTCCTATAATCGTCAATCATACCATTTCTAACCGGCTGCTACTATTTGCGCACGCCGTTAGGCAACACTGCCTTCGCCGTTACGTGCACATATTGCTTGACCGCTCTCTACCACTGACATTGACACACGCAACACTAGAGTCGTCTCGCTCGCACACGCTCAGGGGCGGTCTCGCCGCTCATCGCTCAAACGGCCGCCTAGCGGTCGTAGCAGTCTCGTTTTTCGAATCATACGTAAAGATACCTCAGCGGAGCTCACCTCGTCTCAACGTAACAGACTGAAAACACTCTCGTTCGGCTTTCGTTTCGACGGGAAAAACAAAACAGGCAGCTCTCGGCTCAAATTCTCTGTTATTCGTTTTAGACAGTTAAGACAGAAATTGATTGAGTGAACCGGGCTACAGCCGTCGAAATTCAGGATATAAGTTTACCTAGTCAATTCTTTATTGTTGATAATGTGAGTGGTTGCCAAGCGCTGCTCGCGATTTTCGGTTCGCCATAACCAACAAATGTGCCTGTTAAATTTTTACCCCACGCCCCGGAGTTTTTCCGTCTTACTAACTCATTTTCGCTCGTTCACAGGGATGACCGAAGTGAAATAGCTCAGGATGGTCCCGCAGGCATGGACCCCGAGGGAGTCATCGAGTCCACCTGGCATGAGGTGTACGACAACTTCGATGACATGAACTTGCGCGAGGAGCTGCTGCGCGGCATCTACGGTTACGGTTTTGAGAAGCCATCGGCCATCCAGCAGCGCGCCATCATTCCCTGTGTCAAGGGTCGTGACGTTATTGCCCAGGCACAGTCGGGTAAGTAAATGATTATTTGTCTCCTAATCCCCCATATTCCCCTCGATCGACAACAAAGAAAAACTTAAGAATGTGTAAGTTCGTTTAAATGAAAAGGTTATGATGACTCAGCAGCTGCGCCTGTATTTGTTGCGAATGCGCTCTTCGGCGCGCTCTCTTTTACTCTATACCGCTCTCTCCCCGATTCTTGGCGTCATCGCGCCTGCGCGCCACTTTTCGCCAGCTGCGTTACGTTTTCGCAACGGCCCTGGCAGAAGATAGTTCCTAGAAAGAAGGTAGGCATTCCGACTGTTTTGCCAAATTCCAGATGCAGTGCGTTTTTAAGGTCGTCTGTGAGAAATGCGACCTACCTACACAGCCGATTCGGGACTAATCCATTTTGCAGGCCCTCCGAAACAATGTTTTGTCCTTCCACACCCGTATTTGGATTCTGCTTGCACCTGCCATTCGCAATCCATTCAGGGGATAAAGGCCAACGTCGGCCCTAAATGCATTTTAATCCTGGTTTTAACAATGAGAGCTACCTGGAAAAGTGATAAAAGGAGGTTTCGTTGTTTTAGTATTTTGACATAACATGTGTGTTTCCATGCGATTTACATTGCACGCAAGCCCAGAGACGAGCCGATCACCTTTTGGGATCAGCCTTTGTCTGTATATTCGAAATTGAAAATTACCATTTTGTCTCTTTATAAATAATGGCTACTTTACGTCTGAACTTAATGTGGTTGCAGTAAGCATAAAAAATGATCTTTCAATATGATTGTTTCTTATAAAATTATATATGTATACATTCAAAATAATTACTATATGAGTGCACATAACCATCCCCTGTTCTTGCAAAATCACTTAATCAGTCCATGTAAACTCCTAACGATATACCACAATGCGAACTAGCCGACCAACAAAGAATTGGCTCAGCGATATGTTATTTCATAACTTTCATCCACATGCTAAAATTACTGCATGCTAACCATTTTTCTTTTTATCTCTTCCGCAGGAACTGGCAAGACTGCCACCTTCTCGATTGCTATCCTACAGCAGATTGACACTTCCATTCGCGAGTGCCAGGCGCTGATCCTTGCCCCAACTCGCGAGTTGGCCACGCAGATCCAACGTGTGGTCATGGCGCTGGGTGAGTACATGAAGGTGCACTCGCACGCCTGCATTGGAGGCACCAACGTGCGCGAGGATGCCCGCATCTTGGAATCCGGCTGCCATGTTGTGGTGGGCACACCCGGTCGCGTCTACGATATGATCAACCGCAAGGTGCTGCGCACCCAATACATTAAACTGTTTGTGCTGGATGAAGCCGATGAGATGTTGTCTCGCGGTTTTAAGGACCAGATTCAGGACGTCTTCAAGATGCTGCCCCCAGATGTGCAGGTTATCCTGCTGTCTGCCACCATGCCACCGGACGTACTCGAAGTGAGCCGTTGCTTCATGCGCGAGCCTGTCAGCATCCTGGTTAAAAAGGAAGAACTGACTCTCGAGGGTATCAAGCAGTTCTACGTGAACGTTAAGCAGGAGAACTGGAAGCTGGGCACCCTGTGCGATTTGTACGATACGCTGTCCATTACCCAGTCGGTTATCTTCTGCAACACTCGTCGCAAGGTAAATTTCTTTACATTCCAATTTATGTTTCAATTTACTGTTTGCCCAATGTATTATGTATATTATATATGTATTATGTGTAAAACATGCAGTGTACTCCTGTTAATTTGTATCTATAAACCAATTTCGTTTAATTTCTCCAGGTGGATCAGTTGACCCAGGAAATGTCGAGCCATAACTTCACCGTTTCGGCTATGCACGGCGACATGGAGCAGCGTGATCGAGAGGTCATCATGAAACAATTCCGTTCGGGCTCTTCTCGTGTCCTGATTACTACTGATTTACTGGCGCGTGGTATTGACGTGCAGCAGGTCTCGTTGGTCATTAACTATGATCTGCCATCGAACCGCGAGAACTACATTCATAGGTGAGTTGTCTCCTCACCAAGTCTACCGTAAAATTCTTTGTTATAAACATATTTAATAAACCTTTACTCTATTGCAGAATTGGTCGCGGTGGTCGTTTCGGTCGCAAAGGTGTTGCGATCAATTTTATTACGGATGACGATCGACGAATCCTTAAGGACATTGAACAATTCTACCACACAACAATTGAGGAAATGCCTGCTAATATTGCCGATTTGATTTAAATTTTTTCTGCTGAGACGCAAAACAACTAAGAAAAAATTTTAAATAAAAAGTGAGTGAGCAAAACAGCAACCAAGACCCGCGAAATCGATAACCGAGCGCAAATATAAATTATTCAAAGATCAGTAAAGAATTGAAGTCAAGTTAAATATTTATTCAACCATTAATTCAAGAAAACTGCCGACCATTTAACGACTAGGACTACACGCGGACAGAGCACCAACATCTTTAGCAGCGGCACAGCAGCATCACCATCAGCAGCGGGCGCGGAAGCAGCAACATCTAGCACCGCAGAAGCTTACAAATTCTCGCCGAAAAGCCGAGCATCCTCTGTATCCATTTAGTTCTTCTCTGTGTACCATCAAATTTAAACTGCGTCGTCAACCAGCAACAACAAATATATACAAATATATACACAACAAACAATTTGCATCTATCTAAAGAAAGTAATATTTAAACAAGGTAACAAGATACCACTTGCTGCAAGGAGCAAACAACTAAACGCAAAGCCTCAATATCAGAACATCGTTTTGCCGCATCTTTGTTTTAGCTTTTTCTAGAACTATTGATAAAAATATATTAAAAACAAAACAAAATTCATATGTACACATTATTTTTAAATATACCACTCCTGAGAAACAGCTAACGATGGAAGATTTTACGCAAAACAGAAAGCTTAACGCACACATCTGATTTATAGGTGTCTAGATATATGAGTAAATATTTTTTGGAGGCGTTGCGTCGATATGGTATAAATGATTTTGAAGTTTTCAAAACCACTTTTAAAAAGGGCACACCCGTTTTTGATTAAGTTGTCCTTATTAAATTGTCTCTATCTCAGGATCTGTAAGAGCTACCCATTTTGTGATACCGTCGTGGTTGTTTATAAATTTTAATTTGCAATCGGGCCAAATTGTCTAATGAAGGTGCAAGGTTATTAACTCATTTCTCGTTATGTTGGTTAAATTCTCTCAACTTTAGTTTAGACGTATAATTTGAAGAATTAGTAAGTATTATATTGTTAGGAAGATCATTGAAGCATAAAGATTCGATGGATTTATTTTAATTGCATATACATATAGGGCAGTGTTCCGACTATAAAACATTTATTTAAATATAAATGTCTACTCCCGCTACATGCGCCGCCTGTTGCGGTAATGCCACCTCTTATTTTCGAATAAAAATAAATAGTTTGTGTAAATGTTTTTAAACTGTATTAAGCAGTACATTTGTATTCGTCCTATATTAGGCATTTTCAGAGATATATATATATATTTTCTTTTCTTTTCCGTTTTTCCTAAATCATGCCGAAGGGAACATAAATTACGGTGTGCGCGTTGCATTTCTGAAACTATCGCCGTTAATAAGTTTTATAGAAGAACAGCTATCGATATTATATCGGTTCCCGTGTCAGCTCCATTATCGTCAGTTCATAGTAAATTTTTCAATCCGCCCAGTCGGACGTTTGGACAGTTTCCTTCCTCGCGCCGGTCGATAATGTCAGTCAACTAGTACCGACCTGTAGCACGTCATTCGCATCATCGTAGAATCACAACCAGCCCTATCAACCGAAATGGGTCAGAAAGTTTCGCGCACCGACTTCGAGTGGGTGTACACGGAGGAGCCGCACGCCTCGCGACGCAAGATCATCCTGGAGAAGTACCCGCAGATAAAGAAACTTTTCGGTCACGATCCCAATTTTAAGTATGTGGCCGGCTTAATGGTGCTTACCCAGATATTGGCACTTTTCGTAGTGAAGGATCTTTCATGGTCATGGCTTTTAGTGGCCGCCTATTGCTTCGGAGGCATTATAAACCATTCGCTGATGTTGGCCGTGCATGAGATTTCGCACAATCTGGCCTTTGGACACAGCAGGCCCATGCACAACCGGATTCTGGGCTTTATTTGTAACCTGCCAATCGGCTTGCCAATGAGCATTTCCTTCAAGAAGTACCACCTGGAACATCACCGGTACGTCACATTCGAGTCGAATCCACAGCTAATTTTTACACAAACACATGGCCCCATATCTGGTTACTGGGCGTAGTCACACTGTAAACTGTGAAAATATCTTCGCATCAGCCAACCCCCTCTTAGACTCACCCATTGAAACGCCGGTACGCGTTGCCTAACACTGTCCCTTTTTATTCCATTTGACATAAACCTTTCCCGCAAGCTTATGAGTCAATTTCCATTTTATTCGCTCTAGCTGAGCATCGAGTACGTTTTAATTGTGCCGATAAGATACGGCCGAAGTTATATGAATATCCAAATAGGCGCTCAATTGGTCACGTAGCTCAGTGATTCGCCACTCGAGATTCGGGCTACAAGTCGAGCTGGGTTGAGTCACTATTATCGGTTTTTGCAAAAAGTTCCCAAACGAATTCTTAGGGAAAAACATTTAAATCCTACAAAATATATATGAGTTTTATGTTTACAGTCAGCCCCATTGACTCAAAATCTTGTCGCAGATAGCGTTTATCTAATCGCAAAGGTTCACCATTTGGTGGGTCATTGATTGACTTTCAACAACACCCCGGTCCCAATAAGAATTTTCGTTTGAAGCTATTCAATCCCTTCTGAAAACAAACTACAAAGTCCACACCGTTGATTTTTGTAATTGGTAGTATTATTCTAGTAGTGTTATACTATATCGTTGTTGGTACTCATTAGCATTATACTAATATACGAAAACTAAACTATAAAATTTTGATCCCTAGTACTAAAATGTTTTTTCCCCTTTTTAGTTACCAAGGTGACGAGACAATTGACACTGACATACCCACACTGCTGGAGGCGCGCCTATTCGACACCACTTTCGGAAAGTTTTTGTGGGTTTGTTTGCAACCTTTCTTCTACATTTTCCGTCCACTTGTAATAAATCCGAAGCCACCTACTCGTCTGGAGATTATCAACACCGTTGTCCAGCTAACTTTTAACGCTCTGATCGTTTACTTCTTGGGCTGGAAGCCACTGGCCTATTTGCTGATCGGTAGTATTCTCGCCATGGGCTTGCACCCCGTGGCCGGACACTTCATTTCGGAGCACTACATGTTTGCCAAGGGCTTCGAGACATATTCTTACTACGGCCCGCTTAACTGGATTACCTTTAATGTGGGCTACCACAATGAGCATCATGACTTCCCGGCTGTACCCGGGTCACGACTGCCCGAGGTCAAGCGCATCGCCAAGGAATTCTACGACACAATGCCACAACACACCAGCTGGACCAGGGTTCTTTATGACTTCATCATGGACCCAGCGGTGGGACCATACGCCCGCGTAAAGCGTCGCCAGCGCGGCCTGGCCTCCTAAACAATCGATGCTATTCAAGGTTTCCTGCCATGAATGTAATCTCAGCGTTAGACCTAAAGCGGCTTTTTATGTATATATACACCGTAGAGACATTTACAGCGGACGCAGAAGAGTTGAAGCAGGCAACCAAACACATAGCACCTGCTAATCTTCAGTGATTAGATAAAGTTCACTCAATTCGAACAATTTTGTGTATACAGTTTTGGTATTAATGCTAGAACGTGAACTTAGTTTGACTCGTTGGCCTGACTAAGGAGCACTTTCGAGCGCTTTAATTAATTGTTACCTCATAAGTTGGAAAGCCTGTTAAATCTAGTGTGTAATACATGTCCTATTATACTATTATCTTAGTATTTTCGATACATATTTATATTGCTTTCAAATCATAAATGTAAAGCCACAAATTGGAGTGTTTTGTCCCTTATCGTCACTCCGGGCGGCAGTAAACTACTAATCAACCGAGCAACTACTATTTTTGATAGCCTCTTGAAACGGATACCTAAGAATAAAGTCAAAGTGATTTGCCTGGGGTGGCTGCATGTACGGAATACAGTTGAAACTTTTGAGCAAAACTATATAATAAATGGCAAAATCCCAAAGTTATGATTGTCCGACCAATTATTCATTATGGGTCTCATGAAGTTGTGCCTTTTTTTATTGCATGTCGCACGTCATGTGGGTACAGCGCTTTTAACTGATAATAATTTCGATAAGCACTTGGGGAACGACATGGCAATACGGTTATATGATTGTTTTCCAAGATAATTTTACGCCTTTGGAGAAATCGGGATCAGAGAAGTTTAAAAAAATGAACACTCTATAAGATTAAGTACTAAAGAAACCTTTCACAATTAAGAACATAAATATACTCCACGTCTAGAACGTCAATTTGAAAGTCAGGTTGATTAAGTATTTTTAGTTTGATCTTGCGTTACTGTGTATCTTAATCAAAATGATTCATTGCAAATGGTTTTGAAGTTGAAATTCACTTTAACCTATTTACCTAATGGCCTGCCAGTATCCAAGCTGAAAAAAAAATAAAACTATTCTAATGGCGTTTACTGCACGTAGTGTTAACAGCTGAGTCTATCTGTGCTGCATTCTTCCAATAAAAATGTCGGCTGTTGGGGGTAGTAGTAATAGTAATAGTAATCAAGTTAGATTTAGAGAGTCCTTAATTCAAGGAAGCTAAGCCTATTCATAAGTAAATATGTATGTCAATGCCTACATACGAAGGGCTTTGCTATTAACTCATCTATCAGTGAATTTTTCTACCAGGAGGTAAACTGTGCGGCTGAATGAGTAATGACCAGGTGGTTAGGGGGTTCACGAACCTGCATCATTCAAAGTAATATGGCCTTAAAGACAGAATCGGGATTCAGCAATTACTGTAATGCGTAAATAAGCAGTAACACAAGATTTTCGTTTTAAATACTATTTATATATAATTTATTTAAATTATAGAATTATATATTTTGTTTGGGGAAGGTATCGTGAGGGTAAATGTTTTGTAATATTTTTGGATCATTCATTGAAATCAATCGTACATTACTTCTTAATTAAATAAAAGTGTTTATCCTTAATATGTTTAGGGTTCCCTTTTGTTTTCGTTATCGGTTATCTTGGGTTGCTTGCATTAAGAACCTGCACATTTATCGGCTGGGTATTTATACACATTTAAAAAATGATTTTACAAAGTGTTTTCCGTTTTTGTCTGCTTTTTCAATTGCATTAGTCTAAGCAATGTGTTTATTGTTGTATGTTAATATTACCAAGATATTTTGCATTTCTTTTTTTTTTTTTTCGTATTTTTAAAATTTTGCATTTACTTCCAATTTGCTGGATTTCTAGTCAACTTACTAATAATAAATTATACATTTTCCATGGTATTTTAAATGTAAACTTAGATTTATACTGATTTTGTTGGTTTTGTATGATCGTTTTATTAACAGGTTTTTGTTTTGTTTTTTTTTGTTTACTTTATTCTTAAATGGGAGGTAATAAACAAGAACATACAAAGAAAAGGTGAGTTTACAAGGCGCCACGCGTAAAATTGGAAGATTCTTATTTTTTGAGGATTTTTGCTCGCAACCTTACGTAAACAAAAATATACAAAAGTAAAACGAGAGTTACCTTCGCTTAAGGGAAAAACTAAAATAAAATTTAAGAAAGCTTTGCGTGTGCATGGTACGAAACTCAAAAAGAGAACACAAAAAGTGAATTAAATTAACAAAAACTAATAATAGCAGGTAAAGGTAATGGTAAAATATATTATAATGATAAAAGAACGTTTAACGAACGTAACGTAAAAAGTGGGTTGAATTATACAAAAACAAATAGTTGTGTTGCTTTGTTTGCGTTTCATCTGTTTCACTTAACAATAATCCCTATTCTTGTTCTCTTTTCCTTTTTGTTTTGCCTTTGTAGTAATTTTAGAAGTGTTTTACGTTCCGGATTCGTAAATATAGCTTTAATTGGTAAATATGTACTACTAAAACTTTCAAGTACCTTTACTAAACTTAGTAAACAACGCTAGTCGGACTTTTTCGTGTGTTTAGTAGTACATCTTGCGTAAAACACAAATCGGCTGTTGCTGCAAAATCTAAAATATGTCAACCCGGCAACTCTTGGACTTCATAATCTTTTACTCTATCGCGCCGATTGCACTGCCCGCTGCTTGCTCGGCGTCGTCGTGGACGCTACACTCATACTGTGACCGGAACTTGGCGTTCCGATGGCCACTGTCTTGGTGCATCGGATGCAGATATAGTCGTCGTCCGCTTTGATCTGGCTACGATTGAGGCCCACACAGTACATGTGAAACCATTCGTTGCAGCCGCCGTCGCATTGAACCCAGTCTACCTCCCGTCCAGTAGGCTTATGACAATTCTCCGCACGGCACTCTTCCTCGTCGTCTTCCTGGGCGGCCTGCTGAGACCGCTGCGCATGCTTCTTTTGTCCACCAGTTGAGATATTTCCGGCAATCGCTGTCCCTTGGGCATTGGTAGTATTACTGTTAAGGTTGGTGCTGCTGTTGCTGTTGTTGGTGCTGTTATTGTTGTTGTTTGTGGCTGTTGTAGAGGTGCGCTTGCGCTTTTTGTGCGTCGAGCCGGGTGTGGGTGTGGTTGCCGCTGAATTGCCACCACCTGAACCTGTACTAGAGTTTGTGTTTCCGCCGTTGGCCTGCTTGTTCTCGGCATCGGCGTCCGCTCCGGGAGTTGCTGATGAAGCTGGGGATGCCTTGGCATCGCTCTTGCGTCCCGCTGCCGCTGATCCTTTCTTGATCGGAGTCTGCTTGGGCGTGTTCTGCTTCTTGCGGGGTACAGCTGCGTTACCGCTGGCATCGTTGGAGCGCCTCTTCTTATTGCGCCCGCTAATACTCGCAGACGCCGTTGCCCCACCACTGTTGCTGTTACTATTGGGACTATTTTGTACCAAAAGACTGTCGTTCGAGTCTTCAGCTCCGGAAGTAGGCAGCGGATTTGGTTGTTGCTGCCGTTGCCGCTGTAGATGTTGAGCCACACGCTCCCTAGCTTCGGCTTGCAGCAACGTTGGCGGCATTGTTTCCAAAATGCGCCATAGCTCGAGCGTCTCGTCTAGAGAGACCTCGAGTAGGTCACCCTCCATCATCAGGTCAAGCAAATTTTCAATTTCGCTATCGGACAGAAGTTTCAGGAGATCGGAGTTTATGGTGGTAGTGGCAGAGGCAGTACGTGGCTCATCCTCGTCATTACTAAAGTTATCCTCGACGATTCGAAGCCGACATTCGTCCTCATCATCATCGTCGTCAGCTTCTGACTCTGTGGAACCACAGGCCTCTTTCGCAAGACTACCCCGGCGACGTGGCTTTCGTGGACTACTGATATTGCCAACCCCTGCTAAGGCGCCTTCGGAGCGCCGCTTTTGCTGCTGCTGTGCCACAATTGCTTCCTGGGCAGCACTTACGTCGGGACTGCTTAGCGCCTTTCTGGCCCGATCCTGCCAATTCATTGCACGCTCTGCCAGGCAGCGCAAAGCTTCGTCCTCGGGCAAACGAATGGGAAGCTGTTGCAACTGCACCAGCAACGGAAGGATGGTCTCTAGACGTGGCCTCTTCGACCTTACACAGCTGGGACAGAGCCATTTATGGCGATTAGAACCTGTTCCTGCTACGCCATTAATAATTCCATTGTGATTGGTGGATGAGGGCGGTGGGACGCAATCCTCGTGAAACCAATCACGGCACAACTGACAGTTGTACATTAAGCTCCGGAACTCGGACTTACACAAGCAGAACATATCGCGTAACGGGTTTTTAGTCATGTTTTTTCGTCGAAGCTCGCGCATATCCAGTAACTCCTGCTCCTCTGCGTTCTTGAAGCTGGCCACAATCTCCGCGGGATTTTTATCCTTTAGAAAGTCGTCCTGGATAAAGAAATAATTAATTTGGAAACATATGAGTTGGAATATGATGACTTTACCTGGAAGCGCGGCTTGAGATCCGAGTCAATAATAATGGCATCCGTTCGGGGCATGAGAACCTCTAAAAGCGAATAGGAGGTGCCCTTTTTGAGAAAGGCGCACGCAGTATTCTCCTTCCATTGATGAGCGCTGTTTAAGTGGCCCTGCATTCGACTCAGCTCCTCCAGCTGGATAGGTATGTTTGTACCCCGTTCGATCATCGCCTGGAGAGTGTGGCAATATGTCACATGGTTATTCTGTTGAAGCTGCTCAACGGCCCGCAGCCACTCACGGGCCTTTCTAAGCGCATCCTTTAGCAGCCCATGTGAAGGCACCTGACCGTTGATGTCGGCGGCCGATTTCAAAAACTGCTCTATTTCGCCCAGCTCGTGCTGTTGGGTCAGTCTCCGGAAATACTTAGCCGCCTGCGACTCCCAGGCTTCGATCTCTGCGCCAATCTGTTGTAATTTTCGCATCTCCCTGTCGACATATGGATCCGTGGGATCCAGATCAGCAGCCGCCATGTGCAGCAGGTTCTTCACGTCTTGGTAGGTCAGCTTCGAGCTTGTCTCCCTTAATCCCTGCGAGCGCTTGTACCACTTACACTGCTTCAGCCGCTTCTGTAGAAGGTCAAGCTGCTGCAGTTCGATGCGGAGAGAACTGCCTTCGTTAATTAACGTTTCCAGCTCACTCTCCTCCAGGGCCTCCAGCGTCAGCTGGAGCTGACTCTCTGAGCGGTCAACGAATTGTTTTCCCAAAACGAGGAGCTCTCGCACCGATGCGCCCTCGTCAATAATGCAGCAGAGATTATCTATTTCCTGCACAAACAGCTCTAGCTCTTCCATGGTAAGCTTATACTGAGCCGCCTCCTGGTTGTGGTCTGAGCGAGTTCGTACCTGGTGGAGAAATATCAAATTAGGCGATTAGATCTCCACAATTCAGAAGCTTCTGTCCTAATCAACAAATACCGCCAAACAAATTGAAAAAACCCAACAAGTGTTTTTGCAATTAATGGTTAGTTCAATCCTGAGAGTGTTATGATTTAATCAAACAGGATCCAAAACACGAATATTGAAAAAACTTTTGCGGGATATAGAAAAAATGCTGTACCCCGAAGGGTTTTATAAGAAGCTGTTATAACCAATAGGACCCCCGGACTAACCTTATTGATACCCAGTTGCTGTATGACTGTGACACATTTCTCTGCCTCGACGGCAGCAGCATTGAGGCGATCGATCAGCAGCGATGAAGGAAACTTTTTGGTCTCGGCCTCCTTGCACAGCTCTTGCAGTTCCTGTAGAGTCACTGAGGTGGGCGTATGTGCATCTACTATGTCACGGCAACGGGAAAGCCAGCGTTCGAAGCTGTGCGCCTTCACCTTTAGTTTCTGCAGCATCAGCGGCATCTCGTCTAGTGTATAGCGGTATATTAGTGTGTGTTTCTCAGGAGCACAGCCACAGAGCACTGTATAGTGGCGAAGACAGACAATAAGCTTGTCATTGCACTCGCATGCGACCGCCGATAGGAAGCACGTAGTGTTACACTCTTGGCAATGCCTCTCGTCGTCGTTAACCAGCTCGAAGGCGCGTCGCTCTGCGCGGGTTACGCCCCACTCTAAAAGTGATTTGCGCAGCTTTTTCTCCGTGTCAACCATTTCGGCCATGTCGATATAGCAGGCGGTAGCGATGCCGAAAGTAAGCTTCGCCGGCTCCAGAGCCATCTTGCAAACGAGCTCGTCGTGCGAGAAGACGCAGAAGCGGCGGAGCATTGAGTAGTGATTAACACACTCACGCCCCATCTTTAGCCAATCAGCGGGTGCAAAGTTGACGGCCTCGGCGAAGTTATAGCCCTGGTTAAAACCTGCGTGATAGGCCCTAGGGAAGGTGATAACAAACTCGCCGGCGTGTTGATCCGTGCGGAATACCGGCACACGGTTGTTCATTAGAATGTTAGGGTTCATAATTGTTACCAGCTGATGAAGCAGATCAGGCTGCGATGAAAACAGTTCCGGGGCTGCCTGCTTCATGGTCTCTTCAAACTGCTCAGCACAGGACCCCGGAACACCATACCACGTTTTTGGTTCTCCCCAATGAAGATAGTTGATTGAGTAGCTCCAGTGGTCCTCGTTGTGCCAGCAAAAGGCAGCGAAGCACATGCCCACGTACATCCACGGTGCGTTCATGCCGCTTATGTCGGCGTTAATGTGGCCCAAAATGGAATCCTCAAGCAATGGCAGGTTATTGAGGTTCCAGCTTGATTCAGCATACTCTTGGTCGCCAGGTAGCAGATACAATGAACTCTTTGTGGGGAACCCTGATCCGTGATCCATTGTGTGCAGGTCCGCGCCATACTCGACGGTAACGTCTTCATCAATAGAAGACACGATTCGCCAAAACTCGCGTTCCACCATCTCGGTAGGCACTAAGTGCACCGGCTTGCGGAAATATTCTTGCTTGAACTGGTCAGCCATCTGTCCAAACTGCTGCAGAGTATATTCCCTTTCCGCCTGCTCAAAGCCAAAAGCCTCCTGCGGTTTGCTTACCTCCTCGACGACGCAGCGCGGGCAAAGCCATTCGCCTGAATCAAATAAAACAAATTACAATTTTTATTAGTAATCAAAAAGTCCAAGGATAGAAGGAAATAGAATAGGGTACCCCCAAGATCGAAATAACAATTATTCAAAAAGGATTTCAGTCCTAAAAAACGAAATATAGAAATGTGGGAGAAATGAAAAACATGTCTATTTGCGATCTGCGCCTTACTTGTGCTCTCCAACCTTAAAATATGGGTTATATCTTTTGTATATTAGATTCAAAACATAGAATAAAGTAGCGTTTCCGACCCTATAAAGTATATATATTCTTGATCAGGATCAATACCGAAGTCGATTGAGCCATGTGCGTCTGTCAGTCCTCCGTATGAACGCTGAGATCTCAGGAAGTATAGCAGATACAAAGTTGAGATTAATCATGAAGATTCTTGAGATCCCGGGACAGCGCAAGTTTATTACAGCATCCTGCCACGCCCACTCGCCCAAATTTCGGGAACTATTAGAGCTAGAAAGTTGAAATTCAGTATGCATAAACTTTGGATGCCAGCGCATCTTTTAGTAGTACTATTATCTGGCCACTCCCACCCATACTCCCACCAAGCTCAAAAGACGGTTTTAGCATTTTCAAGAAAACCTGATATCTCGGTAACTATAAGTGATAGAAAGTTCGGATTAAGCATGTAGATTTTTATGATGCCCCAAATGCGAATTGTTTTTTTTCCACGTAGCCACGCCCACAAAACCTGAAAAACCAAAAATGCAAAAATCTCGGAAACTAAAAGAGCTAGAAAGTTAGGCTTAGGAATATGTATTTTAGATATGCCACTGCAACTTTATCCAGCCACGCCCACAGACATGCTTTCTCCGACAATAGGTGGCGCTTGGGTAATTTCAACTCGCAAAATGAATATTTTAAAATTGTGTAAAACAGTAAGGGGTATCTTATAGTCGCGGCACTCGACTATAGCGTTTCCTCTTGTTTTAAATAGGTTTATAAAGACCTTACCTTTAGGGATGCTAGTCAGAGGTGGCAGCAGACAGAAGGTGTGGTAGCTGTCGTCGCAGCCATCGCAGAGCAGCATCGATTCCTCGACGTCGCCGCGGTTGCAGATGTGGCAAATGTATTTCATCAACGGGTCAACGATAAGGGCCGGGGGCTCGCCTCCCTTCTTCTGACTGGCCCCTCGAGTGTTTGCCGGGCTGCCAGTGGATAATGGCGGACCCCCGCTGTTTACGGCATTGAAGCTGCTTAGCAGATCTCTCTTGAACTCCTCCTTGGTCTCCGTCTTAATAAATACGCCAGCGGAAGGCTTTGCCGTGGGTGAGGCACCGCTAAGGCCGCAACTGGCACTAGAATTTCCGAATCGCTTAGAGCGGCGAGTGTTTGTCTCGTTGGGCGGCGCAATTTGCTGTCGTGTTGGTATCTCGTGGGCTTTGTAGTCGGTGCCACCGCCGTCCTCTAGCTTCACAGGCGTGCCACCAGTTCCGGCAGAAGCTGGTGTGGGACCAAGAACCTTGCCCGAAGTGTATACCTCAAAGGGGTGCAAGATGCGTTCGTAGTGAGCCTTCAAGGTAGCGCCCACGCTTTTGCTGGAGGGGTACTGCATCCGGTTGGCCACCTTCGCCCACTTGCGGTCCTTTGTGGTTTGCTCCATGCCCCCTTCTTCCTGTACGATTCGGTGAAGTGTGTATAAGTCAAGGGCCTTGCGCTCTACCATTGGGATTTTTAGCGAGGAACCCTGCAGCTCCCAGAACTTGGCAATCTGATCCAGGAAGTTCAGTTTGACGCGCGTCTTGGCCTCCAGCTCATTGAGCCTTTGGACGCGAGGCACGAAGCGCAGCTTGTCCACATCTACTGCAAACGGCGGCGACCAGGTCGCTGGGGGCAGAATCTTTGCGATGCCGCACTTCTCAGCAATGGAGCGGATCTTGCTAATGTAGGCCAGTGGGTTCTTAAACTCCTCAACTGTGGGCCGGAACACTGGGCACTCTGGCGGCGTGTCGAAGTGGAACTCTTCATTCTTTGACTGGTCAAACTTGTTGCTGCTGTGCGGCTGCGTGTGTACCGTCTTTTTGTGCCCGGTAGGCGCAGGCGTGGGTGTGGGATGAGGGCAACTGTTATGATACTTCTTACTGGCAGACACACTGCTGCTGGCATGGTTCATCGGAACACTAGGCATCGGCCTTTCTACCAACGCTGGAGCGCCAGCTGGCGGAGCTTGGGCGTGAGATCCTGCTGCCGCTCCCGGTGTCACTGGGGTTGAGGGTTCATCATTGCCGTTCGACTTCTTTACGGACTCGCTTCCGCTCGTAGTGCCGTTGCCAGTAGAATTTCGGGTACGCAAGCGGCGTGCCGGAGTTGTCGTTCCGTTCGAGGGTAGGCCGGTGGCGGAGGACGTGCCGCTGCCGAGACCTCCAGCCCCGCCGCCGTAATTGGCGGCCGTCGTGTTGTCCGCCTCAGTCTTGGCGGACATTGCTTTAAGATGAGTTTCAGATTCGATTTATTGCGTTCGGCTCTAAAAATGAGAAAAGTTTTAATTAGTTTTGGAGTTTACAACTTTATAATGCACATCGTAAAGATTGATTATATTATGGTTTTCAAAATTCTGCCCGCTGGTATTTACCTATTGTGTCAACTCTTTTCAATCGTCACCAACATGTATTTCCATAGCCCTTTATTGACAAAAAACGAGGGTTATTCTGTTTCTATCGCGGAACCATATAATTAATTATAAGCGTTTTAATCAAATAGTTACTTAAATTTGACTTATAAACCAATGAAAGTGTTTTGTTCGTCAAAGTAATATAATTATGTAACCAGAGGCATGTGACCCAAAAGAGATTACAACAGATTAGGATATTGTTAATTATAATATAGTTAAATTCATCACAAAGATGGTATGCCATATTTCGGTTGCTTTTTACATACATACAATGCTGCTCGGATTCACTTGTTTATAATTATTATGCACTGCCAAGTCAACACATATAAGTTGGTTACATTAGATCCTTAAAAACTGTTTTTTTATTCCACTTCTATTGATCGACTTCAGTCACCCACTGTATCTACATCAAATCGCTGCACACCTGTGTGTATATGTGTTATGGTGCCTGTACTCAACCCTCGCAGGTAAACAAACATTTACGGAGGTGAAAACTCGACTTTGCGACGGAGAAAGTGCAGTTACTCAATGCTGTTCGATTGCGAGGGTATACATTCTGTTCTAGCCGGGATCAATGATTAATGGGCTGGACCTAGAGGAAGTAATGCCTATTTGAGTTCAGGGAACATATGTTCTCTCAGAGAGATTGCAGCTGCGATTAACAGTACTGAATTTGTTGCATACAAAAGTGGAGCACGCCAATACAAGCACAACCCCGAACACGCACACGGGGGATTGCCTTAGCGTGTGTATGTATAACATAGCGACCAATAAACTTACAAATTCAATAGGAACATGTATACATTAAGTGTGTATATGTGGATTACAAGAATTGCATTTAAAACATTAAAAGGACATATTAGATAAAAGTAGCCATATTCCAAAATTAAGCTGACGAAATGTAAAGAAACCGTGAAGCCATGTTGAAAATCGCTGTCAACATCAAGTTCCGGTTAATGTTCCTGATTTTTTACGTTTACGTTTGTCATCTGGACAAAAGGAAGCCGGCAGAGCTTTGCATTGGTGGTTGTTGTAACACGACGCTCACACTCTCGTGGGGTAGTGGGGCGCCACTACCACCACCGAGAAGGAAGTAAAAGTGGGTGGGCATTGCGGGCGGCTTTATGTTGTGTAGTTTCCCGTGTGCTTGATCAGGAAGAGCCGCTCTCTCCTAGAGAGAGCGAGATGAGGGACGAGTACCGTTTTTGTGTATCAAGTGAGCAAAGTACATTTACGGCAATGTCGGCAGCGACGCAGGCAGAGGCATGCTGCGTGTTATTCGCTGCTCGGAATAATGCTTCCCCCGATTCCGAATCAAAATCGGGGAATTGATTTGGTTTTGGAATTATTGATTGTGGTGCGCGGCGTGACAACTGTTGTTTTCTGAACTGCACGAGCTGCTAGGCGTTCTTGTTGGTGGAACTGATTTTCCGTTTCGTCCGTTTTCGCCGATCGTTCGGAAAAGCAGCCTAAGCCGAAAGCTTCTTTTATATAATTTCCATTTTCAGCCGCAAACACACACAGGCACACACTAGCACGCAGCTTACAGTTACAAACAAACAGCTTACACGGACAGGCACAGGTACGCGTATACAAGCACAGACAAACCAAGCATGTACATAAATATGGATGGATTTGGCGAAATTAGCACTACAATACGATTCTTTTCCGCAGGAACGAATAGGCTTTGGGGCCTTAATTTTTACGCATATGCCCTGCCATATTGCACACTTCCAGTGAAAAAGGAAGAGGGGAACGGGAAAGCTGAGCTGTTTGGAAAGTATGTAAGTGCAGCACTGTACTTTTCGAAAGGAACTTTTCGGCCATCGCAACTGATTGTGTGTACGGCTCCATCTCCTAACTTTATCTATTCTGCAAGCGTGGGATCATAATATTTTTTCGCTATGATGGCGACCGGGCAGCGACGCAACGCACTTTGCAGCGCTGTCGCTGCTCTGCTGGCGTATGCAATTCGTGTGCCAGATTTTATCCACTAAGGTTCCTTGCCGCACTCCGCGATGAGGTTCCTAACCTATTTAGTTGCGGCCAGTTGGTTGGCTTTTACACGGATTTTCACTTTTATTACGGATTTTCGGACGTCGATTGCGCTGCCAGCAGAACACACATACAAACATTTTCTCGACTAGTGCGGGGGGTTGTTTTCGCCGTTGGCCACTACAGAAGCTGCAATCTGGGATTTTCTTGTCTTATTCCCATTACGCTTGCCTTTTGCTATGAGGGCGTCTTCTTTTCGCTAGTTTTCGCAGCTAATTAAACATTTTCAGCCATCAAAAGTGTCCCAAGCTCATACACTAGCACGCACACATTTGCACTGGGCCACTCTACATTAGGGGAGAACTCACTGTCGTCATAGGAAGTGGGGTCGCGCACGCTCGCTGAATGATCGAACCGAAATGTTCCATAAAACCACCGAGCACGGCACTTGCGAATTAAATTTAATGCGAATTTATTTTTCTGATTTCTTTCTCCGATGTCTGCGTTTTTTCCTGCTACATGTGTCCAGTGTGACCCGTCGAAGATATTCCGGAAACGACGGCCATATAGCGCAAAAGTTTGGAAAATACCAGTTCTCAAAATGGGTTTCGCAGCACTGGCTTTCAAATTAAATTAAATATTCTTATTGGATGTTGCAGAATATTATCCCTTTTGTGCTTAATTTTTATTTCTCAATACAAGAGTTTTTTGAGAAATGGTTTAACTCGCAGAATCGTATCGAAAATTACTAAAAAAATTAACAAGACGGCGTCTAAACTACTCTGAATAAGCTATAAAATATATATAAAAACAGTATGTAATAACTACATTTTATTTCAAACGGAAAGGGAAATTAACCGTAATAAAGCTAATTTTCCCTAAAATAGTTATTTATCTATGTAGACACACAGATTTAGAAACAAAATGGGTGTTATACATTAGAACGTAACAAAAAGCTAGTCTATTTTGTCGTTGCTACATAAAAATTGAAAATGTGTTTCTTATTCTTTTAGATATTTTAACATGTTGTACTGTTTATATTTCTTACAATGCTAAAATTATTTTTAATTTTCTGTAGAAGTTTTGTATAATTTGTCGAATAAGAAGACTTTGTCTGTGTTAATATAGTCAAGCAATTGAAAAATGCTTTTAAGATTACAAAAACACTTAAAAATCGGCTTAGAAAGTTTATTTTAGGTGGTTTTAGAATATTTTATTTATTAATATAACTTATTAACTTAAAAATGTAGAACGTCGTAATTATTTCACAGTATTTACCCTTGTCACATATTCACTGTTTTTCTTTTTATGAGGAGCTGGTTTTAGTATATTTTTAAATGACTGTGACTTATTTTAGTATTACACCCACAGTCACATTGGTGAACAATTAAGCAGAGGAGCAATTGCATCTCCTGAAATCGATTTCTGATAGGCAGAGCACAAATCGCATCTCCTGAAATCGATTCACGATAGGCTCATACGTTTTTGTTTCGTTTTGGACATATTTATTATTGTTAAAATTGGAGCAATGCCAGCAGTGCGCAAGTTCCGCCGAGAGACCAGTGAAATCAGCTGCTGTCTCAAGTACCTTCTGTTTGCCAGCAATGTGATCCTGTGGCTTTCTGCCCTTCTGGTCCTTTCGGTTGGCGTTTGGGCCTGGACTGAGAAGGACATGTTCCGCAACATCACCCGGCTGCACTTCATCGCCCTGGACCCGGCCTTTGTGCTGATCATCCTGGGTGGAGTCACCTTCCTACTGGGATTCATGGGTAGTATTGGTGCCTTGCGTGAAAACACTTGTCTTCTGGCGGCGGTGCGTTTGTTCTTTTTTCGATCACTCATAACAAAGCTAATTGTCCTGCTTCTGCCCATAGTATGCAATCTTTCTGAGTTTCCTGCTTATCGCTGAGATCGGCTTTTGTGGGGTGGCCTTCGTGCTCAAGGATAAGGGATGGGTAAGCACCATTTCAATGGCTTCAACTCAGGAGAACTCAGATTAAGATTTGTCTTTATCAGATCAAGGATCAGGCCACAGAGGGACTAAAGGCTTTCATTAGGCATTATCGCGAGGATGCAGACCAGCAGAATCTCATTGACTGGATTCAGGAGGACTGGTTACAGTGCTGCGGTATTGACGGACCCAAGGACTGGGACAGCAACAACTACTTCAATTGCTCGTCTATCGCTATCGGCAGCAGAGAAGCGTGTGGCGTACCATTCTCCTGCTGTCGTAGACGTCCTCATGAGCTTATCAAAAACAAGCAATGCGGCTACGATGTACGCAAGGAGGGATACGTAAGTTTGCTGTTTTTTGGTTCTCGTCTTTCCCAAATCCTTGTATTTCACAAACAAATTATACGCATGCAGCCCGTGGATAGGAATATACATGAGAGGGGGTGTTTGCGCGCCGGCGAGGATTGGCTAGAGGCACATCTCATTAGTGTGGCGATTAGCTGCGTGGCTTTGCTAATCTTGCAGGTGACATTCTCCCGTGTCTTAATATGTTATATCCTTACGGCTTGACGTAACGGATGATTTTACTTTTATATAATTAAGATTTTTCTATATTTTAACGATTTTTATTCTTTGAACGGATTCATTTTAATTTTAATCGTTTTTTCATTTTTTTTGCCAGGGCATGGAGTTATCCAAAATAATCTATGAAAAAGGCTGTGTTCAAGCTGGTGAAGAATGGATGGAACACAATTTGATTATTATTTCCACCTCTATTATTGTTGTGATGTTTTTTCAGGTCTCTGTTTTATTTAGTTTTGTCGATACTGTTTTGTTTTTGATTCAATGAAAGCAGTTAAACCATTTAATAACAACACTCCTTATTGTAGATCCTTGGCATTTCCTTTGCTCAGAACCTACGCACTGACATCTACACTCAAAAGTCAAAGTGGCACTGACAAATGGCCCTTCCTGCCCCAACAGCAATTTAGGAAGGACTTAAGACGACGATGTATCAGAGGATTTTCGAGGTAAGAAAATTCGAAAACCACATATGTACGGAACCAGAATCTTCAACTACTCATCTACGCTCCAATTAGTTAACTAAACTGTAAAGTACTCCCTTTTAAGGCCATTGGTCACTTTTATCCAGGGACTGCTATTAACATAAAAAAGTTTGAAAAATTGCAGGCTAAATCGGTTATCCATAAATGTTGAAGTCACAAAATAGGGGTAACTCTTTTATATTCGGAAATCCATTTTATTTTATTACGTGCAGTTAGACAGATTTTTTATTTTAACTTTTATAATTTTTTGTTTTGTTTTAAAACTTGTAAAAGTATTGACCCTGCTTTAAAGGAAATCTCTACGAAACTAAAATTTCTGAACAGAAATTAAAAACGAATATTTTCATGAGCTACATTTGAGTGGTCAATTTTAATTCGTAGGGTTTTCGATTGAAGTGAGTAGGGCTGATATAGCTATGTATCTAACTAAAGCAAACACATTCCGTCTTCGTGGACATTGACTAATATTAACTAGGTTGCCAAATTTGTTGCTGTTTTTACGCGGCTTCCCTTTGCCTGAACAAAAAAATGAGAAAATAAGAGAAAAACATTTAAAATAGATTTTCTAAACTTTTTACAAAGTTAAAGAGGCATAGGAAAACCAAAAAATGTATCTTGAAATGCTGCTGTGATATATTTTTAAAGAAATGTATAGAGAAACCGAAATTATTGCAACAATTTTCAAAAAATCGAATGAACATAATACGAATCTCATTCCTAAACTGAACAAATACAACCTAGTACGACATTGTCTTCAAAATAATATGTTTATGCATAGTTATTTTTATAAGTGAAGAACAACCACCTCTTTGTGTGGGAGTACCAAAATCACAGAACAAGAAATGAAAAAAACAAATCTTGCTAATTAATATTAATGAGCTTAAACTAAATTAATGCACAGAAATTGTTAGATTTACAGTATATAAATATGTATATTTTTGCAATCCGCAATGCGCAGTAACAATTGAGTAAAACCTAAGCTACAGTTGGTTTATTTGCCAAGAAGCGCACATGATACAAAATGCTTTATAAGACAGATTTAAATTCGCTCTTGTACCTTTTTGAATTTATATTGCAAAAAAATGTAATATGCTAAGACTGTACTATTGCTTAACACATTTCGCAAACATTCCTTCCCAATTAATATTCCTAATTTTGGTTTAAAAAACCCACAACCCAAACTCCTGTCCGCAGGAGTCCTAGATTAAATGTAAAATAGACTTTTTTCCAAAACATATAAAACACTGCCCTGAACAGAGTATTATTTTGTTCTTCAAATATCCGGAAGAAAAATGAACTGTTGTGTAACTTTACTAAAGTATTTACATCTCTTAGTCAGATTAAACTTTTATAGCTAACAATTTATATAAATACACTAAATATTTTACAAATCGACTTTCAAAACCCCTTAATGGGGTTCTGGCTTTTTAAGATCTTTCTGAACTCAGTCCTACACGTATGTATTCAAAGCTCAAAAACCTTGAAAAATGTCCTTATATAAAAAAACAAGAAAACAAACATTGATAATACTGAAACATGATATTACTGATACAAATGGGACGATGCTCCTCGGTTAGCCGAAATAAATATGCCCTTGCAGTTAAAGTAAATGTATTGTTCATTAGGCAAAAACTACGGAGTATGTATCGTCCGATTCATAAATGATTTAAAAATTTTAGATTTCTAGTTTGTCACATTCAGACAGATAAAGTCTTCGCCAATTAAGAATATTTATTTGTACAGTTTTTTCTGAATTTAAAACATCTCGCCAAAATACTCTCTGCAAGGGTACACAAAAAGGGGTAGTAAATCGAACAAAATACGAATAAAATTGTAAGAAATATAATTAATATGGTTAACAAAATATTACAATGGTAACGAAAAAGTCAATTGAAAATAAGCTGAAAATAAGATCCGAATCAGTCAAGCAAGCATCAGCTAATATGTATTAAGACAAACATATATAAATATACAGATATGATAAGAGTTAGAAAATGTATAAAAAATCTTAACAAAGGTTGTTGATACAAGTATCAATCAAAACTGCTTCAAATAAAGAAATATCAAATAACAATTAATAGATTATATATAGTCATTATAGTGGAACATCTCCGGACTCTCCATCTAGCTGAGCAACTGCGTCAAACTGAACGGCGGGGAGATCATCGCCTGACGCCGTCTTATTAGCTCGTTGGTACTCAAGGATAACCAAGGAATTTTCGCCTTCCTTGAGGATTTCGTTGGGAACATACAGCGTGACCTGAGGACCAGCCACAGGCCAGTATCGACCCAGGTTGAAGCCGTTTACATAGGCCACACCCTTGCCCCAACCGGCCATGTTCAGATAGGTATCGCCGACCTCCTCCACCGTCAGACTGCCAGTGTAAAGAATTGGCCCGTTGCGAAGAATACGTTGATTGGCCAGAAACGAGTCTAAAACCTTGTGGTCGCTGTTTCCACGACGCCAGAGTTCGATAGTGGATTGCTCGAGCGGGAAAGCAGTACTTCGCCAGTTCTCTAGGGGCAGATATCCACCATTGTGCAGCTGCAGACTAACTTCTCCAAAGATGCCCTTAGTGTCGTTAGAGATGTAGAAATTTACTCGTCCTTGGTTCTCCACCAGTAGTTGGAGAGTGCTTCCCCATCCCTTGCTAAGAGGCAGGGAGTAGATTTGAGCCTCTCTAGAGAGGGTTCCAACTAGTTCCTGGTCCACAAATACGTGTGCGCGGTCGTTAATCTGATCTATTTTTAATAAAGCCGGGTCCAGATCCATACTTGGTAGCTCAGTCTCGTAAAGGACGAGGCCCGAGTATAAGTCTAGTTCCTCAAAGGTTTTGGGCTTTCTTGACTCTACCGGATCACTTCTGGCGAGAGCGGCCCGTCCTTCCGCCGAGAGCAATGCCAACTTGGGTGCCAACTGCACCCTTCCGTAGGACAAGCGCTTGGCTGGACTTAACGTGATTTCGGGCAGTGGAAGGAACTCTCCAATTACAGCTTTGACAAGTTCGTACTTCGTTGTTACCCCTCCGGCCTCGTCCATCACCGCATCATAATCGTAACTTGTTATGTCCGCCGCATATCCGATGCCTCCGTCCAAATTGTAGTTGGCTCCGGCAGTAAATCCGAAGTTAGTTCCGCCGAAAAACATGTAGAGGTTGACACTGGCGTTATAGCTAAGGATTGTCCTGCAATCGGATATGAGAAAAGTTGTTTTTGAATTTTTTTTTATTTCCCAAGATATTTACTTTAACGCATTGGCCACCTCTTGGCCATCACGCCTTTGGTTCTGCTCCTGCCAATGGGTTAGCCAGCCCGGATAGAATTCGGAGTTTACCAGTGGGCCAGTGGGTTGCAGGACACGCAACATTTCCCAGATTTTGTCTATCTCTTGAACTGCAAAGTTGTTGATGTAAGAATGTCGTTTTCGAAGGAACTATCACTAGCTTCACATACTGCGATCAATGCCAAAGTCAGTGGTGGCAAACACGTTCTCAATTTTTCCGCAGCTCATCTTTTCGTTGGGAATGTCCACTGTGAAGAGCAGGGCCTTGCCAGACACGTACTTCTCCGTTTCGTCCCGCAGCCAATTCAGGTAGTCGTGATCGCAGGCATAGTCCCCGTACTCGTTCTCCACCTGCACCATGATGATCCTACCGCCATTACCCACAAGCAGATGCTGAAGTCGTGGCATCAACTCCGAGTACCACTTGCCAACCTCTGAAATGTAGTTGGGGTCGTTGGTGCGCATCTTGATGGTCGGGTACTTGGTAAACAGCCAGTGGGGAAGGCCTCCCTGAAAAGGTAATGCTGTTAGGTGGTCCAAAACCAAGATACTCTTTCTCAATTTCACACGATACTGCACACTTCAGACTCTGAAAACTAAATAATGCTTGAAACAGTAGAAAGAAGAGGTTCATTTGGTTACACAAGAGTCTGCTGCATATCAATACTGGAAGATAGTATAGAAGGGCTGCTTTAAACAAAATCGAAATTTTATTCATGGTCATATCTGTATGAAGTATAATAGTTAAGGGAGGTTGAAAAATTAGTAGGAATTTTTCTAAGCTGACTATGTTAGGACACTGCGGTCAGGTTATTTCCAGCGAGCCGCAACATTATATACTTACATTATCTCGCTCAGCGCAAATGTAGGGACCTGGACGCAGAATGATATAGAAGTCTTCTTCCTGAGCAATCTCCAAAAACTTGACCACATCAGCCATGCCTTCCCAGTTGTATTCTCCATCATGGGGATTATGCAGCGACCACTCTACATATCTGGAAACAGGAATGAAGAGTTTGGAGTAGTTTTTAAGTGTTTATTCCTCATTTTCGTAAGTTTTTAGCTCCACTAGCTATCTCGCAGATAAATTTGTTGTAAATATTTTAAATATATATTACTCTTTTGAATAAAAAATATTTCAACACTTTTAGGACCTATTTTTAACGAATGAATGAACTTACGTATCCAGGGCATTCAGGCCAGATGCCCGCATGGTGCGCAGCCGACTTCGCCAAGCCTCAGGCACAGCTCGGAAATAGTGAAACGACCCAGAGACGTATCGGAAGGGTTGGCCATCCAGCATAAAGGTGTTGGCCTCGTGGTCGATCGCAAATCTAGGCTGGTCCTGTTTAAATATGTGATTAAATTGGGTAACGGATGAGTCGATTGTTAAAAAGTAGCACGACAGCAAACTATCAATTTGCCGAACTGCGACTCACCTCGGTGGCGTCGCTGTCACCGCCCAGCCCGACACAAAGCCCAACTGTGAGGGCCATCACCGCGATTATCAGACATCCACTAACGGCCATTGTCAGCTTTCGAGTGCAGCGACAGCTGCTGCTCATTTTGAGGACCGGCTTTAGGAGCTTAAAAAAGACTTCGGATACTCGTATAGATATATTAGGTACAGCTTAAAGCTCGATCGAATTGGGCACTAACAATAGTTCACAACCGCTCGCTCGTGCTGACCGGAGCACAATGTCAAACTAATGGGTAGTGAGCAGTGGGTGTTCATGGCTGGCGGGAACTTTGGACGCGCCTTTCTTGGAGGGCCGATAAGGCCTGTTGGTCGCCGCATGAGTGGCTGATAAAGCTGCATATTTCGCGCTTAATGGTAGTTCATTTCGAATTCATCGTTGTGATATTTTCTATCCGCACAAGTGGCTTCTCAGTTTATAAGTACTCTGGAGTGCCGTTATTTTAATCGACGTGTTTGCAGATTATAATAATTAGTCCAAGATTGGTTAACATTGCTTTTTTTGGATTAGTATATTTACGTCCTTCAGAAGTGCAGAATTACCTTTTCCCTGTCATTTGTATATATTGGCCTTCACTTTGTATTTTCTAGCAAAGGCGCCGTTTATTTTCATTCTACCATAAGATTAAATTTGATTTAAATTGCAATCGTCAAATTTCAATATATATTCAGTAAATATGTTTTTTGAAAGGTGCCAAGAATATAATGCGAGGTATGATCAGTGGGTATTTCGTAGTCTGAACACTTGGTTCTTGGTTTGTCGTACCCAATTGTGAGAGAAATAATATTAATTTTAATTTAATTAAAGGGTCGATCAGTTCCTAAGTCAGTTGTATTCCGCCAATAGCAGTTAAAATAGTTTGAGCTGTAAACAAAAGGTCGAGGAACTCGAGGAAGATTATGATAGCCCCCATCAGGGTAAGTTATTTCTTTATTAGCGTTATCTTTACATATATAAAATTGCAAAAATCATGCATTTTTGAGTTATGCCTATATCAATATGTGAGAGAGTATGCTAAATATGATGTTTTGATTAATGTATATTGTCTGATCTATAGTAGAGTAAGTTATTTGTAAGAATAGGTTATTTAAAGTGGTAGTAAGTGACAAACCCGGTAATACGTAAGGGTAATATTGCTCTTTAAGAGCCATCCCCATGTGCGTATAATGGTAGGGCTCCCATGGCCCTTCATGCGTTTGCATACTTTTCTAAATTTGACATAACTAAGGATAAATCGTGTTTGAACTGTAACATAAAGTGCTTCTGTGTTTCTGCTGAAATGATATTCACTCAGGTTGAGGTAGAGACAGCACGAAATTCAAATTTGCGGAGGGTCTGGGTAGATACATGGTGGATAGTGGGGTGAAGACGAGGAGTTGGAAAAGCTATTTGTGATCGAATGATTACAATATAATCGATTGTTATCGGCTAGAAACTAGAGTAGATGTCCTTGCTTGCTCAGATTACTGTTCGGCCATCATGCAGAACTTGTCGGCCATCAGGGTTAGCACCTTTTCCAGCTTGCTGTGACGATCTTCGGCCTTGGCAGTTGCTCCGGAACTGCCCCATAGGAACTTTACATGAAACTCGGTTCTGCAAAGGGCAAACGGAGTTAGAGGGATACTCGGGAGTGCAGTACCTATCTATATTACCGAAAAGCATCTGCTAGAAGTTCATCAAGTCTGGGCTTGGCGTCCTCAAGAATGATCTTGGCGTTCTTTCGATATAAATCCAAGTTCCTTAGGAAGCCGCGAGAAGCATCTAGGTGCTGGAAATTAATGGACATGCCAAAGTCGTCCGCCTTTGACTCCCAGGGAGCAATACAGGTGTGGTACAGTGCTGGCCGGTCGTCAATGTTTGAGTGGTTTATGATGTCCATGACGGGTCGATCTATTAGAAGAGCATATAGAAGAACGTGGGGTACGGTTGTGTTTGGGGCCTGTGGATTAGAGGCCTCGTTCATGACGCTCAACGTGGGACGCAACTTGGCCTCGAAGGTAAAGGCGCTGTCCGTAAACTGTTGCCTAAGGATGTGCCAGGCTTGGTCGAGCTTCTGAATCTGGAAAAGGCGGGTAGGTAAAGTACTGAATTGAGTAAGCGGTATCTATACTTGAACACATTTTTTCTTTTTGCTAGAAAATACTTTTAAATATAAACGATTTTGTTCAGAGACTGCATTAATAGTTACACCAATACAACTTAAACTTTAAATAAAAATCCTCAACATGTCGCTAAGATAGGGAAGAAAATGGACGATGGATATTAAAAATTACTTGGATTTACCTGCTGCATGCACAGTCCCAGCATGATGGCACAGAACCCAAATAGGTTTCCCAGAGCCGTCTTAGTCTCCACTGCAATCTGAATCCATTTACTGAGGAGCTGGGCCCGGTCCAGGTCCGTTTGACAGGTGAGTATTGTCACGGCCACCATCAGCTTAATGCACTGTGTCCTCTCGATTACGTCCTCTCTGAAGAGCTTTCCGTGGGGCAGAGTCAGCAGCTCAAGTCCAGAGCAGCTGAGGTAGTAGTCGTCTTCGTTTGACGGCTCCTCCAGAAACAGGGCGATGTCGATTCGGGTTATGTGTTCCGCTAGTAGCTTAGGGCCCGTCTCCAGAAGCATCATCTTGAAGGTGTTAAGTGCATCGCCGTCCAGTGGCTTGTTCTCCACAGAGGGCAGTAGCAGAGTGACAAAGTTTTCGAAGTCGAACTTGCTAGCCTAAAATAGATGCGATTGATTGTATGTGTTTCTATTTCTTAGGGAGGGGAAAGTACACTGTTTTGTTTATTATACCTGTTACTCGTAGAGTAAAAGGGTATATTATATTCGGTGAAAAGTATGTAACAGGTAAAAGGAAGCGTTAACGACCCTATAAAGTATATATATTCTTGACCAGAATCAATAGCGAAGACGATTGAGCCATGTCCGTCTGTCCATCTGTCCGTATGAACGCTAAGATCTCAGGAACTAAAACAGATACAAAGCTGAGATTAAGCATTGAGGTCCCTACGCAGCGCAATCTTATTTCAGCATCCTCCCACGCCCACTCTAACACCCACAAATCACGAAAAACGAAAATCTCAGGAACTATTAAGGCTAGAAAGTGGAAATTCAGTATTTATAATCTTGGGATGCCAGAGCATCTTATGGTGGTACCATTATCCGGCCACAGCCACTCTTACGCCCACCAAGTTCAAAAGCCGGTGGTCCCAATGCGAATTGTTTTGTTTCGATCAAGCCACGCTCACTCTAACGCCCACAAACTGCGAAAATCTTTGGCGTCTACAGTATTACTACGAATGCCTTCGATTGACCTTACATAACTTATTTCTGTTAATATCTATCGATTAATAAAGATTTTTCAAATTGGAACATTATTTCGCTATTTATGAAGAAATTTAGGATATAAGACCTCACATGGGCAGTGACGTCACTATCAGTGCCAGACATGCTTTCTCCGACAATAGGTGACGCCTTGTGAATTTCCACTAGCAAAATGAATATTTTAAAATTGTGTAAAACAGTACAGTAGTCGCGGCAGGTAGCAGGAAATACCGCCGTGTTCAATTTTACTAGCGCCACTTATGGTACAATATAAAACAGGTTAAATAAATTTTTGAAAAGCCACAGATCTTATTAAAAACAAACCGAAATATGAACTTTTAGAAGATGAAGATGAATCATCATCCTAATCCCATACATCCTCAATCCCTACTGTCTGTCTTTTTTACTAGCTGAGATATCAGCGTTCATACAGACGGACGGAAAGATGCACCTAAGTTAATGGACTCGGCTGTTGATCCTGATCATTATATATATTATTATAGGTAATGCGGTCGAAAAATATTCCTTTTCTCCTGAAATTTCTGAAAATTAAATATTAATATTTCAACTAGTAATGCTAGTTTAATGGTATATAGGTGGGAAAGCCGTTACTCGAATACTAATTTAATAATATAATTCATTTAACTTAAGGCAAAGACAGCAAGCACTAAAGACTCACCGTTCTGACTTCCTCTATGACCATGGTGAAAAGCTCCTCTTCGGCGGCAAGGGCGTCAAACTCCGTGAAACTCTTGAGAGTTCCGTTAGAGACCGAGGACGTAATGAACCGGGGATTCTTGATTATCACACCCCGCTGTATGTTTGCTTCCAAGGCATCCCCTAGGGCCGAGTCACCGGATCCATTGCCAGAATCAGATCCACTGGCCTGGTATGCCAGCACAGCTGCCATGGGTTCCTTGCGCGGCTTGGGCGGCGGGCTGGGCGGTCGGGAGTCCGCCGGCGAGTCCAAACTGAAGTTTCTCACCAAACTCGAGATCCGGGTCACTGCTTGCTGCCGCAATGCCTGTGCCGCAGAAGTATTGGGTCTGGGCAGTGAGTGAGTTGTGAACTTGCTCTCTAGGTGGTGCTCACTGGTCGGGTTGCACCTGGCGATCGTCTGAAAGCGGACCATCCCGTTGCCGTTGCCGTTTTCCAACTCCTGCATTTGCAGCTGCTGTTCCTGAAGCTTATTGATGTTGCTGACCAACATAGCCTGGGCAGGCGTGAGGCTCTGGGAACGCTGTTGCTTCTTACAGGGCAGCCGCGGCGGCGGAGGAACCTCTCTTCGCGCCCGTGGAGGCGAGCAATGCGGACTGGCCGGTGATCCAGCCATTGGAGAGAGCTGTTGCTGCTGCGGATCGAAGCGAAAGGCTCCGGGCATGCCGGTACCCACTCCCCCAATGCTTCCCATTGGGGAGTTAAGAGGACTCAAACCTCGAAGGCCTGCCAGCATTTGGGTGTGAAGCTGGTTGCCCACGATTTTATGGCCGTAAAAGGAGAGCGGATAGGTGCGATTGCAAGGAAACTGAATCAGGGCCCCTGACGCTGACGAAATGGGCTTTCCGGATCCAACGTAGAAAGTTATTAGGTCGGGCACGGTGTCGAAGGCATCCTCTTCGAATTGGAACTGAACCCGTTCGTAGACCGTCTCCGGTTGTAGCACCAACTGAAATTGATAGGAAAATTAGTCAGGAAATGAAATAACTTAATTAGGCACCCCTATAGCTTATTCCACGTCTAAAGATACTCCTCATTAGCCAAATAAAGTTTGTGGTTAACTAAAAGTTTATCTATTAAACTCAAAAGCTTTGTTATGATACCAGAAACGGTTTCAAATCGAACTCCAGAACGTCGTGCTAATTTTGACCTCATTTAGATCGTAAGGATGAGGGGGAGATGTACTCTGTTACACTTCTTAATAGGGGCATTTGATTATGACACTCCTTTCTTCTTTGCTTTCTTTCTTCTGGTAACGTTCAGTCTGGTATATAGGACATACCTTGTTAAGTACGAAATGCAAAACGGTTGCCTTGCTGCGGCAGCTCAGCACGTAGTTGTCCGGCTGGGAGGCACAGTCGCGTACCAGGAAGTCGCCCTCGCGCTGCACTATGTCCTCAGCTCGTTGGCGGGGCAAGGCTCCATGATACCAGGCGTGGGAGCGCAGCTCGCGGGCGTCCAGGCTCAGCTCCCACTCGAGCGCTTTCTTCAGGGCGATGGCCTCCTGTTGCTCGCCGGGACTAGGCTGGGCGTTGGCCAGCGGTGTAGATGCGTTGCTGCTACCGTAGCTCTCCATCTTTCCGTCTTCGATGGCCCAATGGGGACTGTTGCACTTGGATCGCGGCCTCAGTGCCTCGTAGCTGTCAGGATAAATAGGAAGGTTGTGTGAATTTCCTTATTTTGGGTAATTTTATGGCAGCAAAGGCCAATCCTCCCACAAGCGGCTTGAGGGAAATTCGCTCCCGCAGAATTTGGTCCTTGGTATATGAACAACTAACTATATGTTTGAAGTTCAAGTGCAAAAAGTTAAAATCAAGTTTTAGCAATAATGGTGGAATGAAACCAATTTTGCAGACATACTTGAAAAAACTGCATTGAAACAAAAAACCGAAAAAAGGTTTCCGACTTTGGAAAATATGTTGTCCTGGCTTAGTTATCACTTACCTACTACGTCCATTTTTCAGAAGAAAATTTAGGACAGGACACACCCTAACTTGATACCTCGGTTGTACCTCTAGGTTCCTAACAGAAACTATTACTACTTCAAAGACTCCATTCAGGAATAACTAGCGTTCTTTTTCACCCTGCCGAACCCTTTAAAGGGATTGCAGTTTCAGGACCGTCGTATAGTAGTCTGGACTCCTTGCCGCTTAAATCTACTCTGAAAAGTTCACGGCAATGTCCTCCAGAGCGGTGTACTTTTAAGGGTTGTTCCCCGTTCTTCGTTCACTACGATACTCCACGCCGTTTGTTTTGGGTTTTGTTTTATAACTCCTAGGCAGCTTCAGGCAAACCTTTGGGAAATTCCTGGGGCATGCGCAGACTATATGTTATTGTTGCCTATAAAGTGGAAAGGAACTTTTGTGGATGTTGTGGACGATGTTGGATATTGGAAGACAAGTGACAGGGTTTTCATACAAAATGCACGTTAGGCACAAAAAACATCAAAATTACTCGATAGATTCATCTTTAGAATTAAATCGAATTAAATGTAACTTTACAAAGTGAACAAGAAAAAACGCAAGTATGAGAAACCCCTCAGGCCGTTAGCCACCTTCTACAGTTTCGATAGAGTCATCTGTTGGGAAAGTCTTTCACATCTACGAATCATGTGGTTGTATTCCTAATACCTTTCCTTGGAAGGTGTATTACACTAGCTTTCTTACATTGTGGCAGTTTCGTCGAAGGTTAGTTGCTTAAGAACCTTTCCGCTTTTTGTAATAATCACGCCAGGTCCGCTATCGCTATCGCCTTTTCCCACTACATCTGGGGAGCTCTCACCCAGATAAACCAACGGACAGGAGTTCTTACGTAGCGGGACTGCTCGCGGGGCACTGCTCATTGCTAGAAGGTAGATGTTTCTTTTACGCCATTTGGGTTTAATATGTTAATCTTCCTGTGACCTGCCTTCTAAATTCATGGATTGGCGCCGCTTGGCACGGACTCCTAGCAGACTATTGACCATCTTCTGTCGATGGGCACCGCGCACGCCACATTGCTTAAGCTCCTTGTCTGTTATGTCCACTACGTCGTCAACAACGTTGAACTCTTGAAGGTTTCCTGGTGGGTATGATGTTTAGTCTCAATCGTGGTGGGCTTATTAGCCAAACCTTCGTACTGCTGCAGTTCTAACAGCTCCAACCATTCGACTATGCTCATCCTGGAGTTGTGAACCATCACAGCCAGGTCCTCGCGACGACGCACTGTGCTCGGGTACCGAAAGTTCCACAGAATGCCTTCAAAACGATTACAAAACAGGCCATGATGTATGATGTAAGTGATCTTGGTTCCACTACTCACTGCTTCTCCGATTCGACACATTACAGTTCTCAAGGGGCCTGGGCATGCGTGTTACCCATGGTGTCAGCAGTCCTTCTTGGTTCGCGCACAAATCAGTAAGCTAAAGAAATCCGTAGCAAGGCCAACACCTAAGCTGAAACTGAACCGCGCACTTCGCTTCAGTGGAACAACTGAACGTGAGCAAATAAAAGCCAAACAGACGACAACCAAGTGAAAGTTCTAAATGAATTTACTGAAGACTGAATGCTCTATCATTTTGAATATTGTTAGCAAAAATGTCTACGATTTGTTAAAAAATATTAGATACAACTAATTTTAATATGTCATTTAATTAATTAATTAGTTTCGAAACACAAACAGGAATAGAGCGTGTATTACCTGAATAATGTATTCTTAATTATACAAATTGATTTATTAATCTAATAATTCCTAATTCTGGGACTTTAGTCTATTAATTCGACGAAAAATATATATATTCCTTCGCTGCAATAAATAAATATTAACAATGACTGGCAAAGTTGTTGAAAGAGTTAACAAATCCCTTAATAGATCGTCAGTGCCAGCAGTACTTCAATGTCGTGCAACAACAATTTGCTCTCACTGTTTTTCTAATTACTGCTCTCCGTACGTGGTGCTCCCCCAAACCTCTGCCCCTGGTCCAACGCCCTGGATAGCCACCATGCGCTTGACCAACTGGCCGTGCTCGTATTTATTCTGCCCATTCTGGGCGTATCTTTTATCGTTGTCTTGATCATATTCTGCTGACCGCAGCGGAGTTCCCTCAATTAAACCTTCTGTTGCTGCCGCGCTGCGCATGGAAGTGGCATTGCGTATTGATATTGTTATACCGACGCGCTTGGGAAACCAGGGGGGGAGGGGGGAGAATAGAGAGCTAATAATCAAACAATTAATTTACACCAAGTTTTATTTTATTGTTGGTTATTCTAAAATAAATATGGTAGAAGTGAACGTTTAGTTTACCTTACAACTGCAAATAATTTAAATTCGCTGTTTCAGTATATATCTACATTACTGCTAGTAACGATCTTAGTAAATACATCTACATGGCATTTTACATGTGTGACTCGAAGTTGACAGCAGCTTGGGGGGCAGCTCTACTCGACCACATTTATTTCAACGCTATCATCGTCGTCGGCCTGTTCGCTCAAATCGACGCTAGAACAGCTGTCGGAACTGTAGTCGAGCGTTTCCCGGGGCGTACTGCTTCCCGAGGCCGTTGAGGCCTTAAAGGCACTTCCCGCTCCCGGTGCCGCAGTTGGTTGCTTCTCCTGGCCGCTCTTAAGATTCTCCCGCGTGTGTCGCCACTTCATGCGACGGTTTTGAAACCAGACCTTGACCTAATGGTGAAATAAGAGCACAAAAATTGATCTATGAATATATAAATATAAAGGAGATTCAATTTAGTAAATAATAATCCCCCGTCGCTCCCCCCTCGAAAGCAAAGAGAGAATCCTATAACATATCGATTCGTCTGCTTAAGCTGATCAAGAGTACGAGTACTGTTAAACGGTTTAAACACTTAAGCACACAGCATATAAAATTTTAGATGTACTGTTTTCAAATTGAGAGCCAGAAGATTATAATTGACTTCCGATGTGTAATGTCCCCTTAAGAAACATGTCTCTGCTACTAAAACCATTTAAAGATTCAATGTAGTTCGGTACAACCATGTCCGTATCGTAAAACGGTATAATGCAATCTTTGAACAGAATGTAACAGGTAATTTCATTATCTAGCTATTGCACTCTGAAGCTCATAAAAACAGCGATTTTGAATAAAAGAATATTAGCTTAAAATAAAGAAACTACATATGTTGCATTGATCTTGTTGTGCCTTGCACATTCCTTTTTCTAATTAGCAATGGTTTTCCTTGCAGAGAGTATTTTATAACCAGTTACCAGCCAACTTTGTAAGCAGGGACGGCACCGCGAGATTAAAATGTGAAATAGGTGGCGCTATTACAATTATACACTGATGTCATATCGTATATCGTTCTCTGGAAATGGGGGGAAAGAGGGAATATGACATTTCTTTTATAATTTGTGTATAATACGGGGACAAGAAAGCGTTTCTGACCCTAAAAAGTATACATATATTCCTGATCAGAACCAATATAATAATAAATTAAATTTCAATTCTTTTCGGTGAGAACCTTTGGAACATTTATGGAGAAATGTAGTCAGGTGAAATAATCGAAAGTAGAGATTAATATTATATATATTTACTTATATATCCTTAGAGTTCTATTATTAACTTACCTGAGCGTCGGTGAGGTTGAGCCGAGCCGCCAGCTTCCGGCGATCGGGCTTGGTGATGTACTTCTGTTGCTGGAACTGAATCTCCAGGCCCTTGCGCTGGAGGTTCGTGAAGACGGCCCGAGACCACGAGCGCTTGCGCTTTCCATTGTTGTTGGCGGAACCGTTACCTGGAGTACTGCCGCTCCCCTGTTGCGGGTGGCCTCCATTTTGCAACGTGGGTCCCGCAGGCGAGGTGGGGGTAACGTCCAGGAGCTGCTGCTGCGTCTTGCCCATAAATCGCTGTTGCTGCGTCAGCTGAAGGGTCGTGAGGCTGTGAAGGGGCGCCAGCAGTCCCGCAGCTGTCGTCGGGATGTGTTGCGGGGGCTTTTGCTGCTGATGGAGGTGTTTTGGGTGGTGCGGTTGATGATGATGCTGTTGATGCTGCTGCTTCTGATGTTGATGGAACCGCAGGAGCGCGTTTGTAGCCAGCGTCGGATAAGTGGGTGACGCTGTTTCGGGGTAGAGTTTGAGATGAAAGGTGGTTAGGTCAGTTGAGGATCGATTGTATAGATTGGCATCCCTCATTTGCAATAACTCTTATTTTGTTGAAAACATAATTGCTTGCTCTTCCGAATCCGGCTGCCCCTTTACACAACCATTCGGTTATTTATTTTTATAAGAAAACCTCCATTACTTATAGACCACATCCTCTCTCGGCGTTGTATAGTGTATCCGGAGGAAATGATACATTTATCGCAGTCCAAGAACATTTTTTTACCAGAAAAAATATGAAATCGAAGTTTTCGTTGTTTGACTAAATTATTTCGATCAATAAAATGCACGTCGAAAATATTTAAATCGGTTTGTTTATAATAAAATTTTCACTTAATTGGAAATTATCATTGAAGCAACAAATTTGTTTACCTCAAGCGGGAATCTAAACAACAACAATTATCTCTAGAGAGCAGAATTATTTGGGGTAATCGAACACGACATGGGGCACACGAGGTTGAGGTCGCTACCGAGTGCTTTCCTACTTTTAAAATTTAAATGTTTTTAAAATATCGAAGAGTGAATGTACACCCAGAGAAATGTTTTCTATATTTACTTCTCTCAAAGCAAGTTTAAAGTCGCCTTAGCTTTCATGATCATGATCATCAGAATAAAATGACTTTCCTGTAGCACTTAAAAATGCATTATAACATATCTGAAATACATGCCATGACCCTTAAGCGAATATATTTACAAGTGAATACATAACCGATCTGTCTTTGTCCAAGTTATGTCAATAAGCAGGACTAGTCCAACTATACAAACCACCTTTTTTCGGACTTTTTTGTGCCGACTGAGAACTAGCATATGCATTTTTTATTGCCTCCTTAACGCAGAGCTGGTGGAATTGGTTTGTTTGGGTGCTCCCGGCATGCGCCCAATTGTTTTCGCATAGAGCGTTTTATTTACTTAAAAAGAATCTACCGTTTCGTGTCTATTTACATTGCAGCGGAAACGGGCTCCGTACTCGTAGGCCCAATTGCATCTCCATCTATATCAGCATCGCCAACGCCACCGGTGCCTCTGTGCATCTGTGCATCTGTGCATCTGCAGAGGCTAATAACGTCTTAATTGGCCTTTTTGGCATTTGGTTTGTGTCAACCACCGGGGCTTGTTATAATGACTTTCCACCGATCTTCAACAGCTCTAGGGTGGGCGGGGAGCTGCGGTTCCCTCTCTCACAGCGCGAGTCCACTTATTGCCGACTTTTGGATTCATTTGTAAATATCGGGTGCCCAATCCCGCTGCCCGGTAAATATCTTAATGAGTTGTGATAATTTTTAGGTGCTATATCAACTGGATGCAGATGCACCCCCAGAAGGAAGCGTTTGTGAGTCGTAAATTGTGCAGCTATGTTTAAGTTGGATCGATTTATTTGCCGGTATATCGGTATTTACGACTTGCTGAATTTCTTTCGGCCGGTCTTATTTATTGGTAAACTGGGAATGATCTTCTGGGTAAAGTAGTGCGCTCCAAGTGGGCCATGTGTTTCCGTAATTCTGGACCACCCCGTTTGACAAGCCGGTCACTAGTTCATTTAATGACCTTTTCCAGGATTCCACTTAAATCAAACTTCTTTACCCAATACAGGATTTATAACCGCATGCATTCAGCATGACTGCATTGTTTTTTCGTTTGACCTGAGTTTCTTATCATTTCTATAAAATAAATGAAAGTTCTAATAACTTTGAATAACTTAACGGAAATATGATTCTACTTGCTTGCTTGCTCCCCTATTAACTGAAGTTAACCCATAATTGTAATACTTTACACACTAGATCTACCAATAAACTAGTACAGGGTGCAGAAAACCAGATCATTTGCTCCAATTCTTAGTGCACGGCGAAAAACAGCAAACCCAAAGTTATTCGTGCAATAAATTAACTGCTTGCAAAACTACACATAAGTATCGTTATTTTTTACTTCTGCAGTTAAAAGGCAAGTCGATCTAGTCAAGTCCATCTGGCTTCTTCCCTTTATGAACATTCTGATCTTGGGAACAGCAAATGGGTTCTGTCTCGAACTAATCATTTACATATATTCCGAAAGTTAAAATTTCTCCGAGGCTAGGCGGAGGTTAATCCTCAAATATTAGAAAATGGAACCGACTTATCTTATTGAAAACATGAAAATTTTGAATGTAGTACGTTGTAATTATTATTGCCACAGGCGGGCCTCCCTGCTGTTGGGAATTTGAGAAACATCTTTAGAGGTCCAAAAGAAATCGTCTTATGGCGATCATTAATCAGGGATCTTTGAGCTCTTTGAAAGTGCACCTAACAGTTGGATTAACATATAAATTGTTAATTAATTAGACGCTCGGCGCCGCATTATTGCTCAGACAGCATTTCCATATCAGACAATAGTCTGTTCCATCAATCGGTCGGCCGATCGATCGGCAACCAGAAAAGCAACAACAATCAACAAACTACTCATCACCAGGCGGGACAGGCAAACAGCAACAAATAGTCGGCGGAGGAAGCCGAAAGATCTGGCTTGGTCCATGATTTTATGATGTGCTATCCGATGCAATCAATCCATCACGAAATAATTCTGCAGGGGCCGGCAGGTTGGACACGGCAGGCAGCCGCAGAGAAGCCTCCTCCTGGAAAGGCCACCTCAGTGGGTGGTTGTGTAAATACTTAGCCTTTGGCTTGGCCCCCAAAACACCGCATAGCTTCACCCGTACAGTCATCCATGCACTTGGTTAATCCATCGGGCAGTCATTCCCTGTCATTAGCCTAAACGGCAGCACAGCCCCATTGGCTGATTCCCAGTAGGTGGACCCGTGGCGCCCAATCTGTCAGAGATCTTCGCGTCTCTTCACAGGCCAAAGTTCTTTTCAGCTATACCTATCGCTCCCACTCTGCCTCTGCTCACCTTCCCATTCCTAATCTCTTCTCCATCGGAACAATTCATTATAGAGGGCAATTAGATGGATAGCTATCTGTATCTGCCCATGAATGACGGGCCAATTGCTCAAGCAAATAAACAAACTTTTCTCCACAAACGCTTTCACGTTCCGAATGAGCTTGAGGTTTATTTTTAAAGACTGACTCGTAATTTGTTCATAAATTGTTGTTAATTTTCGGCTTTGGTCTTTGAGTTTAATTTATTTTAGGTGGCCATAGGATTGATGAAACCTTTCGGAGGCAGTCTGTTTCTTTTTACCAATCTCTTGCTGATTGAGGTATTGTCGAATTTATTCATTCGCCTTGCTAATTGCCTCCGCAAATGTGTTTGAAAACCGTTTAATATTGATGATAATTTTCACAAATATTCTGCCGATGTGGAAGTCTAATTCGGTTTTGTTAGGCGCCAATTTTAATTCTTGCTGTGGTAACAGGGTACATTTTGGCACATTTTTAAACACTCCTGTTGCTGTCGAATCAAGCAGTGTGACTAATTTTAGAGTGGTCATTGAAGTGTCTACGGAACCTGTCTAATTCAACTCCTGCCTGGCTGCTAGCACCCACTTGATAAGAAATGTGTTTAAAACTGAATGGGAAAAGGAAAAGGGTGGGCCAACGTCATGGAGAAATTCAAGCAGCTTGTTAAACAATGAACAATTTCTATTCGAAAACCGAAGCATCCACAGATTATGTTTCTCACTGTTTTCACATAAACAAGATCAAAGTGCGCTCCCAGCCTGCGGACTATGAGAAGTCGTCCCCGTGCCCATATATACAGAAACAGCAGGAAGTAAAGCAAATACCCAAAGCATTTGGGCTATTTGGTTGTCGATTTCAACAAACGGATTGTTTTCGTCAAGAGCCAGAGGCGGGAAACAGTTGGCCACAGGAACATTGCACAATGTGGATACAGAACATGTTATAATTCAAATAATAGCGAGAATTATTTATTAGGGGGCCTTTAACTTCGAGTGTTTCCCATTTTCAACCTATGCTTCAAGGATTGTTAGTTCTGTTTTCCCTCTCAATGAGCCTATTCCGATAACTTAACTCCAGCCCAAAATTATCGTCACAATAATTATCAGACAAAGACAAAGGCTGGAAAACTTTGATAGGCAAGTGGCGAATCTGCCCCACCAATTCTTTTGATCGTTTCCCTGAGATCTGAATATTTCGCAGAACGAAATGCAAATTGATTGACAAATCGGAAAATTTGATTAGCTTTGATCATTTTTATTGCTGCTCCTAGTAGGGTGATCAGAGAGAAATACTTCTGATGATTTTCCATCATTATTTACCAGATACTTTATACATTATGTGTAATTGTATTACTTAAGCCTTATCAGACAGGTATTTACAGGGTATGTTTGGAACGTGGTTGAGACGCTGCATTGAGAGACTTAAAATTTTCATTGTACAAAACAATATTGGCTTTAGCGACTAAAGAGTAATTAACGACTCCATTCATTCAAGAACCCACGGAATGATCTTTTAAAGAGGTTTGGTTCGGCTCTGACTTATTCTCCTTGATGATAGAATATACATTATAGTATATATTTCTTAAGAGTCCTCTGCCTGCCTTAACCCTTTTCTGCTCATCTTCCTGGCAAACGAGACAATGCACATTCACAATTACTAGTTCTTACCATGTTCTGCTGCCCGAAGGGGCGTCGGTCTCAGTACTGATTTGTAATCCATATACAGGCTAGGATATAGTCTGTCAAGGGCCACATAAGGGTGCGTAGAAGTGGGAGCAGCATTTGCGAAGATCGGAGCATGTCCAATCTTACGAGACTCTGCATTCGCTTGGCTAAAGCAGTGCGGAAACGAGCAGCAGGCAAAGGTACCACCATCGCAGCAGGACCTCGTCGAAGGCGACGAATTGCTCTTCCGTTCAGACTCGCCGGGCTCGGAGCCCAGCAGCCGATCCACACTGAAACTCAGCTTGACTTTGGTGGTGCTCTTAGTGGTGGCTGACGGCGAGCCGACCATGGCAGTCGGAGCGCAGGAGTCTTTGGTCGGCAGATCCCGATCACTTTCGACTGGATCGGAATCAGAACAGTTCGTCAGAGCTGAGTTCACTTCACACTCCCCGTACACGTGAGTGCTGAGGTTCTCGGGCATACTTTGTTCCATGCTGGCGGCACTCTCGTGTAGTAACATTTCTCGATTATATGGGTCTATTCGTTTGGCACAACCCGAAAAGTCTGTTCACCCGTTAACGAACTGTCTGGTCTACCATCTCCCAAAACACCGTCGCTTGCAGCCTATAGTACGATCGCGCTTAGGGCTTGTGCACCTTCAATTAAACCGCCTTGCAAGACATTCCACTCAGAACTGATCGGAACCGGCCAGGGAGCTCTCTCCGCCAACAATCGATTGCCGTTCGCGCATTCAACGCGGAACAGCCTACCAGTTGGGTAAATCTTGCTGAGATCGTGAGTTCCTAGTGTTTACAGTGGGGCAAATGCAAATCTCAAAGCGAACAAAACATATTATACGTTGAATTCCTGAGTGCCTAATACTTTCCAGCAAGGCTGCGAAACTCGGTATCTCATTGGGCCTCAATCTTTTTTCTGTAGGTGTGTCCTTAGCACAGATCAAAAAAATTCACTCACGCATATTTCCATAGTCTTGTGCCCACTGTAACCACACACCGATGGGATACTTGCTACTCAGTTCGGTTGTTTACACACAAGCATGCCTCTGTGTCATTAGCTCTGTCGGAGATTGTTTCCTCGATCGCTGCTGAGATTTGTTTACCGATTTCTCCATATGTTCCCGTACTCCCACTCAGACACAGACAGCCAGCGAATTCCGGTTCCTTGCGTAGAGGCCATGGCGTGCGACTCGTGGCCAATGCGAGCGATCCGTTCCAGTGGGCGGAGCCAATGCCAAGATGCTGGCAATGCTTATGCGGCATCTCTCTTTCCCACTCAAGGAATGTGGGCCTAATTGGCCTGGAATTGAGCGATCTCCGCGACTCCACCTGCTCTACGCTATCTGCGGCTTGAAAGCCGCTCGGTAATCGGGTAACAGGGCCAGAGGTCATAAATCAAGCCACAATCCCCCGACGGAGACAGACAAAACAGAGCACGGAAAGATCATCAGGATAAAAATCTGAACTGAAACCCTGAAAATTGCGAAAGGAAGCCCGTGTTATTAATAGGAATCTTGTCGTGACTGCCTTTAAATAGCATACTTTCCGGCAGCAAATAGCCACCCCAGAGGGCGAACCCCTAGTACTGCCAGCCCACAAATTGACCCAAAAACAGTCGGATATGCAAATGCAGCTTGAGGAAATGAACCAGGAAAACCCAGTGGAACTCAGTGACACATCTTATCCTCTGCCAAAGAAATACGGCTTTTTGCGAAAACCTTGTTGTTTAAATTTTATTTAGTGATGAGATAAGCATTATATTTATTTAAAATATCTGAGAAAAAAAAAATGTTAGCAAAATTTGTAAGAATATCGCGATTTCCAGGACTATTGTCTGCAACCTCTTAAACTTAACATGAGGTGTAAGCTTTTCCCATAAATCATAGGGCATACAAAAGGTGAAAGGGAAAGAAGCGAAAGGCAATCAAAGTGAGTAAACATCACGAACAGCACTTGTTCTTGGGGAACTGTTGGAAACCGCAACCGAAACGTTGCGCGGCAACTCAAATTGTTGTAGTCAGGGAACAGTACGCTTCTTCCACTCGAATGGAGTCGTTCTCTGCGTCCTTGTCCTCGTCTTCGTCAATGCCGTCACCACTGCTGCGTAGTGCAAGTGGCATGGAAAGCCCGGACATCTGCGAGCCTCCGCAGGATGAGGAGGAGTTTTCTTTCCGATATCCAAGTTATATGTTCCCGGACGTGGAGTACGACAAGGAGGACGTCCCGTTGCCCTTCAAGGTTACACCGGACTCCCTCTTCAATCTTTGTGCCGCCGTCGTGGATTCCCAAGCGCGCACTGAGGTCTTTAAGTGGAGTATCAACGACGTGACCGACTGGCTTCGGAACTTTGGATATCCCGAGTATGAGGTGAGCGAGGATGAGTTAAGTAACTGGGAATATTGTTCCTATAACTCAACGACTTTATTTTTTTGACAATACGCCAAGTACAATTATATTAGTATAAGGAAAATAAAATCAGTTAACACAGTAACTCACAGTTGCGAGTTTAAATCTAATTGACAGTCGATCACCATTTGGTAAATCAAATAACTTATAAGCTAACAAATATGTTCGAACCAAATAACGAATCATCACCCTAAAGGCTTATTAAATAAATATTCTTGCAAACCCGATACAAATTTGGTTATGAATCTCACTCAGTTCCATCTATTACAATCAATGCCGAGAACCATACATTTAAAAATCATTTAAAAAAGTAAAAAGATTAAAAAAATGAATTTTTACTAGAATTTAACTTTATCTTCAGCAAACTTTTCGTGAAAACTATATTGACGGTCACAAGCTCCTCAATTTGGATGCCGTGTCCCTAGTGGCCCTGAACATTCGTAATTTCGAGCACATTCGTCACCTTGGTCGCGGGATTCGAGCGCTCTACCGCAAGGAGCTCCAGACGGCAACAGAGACTAAGGAGCAAAGCGAGGTCTACAAGACGTTTCGTGCCCGCACTGGGCGGAGGTACGAGGGATTGCGGGAGACGGAGCTACTAGGCCGCATGCACATGATTCGCTCGGTGTTCCGCGACGTCAACGACTGGGATCTGATGGAACTGCACATGTCCAGGACTCCAGTGAGGCGGTACCGTGAGATCGTCGCCGGGTCCAGGCGCTACAATCTTTACGGGCCATCCACTGCCCGCAGGGAACCCATAATAACGGATGATGTGAATTACTCTCCATGGTTTCATTTTGGCGACTGCTACTAGTTCTCTCTGGGACCGCGGGGATAATTTTGAATGTTATATCCATTTTATATGTTTACATTGCATAGTTTTTAAACAGGGAACTGTGAAATCTTAGTTTACAATTATTTTTAAAACAAAGTCAAAAAAGGTGTAACCGCATAGATCTTGTGAACTATAAGAAACGAAGAGTTGCAATCAAGAATGCAGATTCTAAATATGCCAGCGCAGCTCAAGTTTGTTTCAGTTTGTTTGTTTTGTTTTTAATATCTATCGAAATGCTAATACTTAGTCAAATCGGAATAATATCTCAAATTTGTTTAAACAATTTTGGTTACGGTCAGAGAGGACGTAAATTTCTTCAAGGATAATTATTTTGAAACTGGTTGACAGTCTATATTATAGACTCCATAATATCTTCGACAACAACGCGTCTTGCCTTGAATTAAAATATATTCATATTGTTACCTATCAACTGCTCTATAAAGGTACAACCATATGTTTGTAAGTATTAATTTTTAGAAACCGACAAAGTGTATCTATAAAATCCTTCTTTGCATAAAAGTTTTTTAGTTGCTTTATCATTACCGGATCCAATGTATCAAGAAAAATAACAATTCGATTATTTTTCATCTTATATCTAAAGAATGATATACGATAGTCGGACACAACGTACGATAAAAATGTACTTGGAAATATTAAAGCCCAGTAAACAGACACCAATCTATTTCTGCATATTTAACTATCATTAAATAAATGATTAAAGTATCCTTGACTCTCTGATTACTATCTTCTATTCTACAAAGGGGGTAACGTATATATTAACCCTGCACTGTTTATATATTTCAGGAAAACTTGTCCACGTACATATGGTAAAGCTTTTAAGTCAGAGCATATACTTAGTACACCAATCCACTTTCTGTGCAGCTTCAACGTGACTCTGTTGCTACCAAAGTGAAATCCCGCACCTTCCACTTCCCCACCCTTTAGATCATTTAGTCTGCCCAATCAGTCGACACTGCGCATTGATCACTTATCGCTCTGAATTGTAGTTGCTGTTTTTGCTGTGGGATTTGGGGTTTGGGGTTTGGGGTTTTGGGCTGTTCCTCTCGAGAGCCGTCCGCTCACGTGTTCAAATTTATTGATTGTTCTGCTCACAAGACACGGCGTTCTAGCTTTTCCTCGGACTGAGGACTGAGGATTGAGCTCGATGTCCAGCTGTGCGGCATGGGAGACGTACGTGTGGTCGGCTTATGTTATATTTCTCGACATCATGTGTGTCCGTCGATCGGTGGGAGAGCATTGCCGACCCGAGATTGAGCCCGGCCTACAGCTGCGTCTAGATGCAACCTTAGACGAGGCAACGAAACGCTGCAACACTGCCCATGCAAATTGTTGTTGGCCTTTATTAACTTAAGCCCATTCAGACTACCTTAATAACTCGTTCCGTTAACACTTTATTATGTTCAAGGCGCATAAATCGTTCCATCACCCGGACATAGTCGCGAGCATCGGCCGGGTCTGGAGGAGGGTTCCGAGGACCCAAGTTTCCAAGTTCCAGAGTGTCTGCGGCCAGGCCGACGTTGGCGATTATGATTTATCGCATTTTAATCAATTTAAAATGTTTAAACGATACGAATCGGAAGAAATTATGAATGTGTTGCTGTCTCCAGGCTCCACAGTAGGCCACCAATAACAACAGTCAAAGCCCCAACCACTGCAACCCATATCCATACCCAACGACGATACGAGCCGACTCGGGAACCCGGCGATCATCGTCAGCATGCGTTATCCGACGCGTACCTCGTTTGTATTTCACTCCCCAAGTCCCCACCAAATCTCGTGTTTCGTTGGGTCTGGAAAGTTTCGAAGACTTACGCGGCTTACATTAGTCACAGGCCAGGGGCGGACTTGGAAACAAGGAAATTATCTGGTGGGTTGGGAAAATATATACCGATATTGAATCGATATCGAATTGTCAATGTAAATGGATGGCGACCATTATGAACAGTGCTTATTCTTGTGACTAAAAAAAACATATATCATTTTAGATCACCTTTAAAATATTTTATACGTTGATGTATTTGTTTATAGAATGCACGATCATTGTCCGTCTGCAATTTATAGGCTTCTTAAATGCACTTGCTAAGTATTTTTGTTATTTTAATTTTAAGGCGCAAACATATTAAAATAAAATAAAATGTGTTTAGATCTTAAGATATTTATTAATATAAATAATACAACTTTTTAGTTTTCATAAATTGTACCTCACCCAATCATTACATTTTCAAGGGTATAAAAGTAACATTAGTAACAACAATCCAGGGCAATCCAGCCCTGAGCTCAGCAGTAAAGCCTTCCTCGGATCGGAGATGAGAGATCGCGTGCTGTGTCGACTGGCGAGTGAGTTCCAGAGCGCATTTCGGCCGCGACGACGGCTCAGCGACGATTATGATTAAAAATGATAAGCGAAATATTTTTATCATTTCTCAAATTAACATAAACCATATGTGATTATCACACAATAAGCTCGGTGGTTGTTCTGCCCAGCTCCATGCCCAACGTAGGTTTCTTGTTATTCGTTTTTTATAAGATTTTATGCCTCTCACTGCGCTCAGTTATAAGTTATGGCATTGCTGTGGGATTTTGTCGTGGCCGCGGTCAGGATTTGGTCCCGGCAGTCAATGGCAACATCGAATTTATGAGAATTTATCAGAGGTCAGTTCGGGTCTTTCTGGTATCATAAAGAAGTTTTATTCGATGCTTAACATATGCGTACTGACTAAAACGGTTTGAAGCGGCGCGACTGCTTGAGCAGCTCGATCTTTCGTTTATCCTCTTCGAATTTCTTGCGCATCTCTACGATGTTCTGCATCTTACTTTCTCGTATCTGGAAGGTATAAAAGTTTTTCAGTTCCTTGGTCTTGTTTCCCTTGGCCACTTTTTGTTCCAGGCGTCCAATCACAGAGGCCTTCTGCTCGAAGCCTGCGTTGCGGCCCTCCTTGCCCACGGTGACCCATCCGTCAGCATCAGCTTCTCCGGTCTTTGCCGCTTCAGTCGCAGCTCGCTCCATCTTGTCATATGCGGCCATATACTTGCTGACCTCTAGTTTCGCCTTCTGGGCCTTCAGAAGGTAGTTGCCTTCGTACTCCTCGTGCCAGAGTTCCATGCCGGTTTTAAGGATGCACTCGCCGCTGCTGTTGAAAAGGTCGATGCTCTTAAAAGCCAAAGCCTTGCCAATGCTGCTACTCTTCTGAAACACTATGTAGGCCACCTTGAAGACGAAAGGCGGGCGGTTGTTGGAGAATGGTTCACCCGTGCCCTCGTACCACTTGATGGTCTCATCCTTTCCCGGCTTGGCAGCAAACTCCACGGCCTCTATGGTACCCGCCTGGGCGAAGACTGTCTTGAGGCTTTCTTCTGTCACGTAGGGCGGCACGTTGAGTAAGAAGAGCGTGCGACCTTTGGGCTTGTTGGGATCCATCAGGCGGATGAAGTGCTCCCGCATGTAGACACTGTGGCAATATTTGGCCTTGGGCGTTGTGCGTAGGGGAACAGCTGAAAGGCGAACAAATTAGCAATAGCGACTGCTATCTCTTGTCTGATATTTACCTACATAGCCCTCCAGTTCAACCATTTTATTATGGTTATTCGAGGTAAGGCAAATTAACTAAGCGGTTTGTAAACACGTTGTGATCCAGTGTGACTGCGCACCTTTTACGGCCTATTGAAATATACTGAACGTAATAAAAAATGTAAAGTACCACAAAAGGTGGAGAACTTGAATGACCGATATCACTTCCATATGGGCAGCACTGGGGAAGAGCGGAAAATTCAAACTTAGGAGTCGTTTTTTTCTTTTGTACTCTTTTGAACTGCCGGACTTATTTCTGGCTTTCTCAAGGAACAGCTTTCCATATCTATTATTCCTTCTTGATCATTAATAAAATTCAGGCCATTGTTCCAAGGAATAAAACGAAATAAAAATTTTATACAGACGTCAAAATATTTCCATTCAGTTGAGGCGAACATTATTGTTATGCAGGTATTTTGGAAATGCCTTTTACCCATACCGACTGTGGTTGTGTGTACGAATGCAAACTACGAATAATTAAGCAACATTAGTTTTAGGGGGAAGTTAGGAGCCGAAAGCGGCATCAGTTTGGACGAAACCAAATGTTTTTGTAAACTTTGCACGTAATTTGGCATTCGTCCGATTTTGTTCGTCGCCATGTGTCCTGCGCAATATCCCTCTTTCGAGGATGTGTGGATGTAGACGTGTCCGTCAAATGGTCCGAACACAAAAACTGCACACCACAACTGCATCCGGGGCCCCACCGTCCTCAGTCCATCCCCATACTACCCGACGGTCGGCGGCAACGTTTATTTAAAGGCCGCATGCTGAAAGCGGAAGTTTGCAAGGCACGTTTATAGCCAAGGGTCCTGTGCCCCGTGAATAGATGCTGATTAATTAAAAACCCAGAATTAATTGTTTTAGGCATAGTTATTATAGATATTTGGCATCCAAAATGAAGCTCGTTGATCAAAACTGTTTAACAAACCGGCCTTAATTGCGATGCCAATTGACATTGTTTTAGCAAAATGCCACTCTTCTTGCGCCGAGGGAGCTGGGGGCTGATTGAATAATACAATTTGAATGCGGTTTGATTTTGTGGACCTCGCCTCAAGCGTAATTAAAATGCTGTGGAATGAGGACAGTTACCTCAATTAGCAACTTTGCACTTGTGACAAGGGACTTTATCCTCATCCTTCTGTGGCCGCATGTTTGATAGTAGAGTGTTAGTGTAATAAAACTAATTTTCAATTTATGCAATTAATGCAATTAGTTAAAACTGGTTGCTTTCATTTACAAATTCAATATTTCGACTGTCCAACAGACTTAAGTAATTTAAGTGACTGCCTTCAAAAATGAATATGGCAATTATAAAAATTACCAGTAAATAATTTTTATAATTTCATATAAAAGTAAGTCCTAAGTCATAAAAAGTAAGTAAGTAAACTGCATGGGGGTGCACTCACGTCTTGTCGTCCAACTAGTTGAACAGGTCTGCGGATACAGAAAAAAGGGGATCAAAGATCATAACTTATCAATGTGCTCGGTGTGCTAGTACCAGTTGGGAATCTTAATCGTACAATCTGATATGTAATTGCAAATAAATTGCAGTACTGGTCTATTTAACAAGAAATCTTTGTCTCTCTATGTGTATATAGTTGCAATAAGTTTGTCAAGGGATAATTTAATTACCGGTTTTCCTAATATAAATATAAAATATGAATACAAAATATTCAAGTGCTGTGCCGGTTAGTACTAACCTTTTTATTAAAGCTTCAAAAAAACGGATATCGGACTTTGCCTTGGGAATGTGACATCCCTTTATTGTATCTAGTTGGAGCAACGCATCGTACAAACAGAATGATATTTATATTTACTTAATAAATTTATATATGCTGTATTAATAATGAAATGTTTGTTTCTTTTGCTTTGCATTTCAAGAGGGACTATAACTATTTTCTCGGCTTAGTGCTACCGAATTTAAATTTAAGTTTAGTTTCTGGTTAGATAATATAAGGGAAACCCAAATTACATCATACCAAATTAATACAAATTCTTTTATTTTTGGTTATTCATTTACATAATTGACCAATATTATTCTTAATGTTTTATATCCAAATAATTTAAATTTTTCCTTTTAAAAGTCACGTCATAAATCTGGAAGAATGGAGTTATAGGAAAGTTAGTTCAGTAATGTTAAGATAAGCTAAGCAAAAATAATTTTAAAATAAATAAAATAATATATACATTTAATTTAATTTAACCCAGAACGTATTCAGGATTTTATACGATAATATTCAAAAACTACGGGTGACTTTATTATATTATTTTCTCATTCTTGTTCTCAATTTTGTACGTATTTTGTATTTTTTTTCAAAGTGTTTTCTACCCTTTAACAAAACACCAAAAAACTTATTTAGCATAAGTTGCCTTTACTTTTTCGCCATGCATACTTAAAAAAATGATGAAGCATTTTAAATTTTGAAGCGCGTCACGTACTTCACCTGCTTCCCATTGAGGGTCGAGAATCTGTTGTCCTAATGCGGAATCCTTGACTAATTAGAACAAGCTGCGGCGGCTGCACGATGCACAGTTGGCCAAATCTCACATTTATAAAACTGGCATTATACTTAACTACTGAAAACCCTATTAAATAAGTCCGAGATTCTTACGAAGTGAAGGCAGCGGTAAGTGCCTGCAGGTTTTTGAATGAAACCAACAACAGTTTTAATTTTTTATAAAGCTATGCATTTCCACACACTGTCAGAGGTGCCACAGCGCCCTAGCCGCAGTTTGGGTTGTTTGTGAGGTTCAAAGCAGGAAAAGGTGACAGGTTCTTTTCAAAACGAACCTCATGTGTCTGTGTCGGTTAATGAAAAAATGTTGCAAGTTGCGTAGTCATTAAAAATATATGCTTAGTTGGAGCCTAGCTGCTAAGAATAACCGACGAAAATTGTATATTTTTAATATGAATTCAACTTTAAATTACAAAGATATCTATGAATAAGGTTCGCCCTAACTGCTGGCTAGCACCTTATTAAATTTGTTGCGTAATTGTGTTTAAGCTTTTATTAAATAACTGTTAAGAGAAAAATTGTATTTTGCAGTCCACAAGGAATTCAGCGCAGTCACCTGTCCACGCTGAGTTTTTAGATGCCGGTCAATTGTCCGTGAAAACTTTTCAACCGATTTTCGTCTCTGTTTGATTTATGTGCGTGGGTGTTTGCGGAGGCAATTCGTGCACCAACCACACCTAAATAAAAATGTTTCCCCCACGTATTCGAAATTTTTCATTGGGGTTCCAGAAACGACATTGCAATGGTGGAAATCACAGAAAAGGCTGTGTCTGCGTCCATTTAAAATGTCACGTGCAACTAATTTATGTCGCTAATGCCGCAAAATGTGTCAAATATGATGGCAGTCGTAACTGTTGATTACCGAAAACAACCGCTGTTTTCTGAATAGGTGTTTAAAATTTGCACTAAAAGTTGTAAGTTAATAATAATATTTGTATTAAACATTTTTAATCAGCGATTATGAAAAAGCCTTAGACTTTATAAAAACCCTTAAGCCTTAACCTTAAATTCACAATTAAGCAAACAGAATATATACTACTCTACGAGGATATGTTAAAACCTCAAAGATTGTTTTCATACGTACTAAAACAGAAATTGTGGAACTAGCCACCTACTATATTCGTAACAAAATACTACCCTAAATTGGATTTTCGTGAAAAAAATTTCTTCGTCACTCGAATGAAGATGCCAGTTGGTTACGAGTCCAAAATCGGAGTAAGGTGGAATTTAATGTGTCTGCACCTACCATAAAAGGGTCTAAAATGGGCATTACCCGTTGTCAGTCAATCAACCTCAGAACACACCCAAAACAGTTTTCCCATCCCCATAGTTCCTTATTATGGATGTTGTTCAAGTTGGCCACTAATCTATGCAAAACGATTGGCACTTAAACGTGACCCTAAAAAAGGAAACTGATACTTGATTTGGTTGGTATGGCCGGCCATCTCCTCTAATTTCTCAATGACCCAGTACTTATGATTAATTGGGCTTATATTACTTTCATTAATTATTAGGTCTTAATGGGGTCCAAAATTCACAGTACGGAGCCCAAGAAAAAAGGAGCTGAAACTTGGGGTTATTTCCGTCTGGCCGTGGTTGCCTCTGATTAGTATCGTGGCATACCACGCCCCTTCTGATTCCGTTGTCGATAAGCAGCCAATCGTTTCCAATATAGACCCTGGACTTTCGACTTTCGACTTTCACTTGGTCCTCGAGTCTCTAGCCTGGACTTGGGGTAGTTGCGAAAGTTGGCACAAAAGGTTCCAAAACTTGGCTCATTAATTATGGAAAGCAACAAAAAATGAACGACGCCCAAAGGAAATTTGTCGAGAGCCTGTCTCGGTGCTTTCACTTCAATTGGTTATTGACGATTTATTTGGCGTTAACTCGTGTTTACCAATTTATTAACTGCAGACCCTGCCATCATGATGCCATTAGCGATAAAAATTGACATATTGAGAAGAAAGAAATCTTTGACTCCTTTTGGGAAATGAGCTCATCGCAGCGTGGGGCAAATCATTTATTAATAGCTTTTCTACTAATAAAGAAGTAAAATTCATCGGTGTCCCGTAACCAGTGGAAGTGATTTTGGTTTCATTCGACCCTCCGCAAGTCGCTTCTGCAGCAAAGACATTAGAAAAAGTCGCAATCATTAATCATTGACAATTCGTACACGGAAGTGGAAGCTCCGTTGTCAAAAAACCAATTTAAAGTAAATTAGCGCAACGCAAAATTCTAGTCTTTCCGTGCGGGTGCCAGACCAGGGGCCGGTTGAGCTGGCAGATCAGGTGCGTGTCCTTTAGGCCAAACAAAAGTGGCAACTCGACTTGGCCGGAACTTTGCACACACATGGCTGCGGTTACCTTTCATTTGCTATCAGATCACGTACGTGTGCCTAGCTTGGCAGTGAAAAGGGGATAGGGGATCCCTCACCCAGTTGCCCCATCCCGGTCCTACTCCTTATTATGTTCCACGCCGAAGAAAAAGTCCTGAGGCTGGGGAGAATAGTGCAGACGTAGCTCCTGCGAATTTATTGCACGTGGTAAGTCGGTTAGATGGGTTGGACTGCAGATTAGACGCCCTGATAGACACAAAACGCTTTTTCCTCGAGTTAAACCTAAGTTTGGACATGGACATAAAATTTATTGCACGTTAACTTAGAACTGAGTTGAGGGCTGAGTGAAAAAGAAGGACCGGATCTAACAGACTGGCTGTTCTGCCCACTTTGATGCGTTCTTTATTTCAGTCCGATTGTTGGCCTGCAAGTTTTGGCTGGCTGGCAAATGACTCTAGGCAGTTTGCCAAACTTGGCAGGTTTTGAATGATGGATTTGCCCTATGAGCATAAAGCTGAAAAGGTCCAAAGTCGCTATTAACACTTTTAAATTATAACTTTTCAAATACAAAACAAATGTGAATGCGTTACTATAAGCATAGTAGGGTGCTATTGCCATATTTAATATTATTATTTATATATATTATTATTATATATATATATTATTGTTATATAAATAAACCATAACAATATAAAGTCTGACCATTATTTAGGAAGGTATTACGAAATCAAAGTTAATCAAATGACCTCACCTTTTGAAATTATGCATCGTGGATTACATAGCAAAACTATTTTTTCAGGAGAATAGTTGGTCGGCTATCGAGTGGAGGCTTAATGGCAAAGGCCTGCACCCAGACCCAGGAGGACTGCAAGAAGTCGTTTCAGCTCATTGGGACCGTCCTGGCCTGAGTACTCGTATGTGCATGTGTCAAAATCGTAGTGTTTACCGCTCGCTCCATCATCAATGCGTGGCATCCGCAAGTGGCAAATTCAAAATTCAAAGACAAACTAAAACAATTGTCTCAACTCAACTGGGAACTGGACGGCGAAGTTGGCCCCCAACGACTTTTAGACAAAAGGTCGATAAGTACATTTGCGGACGTAAAAATAGCAATGTCCTAAAAAATTATGGAGTTTTCTTTTTAAACATATTTTTAAAAGAACGCCCGGCTGTATCTAGTATGGCCGAGTCTTATATACTCTTCTGGTTATTGCTAAAACCGATCATTTCAATAGGCCTTTAACTTTAATTGCTTGATTTTTATTTAATAAAAAATAAATTGTTGAAATAGTAAACAAATATTATATAACGATTGTATTCTTCATTGTGAAAAAAAACATAAATTCGATTTTTCAGTTGTTTTCTAATTGAGCATCATGTCGTTTTGATGGCCCAATATTTAGAAAATTAAAACTGTAGTTTTGAAATTAAAGATGGGTGGCCACAACAATGAAACATAGAAAACATTAAAAAATGTATAATTTATAATCTATATGATATATTTTGTAAATATTTTATATTCTGAACTTATTATACCCACTGCAGGGATATATAATACATATATACAAAAATAACTTTTGGCGTAGATTTAGAAACGATTAGTACTAATATCTTGCACTCAACTGTGCCACCGTCAAACTAAGTCCTCGACCCTGTCGCAAGCATTTCAAAAATCCCCAAGGATTTGGCTCACATTGTGTAAAGAAATCTTTTAAACAATTTTAAGCTTGATTTCTTTTTTATCCTGACCAGCTCGAGGGCGGTTACTTAAATTTTCTTAGGGTTTAACTTCTTGATGTTCCAGGCCAGATTAACAAGGCTTTCCCTGCTTGGACTCACAATGGTGTGACTCTGTTCAGCATAATCTACTTCCAAACAGCCACAAGCAACACCAATGTGTCCATGTAATCTCGCTAGTGTCTATCTGGGTGGGCATCCCCTACAGGACAAACTGTAATTTTATGCAAGGAATGAAAGAAAAGGGAAATTCTGCACGCCTCTGCAACTCAAGTTGATATGCGCATCAGTTTCAAACATTTTTTCTTTATACTTAAGTTCTCCACACTATGGTTACATTCGACTTAAAATATGCCCTTTTCAAAAAATGTATCAGGTTTTTACCGAAAACTTTTATATGTATTTCTATCGCTCTATACCTTACCGACCCCGAAGGTGTACAGTTAAAGTATTAACATTCAGAGGGAAATATCAAGCTAAGGTCGTAAGACCTACATAACTCAGCCCTTGTCTGTGACATCGGTGAAATCATGTTTTCGAAGTTGTCCGAAAAATGGCGCAGGTGTAACTCCATAACGCTAATCAGAAAAGCCAAAACCAAAGATCTGTCAGCCGTGTTGCAAGATGCGGAGAAAACTGTGGGAAAGAGTCCCACGATGCACATGCGGTAGTTATATAACTGTCAGCTGTAAATTAAATTTTATTTTAAATTCAACATGTCGCAGTACGACCAAGCGACGCTGCAGTTGACTTCAGCTTGGGTGTTCGGGTTTGGCTTGGTATTCATTGAAAAGTCCGCAACTAATTAGAACGAACGGACAAGAAGGGAGTGGTGAGCGGGAAGTGAGAAGCGGGGAGTGGGAAGTCAGCACGTAGACGACACGGCGACAGAACTTCGAGCACGGCTACTCCTCCTGCCGTGAGCGAGATAAGCTACTTTGAGGGGACAGGCCAACAGAGCAAATAAACAGCCAGACACAGGGACGAATTAACAGAATGGCATTGCACTCATTTTCCCGAAAGAGGGAAACAAACAATACATGAACAAGTATCTAGGAAATTGTGTTAAATAAAAAATCTATGCTTTAATAAATAGTTTTAGACTTTTACATTTTCCCTAAAAAAATAGAAATCGCAATAAAAAAAGTTTATAATTTGAACGCCTACTAATCTTACAAGGCATTGACTAAAGTCTGCCCAAATGAAAAACAGACCCCAAACTAATTTCCGAATACGTTTGCAGTAACAGAATGTTTTACTTCAACATGCTTTTCACTGGAAATAACTTTCACTCAGTCGTTTAATAATTAAACGGCCACTGATCACAGACACTTACGGCTGTCAATGGACTATACAAACCAAGTGACAACTTGTTTTCGCCACCCTGAAAACTGTCTGCAAGTGCCCGTTCCACCCACATCGGAGACCTGCGGAAACTATTGATTAGTGTTTAAATAATAGATGAAGTATGTGCAATAACAGCTTGGATGGCAACTACTTAAAGTACCTTAACCAACTAATTCTTAGCCTCGTCCAGATTGACCCCTTTGTTTATCTCAAAGACACTCGGATGACAACAGGAAGTGGGAGAAATGCAGAGTACCCTGCCGACACCCAAGAGCTTAGCTAACCATTCGGAAGATGCACTCAAGCGTTAACCGTCGATGCCCCGGATGTAAAGTATTCCCGAATTCGTCCCCGAATCCTTAAATTTGCATTTAATGAGGTTACAGTGCGCCCGAGGTGAGAAAAATGTTGATTCAAGCCCGTACTTAGCAAAGTGAATTCAAATGCAAATTGTATGCATGCCGATTTGTGCTTGTTGGTGGGATATTGATCTGTGAACTGTGCTGATGACATCGCGGGAAAAAGAATTCGCAGCGTGGAGTATTCATGGGATGGAGCCATAAAAAACAGGTTTATAAATCCTTATCTCAATCTAGTCTTAAGGTCACTCTAAAGTAACTGTTCCTAAGCTCTCTTAGATGCCCCAAATCTGTGACAACAAAATAAGAAAACAAATTCAATGACGAGCCCTTCCAGCTGTTTTTCGTCAAGGAAAATCAGAACCACATTTAAGCATTAGTGGGAACTAATTAAACTGACACGGAAGCCGCAACACAGAAACAGGTACAACCCGAATGTTGGTGCCACCGATTTTTATTTTTTCGTCTATGGAAAATGAGAATTCGTGTGCTTGGCAGCAGCTAGATGTCTGCCTCTACATTGGTTTTCGGGTTTCCCGGCCAACTTTTGCTCAACTGACATCGGCAGACCGTTTTGGGTTTGCACTAGCACTCACCTCAGCGATTTAAAGATCCAGATGCTTGCCCGACGATTGGATTCCCGTCTCTTGTAGAAATCCGACTTCACCAGGCAAAGGATTTCGCCCAAGGAGGAGCAGTGGAGCAGCAGCAACATGTTCCTTGTGCTTCGCAAACGGGGAACTCCGATTCATAAGACCTCCAAGCCACCGGCGATAAGTGTGCTCCGGGTCCGTGTTCCAAAACTTGTGAAATGATATGGGCGTATGCAACTGCAACAACTCGCTAGCATAGTCCTGTGGCCGGGCCTGGTGCATACCAGCAGCCGGGACCGCCGCCACGCCCAACGCTTGGAGGCAATAGCCCAGGATCATGTCGTCGGGAGCACTGGCACTGGGACAGCTACAGCGCTCCACGATAAGACGCACCAACGGTAGACTGAGCACAATGCCTGCCCCACCCGTGAGGTAATTGAAGCCGTCTGGGGCGTGCAGCCGATAGCCATAGCGCTGGCCGAGGTACACCAGATCCGTATGGTTGTGGCAACTCAAAAGGGCGCTCAGTCGGGGAACACTGTTAAAGAGGGCGGTGGTTATGACCGAGTGAAGAGTGGGTAGGGACCAGCGGCGGGTATGGCAAGAAGCCGATGAGTCGGATTTATATGTGGTATCATTATAATCATTTTTAATTGAATGTGCTGTCATGCATTTGAACCGAAAAATAAAAATGAAAGCGTGATAGGAAGTTGGCTTCGGCAAGCCGAAGTTCATATACCCTTGTAGTTGAAACCAAAGCTTAATACATATGTAGTTATTGGTACTTCCTACTTGCGAGATTTTTTATCTCGAAAGGCTGTTCAATGTACGTTTTCCTTATGACCTTACATATTCCTGCCCTAACTATATATGGTATTGATCATGACCGTCTGTGTGTCCGTAGTCGAAAACGATTCCTTATAAGATACAGCTTTTTCTTCTGTTTATTTTTCGCTAAGCCAAATACCTTTCGACATAACGATAAAACTACTAATTGAAATGTATTTTTATATTAGCGGCAGAAACTGTGGACCACCTGAGAAAGCCCTTACTTACCTCAAAAGCGTGTCATCGTCGACGAGCATGAGCCAGCGAATGTCCATTTGCCCACCGATGTCCTTGAGGGATAGTTGCAAAATTGCCATTGTCTTGGCACAATGTCCACTCTGCACATTCGGTATCCCAGTGCTGATTGTCGGTATGCCGACGTCTGTTGAGGTTTTTGGAAGGAGAATGAGAAATCGGAAAGTCAAATCAATGAATATTCAATAAGTTGGACTACTCTTCGCACTGCGATGCTAGGTAGGCAAGAAGGGAGAGGTTGGGGTTGGGGATCTCCCAATCACACAGCCAGAAAGCCGATGTTTGCCCATGCATATATGCATATGTGTTTAGCTTGATGTCAATCCACCTCTCCGCACTCTCTGGTGCATGTATGACCCCTGCACCGCCCGGTGCAACACCCCCTTATTTGGCTTAATTGCCCACTCATTGTCATCGGGGTGCTCACCTGCCACATCGCTGTAGTATCTCCTTTTCCGAGCGTCGGTTGCCCAAGTGCGTTCGATGATTGCTATGCGTTCCTTATGGAATTTCGCACAGGTTTTGATTGCGAAATATATGTTTGATCCTGTTGTGTACACCTGTCCGTGTGAGTGGGTATGGCCAGGAAAGGGGTTGATAGACAATTTATGGTTATTGAGGTTTCAAATGCTAACTGCTATTGGTGGTCCATTCGCATGAGTAAACGATTGAATCTTGTATTTGGTACAGCGAGCGCTTTAAGTTTAAAGCGCTCAACGAATTTGTCTTAAAAGATTGAAATGTGGTTACTTTCCAAGGTCTTTAACAAAATTGTTTGATAAATCAAATTGGACTACTGTATAAATATGTATATATTAACTGGTAATATTTACGTATTTTTTATCTTCAGCACTTTTACAAACGCCTCAACTTGATCAACAGCCCTTTAGATAATTTATGGTTTCCCGGCATAAGGCATACATAAACTTACACAACTCCCACTCGGAGGCTCCTCTGGCTGCGCATACAGCATACACCGAGGTCCTCTGTTCGGAAAATCCAGGGATTGCACGGATTCAGCGGGGGAGCAAATGTAGCTGGCACTTTTTAAAATGATTTTCCCAGCCATTGGTGTGCCGGCATGCGGGTCGAGAGATACGTTGTCGTATATAAAGCGCGCCAGCTCATGAGAGGCATCGATTGAGAAGTCGCTGTGGAGGGTGATGTTCTGGGCATTAGAAGCAACAAGTTCCGCCAACCTGGAAGCGAAGAAGTCGTCATTCCCTACTAAAATAGTGCCCTTATTAGGTATTACTAATAAAATAAAATGAATTGGTGATAAGTCCTATAAATCAAGCATCTTAAAAAGACATTATCCTGTCCACTATTATAGTTTTCAGTTTACCTGTCCTTACAGAAAATTGCAACTATTTTATCAGCTTAACAAGCTGACTGACATCCGAGCTTTAAGACGCATAGTGTTGGAGATCAAAATCTATATATTATATATTATTTTAAAAGATTCGTATTATTGCCTCGATTTTTGTTATACATATATTGAAATGTGTATAATTGAAATGTGTCAATCATAAGAACTGGATGACATAGATCTAAAGGAAACTTTTCACTATCGTGATTGGTTCAATACTACCTTTTTTCAATTTTCGATATAGGGCTTACCTGTTCAGCAAAACTCCTGAGAAAACCACTCCGGCACTGAGCATGGGATACGGAAACCGTTGTGGATCGTTGTAATTTGAGAAATGGTGTATAATGGTGGCCTCCGAATCGTACAAGGCATGGCCGTAGAAGGAGAGCTAGAGGATGCACATTGGTACAGAGCTCAGGAAAAGCCTACAGGTAAATGAACTCACCTCCCTTGGGTCCTGATGCCTCAGCTGCTCAAGCAGGCCGCGCAGCGAGGACACACGCGTGTTGTGTTGACACCATATAATCCATTCCGTGTGCGCACCCAAAAGACGTGTCTGGCCTCTCAGATGGGGCAGTGCGTCCAAGAGGGTCCAGTAGTTGAAAAGCTCGTGCATCACATGGACTTTTAGCACATGGTCCCGGGGGAAGATCTCTGCAAGTAACAGTTTTCGATTCTGCTCCAGGAAGCTGTTGGACAGGGCAAGACATTCCTTTTAACTTGTAGAGGAAGTGGGGGACACGCTATGACCACGAGCACCTCCACCTTCTTAGATTCCGTTTCACCGTAGAAAAAATTTGCGAAAATAAAGAGCCAAAGCGCCCAACAAACCTTAGCTGGCATATCTAAAATCTGATATTACTTATATTTCTTAATCCACCAGTTTGCTTTTCCGGTAGGACAACGGAACACGACTGCCCTAATGAGCATGCGGAATCGTACTGAAGCAACTTTGATTTCATTTTGGCGCAAAGCCGAAATGTCGGCTGGCGTGCGGGCGTAGAAGTTGCCTTCGGAACTTGAAGTGCGTAGTCTAACGCGCAGGCGCCCGTAAGTAGCAAATTTTATGAATGAATTACAGAATGAAGGCAACAGTTGGCCGAAAAGGTGGCCAAGGATATTTACATAAATCCGCAAGATACATAAATTGAATTACGAAGGCTTTATTTTTTATTGAAAACAATTTATGTACCTCTTTAGAACCTCAATCAAACGAACCATTATTTATATTATGAGAAAGTTTGATCCATGAATGTAAGCTTTGACTAACTTCTATATTGCCTAGTAAGTATACTAACTAATTTCGTTTTTTTTTTATTACATCTACAATTTGAAGAATTCAATAACAATATATTTGTCATTTTTATTTAGTTTCTATAATTATAAGCGGAAACTCATGATAGGGAATTAAAACATAGTATCTTGAATTGTTGTTTATCAAGATGATGCATTTGGAATTGGTACACAGTTTGACATCAGTATACTTATGGGTAAATAAAGAATAAATATAGTTAGTGCATAGGCGAGGCCAGTCGCGTAGTCGTCTGCATGCTATTGCTGCGGTTGTTCGACTTAAGCCGCAACTCATTGACGAGTTTAAAGAGCTGATCTTGTTTGGAGAGCAATTCGCGGGTTCGCTGGCAGCCATGCTGGGGGGCGCAAAGACCAGGGTTCCACCGGCAATATAGGCCCTTCCACAGGCGAACAGACCGCACGCTGGCGATGGGTCGTAGAACCAGCTCTGCTCCGTGAGTGAACGAAGGGAATAGGGGATTCAGATACTGGTCCAGCGAAGAGTTGATGTGCGTCCAAAGAGATATTGTCTTATGCTTTAAATCTACAGAAAATATTTGATTGATGTTCAATTCAATTTAAATAGCAGGGACGTTACCTTCAGCCACACGCTCCGCCTCTGTATTACAAAGAAAAGTGCCAAATCGACATGAGTACAAGTGGTCCACGATGGTTATCAGGAAGTGCTCGTTGAACTCAAACGCATTGTAAAACTGTTGGCTAACCTGCCATACGCTGTCGATGAACTGCAGAAACACGGGAGATCTGTCTGCATCCGAGTGCTTATTGTCACCATGGCCAACGCGTTGCTGGAATTTGTGGCCAAACGATAGCCATTCCTTCTCGATAAGCACCTCGAAACCGCGAACAGTACGATAGTGGGGATCGAGAAGAAGCATGGAGAGGGCCGTCAGCTGGGCTGTGCGGTCCCATCCGTCAGAACAGTGCACTACCACGGAGGTGCTCATAGTCTCAACCTTGTCCACAATTCTGACGGCCCCAGCCAGTATGCACCGAATGTGCTTTAACCACAGAGTGTTGTCGATAGCTGTTTGCCATTTTGAGTCGTCGGTGGTTGGGAAGCAGGCCTCCTTCACCTTTCGTAGGCTCTCTCTCATTACGTGGATGTTGTGTATGTCAAGGAAGTTGATTTCCACGTTCTTGTACGCGTCCTCCGACTCGTAGCCGCCGCCTTTAGCCTTATTGGCAATAGCATTGGCACTTGGCCGCGCGTCCATAATAGTCAATTTATCGGACTGTGCATTCGCTTCCATGATAAAGCTAAGGTACGCTTCATCGTCAGAATTTCGCTTACCGCTTACGCCCACTAGGGGCTGAGAGCACCGCGTAATTGTCGCCTGGGTCCGGGGATTCATCCATGACAGCACAGGCAGGCGACAACGTGAACGAAACTGGGCCACTCGCCTGAGGAAATCATCAGATGCCGCTTTGGGCACAGCCCACACTGCCGGGTAGCTGTCGCAAATTGCATAGGACTCGTTTAGCTTAGTGGCCCGCCACATGTCGTTGGGTACACCTAGGCGCCGGAGCTCCGCAAGCGGTTCATAAACCGCCCACCCGTCCCATCCTCCGTTTCCATTCATCGAGTTCGCAGCTGCATGGGCGAAGGCAAAGAGGCGCCCACTATACGAGAGTGGAAATGCATTAGCCTGCAGTTTCTCGAATACCGTTCTTCGCGAGTGATTTTGCTGCTTGTGGGCGAAACGTAAATTTCGCATGTCCTTGCAGAAGATCTCAATTCCATACGAGTTCTCGCCCCGTGACGTGGCACCGCCGATCTTTTCCACACGAGCAATTACGCCTAAGGGCACGTCTACGACAACGGGAGGCTCCTGATCCCGCAGAGGAAGCGACCGGAAGTACAGACGGTAGTTGGTGATAGTCAGCGCCCCAAAGACGGGTCCGCGGTACGGGCACACGTAGGTCACATCGTTCTTTTGGTCTTGATCTTCCTCGCCGTCCAGGTATCTAAAGGGCGTGTCCCGCAGAACGCCATTCTCCCCGCCACCGTGCTTGGAGCCCAAAGAACTGGACTTGGAGCTGCTGTCCAGCGAGTTACTGCTGGCAGTCTTGGAGGCCACCTTGTCGGTAAGGATCGCGGACGGATCCATTGTGGGATTGAGACAAGTTGTTCTTAAGGAGTGTGTTGCTAGTTGCGCAGCTGTGTTTTCTTTTCCAGTTTTAAGTTAGATGCAAATTACCAAAACTCACAAAACGGGGCTGCCAACTCGGGGCTACGCAAAAATACCAATATTCCCACGTCTGCTAAAATCCCTTTATTTGGATATTGGTACAATGGCGCGAAGTTTGAACGTATTCAATATTCAATAAATATATAAGAATATATTCAATACTCTTTTGCGAAAAAGAGGTATGTCTGCAAGTCCATTTTTGTTAGCAACAACGATCCGCAGTCCTGGATTATCTGGAACTGCACTTATGTCGTTATAACGCCAGTACAGTATCCAAATTTAATTTTGATCGAAATAACCGATCCTTTGGAAGAAAGCTAGTTTCTTCAATGGGAAGTCGTCTTAAAGCTGTCCTGAGCTGTTTAATTACAAATAATAAGTTACCTAGAATCTGCTGCTGAAAATTTTGTTTATATCAAATGACTTTTTTGTTTTTATGATTATGAAAATCATGTTAATATTCCCTATTAAAAACTGCGTTTAGGTTTTTCTGTTATTTTTTTTAGTCTAGCACGAATAGCGACTTTTTTTAGGTAACTGCTCGAAATAAGTTGCGAGCAACTGTATGTACAATTGACAGCTGTGTATATTTTGTTTTTTAAATAAAGAGTTCGGTTCTTAAAATGAATTAACAATGTACATAAATATGTCCATGACTGTGCAAATTATTTAGAAGTAGTGGGTCTAATATACATATATTATAAATTTTCTGAGTGTTATATAGTCTTAAAGTTTGTTGACTGTTGTATTTTTTAAAACAAAATTATTGCATTAAGCACTGGAAACGGCATATTGTTTTAACTTCTTGCGCATTAATGCGTTTACCGAAAAAACCGGACCATGTCCTGGTACAATAAAGTCGCAACAATGTGCCATTTTACTGCGCTCCTCGCGCTGAAGTTTCTCATTTTCACTTCCAGCATTTTTCCAAATGCTTTCATCGTCTATGTCCTCTCGTCGCTCAAAAAGATCTCCGGTGATGCCAACGCGACCTCCCAACTGGGAGTTATTTACAAGCACAGAAACGCAGCTGAGGGTGTGTCCTGGCGATCGTATCACAACCACCTCGCCATTCGAGTCTAGCGCCAGTTCCTCATCCGGTTTGCCAGAGCCAAAGTGACTCATGTAAAGGTCGCCATGCGAGGCACATGCGCCAACCAGATGCATACGTGCCTTCTGAAACAGGTAGTTGCACCCAACGTGGTCCGAGTGTCCGTGAGAGCAAACCACCACGTTGATGTCGTCGACGCCCAGTCCGTGTTCACCCAGCAATGAACGCAGATGCTCCCCATCCCACGCCGTCATTGTGTCAACTAGGACGTTAGTTCCGTCTCTGCAGCGGACTAGCGTGCATGTGCAATTAGCCCTCATGGCGGTGTCGTCCCCGATTTCTTGCCGAGAATAACCATCCTGAAGAATGATCACCTGGTTTCGCTGTGCGGGATCATTGAGTGCCATTACCTGCCAAGGCAATTAACGTATTTATAATATTTAGTCGGCTATGATGTAAATAATTTAACTTACATAGTAATTTGGCCGGTTTACTAAGTGTATATGGCATTATGTATGTATTAGAATATGTGGAGAAACATCGATGCCAACATCGATGACATCGATGTTTTCGAAACATTTTTCCATTTCTAAGGCACATTGAGGAAGATTGACGAATTGTAAGTACATATATGTATCACTTTTAAAAAAAGCTAAAAAATACTTCTGCGATCCCGCATCTTCGTGCGAATCTGAAAGAGTTTTCAGTAAAGCTGGACAACTTATAAGTGAGCGTCGAACGCGGCTATCATCGACCGTTGTCGATAAGCTCCTATTTTTAAACAAAAAGAAACATGTAAATAATATGCAAATATATATATAGTAGAGTTCCGGATAGTAAGTACAGAAGGAATATCACAATATCCAAAAGAACTATTAGTTTCTTTGAACCATGTATATGTTGAAACATTAATAAAAAATTTGGTTTTTTTTTTTTTAGTTTTTATTTACAAACTAAGGATACGACAAAGTACCAAAGAAGTGGAACATGAACATCATGAACAGTTTTATTTTAATTTGTTTTTCTTTTCGATTTTATTTAATAAGTGATTAATAAATTGTATATTTTTTGTTGAAAATTTGACTTTTAATTTTTAAACCTTACAAATTAAAATAAAGTTAAAATACATTAAAATAAGTGCAAATTTTTTTAATTTAAGACATCGATGATTCATCGATGTTTTCTTTAAATTATGTTTCTCCACATCTATTTATTCGATAGTAAATAAAATATAAATTCTATGAAATGGTAACATAAAACTTCTTTCTAATTGTAGCATAATCTTCCCAGTGCTTACCAATGGCTTTGATTCCCAAAATAAAAATTGACGAAAAACAATCGATTTCACTCTCGAATGTAGCCAGATACTATCGATAATGCTTAATGGTGCCATCGAACTCACAACTGATCCTGATTAAGAACATATGTACATACAGAATTACATAGGTATGTAATTACGTACTACATAATTTTCAATTTTTTTTTTAATAACAAGGCAATGTTATAATTGAGTTTATTTTGAAAATAAATTAAATACCTCGGCAAGAGTAGTCCACTGTAGCACCATCAACAGACGTTTCAAGCTCCTCTAAAAGGTGTTATGGTTCTTGTTGCGTTTTTGCGCTCTGTATCATGTTGGCGCTATTACACAAGTGTGGAACAGTTCACAATCTACTAATCCGATTTAAAAACCATCATATGCCATATTAGATAGTAGCTCCCCTTCGCCTTCGTTACCGCTCTGGGACCCGGGATTAACATTGTGTGTATGTACAGTGGATCCAGGCTTAAGAATGTCGCATATTATTAAAATAATAAAAAAAAGTTTTTTCTAATTTAAAAAACAAAAGAATTTTTCATACAAAAACTAAAAAATAGGGCAATTCTGACGCACAAGCTTATTTCGTGCAAGCACTTTAATGGCAAATAACTCTAAACTACGACTTTTAGATCAATTTTTTTCTTATTAACAAAAGCATATTTATAAGTTTTCGAGGCTGGGGCACCCAAACATTACGGATTAACGAGGATTTTCAAACTATGGCGCCACGAACTACTATTGAGCAAAGCGAATTAGTCCTTAAACATTTTAAGGATGGGAAAACCCAGGAAATGGTTGCCTCAAGCCCTAGTACAAACCCATAATTTTTTTGATATCTCTGCTGGTTTAGCAGCAGTATCAAAAATAAAATTTGATTTTTTCTTGCACGAAATATGCTTGGATCCACTGTATGTATGCTTACTAAAGCCTAAGCCTGGACAATATTGAGAGCTTTGCGTCCATAGAAGCAGATGCAGAAAGACCTTTCTTGTAAATGGCCAATAGCAATGAGTTATATTGAAAAAGTTATGCTGGCTGTTGTTTTTTTCTTTTCTTTCTGCTTACATATCTTTCCTATTATTATTATTATGGAATTTCTGATCTACTCGTATTTAACAGTCTGAAAATTCAGCATCTCGAAGCCAGTTTTATTAGAATGCACAGCTTGCACTTTCTTGAAACCCCTTGTTGCTAGATTATGATATTTTTTATCAATACAAAATTAATATTTGATGAAGAATATTTTTCTATTATGCGGGAACATTGGAGTGTTTTTAAAATTAAATATATATGTAACTTATCTGGCAACACTGTGACCAGCTGATCCCAAAAACGCTCACATGTTTATATCCCGAAACTTTGTTATTATTTAACGTTTTCTGAATAAGTTCGAAATAAACTTTCATGTATCTGAACTACCTACAGAAGACACAATGGAAACACCTGCAATACCTGTTGCAAATGCGTCAGCTTCAGCTCCTGAGGAGACACGTTAACATTGGTGCAAAACCGCCCATACAAACAGCAAGATTGTTGTCGGTACGAAAGCTATCGAAGCTAATAAAAAGGAATCACGAAGACAATACACTTCAAATCCGGCTGAAGGAGGCCAAGACGAGTGAAAAGCTTCTAGAGTTGTTGGAAAGCAGTGTTAGCCTGGAGACCTCCCATGTGGTGGAGGGCATATCGTTGCTATGGCAGCAATATCAGGACGTGGAACAGTTAAGCAGGGGTGGCATCACAGAACGATTGATTATGAGTGTCCTCCCGATTTTGGCACCTTGTATAGAGCAAATAAATGTTGACGACCTCAGTCGATGCTACCTTTACCTACGCAAAATGCACGTTCCCAATTCCGAGCCAGTCGTGGAAGCCGTGCTAATAAAGGCTCTTAGCCTCATCGAGAAACAAGTGAATGTTGCGATCATTCCATTGACTTCTTTGTCCCGCCTCTCGGTCGGAATAAACCTTGAACGGGACTTCTTTACTCCGCTCGTTTGCAGAAATTTTGTGCCACACTTGGAGCATCACATATATCAGTGTTATACCGAAGAGCAAGTACGCCTGCTATCCACATGCCTCTTTCAGTTGCACTTCCTCATCAACGAGGACCTTCTTGCACAATTCAAAACGCGAGTGGCTGAACTGATTCAAAACAACGTCCTCAGCAGTAAGACGCCTAAAGCTCTGCTTAAGTTGCTCCACATGCTGAATATTCCACTGTGGTCCCAGCAGCATACCCAATTGATTCGAAAAGTTATGTTGGTTTTGCAACCTTGCATTCACGAGATGGAGCCTGGAGACCTTAAGAGTATGTGTCGCGCATTTTTGCACCATCAGGAGCCATCCGCGATAAAAGAGCCGCTCAGAGTAGCTACGGAAAAGCTGTTGGAAAATGAAAAAACTGCTGACGCCTTATCTTGTGCCGTTCCTTTTGCAACTCCCCATCAAAGGGAAAAGTACACGCAAGTTTTTAAGGAACTACTATTCTCCAAAGAGGCTTGGCTGATGCCCAATGCTAGCGGACACTTCTTCAGTGTTTTGCGAGCATTAAAGATTTCCGATTTGGGAATCTGTAATTTATACTGGTCGGGGGTGATTCGCGAGCTGGAGTCCTGTGGAGAGGAGCAAACCCACCTGAGGTTTCTGAGGCATTGTCAGCGCTACATGAACTTTAATAACAATTTGGGAGGAACCTACCGTCACTTTGAGTTGGAACGAATATTAAGTCGCTTGTGTATGGGTGCTATAGAGGAAGATATAGCGGGAAGGTTACCGTCGAAGTTTGCCCGCCTGGCATCTTTTGTGCTGGCCTACGGACGAACTCCTTTAGATTGGAAAAAATTCCCAAACATACTGCTTAGCAAGATGCTCGCCATGGCTCCCCAGTTTGGTATCCAAGATTGCTTTCTTCTCAGTCGTGGAATGCAAATAGCCTGCGAACTGAGGTTTCGACAGAACCTTCCCTCACTTGCTGGCATGCAATTGTCCACCATGGACAGCATTCTTACCGGTTGTGCGGAGCGCCACTTGGCAGGTTCTGAAAAGGTTCAGGTGAATGCCAGTGAACTAAGCATGATAGTGAGAACACTTAGTCATCGCAAGAGTAAGTTAAAAAATTATTAAAAAAATTGTTGCAAATAAAAACATAATTTATGTGCCGTTGTTATGGCTTTTGAAGGACAATTTGATGGTGAAGATATGAAACAGTCTTAAACTAACAGCCGACTGAAAATCGAGATACAATAAATATTTTTTACCCTTACAGCGCTTAAAAACACGTTGGTTTACAACCAGGCCTTGTTGCATTACAAAAGTATCCAATGCAATGATCTTAACTCTCGAGTGGTTCGTGACATGGCATATAACTTCAATGCCTCGAATTTTTGTATACCCGAGCTTTTGGAGTCGATGTTCAGCTACGTTTCCAAACAGAATGAGCACATTACCGGCGAGACAGTGGAAAAAGTGTTAACCTGTTCCTATAATCTGGGCTATACGCCTGAAAATATAGAGGTTTTAAATCATGCATCCAGAATATTATTAAGGTGAGTATATTGAGTTATTAAGTATACCGTAAAGTAGTTCCATAATTTAAAAATTTTTTAGAGACTTCGAGCAGATGAGTGGATTATCGATTGTGCAGGCTTGCCTAGCACTGTGCTTCTACAAAACAATACCCGAGCAGCTAATCAACCAAGTATTTTGCGTAAAGTTCATTCAGCGCATTGAGGAAGAAATTCAGCTTTGCTATTCAAAGGCAACCTATCCGGAACGGGTACTTAATCTAGTAATGCAGCTAAACCGCACGGTGTGCCTGGATTTTCCGGAGGCAAATGTGCCCTGGTTTCAACAGAACTACATAGAGGCTCATATAAGCAAAAGTAAATATACAACACAATTGCACTTGTTTTATATTCTCTAAAATTTGAAAATCTTGCAGGGTCCTTTCTTCCCAGTGGGTCCTTTGTAGAGGTTAAACAGCTGCTGCAGAAGCTTCTTCAGAATGATAATAATTTCCGATGCAATCACACAACTCCTTACGGCTACCAAATTGACTTTGTAATACATTTCGATCGGGATAGAAAGCCCATTCCACCGCCTCCAGTTGAGGCCACCATGTTGGATCGCATAACGAAGTATACACACACTTGAACGTAATATTACTGTTGGCACGTAATCTACTTCATTCGTATTTTCGATTTTTAGAGTGGCAATACTATTGTTAAAACTCGACTCATTTTGTGAGAACGATATAACTGCCTTACGAGGTCCGGAATCGTTAAAAATGAGACATCTCGAGATGATGGGCTACAAGGTGATGCAAATCAACCAACACGATTGGAACTCAAAGTATATGACATCAACAACAGCCAAAGCTAATTACCTTAAGTGCTTGTTACAAATTTCCCATTAGTTTTGATTACTTTGTGTGCTTTAGTTTACAAAATCTAATAAAGGCACTTTGTATAAAATTAGAAACAAATATTTATTGTATTATGATTAATAAGGGCCTAAATACATATAATGTATTTAAATGCTTATTATAGCCTTAGGATTTTTTTAATCTGTCTTGACACACCAATTGTAAGCATTGTTAAACATAATCTGCCAAGGACTCTCATCCTGTGTTGGGAGCACTGGGAAAGAAGGTGGTACATAGGGCCACTGGTACATAGAGGAGCAACGCTCAGGGTGTGGCATTAAGGCCAAGTGCCGCCCATCTGTCGAGCAAATACCAGCAATCCCCAAAGGGCTACCGTTCGGATTAAGAGGGTAGAGTTCCGTAGGCTCGCCTGCATCATCAACATATTGCAGTGTCACAAGCTCCTCTGACAGCAATTGACTAATGATCTTCTCTTCCCGGAATGCAAAGCGACCTTCACCGTGAGCCACCCAGCACCCTAGTGTCAGATCTTTCATACTTTCGAGCATTATAGAGCGATTAGAAGGAATCCTTACTGTGGCCCAGCGGCACTCGAAGCGCTGCGATCTATTATGAAGAAGGGCCACATCAGGATCTACTCCTACCTCGCTGCTTAGGCTTCCCACAAATCCAATAAGAGTCATCAGTTGACAGCCATTGCAAATTCCCAAGGAGAAAACGTCTTGACGGCGCTTGAAGGCCTCGAACTGTGGCATCAAGCGCGGGTTGTGGAGAATATTACCTGCCCAACCCTTGGCCGATCCTAAAGTATCCGCATAGCTGAACCCACCCGGGAAGATCAGTCCGCGGTATTGAGACACGCTCGTACCTGAAATAAAGAATAATATCTTTCATTTTTTCACCGTTCTCAAGACTAGAACAACTTAATCTACAAAATATTTAAAAGAGTGACATTAACCATTATTTAAAATCAAGAACCATTTTTCTGATACGTTTACATAACCCACTTAGTCCAGAACGATAGGTAATCGATTGAAATCGATATTGATTGGAATTTATATTTGTGCATACCTTGCAGAAGATCTGACATAGTCACATCATGAACTTCAAAGTTCGCCTTCAGCAAGCAGGCCATCATCTCACGCTCACTATTAACGCCCTCCTCGCGGAGCACGGCAACACGTATGGGGGCACAGGATCTTTTGAGAGCTAGCTCGGCTTGCAGATTCGAGGGACCTTTATACTGCGGGGCTCGGCGATATTCAAGGCTTTTGTACTCGGCCTCGGCGCACTTTGGATTGGTCTGTAACTTTTCCAACTCATAACTAGTGCGCTCCCATTTTTGGTAAAGCAAACGGAGTGGCTGATCCAGCAGTTCTAAATCACCCTGTTTGATTACCACTCTGGAATCGAGTCCGAACCCGTCGCTCTCACCCAAATAGTAGTTCGGTATTCCGGCGTCTTCGTAAATCGATCGAATGCGCTCCAAGTCTGTCTCCAATATTTCCACTACCCATCCACACTCCTCCGCGAAAAGAAGAGCCAGCTCAGGGCGTTTAAGTTTTTCGGCAGCCACATCGTAGTTTTTCAACTTTGCCAAGGGCTCCGAAAGGTCGACTCTGAGTCCGCTTAGTCCTCCTATTGCCATCTCCAATAGGCAAACTATCAACCCTCCGTCACTGACATCATGTCCTGCCTTAAGGCGGCCTTCTTCCAACAACGATTGGGTGATTTCAAATGCCTTGCTCAGCAGATCCGTTCTTATCAAGTTTGGCGTCTCATTGCCCTGCTGAGCGTAGGCCTGAGCCAGAGCTGAGCCACCTAGGCGAAGACGGTTTTCTAGATTTATCCAGAGCAAAGCAGTTTTTAAGCCCGATCCCGGTCCCTTTAAGTCCGGCGTAACCTTAACGCGCACATCTGGGCAGGGGGCGTAAGTGGAGATGACAAGAGTACCCGGAGACTTAATTGGCTCGCCGTCCACCTTGGCAGCCATGGACAATGAATCTTTTCCTCCGTCAATGGCAATATGGAGTTCTTCGAGAATCTGGCACAGCTCCTTACAGGCATCGAACATCTTGGCACCCTCTCCGGGCAGCTTTGCTGCCCACATCCAGTTTCCCGAGCACTTGATATCTGCCAGTTCACTTATCTTTACAAAGACGAGGTTACTAAGCGCCTCACCCACACACATCCTAGCCATTGCGGCAGGATCAACAAGGCCCTTTATCGGCTGGGTACCAATTGAGGTAGCTATGCCGGACTTGCTAAAATGGGAAACGGTGGTCAACGCGTAGTCCGAAAGTGGGGCTTGTAGAGGACCCACGCACTGTTGCTGTGCGATCAATCCTCCAACGCATCGATCCACCTTGTTAGTGAGGAAGCGCTTGCTACCCACTGACACTAAGCTAAGAACTCTTTCCAAAGCTTCTTCAAGATGCAAGTCTTTCGGCAGACACAGTTCCCTTAGGGGCGTCTGCTCGCGTTTTAAATCATATGTTCTCTTCGGCATGTCCCCCAATACATACTTGAGATCCAGATCAAAAGGCGAAGCTGTGCTGCGATTACATTCGTTCAAAGCCTGATTAAAATCCTTAGGGGCAGACTTCTCCAGAAGGGTCACTCGCCCATTCCCTGTCACGACTCCTACAAAGCTAATAGGGCAGCGTTCACGCCGGCAGATCTTTTCCAGCAGGTCGCGTTGATCTTCCTTGCAAAGAATGGCGTTGTTCTCTTGATACTCGGCACCCCACAGCTCCAGGGCAGTAATTGTGGGATCGCCTAGTTGGAACTCCTTTGAGAAGATTATGGCTCCGGCAAAACCAGGTTCCACTAGTTCTTTGAGAACGTTCCCATTGCCTCCAGCACCCTGGTCGTGGATTGCTAGTATGGGATTCTGGTCGCCCAGTTCTAGGCAGGCGCGCACCACGCGATTTAACTTATTCTCCATCTCGGCGTCCCCACGCTGGACGGCGTTGAAGTCCAACTCAGAATCTCCTGATCCCTGTACTTCAACGGAACTAGCGGCACCGCCCCCCACCCCTATCCTGTAAACTGGTCCTCCGATCTTGGCCAATAACTGACCACGAGTTGGAATAATTTTCTCGCGCATTGATGCAGGCATGGTGCCTAGGCCACCACTGAACATGATCGGTTTCACGTACTCATCTCGCTGGCCGGGATCAGCTGCATTATTAAGTCCATATGATAGAACGAATCCGGAGATCACCGGCTCTCCGAACTTGTTTCCGTAATCCGAGGCACCGTTGCTTGCCTCTATGAGCACCTGAAGTGGAGATGCGAACGTTGCAGGATATTTGTAGTCCGAGGGTTCGTAAGGTTGTTTGTAGCCTACGTGTAAAAATACAAAATTAAAATGTTTAGCTTATACTATGCATGTACATCTCAAAGATGCGTTTTGAGCGGAATCATATATCAATTAAGGTAGTAATTACAACTTTTTATAAGTATTAATAATAATAAAAGGAAACACTATGGACGGGATCTTTTTGACCTGTTGAGCTCTTTAAATTCATCTTGTTTATCCCGGCTTTCTACATTTTACAGTGCCCGACAATTAGGTTTAGATTGGATCGACTAGTGTAAATGTAAATATGTCATTTGCATTTGCAAGTTACTCACCTGGGATATGAAGGGCTCCCACACAATAGCCGGCGGTACCTGCGATCGGAACGCCCCCTCTTCCCACACCTTGGACATCGCGCAGTCGTCCACCCGTGCCCGTAGTGGCCCCACTGAAGGGAGCCACAGCTGTGGGCATGTTGTGGGTTTCGGCCGTAAAAATCAGATCTGACTGCACGTTCTCCAAACGCACTGGTCCGGGAGCTACCACGGAAGTCAGGACTATGGACTGGTGGCTGAATCCCACTATGGCGCTGCTATTGTCGCTAAACTTAATGGTATTGTTCGGGTTCGTGTGAGCCTGTGTGTCCATAATCATGCGTATCAGAGACTTTGGCTGCTCAACCCCATCGATCACCATGCGCCCGCGGAAAAACCAATGGCGTGAGTGCTCGCTGTTGCTCTGGGCGCAGTCGAACAGTTCCACTGTGGTGGGATTTCGGCCCAACACCTTTGCAAACAAGTCGTGGTAGTATTGCAGGTCGAAGTCATTGAAGGCTAAACCGAGCTCCTGATTTATCCTCTCCAATGCCCTCCTCCCCTCCTCCAAGACGGGCACGAAATGCCAGTTTGACTGACGCTCTGGTAACTGCTCATTAAAGCTTTCCTTGGGGATGTTCTCTTTGGTGTAGAGGCACTGGGTCATGCGGTCGCCCAGCAAAGGAAGAAAGCTCCCTGTATCTGGCACTTTCGAGTCCTCGCTAAAGGTCAGAAGGTAACGGGTTGAAACTTCCACTCGACGCACCTCGGAATATCCGAGATTGTGGAAAATGTTAACACAGTTCGTTGAATAAGGTGTGGAGAAGTTATAGCGAGGCCCGATCTCTAAGAGCAACTGCTTGTGGCCATACTCCTGAAGAACGGATTGCCTGACCAAGCTCTGGCCACTGCTCAAGGGTTGTTTCACCAGCCACATTAGTAGGTCACCCAAGCTCAATGAGTGCTTTGTCTCAACGCTGTACTCTAGATGGTAGCAACGCTCCAAAACCACGGACTTAACGCCGGAGTTCACATCCTGCAGACGACGTAGAATAATCTGCTCTTCGGCCGCGGAGTGGGCGTGAACGTCATAGAAGCGAAGGATGACCATGTTTCTGGGCTGCAATAAACGAATTGCTGGTTAAGTATAAACAGTGCGCACTCCTTGCTCATCGAATCGAGAATGATCTTGGAAAGCCGTTGACGACCAGTTAGCAGTGCCCACGCTGGGTTATCAATTGGCACCTTTACCGCAGATGTAGATCAGGTTACAGCCGATCAAATGAATCGCATACACCAATGCCTGCCCTGCCGTCACAACTTGTTTTTGTTTTTGTCTAGCCGGGATTCGCTGATAAGCTGGCGTAAACATATTTTGCATTACGGGCAGCAATTTTCATAGCTGTACGGAGCAGAATTTAGGAGGATAATTAACACAATAATACCTCAAATTTAAGCTCAATAACACTGAGCAGATCACACGTGCGTTGGAGTTGCAATCCAAGATCGTTTTGGGGCTTCAGCTCTCGTTGCTCTCATTCACCGATTTCAATCTCACCACATCTCGGGGCCGACTTTCCCAGTGCTGGACAACGCCGGACCTCATATAATATAATTCAAATTGACCCGCTAGTGACATGCTGAGTTTCCAGCAAATATACTGACTTTATGATGATATACACATTTATCTTTTACAGTGTAAGCTTTATAACAACCACACAAATAAACAAATAATAATCTTCAAAAATAAATACATTTTTCGATAAATACTTGCAAAAATAAATTAAAATATTTTTTTTAATCAACTACGTTGACTTGTTAAAATCTTATTTTTTGAGTTATATAAAAATTAAGTTTTCTAGGATTTTGTATCAAGGGAAAACACCTTTCGAAAGTTATCAGACAACTTCAATTTAAAATAATTCAATTTGGCGGTATGCTCGCAAATGGGCCTTCGGGTGCCATGTGGGAGTATTTAGCATGAAAGCAAATCAAACGCTAAATAACTAATCACGGGTGAAAGAGCCGCAAAGAGCGCAACACGTGTATAATTGGCCTTCTGGTGTTTTATTTATATGCAGGTTATTCAAATTCATTGCATCTCAGTTATTTGCCGGAGGCAGTATAGCAAGGAATTAAATTTATACAATTGATCTTCACACTCGTTGTTTGCAAATTTTTCGTTTTATTGCTCTTTTCGTTCTTTGTTTTCTGCAGCGGTTCACAAAGCTTAAATTAACTATGTACTTTAGGTTTATTGATCTGCTTAAATAGGTGCCAGCATTAGCGTGAGTTCTTCAAATTCTGCCAGATAAGAGCTCTGTTTATCAGCCGATAGCCACTATCGAAAGGTAGTTGTTATAAAATATATTTAATGGCTTGAGAAAAGAAGTAATTGTTGCTGCCCCACGTTTGCTAGATGTCCATCTTGCCATCGGTTAATTGTTGTACTAAAACGGCGACCGTGCGCCTTTTGAAAATAATTACTACTGAACAACACCCGCGCGACCCTGCATTGTCGCCTTGTCGCCACCTATGTTATATGCATCGCCTTCGCAGCCTTCGCGGCCTGCGCGCTGATCTCGTCCATGCTCTTCCGAGCGCTTTCCGTGACCTCGTCTATAGAGCGCCGTGTGCTGTGTAAAAGTTCATCCGTGCCACGGGCAATGCCCTTGACCTCTGTGTTAATCAGCCCGATCACCCACTCCAGGCCCTGCCGACCTTTGCCCGCGTTAGTGCTGATCGTCGAAGTAAGCAAGTCCTCCATATAGTGGGACAGCGGGACCCCAAACACGGTCACGGTGGCCTCTTGCTTAAGCAGAGTCTTGCTGGAGTCCGTCGGATGAGGCTCGTAGTACAGCACTTCGTCAACACTAATGTTCCGGCAAAATGTGAGGTTGTTCGTCTTGAGCATCATTTGTTTACGCTCCGGGTCCACCGTAGAACGCTCGCTGGCGAAGCAAGTCTTGGCTGTGCCGATGAGCGCGTGCGTCCATTTTGGGAAGTACCACTTGGACTGCACTAGCCGATGTGTGTGCAGCACTCCATCCACCACCCGGCGTTCGACCACGTCCGTGCCAATAATGGAAGGCGTCATCGGGTTAGGGTACTTCCGCCACGCCGCCTGCGTGACAGTCTCCCACGGGTGGTTGAAGATGTGCTCCGACGTCCAGATTTTCATTATGCAAGCGCCGTTGTCGTCACCTTAGGGAAGGGATGTGTATCCAAATTTGGCAACAGAGCAGTGGGCTGAGCTAAGCCTGCAGGGGCAGACGGAACGGTAGAGAGCTATAGTTGGGATAATGGCTTGAATTTTGACGGGAAACTCGGAATAATTGAATATTTCAATGAGAAATTACGAGAGCTGACCTTTACCCGTGCTGTTAGAGATGACACTGAGTTCGATAACCCGGTCACCGATATGTTTCCAGTGCCAATGGTGGTCACACTGGCACAGCTAATGAAAGTACTGAAGCATCCATATGCACTATGACTATTTTATTATGGACGTTTATAAACAACCTAAAGGCTTGTTCCTAACTCGACTTATTTCCCTCTCCAGTGGTACAGTAGTACCCTAGTCGGGTCCAAATGTTCGCACATATTTCTCGTAGGGTCCTTTGTCCAGACGCTGCAAACGGGTCTGTAGAAATTCGCGGAACTTGCGCATCTCGCTGGCATCCTCCCTGATAAGTTTTTCCTCCTCATCCATAATTTCAGCCAGCAGCTGCTCACTGTAAACAGCCGCCCGTCGCGCCACCAATTGCTCCAGACGAGTGGAGATCTGGTTAATGATCTTCTCCTTCTCGTAGTCCATTATTTTAGCCAGCGCCTTGGCCGGCGTGCGTCGCGGATTGCGTAAATCGGGCGCAATGCTAAGGCCAGCGACAAGATCTGTTTCCACCCCCAAATCCTGACACGGTGTCTCTTTATCTGGGGATTCGGGCTGCTCAATAAACTCTGTCAGTGAAGGCTCTTCAGGATGAGATTCGCTGTGCGTCGAGTTGTTCTGAAAGTTGGTCAGGTGGAAGATACCGTTGGTATCGTAAAACTTATAGCCAAGCATCTCCAAAGCAATTTCCGTGAGTAGGTACGACATTTGATTATTTTGGACCTTTTGTGGCGAATAAAATATCTAAGAAAAGAACGAACGCACTTCAGTTCCACTGCCAGCAATCGATTACCAGCGAAAGGTATGGCAACTCTGCCCATCATCTGTTCGCAGAGCGACAATTTCTGGCTTTACATTTTTATATTCTCACTGCTCACCACAATAATATATTAAAGGAGCAGTATAGGCGCCTATTATATTCGAATGCAGCCCAAGCTAGTCCAGCCATGAAAATTAACGAAAAGAACCTTTACGTGTTTGCAAGAACGCCGCCTTTCGACATGGAAGGTATGCGACTGAGCCCTTTTCGCTCGTCTATTAATAATCATTTTATACTTTTTACCAAACGTCTTTAAGGTTTCCTTAGTAAGCGAGGGGAGGTTAATAAGGCCTTCCAAAGGCGCTACTTCGTGCTGAAGGGCAACCTTTTATTCTACTTCGAGTCACGGGTGGACAAAGAGCCCTTGGGGCTTATCATTGTAGAAGGCTGCACCATTGAGCTATCCAATGAGGTTGACAACTATTGCTTCGAAATAGCCTTTAACGGAAACCGTACCTACATCCTCGCTGCCGACAACCAGGAGAGCATGGAGGCGTGGATGAAAGCGCTTACCTGCGCCGGTTACGAGTACAAGCGCATTATTTTGGCTGAGCTCAAGCGTCAGCTACATGAGTTGGAGGACTCGAGAAACAGTAAGCCTGCGCTGTGGTCAGATTAAAGTTCCTGAAATACGAATGATCTGAATTTTTTGATCCTCAGAAGTGATCGGCAACGCCATTGAAGGTCAAGGAGCCTCAGAGGAAGCGAAACCTCGACCTCCACCCAGGCGAACAAATCCCTTTAACAGACCCGCTCCTCCTCCACCAGATAGTTCGTTAAGGGGTGGAGTGGTCATGTCGCCCCTGCCATTTATCAACGGATACTTCGGCTCCAGCAACGCCCGCATGCAGCAAGAGAAGTTGATGTTCAAGAAAGGTATGCAAGACTCGTATAAGAATACATTGTTTTTCTAACTACTACTACTCTAGACACAGATTTCATTAGTATAAGTAATTATAATACTTTTATTTTTAAATTTCGTAACATCAAGTTCTACTAGGGAGCTCGGCATCATACGAATATGATCATCGGGTCAGCATCATTTTTTTTTATTTACATAAGTTGTTTTTGTATAATTAGTTAATGAGTAATGGTATATGCCTGGTAACATTCTGAGTAATTCTTCTGTGTCATATTCAGTTTTGACTTTGTTTAGTATTTTTGCGTACCATAGAATTAGATCAAAGCATAGAAGTCTTTCAATGCCGCATCGACTTCCTAAAAAGATTGACATCTTTAGACCACGAAGCTTTTATGATATTAAAAGTTATTTGTATGGGAAAGTTGGCGGACAGCTAACTAAAATCGAAGCTTTTCGAATGATGAACATTATATTTAAACAGTAATGCTACACAAACATATATAACTATTTTTATTTAAAAATAACCTATGCTTTTACTTGTGGCTTTCGAGGCAGCTGTTTTTTGTGATCCGCGCAAGTCAGAGCTTGAGATAAGCACAGTCAAAGCCTGGGTTTGTTCTAATCATTGTCTGCTGCTCGCAGATTATCGGGCTTAGTTAAAAAATGCCGCTGGTCGACATTCTCAGAAAAATCTGTTGTATATTTCCGAATTTAGGCTACAGGCATTTTTTACTTGCAGATGCTAACGGCAACGGAAGTCCGAATGGAACGCCAAGGGTACAGCGACGTCCCACTCAGCCTCCTCCGACTGCCACCACCATTTTTTATCCCGAAACGGTCAACAACAATCAAAGCAACATCAGCGTTGCTGAGCGACAGCGGCGTCGGGCTGAGGCGCTGGATGACTTTTCCCGCAGTCACGAGCGTTTCCGAGAAGAACTGATGCCAGACGTGTCTGCATACCGCGAGCGCCAGGGACAGCCACTTATACAGTTGTGATGAAGGAGCTGGCTGCTCCAAGAACAAGCCAATGTATTATCCTTTTTGTGCTAAATCAAATCAAGTTTCAAATAAACAATTCTTAATTTTAATATTTTTTATGTTTTAAAAAAACTAGTAAACCATGCCAATCATACAATTGAAAGAAAAAGAACGAACGTTTTTTAAAACCATTAAGAATTGCTTACCATCAAATGCAGAGGCTATCTTGCCAGTAGATAGATCTTCATTTTTAAATGTACATATGTACAGTGACGAACTAAATTTTTGGCACAGAAGATATTTAAATAAACAAAAATTTATACATACTCGTATATTATAAAAACATAACACGACAAAATTTTTTTTAACTTTTTACCTTCAATGGTTGATTTTTAAAAATTAAATAACATAAATAGGAGCTGAATCTTGGCATGGATGGGATAGGCATCAATGGGATTGAGAAGCATGCGGCAGAGTATGTTGGACGTTATGTGCGACCCACATACGCACATCATAAGCCGTATGCTTTGGGTCATTATCATGCTGAAATGAGAATGATGGTTTAAATTTCTTTTTCTTCAATAAACTCCAGTTCGCCGACCCCTGAAGCGGACATGCAGCCCCACACAACAACGTCTCCACCACCATGTTTCACCGTCGATGCAAAGTTTTTTTTTTTTTTGCAGCTCAGTATTCGGTTCTCTCCAAACGCGTTGCCGGCCATCAGATTGGCAAATTTTAAATTTGCTTTCATCTGAAAATATTAAGTTGTTCCAAAAATCCATTGGCTTCTTCAAATATTCTTTCGCATAGTCTAATCGCTTCTTCTGATTCACTTTTGATATAACTGTCTTTCTTCTAGCCACTCAGCTATTATAATTTGCCTGATGAAGGGTCCTTCGCACCGTTATTGGATGAATTTCTTTTCTAAACTTTTTTTACTTCTGCTGGGATCTGAGTTGAAGAAATTTTTGGGTCCACCTTCACCATTTTTATAATGTGGGCCTGTTCCCGGGCGGTCAAAGCCTTGGGTCATCCGGTGTGTTTTGCGCTTTCCAAAGAAGAAGCTCCCTTAAACGGCTTATGATGTGCGTATGTAGGTCGCACATAACGTCCAACATACTCTGCCGCATCCTTCTCAATCCCATTGAAGATTTGTGGGAAGGAGCTGGACAGGCGCGTTAAAAAACGCGCGATAAAAACAAAGCCCGGGCTGAAGGTGGCTCTTATAGAAAAGAGGCAGAATATTGGGGCAGAAACAACCCAAAATTTCGTTTTTTAGATGCCAAGACGGTTTGAAGCCCTTATAAAACAAAATGGCTTACCCACAAAGTATTAATTTTAGTAATTTTCATTTATTTTTAAGTTTTTTAATAAGTTTGCCAATAATTTTGTTCAGGCAAATTCACCTCCTATTTGTGTTATTTAATTTTTAAAAATCAACCATTAAAGGTAAAAAGTTGAAATAAATTTTGTCGTGTTATGTTTTTATAATATTATATGTATAAATTTTTGTTTATTTAAATATTTAAATTTTAAGGGGAGAAATCGTGCCTTAAAGTTCATGAAGCCTTCTGTGCCAATAATTTAGTTCGTCACTGTATATTCATAAAGTCCAGTGCTTTGAAATCTTTAAGTGAAATTAAAAATGTTTTGTTGCGCTGCAGACTTGAGATGGCATGGCCTTATCAACTGTTGATCATAATCAAGAATAAAACTTTACCTTCTTCCTTTGAAATACTTTACCACTTTACTACGAATAACGGATATGAAAGAGCTTCGAAGCTTACTTTTTAGTTCAAGAAAATTGGAGGATCATATAATATAGCAGCCATTTTAAGAATTGGAAAATATCTAGAAAAATAATCATCATAAAACTACTTATATGTTTCTTATGATCCACTTAACTTATTATTTGTAAACAGCTTTAAAAATTGACGCATTAAAAAATAGTGGATAAGTAAAGAAATCCAAGGTGTCAAGAAAACTCTTTAAATTCAAAACTTAATAACAGTGTAAATGGTCTTTTTAAACGAGATTTTTATGTATTTATGATTTTTCTCGATAGAAAAACAATAAAGCGAACGTACGAAATAATCGATGGGTGGGAATAATACTTTGGGTAACATCGATATTTTGGAGTAGTCATCGATTTCGGTTCCAGCTCTGTAACCTAGCGTTGTTGTCTTGTTTGTAATTTTGCTGAAAAAGGAATAACGCCGCATATAGAACTGTGAGTTCACCATATTATTAAAAAAAATGTACCCTACTCCGCAATAAAAGTATTGAGGAAAACAAAAATCGGCAATCTTATCTGTTTAATTAAAACTGTGGAATTGTCTGTGTGTTTGCTAAGTGACGCTACCGTTTGAATGTTGATTTTTGAGCCGGCCATTCTCCTTTGGTAAGCCTGGGAATTGCCATTTTCGAGTTTTGGAAATTATTAAATAGCAGAATACCTTACAAATTGCGTTATCCAAAAGGTTTCACGAAATTGTCCGTCGAAGGCGATAAATATCAATCTTTTTGCTGGCGTCGCTAGCTGCGGCTTTCATTTTGTTTCTGTGCAAAACCACCACACAAACACGGCACACAGACGCTTGCACACTACACACCACCAGACGCGCGAGAGCGGCTTTTTGTTTTGTACTGCGTTTATGGAAAGTCCAGTTCTCGGTATTTCATACACTCACTTAAACTATACCCAGTGTTATTCTATTAAAGTAACCAAAGTTACTCACTCTGACAACATTTATCATTTTTAATATCATTGTTTAATATTGTAAATTGGAAACTATTTTTATTGTAAATTGGAAGCATTCTGTAGTTCGTAAAATTACTACCACAAACACAGTGAGCGTTACACTCTGCTGCGTGCGAATTCTGGTTCCGGTTTTAGGGCTTAAATTATCGTATACTTTGTTCACTTCCAGCCGCCGAGTATAGATATCCATCCCAGTCCATTCTAAAAACAAACCGAGTATCGAGAACATGTCGGCTAAGCGCAAGGCAGGTGGCAACGGAGCCGGTCCCAACAAGCGGCGCCCGAAGAAAAAGGAGTCGGACTACGAGGACGAATTTAGCGACGAGTCCGACGAGGACGGTGTGCATCAGCAGGCGGCTGCCACCAACCAAATGGAAGTGCTCATTCCCCACGACGACCTCGACCCCCCAAGCAAGTTGCCTGAAGACTTACTGTCCACACTAGAGAAGACACCGGGCCAAATGCTGCTCGCTGGCATGGTAACCTGGGATCTGACCGGCAAGAGGGACCGCAAGAATGTCACGAAGGTCCGACCGAACCTATACAGCTTCCATCGGTTCACTGACGAGAAGGTAAGCAAATTCTTCCTTAATCATTGTCCCATCGACATTTTCTCTGAGTGATTCAATTTTACAGTATCGATACGTGGCCAGCGGACCCAGTGCCGCTCATACTATTGTCATCAACATGGACCGCAAGGCGCTTAGTTTTGGGCGCAATCCCAGCGGCCAGCTGGGCCTCAGCCAAGATATTAAGCTGGCGGAGAAGCCCACCCTAATTCCGGCCCTGGAGCATCTTAACATAGTGCAGGCTGCTGTTGGCCGGCACCACACCCTATTTCTTACCGACACGGGCACAGTTTACGCCTGCGGCGAGAACAAGTCCGGTCAGTGCGGGGTTGGCAACACCCACGCCAACATTTATTCGCCTACTCCGATCAACTACCGAGGACCTCCCATTATCCGGATCGGGTGCGGGGCAGAGTTTTCGGCCATTCTGGACATTAAGGGTAGTCTGCACACGTTTGGGCTGCCGGAGTATGGCCAGCTTGGCCACAACACGGACGCCAAGTACTTTGTAAACGCAAACAAGCTATCATTCCACTTTGAGACGTCACCGAAAAAGGTCGTGTTATATATAGAGAAAAGCAAGGAGGGTCACGTGACACCAGTTGATGGCGTGCAGATCGTGGATTTCGCCTGCGGCAACAACCACACGGTTAGAGATCATTAATTATTCAGGATGTCGATATCTTATGAAAACCTTTGCTTTGCAGGTTGCTATTGACTCAAAGAAGCGCGTTTACAGCTGGGGTTTTGGTGGTTTTGGGCGTCTCGGCCATGCAGAGCCAAAGGACGAGATGGTACCGCGCCTAATGAAGTTTTTCGATACACAAGGTCGTGGTGGGCGTAGCGTTTACTGCGGCTCCACTTTTAGTCTCATCGTCAACGAGCTGGGGCTGCTGTTCCTATTTGGGCAAAATAAGAAGACAGGCGAGGCCAATATGTATCCGAAACCGGTACAGGACCTGTCCGGCTGGAACATAACCGACATTGGCTGTGCCAACACATCGATAATGATTTCGGCCGACGATACACTGATCGCCTGGGGTGCATCGCCCACGTTCGGAGAACTTGGCATCGGGGAATTCCAGAAATCGTCGACTGTGCCTAAAGAAGTGCCAAAGTTGGACAACATTAAAATACCTCAGGTAACTATGGGTTACTCGCACACTGCGTTGCTGGTGGACACCACTCACGAGGCAACTAAGCAAAAGTACGAGAAAATGCCCGAGTACACAATTGATGATTAGGTAGTGAGCGACCTTTTAAATTCTGCAACAAACACGTATAAAGCTGCCAATAACAATACTGCTCCGCGTCGGAAACCTTGAGAACTGATCATCGAAACTGCTGCTACTTATCGAAAGTGAAACTACACAAATCCAACAAATTGTATGCTATAAGTTAAAAGTTCATTATTATGCTAAACTCGCTATATACATACTATACGATAATCTCAGAATACATATAAGTATTTTGTTTTCAAACTCTTATTTATTCTCGTAACTCATACTATTCAGTACTGATCCTGTCCCCTTCTTAATATAATTTATTGCCGCCCACCTCTAGGCTTAAAAATAATCTACAAAACTTATGATTATCGATTTGTAATTTTTAATTTACAAGCTACAGTATTCTCCATTTATTTCGATCAGAGTGAGCAAAAGCAAACCACAAACTACAAAACACGTAAACCTACGAACATAGCGCATAGTTTACATATAAAAAGTATACCATGGGAGAAATCCAATACCAGTTGCAACTATTAACTAGTACATCATGCATTTTAATCTTATACAAAGGAATATTTAAATAAAGAAAATGTTAGTATTTAGAGAAACAGGTCTACTACTTTATTTGTCGTTCTGCCGTGGACTCTGTAGGCGGAAGGGAATTCAAGATGGCAAAATTGCGGGATTGTTAGACGACTTCAAGCTACCCTTTTTTGGAAGATAATTGGAAAAATGCTCTCACATTATCCATGATAATAATAAAACCCAGGAAAATACTCTACAGTCGAGTGACGCGACGAAATAATCGTGCTTACAATCCTTTATGACAATTACAATTAACCTGGCGCACTCTATTGTTAAAATGGGATGTTTAATAATTGACGGTGATGTCACAGTTTTGTAACTTGAATTTCTAAATACATTTTGAAATAATCCTCCGATTTCAGAAAGTTTTTTCTCCTGAACTTTATGAACTACGGATATAATTAAAAAATACGGAATAATTGGTTTGATTAAAATACGATGATGTCGTCAGACTTTAAAAGTAGAAAATAAAATTGCGACCAAGAAATTAGCCGGGTTAAGGGAGTTGTCAGGGAGGTATATAATACGATTTCAGGCCTAGGCCGACTGAGATCCTATTCCCAGCCTTACGGCCTGATGTCCCACCGATTGAAAGCGAAAGTCAGTGTGCGGAAAGCTCCGGCGCAAAGCTCTCTCTCGTGCCCGACTCCTGACTTCGGAACTCGACTTTGGTAGCGGAGCTCCGGTGGACTTTTCCTTGACACAGTCTTCCGTCGTGGTCCTGTCGAGTAATGTGCGCCGCTGAGGAACAGTCCCTGCACGCGCCTTGAGTTTCATTTTACCTTTTTTCGCCCTCCCCCACCCGACACTCACACATATGAACACCAACCGCACACACATTCACACACGCGCGCACATTTAAGAATATCAACAAAATACTTCAAAGATTTCGGCGGGTAGGATTTTTTAATGTGTTTTACAAGGGTACGCATCATAAAGCAAACAAAATACATACACATTTGCTTAATTTCATAAATTCAAACGACGGAGCAGCAACAAAGTAGCAAATAGCTCTAACTGTAAATTGCAGTGTCTTTGATAAAATAAGCAACAGCAATAACAGCGCAAGCACAATTTCTATGAGCAGCAACAAATGCAACAACAGAACATTACGAAAAGCAAAACACGGTAGGTTATTATGCACAACTAGTGGGGAATCCCTGTTTATACATGTGTATCTATGTACATAGATATGTATGTATAGCATGTATGTACAAGTGTGTATGTTTGTGCGTGCCTGTTTCAGTAGTAAACTAGCACTGATGCGAGTGTGTCTGTGCAACATCATTTGACTTTGCCATGCAACGCGTTTTTATGATTCAGTTATTTTTTGGTCTGCTTTTCATACATATTCACTGCGATGAGCAGTTGCCAGGCTTTGGATGTAAGTGCGCGCCTGAGCTTGTGTAAGTTGCTACCCGCTCCCCTACCCACCTACCCCTGAAAAATTAATTAGAAAGTGTCCTACCCTAAATCCATTCTCCAAAACGAGCCTTAAATTAGTTGGGAATTTCATAAAAAGCCTATAGACTCCATGTATAATTATTCTTCATCGCCCAGATACAAAGACTTGTTTGTTTTTCATTGTGGCGGTCACGAATAAACCAAGGAACAAGAAGCCTGGACAAGGGCCTCCATGTTCCTCGGGTTTCCCGTAACCTCTGGCCATCCTCTGGCCCCTAATATGAATATAAAAGCACTGAAATCAATAAAGACAGAGAAAAAGCTACAGGCTGGCTGATATTAAGGCCAAACGAATAGCAAGACGTGGGGATGTGAATGTGTATCCTGTGCTTTGGCCAAGACAGGACTCCCGGCTGTGTGCTTGCGCCTGTGTATCGTATCTGCATGTGCCACATTAAGTCACCTGTGGCGGACACTTTTTATATCATGAGCAACAACAATGGCAAATCTCGTCATCATCGCTTTCTCTCGCTCACCTCATTGGGTCTCCTTGTGGCCATCCACCTTCGGCGACCCCTCTCTTAACCACCTTCCTTTTATCCTGGCTTTTGTCACCTTTTGAGCTTGTTGCTGACGTTTGAGTGACGCAAATTAATACATACACATTTCAATTTCAATAACGTTAGTTCTCGGATCGGCGTACTATGCTTGCTAGCTAAAAGAGCCTCGAAAGTTACTCCCTGATGAAATAAGTATGTTATATATATGTACATATACACATTCATATGTATGTATATATTATCCCTTCCTAACCATGCTACTGGTAGCCCTTCTTTAAATTTAGACTTAAGACGAAGAAATTTCACTTATAGTTGTTGGTGTCAACCTTGTTGTGTCGCTAAAGAGTCATACACCTGAGTGCCGTCCGGAAAAGGCTTTGTTTGCTAGGCTTTCTCGGGCAATTAGGCTAAGGTATTCCCAGACATACTTTGTGGTAAATAGTTGTAAATAAATTTATAATTATCTTCATTCTCACTTCATGAGAAAGAACAAAATGTTGAATATGTTGATCTCGGCTTTGGATATATCATTTTTACCATCTTTAAGAACCCATCTACATATATACAATATTGGGAACCCCTTTATACCCGTAAATTCCAAAATAGAACAATGTAGCCTATATATATGTATATATATTTCGTCTATCCTTTTGTTGGCATGAACGCTGAGGTCTCGGGAATTTGAAGATAAAGATCCCAGGGATTTTTTCGATCGACTCACCACATATTTTCCATGTTAAATTTAGGTTCTACGGCTTTACATGGAAAGTGAGGTCGGTTATTATAGTTCAGGCTACAGATACGGCGGACAGATGGATATGGCTTAATCGACTTGGCTGTTGATACTGATCCTTCTACCTATTACATACTTCTCAATGAAGACTTTAGGAGGGTTTCTAGGAGTAACGGGTATAACTACCATGATTTAAAAATTAATTTGTTAACAATATTTTTTCCTGCTTAGCAATGGTGGCGCACTTTCTACTTCGTGTTTCTTACTAGAATCTGCAAACTTAATACAATACTGCCTAGCTCTTAGAAGTCGTAGGCTAGTATTCCTGATCAAGGATATAAAAATGAACTTCAAATACTTTATAGGGCTTTAAACTCAATGAGTAAAATTTCCATTTAGGTCTACGATTCAAGATACTCGGGGTCACCAAAAAATATCCTAGTATTTGGCTTTTGATGGAATCAGAGCTAGGGCTGAAAAGAAACGAGGGAAGAGAGGCAGGCCTTGCGGTGGCTTTTCGAATGCACAAAGTGCAAGGTTGCGTTGCCATAGAGGTGGAAGTGGGCTGCGGACGGAAGGAAGAGCATCCGTAATCTCTGAGTGCGCCTTGTTCGCATTTGCGCTCATGCCCTCATTGCATAAGTGTCAGTGTCAACGGGGCAAGGATGTGGATGTGGTGAAGAGCTGTGTGTGGGTGCTTGTGTGGCAGAGGTGTCCTTGTTGGCAGACAAAATGACTGATGATGATGACCTTTTTTTTGTCGCACACCGCTCGGAAGCTCCTTTAGTATGAAATGAGACGACAAGACAAACGCGTCGCCATCGAAGATCGCTTAAAACCAGTACGGACTAGGCCACGCTTACAGGCAGAAGCATCGAAGTTGGAGACGGATAGTGGCGCAGGAAAGCAGGAAAGGAAGCATGGACCGGGATAATCTACAGCAGTGGTGGGAGAACTCATACCGGCGTCATCACCCGGTTCTTGACTCCACGGAGCTGCACATTGCTCTTCAAGAGCAAAACCATCTTCTAACGGACTACGACTATGGCAACTTAAGCATGGGAAATCCGTACGACTTGGACTCGGAACACTCCATCTCCTCGCTAACCCTTCTCCTGCTGGCAGTCAGCTACGGCCTGGTCGTCTTTGGCGGCGTTGTGGGCAACTCTACGCTAGTGCTGACCCTTTGCTCGGCCTCTTCGGTGCGTCTGCGTAACCCACTCCTACTAGCCGTTTGCATTGCAGACCTGCTGGTCACTGGCATCTCCGCCCCGGTCACGCTCCTCAACCTCGCTATGAACCGGCGGACACGATCTCTACCACTTGTGCTATGCAAGGTCATACACTATATACAGGTAAGCGATCTTTGGTCAAACTGTCCGCTGCATTAACGTCATGATTATGTGTTAGAATAGCAAAGATAGGGAAAAAACAATTTTAAATGAAAGATAGAATTCATTTTATAAATTGATTGAAAATGAACAAATTAGCAATAAATTATTTTTTTTAGTTCTTGCATTCCAATACGGTCTAGACTCTAGAGGGTATTTTGATATACATACATACATACATATATTGTTTATTCACACAACCGAGGCGATCTATGTAACTGTATGCATATGCCCGGTACAATAAAACTGTTATCTCACTTGTAAAGCGTTCTTCCCAAAAGTCTCTCTTCTTGTATGTAACTAATAACTTTTTTGTATATTGATCGAGACATTATTACGGCGGATTATGTGGATTCGCGATTTTAGAATAGACCTTTAATTTATTATTACAGCGTTTTGTCGGATCGGAATAGAATAAATAAAGTTAAAATGTTTTTACAAGAAACATCCATAAAACTTGAGAACTTATTTGTAGCTTTAACTGCTATCACCTCGTGAATCAACAATATGTTTTAAGTTTTATAAAAATTGGCTTTGCACCGGGTTCATTAATTTGGGGTAGCCAATGTTGTCTATTTATGGGTCTGACCAATTTTAAATTTAAAAAAAAAACTGGTGATTTAGACCACCTAAAGCATCCACCTCGAATATGACGACAATTAAGTGTACTTATGGCTAACAATTTTTGAGCATGTATTGGGCAGAGATCTTTCCAAATGCCGAGAATCAGTGAGATTGATGTCTACTAGTAGAAGTTTGCTAAGAAAAGATGCTATTATACAGACCTTATTTCGTACATTTCCCTTATTATCTAAGGTATTAATTCATTTTGGTAATTAGTCTGCGATTCTTTATTAGCCTGAAAAACAAATGTTTGCTTTTATTCCTTGCAAGGTTATGCCTGTAGCAGCCAGCACCATCTCATTCTTCATGCTCTCATTGGACCGCTACGCCACAGTGAAACATCCGCGATTGGCGCAGCTCCGACAGCGCCGCTACTTGCATGTCTCGCTGGCTCTGCTTTCCTGGATAGCATCGGCTGCCATTAGCACACCTTTTCTGTTTGCCTATAAGATCATCGCCAAATCGATGGTTGTAAAGGGTGGCGTGGCAGCGAGCACCACGCCGAACCCAGTCAGCATAAGCTGCACCTCCGACCTGGGTGCCAGCGCCATGTTCATATCCTTTATCATCTTTCACACGTTCGCTGTGTTCGTCCTGCCGGGCCTTGGAGTGCTGCTCAACCATTATGGCGTACGTCGCAAGCTCTGCGCCCTGTCGCTGACGGCTCGGGCTGCCCATGGAGAGCTGCCCCTACCAATCCCTATTCTGAGGCGGCAGACCCACATGGTCATCGTGACGGGCTGCCCCAACGCCCAACAGGCAGCCTGCGGGGGGGGCACCACAGCGGATGACACCTCCAATGGAAACGGAACGGGCACTGGGGGCGGTCTCATGGCTGTCAGTCCAGGAGACATCCAGCTTCACACGTTACAGCCACGGCAGCCAGGCTCGATCGGATCGGCTCTCGAACCGGGCTCTTACCGCTCCAGCAATCCTATATCGCCCAGGTATGTAACGCTAGGATGGTGATCTAAATAACCCTCTAACAAGCGGGCTCTGAAGTTCTAAAAATCTTTACGATATAAAAGTAGCTCAGATAACTTTTTCCCTAAAGATCTTTCCAAATTAATGTCCTACTTTTTTTTAAATGGCCATGTTTGTTAAACATTAATTTTTGAAAACACTTCAAGTTATTGTTCAGATGGGACATTACGCATACATACTACTGCCTTTAATTAAATGTTACAAGCTTTTTCAGTTAAAAGCTATCATATCTACAAGGCAGACTTAAGGATTATATTAAGTGCTCTGGTTACTTTTCTTGACAGGGCCATGAGAGAGATTCGTGCCCACTCGCAGCGACAGCGCATCAACCGGGCGGGAAGGGGACCGGCAACACCAGGAATACCGTTGCCTCAAACATCCACGCTTCGGTCTCGCCGGCACCTGGCCAACATGCTCATTGCCTCAGCTGTAATCTTCATAGCCTGCTGGGCACCCCATGTTTTCTGCATCTTCTACAAAAACCTCGGCAGCAAGCAGCAGTGCAGCCAGAGTTCCGTTTACTTCAGCCTCCTGCTAGGTTAGTTTAGTCTACATCCCAGATCAGCAGTCACTTACCATCGAATGTCTTTCAGGCTACTTCTACTCGGCCATCAGTCCAGTGATATACTGGGCCCTTAACCACAACTCGCTTCGACAATCACCCTGCGCGCCCATCATCCGCCTGCGCTCCATGCAGAACTTCCTGAGGTCGCGTTTCCGGACGCACACCGCCCCGCCACCTCCCTCGTCCACAAATGAGGCGGCCCTAGGGGCCTTTAACCCCAAACTAATCAAGCTGACACCGAAACAGTATAGAGCTCAGGCCTCTTCGCATTATCTCTACTAGTGTGATACTAAACTAACTTGATATACATATATACACATTTATATACACGCATATATACTATATTTTTTACCTACGCCCTCCCAAAGCCCCGGGATTCCCTGATACCGAACTCCGAACTCCAAACGGAACTATCTAGATGTTTTTCAAAAGCTCTACGCAACTAGTTGGCGTTACCTACTGCAGCATACTGGATATATATGCTACATATATTAGATTACATACTACCGAACATAGCAGTGTTAGTTTACGCTTATTTACACGATGTTGTGCGCCTAAAGCTATGCAATAAAGGCAGCGGAATCCTGTCGAAACTTTGCCTATATCGAGAAATACTGGTAACGAAAACAAACACTAAAAAACTTTAAAAACGAAGACCCTTTTAGTGACTTGTTCGAAATGTTGTTTAGTCTTTTAAGCTGAAATATTGTACTATGTTCCTTCTTATAGATAAGCAATAAGTGAACGCTTTAAGCCAAGTTAAACAAACGAAAATCGAATCAAACTAAAAAACGATCTACAACTTTTAAACGATTTAAACGTAAGCAGATATGCATACCTAAAGCAACATAAATAATTATATATACGATTACATACATATAACATATAAAATTAAAAAATGATGTAAATGTGAGCAAAAACAAGATGATAATATTAGTACTGTATACATACATACATATTCTTCGACTTAATTCCTTATACACTTTTTCTAACCATTTTTTAATATTGTTCAGTAAACTGAACACGGTGTAAAGTCAAGCTAAAGAAGCGTAGACCTGCCGAGATATTCGCGTGCATATGCAAGAGCCACCCACGACATTTGACTCAGGATCGGGTTTCATTTCACACATTTTAGTGGCCATAGTTTTTAAATTTACTAGTAGACTCTTATATGCTCCCCTGCGAACGACATGTGTTTACGACCTCTAAGTTTTCAGTTAAAACCTTAAATACCTTTCTATACGGTTTAAACCGTAAGCTATCTTTAAATAATCATTGTTTTGTACTTTACAAAAAGCCATCGAAAAAGAGTAACTATAAGAAATACAATAAATCTAGTAAACTCATTGTATCTTTCCTTCCTTACTTGGAAAAATTTCCGCACGTATAATTATTATCGACTAGCTAAAGCAAATAGCTAAAGCTGATCTGAGTATGTATATATATATATGTACACAAAAATTGTTTGAATTGAAATTTCCATATTATGCGACCAACCATAATTATCATGGATTATTTAATTAATAATTCATAAGCCAATATTTTGATAACTAAAATATCAAAGTACTGCCTAATACTGGTCGACAAGTATTCTTAACGTTGGGTCTTTATAACACAAACTCAGTCCGTCGCCAGTTATATAAGCTTTCGATATCGCAGCGTACGGGATTAATAACTTGTAATTTTAAAACTGTGCTGTTTTGGACTGCTCTTTCATTGGTTCTTGATAATTTGGAAGCCAAGGAGTACATTAAGCATAAACCTAAAAGTAGTTCCTGTGATTCCCACTCGATGCGAGAAACAGCCTGCACCTTTCTTCCGAATTCAGAAGACATTCAGGCGGTGATTAACTACATAAAAAGCTTAACGTTGAATTGAGTCACAGAAAAAAAGATTATTTAACAGGGTTTAAAGAACTATACACTTTATGTGCAGCAATTCGCGCTCGGGTTAATGAAATCAATAAAAATAGCTATAACTTTGTATCTTAATTGCTGGCGCGCTTTGCATGCAGTTGCATTCGTTTCTCGATCTCAGGGCGGAAGTGACGAATAAGACCCTGGACTGGCCAGGCGGCACCGTCACCAAGCGCGCAAATAGTGTGTCCCTCAATTTGTTTGGAAATCTCCCAAAGCATATCGATCTCAGCAGGTTGCGCATCACCCTTGACAAACCTATAGAATAAATTATAATGTAATTGGGCTTTAAGACATCTAACGAGGATTTACCGAGTCATGATCTTGTTCATCCAGCCAATCCCCTCGCGACATGGCGTGCACTGGCCGCAGCTTTCATGCTTATAGAAGGATATTAGCCTAGCAATAGCCTTTATCACATCTGTAGACTTGTCCATAACAATAATAGCTGCAGTACCAAGTGATGTCTGGGCTGCGATTAGGCCGTCGAAATCCATTATCACGTCGTCACAGACATTTTTAGGTATGATAGGGGTGGAAGATCCGCCGGGAATGACGCCCAGTAGATTATCCCATCCTCCAGTGACTCCTCCGCAGTGACGCTCAATCAACTCCTTAAGTGGGATCGACATTTCCTCTTCTACAGTGCACGGCCGGTTAACATGGCCTGAAATGTTGAAGAGCTTGGTTCCCGAGTTACGAGTGCGACCAAAGCTTGCAAACCATGGACCGCCACGGCGGCAAATGCTCGGAGCGACGGCAACCGTTTCCACATTGGTAACCGTGGTTGGGCACCCGAATACGCCAACGTCGGCAGGGAATGGCGGCTTCAAGCGCGGCTTTCCTTGCTTTCCTTCCAACGACTCTATTAAGGCGGTCTCCTCACCGCAAATGTAAGCTCCAGCTCCTCGGTGCATGAACACATCGAAATCATAGCCAGTTCCACAGGCATTCTTTCCAATAAGACCAGCCTGGTAAGCCTCGGCAATTGCCAGTTGCATGTTAGAGGCCTCGTTGTAGAACTCACCTCGAATGTAAATATATGCAGCCTGCGCGCCCATAGCACGGCCAGCAATCAAACAGCCCTCCACCAGCTTGTGTGGATCGTGGCGCATGATCTCGCGATCCTTGCATGTTCCAGGTTCTCCTGCAGGTGAATACAAAATCATTTCAATTCCTCGGCACACACGCCCTATTCCTCACCCTCATCAGCATTCACCACCAAGTACTTAGGGCGCCCATCGCCTGGCTTGTTCATGAAAGACCACTTCATTCCGCTGGGAAAGCCAGCGCCTCCGCGTCCGCGCAGACCGGACGTCTTGATCTCGTTGACGATCCAGTCAGGACCCTTCAACACAATCTCCTTAGTTTTGTACCAATCGCCTCGCTTCAGGGCGCCCTTCAGCCTCCAGTCGTGCCGCCCATAGAGGTTGGTAAAGATGCGATCTTCATCTGCTAGCGGTCCGAACTTGGTCTTAGTTTGTGGCGGAGGAGTCCCTGGCGGGGTCTGCGTGCTCTGGAACCGCTGCAGCTGCAGGCTGGCCGGCAAAACCGCACCTGCGAGATACATATAGGAAAAATCATTAAAATGCGCAGAACTCTGGGAAACTTTTGTTTTGCTTTGCGCAAAAATTACATAATTTCTTAGAAATATATAGATTGTATTCAACGCTTGGGGTAACTTTGGCAGTTGCACGTGGAATAAGATAATGCCGCTATTAAATAAGTAATCAATGTTTTTGTGGAAATTATCAACGTTTATTTACCAATATGCTGCTTTGTTAACAAATTAAATCGCACAATTGCAGCCATTTTCGGAACGACTGACTGACAGCTGAAATATGACGTTTGTTTACAGGGTTGCCACGCACACCAAATAATTTCTGAGCCTGAATATCATTAATCGCTCGTTTATTATGTTTATACTAGGTATCGTATCTGTTTTCTATACTGTTTTCGGTGAAATTACCTTTCAAGTAAACTACATATCATATTTTATTCTATTGATAAAATGAACTTAAAATGTATTACTTATAACGCACTATCTTCACATCGGGTATTAAAACCTAAACCAATTTAGAGAATTGGAATACGGAAATTTAAAAAAGATGTAGAAGAATCACTCATTTTAGTTCAGGTTTTGACCTTATTCATAAAAAAATTACCTGCCATTCAATGAATTATTTAAGAGTATTTATTTTTAATCGAAAATGTATAATGCTTTTAGATTTTGAAAATTACTAGAATAAATTTGGTGAGATATATATATATTTGAACTTATTATTTCATCTAAAAATTATACAAAATATGTTATATGTTTGCGAAGTACAAGTTTACATAAATCACGTCTTAAATTTATGACGTCACTAAGAGTGCGGTGAGAAAAAAACATTTTAAGTAGCCCTACTGTAAACGGGTCTAAAACTTTGTCAACAAATTTATTCGTTCACACTACAATCTATTATTACATTTGTTTCATTGAAAATGGCCCATAAGCAGAACAACGAGACATCCAATGGGACGACAACGGAAATTATTGACGAAGCGGATTCCTCTTCTCCAGCAGAGGCGACTAGGACTACGCCCACACTGCAACTACGCCTGGAACATCCACGGGATAAACGCCGGGTGGTTTTTCATGCTGGTGTCGTAGACAACGAGCATTTAAATCGCAAGAAGTCCAAGTGTAAGCCTTTTTGGCCCACAGACCAGACACGTTATTGATTAATTATTTTCGTTCCAGGCTGCTGCATATACAAAAAACCTCTAGCGTTCGACGAGAGCTCTTCAGATGATGATGAAGACTGCGAGCATTGTTTTGGTCATCCAGAAAAGCGGAAGAGGAACGCTAAACACTCTCATGATAATGTAGACAACTCGAGCCCAGAGACTACGCATCCAGACGGGCCATCGACATCCACTCAGGCTGTTACCAACCCTAACCCGCCAGCAGAGCCTGTTGATTCCTCGACCAATCCGAAATCCCCTACACAAGGTTCTGAATTTGAACAGGCGCACAGTTCGTAGCGAGTACTCCAATTTAAATATATATAATTATAAAAGTTAACAACATTAAACCAACTAACTGAAATCACTTGGATCTACAAACAGAGGCGGTCATTTTGGGCAGTAAGAACACCTTTGGGATTTGAAATCAGATGCGAACTTCAGTTTTTGGGCTTGAGCTCAAAGGATTCGCTTATGTTAATGGGGATACTCAATTCCTTTGCCTTTGCACGTGAACGCCAGACCTGTGAAAATACTTATGATAACCGCTGCACCGGTAAAGTGATATTTTTGCATACCTTGATTGTGTAATCATCACTGGTGGTAACCAACATTTCCGAATCGCGCGGATTGAAGGCCACACTGTTGACCACGTCCGAGTGTTTGAATTTTGCCAGGCTGATACCATAGTACCGATCCCAGAGGTATGCGTGTTGATCTTCTGCCCCACTCGCTACATAGTCCTGGCAGACGTCCAGAAAAATAAAGAAGCACTCCGTGCTAGGTGTGTAGGCCTTGTGGGCGCGAAGCATGTTGCCCACCCGCTTAAGAGTCATCAAATCGATCACATGAATGTCAATCTCTTGGGCGATAGGTGGCGGCTCCAGAGGGTTGGTAATTACATAATTCTTCGGCCACGGACGTGTGTTGACGTACAAGTAGCGGTGGTCCGGGCTCAGGGCCATGCCTATTATGTGCCCGTGCAGATCTATCACTTTGTCAACCTTATCAAATCTATCCTTCACTGACTCATAGTCCCACCAGTCGGGATCAGTACGAGGTGTCTGCTGCTGTTGTTGCTCTGCAGCCCGCTTAGCAGCTATTCTTTCCTTAAGAGTTGGTCCAGGATCTAGTTTTTTTGGAAAGTAAACATTGCGTATGCGCTTGAAACCAATTTGGTGCGGCGTAAAAGTCTTGGAGCCCGTTGAGAAAATGAGATATTTGGACATACTGTTTTCCATTTCATCGTATTCGTCTTGTACATCCATGTTGTCATACTCTTCGTCATCGTCTTCGTGTTGTTCATTAGCAGATGCCACCGCTTTCCTGTATTCCTCCAAATAGTGAATAGTGGCATCTCCGGGTCGCGTTCTGGAACGACGCTCGCTGATGTCTGGCAAGTAGTTTTCTTCGGGAGTGGCGCTCCTTGTACGTCGCAGGCTGGCAGCGTGGGATAGAGGATTACCACTGGCCTGAGAGCTAGTCCCCTGATCGCTGTTGTGCGCCGAAACTGGCGCACTGTGACTTTCATGCTCAGATAATTGGGTCAATGGATCACTGCTCTCGTCCAGCCACGGACACCTGGCTACCATTATAGCTCGTACAGAACTGGCGTTGCGGTTGTAGAACTTGTATAGCTGGCTCATGATCGGCACATGCTCCGAGTCGATTTCCTGGTTGGCTTTGTTTAGCCACAAAACAGAGGTGCTTACTAAATGAGCCAGCCAGTGCAGATCGCCGGAGATCAGATATTGATCACTGAAACCAGGTGCCAAAAATGTCGTAAGGACGGTTAACAACCCGACACCGTAGGTGAGACTCAGTTGCTCCTAGATAGAATACCGCAATCTCCCCTGAAGTGGACTGGGGAGAGCCGAAATGGACACCGGAGACGAGGAGCAAGGTGTCGCTCTGATTGAACTGCGAGTACTGTGAGTACTTCCAACTGAACTGCTTCATATTGTGCGCATACTTCTCCGAGCATGGGTGCTTGGCATTCCAGATCTGGAAGGCAAATCTATGAATATCTTTTTAATAAGGATCTGATGTACACTCACTATCACATATCCGTCCTTGGAGCAAGTAGCGAACATTTCACCATTGTGAGCAAAACTCACATGAAGGACCTGGTGCGTGTGGCCGTGGTTATTCTCCACAGTTGGCTCCAGGCGCTGCGCCTGAATGAAGGGTATGTGCATGGACAGTCGCTCGTATTCCGACCGCCAACTATTGGCTCCTGGCTTTAATTGAATGCTTGGGGACGCCCTAAAGTGCTCCTGAAACTTATGGCGCCACAACAAGTCATCCTTGGCAATGCTATGCCACCTCCGACAACAGCGGCTTGCCATGAGCAAGTCGGGTACACTCAGGCGTTCGAAGATCATCAGGAGAGCTGGCTCTGGCAGGGCCCACCAGCCGAAAGGATCGAGGTCAGAGGAGACCTCGTCGCTTTCGTCGTCCTCCGACTGTGCTGCTACTGGGGCCTTTACCAGTCGAGCCTTTTTTAAGGTCACTTCCATCACTGAGTTGGAGCAACTGACGCTCCGCTTGCCTCTGCAAATGGGGACTAAGATGCTGTAACGCTGCTAGCGAGCTCTAAGATAATAACAGGTTTAGCTGCCTTTGTTTCTGCGACTCCAAAATCAACTATTACTTTCTCCCTTATTGTTATTGTTTGCAGAAACCAGCGAAACAGCTGTTTCGAGAAACTCAGTTTCATAGCTTTTACCCGTTTCAATATCGATATCGTTATTCTATCGAAAAACAAGTGGTCATAAAAAAAACAATTTCTACTTAAAAATACCCAGTATTTTATTTTGATATATTATGTCAGTTAGAAGTTTGTTTATTTCCTAAATTAAGATATAGAAAAGTTATCTGTTATTTGTGGTATATTATATACCAAATAATCAGAAAAATTTTAGTATGTAAATTGTTAAGCTAAAATTTGATCTGATATCCAAATTTTTAACTTTTTCTATTTATGTACGAATAAACTATATGCTCCTATTTAAATCAGTACAGGGTACGAATGACTTACATATGTATACAGTAATGTAAACAAATTCAGGTAAAGAGGGCAACACTGAAATTAATTAACCCTTAAGTTATTCTAACGACAGGAACACAAATGCTGGGATTCCTGCTGTTCCGTAGCTCTAGGTAAAGGTTTTGACCAATTTTGTGGCTAAACATTTTTAACCGAATTTCGAACTCAACAGCTTTTGGCATCTGATGAGCCACCACAGCCCAAAGATTCGCCATATAGGTACGTACAACAATGCTGTAGTGATTGCGGCTGCCGTGAGGACACCAAGCTTTTCCTTCCTGGCGGAAGAGCAGAAACTGGCAGGCATGGTTGTGGACGAACTGGTTAAACGTTCCAGCGTGCCACGCGATGAGTACAACAAACTTATTCTCTGCTCCTCGTTTAAAACTGAGGCTTCAGCGTGCAGTGAACAGCTTTCCAGTGTTGCCAAAGAACTGGGCCTTAAATGTGAGACCATCGCCCTGCAGGACGACGTCTGCTCCATCAGCGGCCTGCAGATGACCTTGGACTGTCTGCAGCGCGGAGAAGACCAATGCATCATTACAGGCGACACCCGCTGCCAGGTCGTTCAGCCAGAGTATGGAGTCCTGGCCAACGAATTGATGTCGATTCAACAGCCCCGGACTCGCCTTCCACCTACTGAATCAGAACTGACCACTAAAACCGAGTTAGCGCCCACATTGGGAGCCGCGGCTCTCGCTTGGATGACTCTACAGGCGGCTCAACGTCTAAGCCTGCAACCTCTCGCCTTAGTGCGTGAGTTTGCCCTGGAAATGGACCACGATCAGGCCATGTACCGCCTGGATGGTAAGCAACCCATCTCACCTAGCGAGATCTTCACCTGGAACATGGTAACAGGAACGCAGAGTAGAATACCGGAAAACATACTGGGTAAACTGCACGCCAATCGTTTATGCATACACGACTTCAAGCAAATCACAGCAAGCCACCTGCTTACCCACCTGGTCCATTCTCTTCCCATGGGTGGTCTCGGCTGCGCCTTCATGGGCACGACGGAGGGCCGTTATATAGTGATGGTTCTAGAAAAGCTGTGCGTTAATGTCAAGATTGTGCCTGCTTATATTAACCTGATAATCTTGCAGAGTGCCTAGCATCGATCAGATGGAGGGCCTACCCCTGCTCACCTTGTATACGAGGGAGCCGTGCCCATTGTGCGATGAGCTGGTGCAACGGCTAGAGCATAGCTTCGCAGGCCGATACCGTTTGGAGAAGGTTTTTATCGACCGGAAAGAAAACGTTCGGTTCCTGCGCCTGTTTAGGCATGACATTCCGGTTTTGTTTCTTAACGGACAGTTCCTCTGCATGCATAGGTTGAATGAAGATGCCCTAATAGAGCGACTGGAATCTCTAAACCAATCCTGTTGAAAATCGCTATCAAATTGCACAAGGGACACTCATTTTTCGTGCCTTTTCCCTACAAATACTTTTAAATGGAGAGAGGCAAGCCTGAGTTCGAAATCGGATCCTATTGAAATTATAATAATAAATTTCGGGTTTAAGACAGTGAAGGCACTGTCAATGATAAAGCAAGTTATATGTACATACACTTTTATGTGCCACTGAGTGGCACTAGTAAAATTGCATACAATTTCTGCTATAAATTTTTTTTTTTTTTAGACATATGTACTTATTCTCCGCAGCTTGAGGTTCTTTTTTCATGTAGCCACGCTTACCCTAACGCCCACAAACCACGGTGGGTACTAGTTTATATATACCTATTTATCAAAGATTATTCAAATCGGATCATTTTGATATTTATTAAGCAATGTAGGTTATAAGGCCGCACATGGACAGTGAAGTCACCATCAGTTACTTAACATGCTTTCTGGTATCTTATAGTCGCGGCAGTCGACTATAGCGTTTCTTCTTCTTTCAAACTAGCCTTAAAAGCTTTATCTTTTTTTGAACGCAAAGAGTTTGCAAAAAAAAATCTAAAAAAAAAAACAATTAGAATAATAATATTAAGAACAGTTAGCTATAGGAAAAGAAAAATATCTTTCCACTTTTCAACATTATTTTTCGTCAGTTTGAAACTCAAAACATTTCTCCCATAGGCTTCAAAGTAATTTCGTGAATCTGAAGGAAGGGGATAACTTTAGTTAACATATAAAAAATTCAAATGATTTCTGCCCACCTGAACATGAGGAGGGGTACACAAGGCGTACATCACTGCGTCGGCAATATTCGCTGGATCCAGTCTGGCCATGTCCTTCACATAGAAATGGATCTGCTCCGGGAATATGTTCGTGTTGACAGCCCCAGGACATATTCCAGTTACCCGGATTTTGTTTGAGTGCAGCTGGAACTCCTGCCGGTAAGTCTCTGTGATAGCCGTGATAGCGAACTTGGTGGCCGGGTAGATATTAAAGGAGGGCAGCACGTCTATGAAATTGAGCACCTGGTGTCCGGCGATGCTGTTGATGATTAGCACATGACCCTCGTTATCCCGCCGCTTCATATTTTTAAACGCCTCTCGCGTACACCATATCACACCCATCACATTGGTGTCAAGAACCTCCTTTAGTTTCTGGGTGTTACCCGGCTTAACGAGTTCCGTCTCGCGTGTAATGCCAGCATTGTTGAGCAGGACGTCTACGCCTTCTAGCTCCCGTTCGATCCACTCGAAGGAGCTTACAACTTGCTGTTCATTAGAAACATCGCATCTCCGTGGAATGAAGTTAGTCTGCAGATGCGTAGGCAGACTCTCTCTTAGCTCTTTTAGTTTTGCTTCCCGGCGGGCCAGGCCAACAACACGCAGACCAGCTCCGACCATGGCCCGGGCACAAGCTGCTCCTATGCCTCCACTAGCACCCGTTACAACAGCTAGTTTGTTCTTCCAGCGCTCCATAACTGTCAATGATATGCTGATGTAAGCCAGTATTCAAAGAAGACCAAGCGTAGTTGTGTGGCTTCGTTCATCGAAATTAAGGTTAATCGCAGACGGACAAACGTTATGACTAGTGAGCTCGATAGGCAGCCGCTCAGTCAAGAACTTCATTAGAATTTATGTACATACAGTCGGCAGATAATTTATTCGTACACCCATGAGTTGGAGTTGCTCGTCTCGTCAGCATCAATTGAATCCCATTCAGGTATTAATGCGGTTTTTAAGAATTCCTTCGAGGATATGTGGTCCTTTTCTGGAGGATATCCCATAAATGTTCAATGGGATTCAAATCTGGTGATTTTAGAGTCGGTTTTTGCTCCTTGCAGTGATATAAAAGCCACTATTGCACTAAATACGATAAATATATCTGGTCGTTATCTTATTGAAATACGAAAGACGCTGGATTAAATATTGGCATAAAATTTGTTTATACATCAATAATTATTATTATTATTATTATACATAATTTAATTTTATCTTCCAAAAAGACCATTCGACCCACTCCACCTGCAGCTGTACACCCATTAACCATCACATTCTGGCCAACGTGCTTTTGACTTTTTTTGTTAATAAGGAAATTATGTAGTATTAAAGTTAAAACTTGTTAATTTTATGTTTAAAATATACTCTCGAAAAGTGTATCTCTCATTTGCATTCATGGGTGTACGAATAAATTATGTGCAGACTGTACATACAGTGACGAAATATATTATTAAAATTTAGATATTTAAATAAACAAAAATGTATATATATAATATTATACAAAAATAACATGAGAAAATGTATTTCAACATTTTACGTTAAATGGTTGATTTCTAAAACTAAAATAACATAAATAAGAGGTAGATTTGCATGAACAAAATTATTGGCACACTTATTGCAGAACTTAAAAATAAATGAAAATAACTAAAACAAGAGGAAACGCTATAGTCGAATGCCGCAACAATAAGATACCCGTTACTGTTTTACAAAATTTTAAAATAATATTTTGCTAGAGGAAATTCACAAAGCACAACCCATTGTCAGAGGAAGTATGTTGAGTATGCTTATAGTGACGTCACTGCCTTATAACCTTAATTTCTTTATAAATAGCGAAATGTTCTGATTTGAAAAATCTCAAATCAAACGAAGGCATTCATAATAATATTATAGACGCCACAGTTTTCCGCGGTTTGTGGGCGTTAGAGTGGGCGTGGCCGGATGCAACTTCGTGACAAGTTGCAGGGGCATCTCTTAAATACGTGTTCCTAAGCAAAATTTTGTAGCTCTTAAGGTTTTTGAGATTTTTGCATTTTTGGATTTTTTCTCAATTCGCATTGAGAGTATCATAAAAACCTACATGCTTAATCCGAACTTTCTATCTCTTATAGTTACCGAGATATCAGCTTTTCTAAAAAACCCGAAAAATGTGGCTGGATAGTAGTACCACTATAAGATGCGCTGGCATCTAAAGATTATACTTTCAACTTTCTGTCTTCAATAGTTCCTGAGATTTCAGCGATTTTATTTTTTTTGCGATTTGTGGGCGTGGCCGGATGCTGTAATAAACTTGCGCTGCGTAGGGACCTAAAGAATCTTCATGGTTAATCTCAATTTTGTATCTCTTATAGTTTCTGAGATCTCAGCGTTCATATGGACAGACGGAAGGACCACTCTAACGCCTACATACCGCGGAACACTGTCGCGTCTATAATAATATTATGAATGCCTTCGTTTGACGTTGTGTAACTTATTTCTGTTTTATCTATCGATTTACCAAAGATTTTTCAAATCGGAACATTATTTCGCTACTTATGAAGAAATTTAGGTTATAAGGCCTCACATGGGCAGTGACATCACTATCAGTTACTCGACATGCTTTCTCCGACAATAGGTGGCGCTTAGGTAATTTCCAGCAGCAAAATGAATATTTTAAAATTGTGTAAAACAGTAACGGGTATCTTATAGTCGCGGTTTGTTGCTTGTTTTTTTGTTTGAAAATATTACATTTCTCCGCGTCTGACTAATGCTAAGCAAACTAGTTTTGTTGTTTTAGAGATATCTATGTACATGAATTGATATCTTCCCCAAAAACTTATTTCCCCTGCAGATCGAATATAGAATCCAATACATTATAAGTACATATATACATAACAATGGTCGGGTAATTATTAAAAAGTAAAAGTAGCTTATTAAATGCCAACCCGTAAAAATAAGTTAATAGTATAGAAATAATAGACTAATTACTTTGATTTGTGCCTGGTTCAAAATATATAAAAGTAAATAAACAAACCAAGGCTATAAGCTCAAATCTAGGTTAGTATTAATAGTTCATTAATTAACTTATGGTATCAATCGACCTGCTTACAAACAGTTACTGACATTTAAATAAATTACATTTACTAAAAGTTGCCACTCAAGCTGTTAGGAAGGTATCGATAGTCCAGAAAATACTATCGATACATACCGGGTTCGGACGGAGCTCCCATCACCAAACAACAAAAGAATATAAGCTATTGCAGGTGTTTCAATTTTATTAAAATTCACAAAGATAATAAGTAATATAGCTTAATTTGTCTGTGAAGGAACGAGTATTAGTCAAAATGGCGCAAATGGACATAGAATTGAAGAAGGTATGCGGATTGAACTTGGCAAAAAAGCAGTTGCCAACTGAAAGCGCGTGGTCAGAAGAACTTAATCACTAATCGGAGCTTCTGTTCGCAGGCCTTTACCGAGATGCAGATCAACAAACTGGAAACCACCAAAAAGATTAACATGATCGACATGAAGTGCGATATGGTTAAGACGGGCAAGCAGAAGTACCAGCTTACAGAAAAGGGCACCAGCAGCCTATCTGCTGACACAAGGTGACTAAACCAAGATTAATCATCTTAAGATGCCACTGTTAACCATTTCCCTCCAGAGTTTACCAGTCCGTGGGTCGCATGTTCCTGTTGACCGATGTGGACAATATGCGAGAGGATCTGAAGGCCAAACAGGAGAAATGCGACAAGGCGATAGAGCTGTTGGAGAAGAAGAAAGAGTTCCTGCAGAAGTCGCTCAAGGATCAGGAAGACGGCCTGCGCGAGCTGGTGCAGCAGCGCTTGGTCGCAAAATAGACACCAAGCTGGAATTTATCCCTCAACGCAATTGCTTATTTATTTTCAATATACTCGTCTAAATTGAAGTTGGCGTAGCTGACAAACTCGTTGCCTAGATTTCGTTCGTGTTCCGGCCGGAAGCTGCACTTAATCACGGGCAGACGGGCGGTCAGCCACGGCTCCACTACCTCCCCGGAGCACAGGACCAGCTTGCTCCCCGTGGGATGGCGTTGTAGTCTGGATATTATTTCACAAGTTTTGGCGATGCACTCCTGGGACAGAAAAGGAGGATCTGCCACTATAAGGTCATACTGGTGATAGTGTTCTTTAAGATAATCCGGTTTGCTACCTATGCAGTTCAGGTCGTAATGCACAAAATCCGTGCCGTACGCTTCAAACCGTTGGTCGAACTCAAATATGTGGACTGTAAGAAAATACATTGTCTAAAGGCAATATAATCGGTAACCGCTTAGTTTGCCGACTTACCCTTATCATGGATGTTCCTAATATCCTTGTAAAGGGATGGGCAGGAGAGGAGTGCTATGTAGAAGTCTTCCGAATCCTTTTTTCTTTCCACCAGCAGCTTACGCACAACATCGCGCAAAATTAGTTTGGTTTTATTGCTGTACCAGAACTGACTTAGTTGCTGCAACAGAAAACGTAAGAGCAATGTCTTAAGGTATTAATGGGTGATCTTGCCCAATCTTCCTCGAAGTGGGCATCCTTTCCAATTTGACTCCCTTCCTCGGCTTCCCGCTTCGATCTCTCAGATAGGAATTCGTTGAGAATAGCTAGCGTGTCAGCGGGTAATGAAAGGTCGTCATCCATATTAATTTATAAGCACAACTAAAATTCTTAAATCATTCAAATCATAATAACCCTAAATGTGCGTTTGGAAACTAGAGATGTAACACTTGCGATATACGTAAATATGAAACCGATAGTGAGATTCTTGGCATATTTTATTTATACCTCTTACAAATAATTTCATGGGTAATTCTACTGCATTAATAGGTAAGTTAAAATTTGTCATAAACTCTAGAACATTTTGGTTATTGTGTTTTATAAAAAAAAAAGGAAAACTAATCTCTTCCTATTGTCACTTACTTACATATTGGAACTTTTTGGAACTTATCATTTCGAATGATCGAGAACAGATACACTTCCATGGCTACACTGGCTCTGGTCTAGTTCCTGTCTATCGAACTGGCTCAGACAGGGAATGTCCATCTCTAGTTCGCACGGAACACCGACCAAAACCAATACGTATTAATTTACATGAAAAACTGGGCTTAATTTGGAGACGTATCACACTGGATGATTGGACAAATATTCTGCTAAGTGGTAAGTGGTATGCGCCACTTAAATTTGGACAAGAAAAGCATTCCAGGAGGACAGTAAAGGTGTGATGATAATAGAAAAGAGACTACAAACATACATAGATACCTGGATCAACTTTCTTCGAAAAATTTCGGCCCAAATTAAATTAAAATGAGCTCCTAAAAAATTATGCAGTTCTGCGTTTCCGGAAGAGGAAGCATCCAATTCAAAAAACCCTTAAATTCCCATAGCCCGCCGAATAATAGCCCTGCGCTTTGAGCGCCTTGTCACTGCGATTTCGATTACGTTTATTGTAGAGTTCAGCCAGGTCAATCAGCCTCAAATTGCGAGCGTTAATTTGTAAATCTCTGACGTGTACCTATGTATGTCCACCCGATCGAGGTATCTTGTGACGTCATAATGGCCCATCTTTTACAGCAGGTTGACTTTTGGACTCGCCGTGCACGAATAATGTTTGGACCACCTACTAAAGTTTCCTGGCCTAGTTCCGCCGAAGGACCCTCCACAGTCCTCTAAGGTCCACATATCCAAATCGATATTAATGTCCGGTGCAAGCCCCATTACTCCCTAAATAATTTGAAAGTACACGTTGGATAGTCTCTGCTGTCTGCTGTGTTTACTTAATATCAGTTCCAACTCCAACCACCCCCTCCCCCCAACCTAATGGCCGCCTTTTTGGGTTTCATTATTTTGACGCGTATTTCGTAACCACATGCACATTGAGTGGTGTTTCTTGCTCGTCGGTGATGTAGTAGTTTCTTATTGAAATCTTTGCTTTAAGTGTGCCAGGTATCATAAACCGCATGAAAGCAGCAAGTTAATAGCGGTGGCTTTTTATTTTATTTTTCGGTTGACTTATGCGAAGCACTGCCTTCAACTATGGCCAACTTATCTTGGCGAACATTAAAAAGTCTTCTCGGCCCGCCAGTCATTCTCGTTTTAAATTTGTTCACTCTCAACTTTCCATTTGAGTGGTTTAATAGTTGGCCTTAACTTTCAATTAAGACCTGAAGCGCGCGCCACTGATGCTCTGAAAAGCAGAGCAGTCACAGTCTGAGAATAACCAAAGGAATTGTAGATCGCGGATAGATCGGGGTATTCTTCAGGTTTAGGCATTCGCGATAAGGTCGCGGTTATTTGGTTGGGGTTCCCTTATCATTGACTGTGCCCAAGATAGCAGCCGCATTCCCGCCGATAGCGCTGAAAGTAGCCTCATAACGAATTTCTGCCTTTTCATACCTGCTTTGCAGACTGAAATTTGAACGATAAACGAGCACAAAAGAAGACACTTCATCATGAGCACACCCACCGAGCAGCCACCGCACTTTGACGGCGCCGAGGCTAACAACTCAGAAGGATCCGCACAACAGCAGGAGCAGGAGCAACCGCAGCAGTTTCAATCACAGAACGTACCGGCGAAGCTCTTACAGCATTTCCAAACGAACCGCATCGATTCTGCGCTTTGGGCTTTGCGCCTGGTGGTCATCTTCTTCACTGTCAGCTACATTCTGCCCATCTTCACGTAAGTAAAAGTTAAGTGAGTTTTGAACCTTTCTGATTTTCTTACCTTTAAACAGTTCACAGCAGAGCTCATTCAGCAAGGTTCTGCTGGCCAATGCGGCCATCTCTGCCCTACGTTTGCATCAAAGGGTGCCTGCGTTCTCCTTCAGCAGGGAATTCCTGGCCCGCCTGTTCGGCGAGGACTCGTGTCACTATTTGATGTACTCCCTGATATTCTTCAATATCCGCCCTTCGCTGCTGGTTCTGATACCTGTGCTTCTCTACTCAGTTCTGCACGCCTCCAGCTACTCGCTCAAGCTTTTGGATGTAAGGATATTAAGCTCACAACTTAAATTAGGCACTAACTAAAAATATACGTTCTTTCAGCTAATTGGCCAGAACTCGTGGTGGGGTGCCCGTTTTGCTATCTCGATTGTGGAGTTCCAGGCGGCCAATATCCTGAAGGCCACCGCTTTCTGCGAGATCTTCATCATGCCCTATGCCATTGTGCTGATCTTCATGTAAATATTACCCATATTTACTTTTTCAGAATGATCTTTATAGATAATTTTTTGTACATATTAGGAGCCACGCTGGACTGATGACCCCCATAATTTACTATCACTATCTGGTGATGCGCTACAGCTCGCGCCGTAATCCCTATCCGCGCACTGCTTTCGCCGAGCTTCGCATAACGTTCGAGGCTCTGGCTGCCCGCTCACCGCCTGCTGTAGGCAAGATCATTCGCGGAGGCATAGGGTTTGTCAACCGCCTAGCGCCGCAGCCGCAACCGGCCCCAGCGCAACAGTAAGGGCCACGGTGTTCATGAAAATCAACAATCAAATGACATCTGAATAAGCTTATTTAAATACCAATTCACAAACATTGAAGTTGACACAGGAGATTGGGAATCATCCGTTTTTTAGTCCAAATTTGTTGCATCTTTTCTAAACGAGACAGTTTGCAAGCTCGTTACACCACACCGGATTGTTTCGGTATTTAAGTTTAAATTTATCTACATATGTATTATTCTAGTATCAAAATACGTTATGCTTTATTCACATATTGTGTTGCCGCGCACGAAGTGCGCCTTTGAAGATCAACATTCAAGGCGCGTATTATAACCGTTTAATCCCAAACAAATAATTTACATTTTCTTATAAAAATTTTAATTTATGTTATAAAAACTGATCAAACTCAAAACATGGACAGATATTGCTGTTATTTATTCACATATATTTTGTATGAGTGTGTAAAGCTACTAAGAACAAAACAGAGTAAAGTAGAATTTAATAAATAAAATGGTATATGAAGGTAGCTTAATTTCTATTGTGCTGTAGGTTGCAAACTGTGTGTAGTTTTGTGGGCCGATGGGATGCTTGACAAGTGTAGTTGATGGCTAATTTAAGAGTTTTAAACTTTTTCCCTGTACTTCTGCAATTCATTTGACATATTTATATTTTATGTTATTTTTTAGTGTTTAGGTGTTCCTTCGAAGCTATATCAATTTCAATTTGAACCCTTTTCCTCCGTTGATTTCTTTAAAAGTTCTGAAAACTGGTTAGATTTGTATTTAGTTAGAAATTAAGTTAAATGGAATCTTTTCCATCCCTATTAAAGCTCCTTTCACACTTTTTAAAAGCTTGAAAGTATGCAACATTTTAAGTTGATGGCACCAAATTTTATGCGAACAAAACGATAAATTTGCTATGGACGAAAAGTTATCAATTTAGTTACTCTATAGTTGGTTTTGGCAAAGCATGTTAACAGAAATAAAATTTACAAAATAACATTTAAGTTGAGCCACTCGACGATTTATCTATGTTCGAAAATCTATACACTAGTATAATCGCACCTACTAGAATAATTAAATACCTTGATCCATGATCTTGAGTAACGCAAGAATGCTTATCGAAAATCGAAATAGTATTTTAATATTTGTACTTATTATTTAACATATTTGACGTGTGAGCAGCGACGGTGGTATATTGGTAATACTAAAAAAATTAAGAATATGGGATTATATTCTTAAATTTTTTAGTATTACCAATCAATCCGTTAAATAATCCTTCATGATGCAGAATAGGTATAGTTAGTATACAACTATTCGAGGAATCAGCTCCATAATATTTACAAGATCTACGTATTTCTTGTTGGGCATTGTTGTATTCCACCTCCGCACTATAAACCCATTCAGAAACCAATGCTATGATTGTAGATGTCAGGAGGGTGCGAGGGCGAGGTTGTTTGGAGTTTTTGGGGGAGATGTGTGCGTGGTTTTGGGCTGCTTCCGAATTTATATAAAGTTCAATGAACTTCTTGCGCAGCGCCAAAAACTACTTGCCCAAATGAGGGTGATGGCGCTGAAGCTTGGTTGGAGGTGGACTTACTTCTCACTTTCGTTCGCAGTGCTTTGGAAAACCGTGGGGCAGGGGTTTTTCCTCTGGGGCAAGGGAAACATTCGATCCAACTGCGCTGCTAGTGAGCCAGTTTACGGCTCTGAGTGGTGTCTGTGTCGATGGCAATGTGTGCGTGTTGACGTTTTCATGGGGCTCTTGAACTTTACCTCTGACAAAGATTTGTTTTTTCTTCCGATTATCCAAAGCAGCGGGAGTAACTTTGTAGTGAAAATTACATTTCATCTTTGACCGCCTCATGGTTCTCTATTAAAATCAAATGCTTTATTTGGTACTCTCCGTATTTCCCGATTTATATGTATATCTTATATATAAATATATATCTTATATATATATATATATCTTATATATGTATGTATATCTTATACATATATTTATATATATCTAACTTAAGTCCACCACTCTTTATTGGGCATGGGACCGAAATGAAACCCCCATTATAGACTCAGCTCCAGAAATCCTCAGCCTGGGACACGTATAGAACTTAAGAAAGGAACAGAGTGCTCCTGTGTTTCCACCCTCGTCGCCCCACCAAGGAAACATACTTCCAGAATGACATCATGTCAGCCCCCAAAGAAACGCCCAAAAAGCCGTTGCATTTGCTGTGAGTTTAATGGGAAATGGGAAAAATAAAATTAGATACGAAAGAGAAAGCAAATCGCAGAAAGCACAACTGAAAAATAAGCACCGTGTCTTTGGGGTTGGCCGCCTCCCCTTCCCGTTCCCATAAACGTTCCCGTCCGCACCACATCCACGTCCCCTTCCTTTTTTACAGACTCGAGGTCTTTGAACTCTTCACCAAATGTTGTACGAAAATGGGTCACGATTTGAGCATTTTCCAATTCGAAAAATTTCCCCTTATCCCACTCGGACTCTTTTGTAATTGGTCCCAAAGAAAACTACGCACAGTTTCCCTCGAAGCAATCTCAACTGTGTTGCGTAGTCGCTCGGAGTTTGCGCAGCTCTAACAGCTGATGTATGGACAATTTCTGCCACCCGCAGCAAAGGAAAATCGTGTATTTTTCTGTTAGTTGTTGACACAAAGCCACAATAATTAAACAAAACCAATTCTTTAGACTGTAAGCATATAAAATAAATGTATACACTCGTTTACTCCAATCACTTCAACTTCTCTCTAAAATATTTATTTGCTCAAATATTACTGTTTCCCTTCAAGTGGTGTTCACTCAAATTCCTTGAAACTGACTCAAAGGGAATTTCCTCCAATTGGAAGGCACGATTTTAGTTTTCACTCAAATCGCTTGAAACACACTAATAGGAATTTCCCTCCAATTTGAGTCATTTAGCATGACATAACCGGCTGTTGGCTCGCATGTGTGTGTGTACAAGTGCTCGTTTTTTTCTGTTTTTGGTTTTTGGCTGTGGCCAGTGACCCCTTGAGTAACGGTATCCATAGTATTACGCAAGTTGTTCGGGGAACTTCCATCTCTCTTCCCTCACCCCCACACCTAGTTTTTCTTTCCACTTCGACTCGGCCCCCATCGACCCCCAATTTTCCTTCGGAAACATTTAAGTTATGTGTGATGATCGGTGATGGAGCTTTATTTAATTTCTTATTCGGTTATTTAGGAAAAGTGAGGGAGGTGCTCGACAATTCCCGTTACTGGGCTTTATTGTGCGCACATCTGTGGGCATTCTGTGTTTGTTGCCACTGATCCTCAGTTCTGGATTTTATGCAAGAGGAAGTGGATCTTGGGTAAAAGAGTTTAACAGGCCCTTGCAGATGGCTTACCACTCTGCAGCCGAACAACGCCGGCCGGCAAAAGTTCCCGTTGAGAGCGAGTCAAAACGTTTTCCATTAGAAGGGAAAATTACCAGCCCTACCCGCACTGGGACTGGGAGGTGGGGAAAGTCGCCACACGTCTTTGAAAAGAAAATCATGCGCATGTCAGTGGGCCAAACCACCCTCGCTCCTGATCCTTTACGGAAAGTCAACCCCACAAAGGGAAATTTTGGTTTGAAGAAAACGAAAGGAATATTTGCAAGGTGCTGGGTCGTTGACCCAAGAAAAAGCAAAGCTGTCAATCCAAAAACCCATTGCAGGGAACCAGCAGGAAAAACATCGAGACCCGAAACCAACCCCCAGGAGTGGGAAAGAAAATCTTTATATTGTGGGTGGTTCGCAGTTATTGCAGTACTCTAGGGTGAAACTCGTTTAGGCTAGGGCCGTTTGACACAAATTCAAATTTCTCAACCAAGAAAGATAAAAAGGGCGTAGCACAGGCAGGGAACACAGAGGAAGTAGACCGAAGTAATATTATATTTTATCCTCAATATTAAAAACTACTCAACAAGCCGTTTGTTGATATTTATCGGATTTCCTTAAGTTGGCCCTCTTAATAGTTCTAATAAAAATGTTTTTTGTTTTTGTGAATTTAGTAGTAGTATTACATCGACAAGATATTCGTTAATTCTTTTTCATAATAGTATATATAAATCACTATTTGCGCTGCATAGATTTTGGCTCATCCAGCCTAATACAGTGTTTTTTAAAACTTCTTTCTGAACATAAATTAATAAATTAATATTGAAAGGCTGGAGAATCATTGTTATAGTAAATTATCGCAACTACAAAAACTGTCGCGACTACTCTTTCTTTTTCTCAAAAGAATACGTCAAGAAGAAACGCTATAGTCGAGTGCCGCGACTATTAGGTACCCGTTATTGTTTTAAACAATTTTAAAATATTAATTTTGCTAGTGAAAATTCCCAAAGCGCCACCTATTGTCAGAAAAAGCATGTTTACTAACTGATGGTGACGTCACTGCACATGTGAAGCCTTATAACCTATATTTCTTCATCTTCGAAATAATGTTCCGATTTGAAATAATGTTGACAAAAATATGTTAATCATGGTCAAACGAAGACATACGAGGTGTGTTCAAAAAGTAAGGTGACTTTGTATTTTCAAGAAAAACTATTAATTTATTTATCAATATTTATGTTGTCCCCTTCAAGTAATCCCCTCAGATACAATACACTTATGCCAACGGTTTCCAATCCTCAAAGCACTCCCAAAGCACTGGTAAGCCTTGAGCTCTTGCAGCGATGCAGTCTTATCTCTTCAATCGTTGCAAATCTCCGTCCTTTCATAGGTCTCTTCAGTTTGGGAACAAGAAAAGTCACATGCCAAATCCGTGAATATGGTGGCGAGGCATTATTGTGGTGTTGTTTTGGCCAAAAACTCTCACAAGCAAAGATGGTGAGCAGGGGCATTATCGTATCAAAAGCCATGAATTGTTTTCCACAATTCTGACGTTTCTTTCGTATTGCTTCCGCAAACGGCGCATAACTCCAGATACTACTGTTTATTGACCGTACGACCATATGGTAAGAACTCCGATGCACCACGCCATGGTAATCGAAGAAAACAGTGATCAAAACTTTGACATTTGATCGAACTGGCGTCTTTTTCGGTCTTGGCTCGCCTGGGCTCTTCCATTGGGACGATTGGGCTTTGGTTCGATATCAAACCATAACCCATGATTCGTCACCAGTTATGACCCTTGAGTAAATCGGTCGTCGTTGACGTCATTCAACAGCTCTTGAGCGATGCTCATGCACGGTTCTTTTGGTCAAAATTCAGCAATTTCGGAACAAACTTCGCGACACACGACTCAACCCAAAACGTTTGAAAAATTTCATGGCAGAGCCAAGCGATATACCGACATCTTCAGCAACTTCTCGATAGTGATTCGACGATTTTCCAAAACAATTTTCGTCACTGCTTGAACGTTTTCATCAGTTGTTGACGTCTTGGGCGTTCAGAGCGAGGCTGGTCATTGGCATCTTCCCGGCCATCTGGAAGAGTTTGTACCACTTGTACATTTTTTTACTCAGAACAGTTTCACTGTATGCCACTTCAACATTTCAAGTGTTTCAGAGCACTTAATTTTATTTTTACACAAAATTTGATGCAAATCCTTTGATCCATATTTTCGATAGCAAAAATGCCGAGCTCGCAAAATAACTTAACTACGCCTCAACCAAACAAAGAGGATGTTCCATTGAAACTTGGTACAGATGTTAGGGAAGAGTGTACCAATATAACAAAACAAAAAAATCGATAATCGAAAATATGTTGCCCGCGAAATTTGAAAAGTCACCTTACTTTTTGAACACACCTCGTACACTATAATATTATGGATCCCGCAGTTTTCCGCGTTTTCTAGGCGTTAGAGTGGGTGTGGCCGGATGAAAACTTATGTCGAGTTGGATTGGAATTTCCAAAAAACGTACACGACACGGTTTTGTGGGCGTTAGGGTGGGCGTGGCTAGATGGGAAAAAAACATTTCGCATTTGGAGCATCATAAAAACCTACCTGCTTAATCCGAACATTCTATTTTCTTATAAAACGCGAAAATCGTATTTCGAGCTTGGTAGGCGTAAGAGTGGGTGTGGACAGATTGTTGTAACACCATAAGATGTGTTGTCATCCCAGGATTATACATACTTCATTTCAACTATCTACCTCTAATAACTCCTGATATCTCTGCTATTTTAGTTTTTCTTAATTTGTGGGCGTTAGAGTGGGCGTGGATGCTAAAATAGTGGATGCTAAACGGACGGACGGACATGTGACAATCGACTTCGCTATTGATCCTGATCAAAAATATATACACTTCGGTCGGAAACGCTTCCTTCTATCTATTACATACTTTTCAACGAATCTAGAAAAAAAGGGTATACCTTTTTCCATACGAGTAACGGGTATAATTACATTACAAAAACCCATTCTGTCCACATTTATACCCACTCTGTCGGCTTTAAAATTATATTCGTCAACAGAATTCGTACATATTTTATGTTTTCTCAAATCAAAAATATTGTTAATTACCTGCTTACCTTCACGGAAATTTTGGGTTGAAAAAGTATAACTTTTCAAAAAAACAACGATGAATGAATGATCATATCTTTCAATAAATCATTATTTTCGAGTGAGTCTATTTATGATGAATTGACCAAACCAAACTGGGAATAAATCACTTGACAGCTGTAAAATCGGTGGCCATCTAGAACAGTAATGCCAACTTAAAATTCTATACCTCTAATTTAATGCAACTTGAAAGTGTTAAGAGAGATATGCAACGATTGAAAAGATGGTACGAATATTTTAATCCACTAAAGTACGTACATAAATATTTTTAAACAAGAACAGGGACATAGACACATTCTCTTAAAATTCTCCTACTTTTTGCTTCGCAAAGTTGTATCTTTTTATCCTGATAACAAGCCCAAGAGCTTTTCTAATAAAGTTGTCTAAATACGGTTCTAACTTTTTATCTTAAGAGTAAATAAATAGCGAGTTTTAGACAAAAATTGTTAGGTATTATTTTATATGGATTAATTTCACTTCGATTTATTTATACATAATCAAATACAAATATTCTTATCGCGTGTACTACGAGAAAAGCTGTAATAATTTTACACATTTTTACGTATTTACAAAGTTTATTGCGAGTTATTTTTATAGGTGTTACTGGTAGGAAAAATGTATACTGTACTCGTTGAAATGTAATCAAGTAATGTGGTAATAGTGTACATACATTTACATATGTATATATTCGGTAGCTATCGTCGAATCAGACGAATCTCTCTGTCCGAAAGCCGTAGTCTTGTTAATTGTAACGCAATATGAGCTAGGATTAAGCATCAACCTATCGTGTAATGCACGTCTATTATTTAATTGTTGGTGTACTATTTCTTGCTGATGAAGAACAGCCTGCGGTACCAACCTAATTTAACATTTCATGTAACTAATTGCTTTACAACGTTGAGTAATGAGTATCTTATAGAGGGCGTTTCTGATTCTTGTTCTCTATCCGGTAAAGCAATGGGCTTATAAGATTCGATCTATAAATAAAATCCGACACTTTAACTAGAATTATTTAACATATTAATTTTGTATTCTTCAGTTAACTGTCTGTAGTATGTCTGTTGACATTTCTATAAGTTAACGGCTTTTGATGCAAGCTATTCATAGCGTAGCAGGGGAACTGGCTAGGTGATATCAGTAACTAAATTTTAGCCCACCGAAAGCCTTATCAGTTCGACAGCTAACGGTGCCTGACCAATAAAAGAACTATTGCCTCCTGTTATTTCCCATTGTGGTATTTAGTTCTGTGTACGCTTACTTTGTCTCTACATTCCTAATAATGAAAACAATAATACATTAACTAACGATGAAAAAATATATTTAATATGTTCACATTTCTCGTATTCCCCGTGACACTAATAGATCGTGTCATCATAAATAATACAAAATATTGCAGTTGTGCATTACCTTCTACGTACTGCGATTTTCACCTGCGACGTTGACGTTTGTTGGGGCGCGCGTGGGGCTATTAAAGCTGGTTGAAAGCGATGGTTGAGCGGGCGACATGGTGGGTGTGACCGACCGTTAGGAGCTTGAGGGCAGAGTCAATGCCCGGCAAGAATTGGCTTTACTGGGTGGTCAAGGTTGTATAGGTCCGATTTGTGCTCCATTCGTTCTTTATTATAAATACGGGCTATTTGTAGGATGCACAAGCAGTTAGTTTGAAATTATTTATTAGCTTATTAGTATCTCAAATAGCTGATTATTTTAACTTAGTAAATCCTAAATGAAGGCACGATCGTCCCAAATTTCTAAAACTTCTCCTCTTTTTCTAAAACGAATTTCTGTATAAGCTACAAATACTTGTCAATTTTTAAGCTTCAAATACTTGTCAATTTTTTGATGTGCAAATTGTAAAACGGTTTGTAAAAGCTAAGTATGCAATGCATTCGCTTTTAGACAACTAATATACATACTTTGTACACATGTATGCATGTAATTCATAGTAGTATAATGTTTCTGCTTGGTACATCTGTACGTATGTATTTTTGCTTCAAGGTTGTACACAAGCTTCTTGAGATAGGAACAAATTTGTTGATCCCACACACTCAGGGGAAAAGAGAGAGCGCGATGCACTCACACATGTGTAAGCCACGCGCAGCTGAAAAACAAACAACGGGAAATCGGGCACCACACCGAGACTGCAACTGTGGAAGAGACGTCTAGCTATAGCCATTTTATAGTTGAGCGACAGAGATGGTGGAAGAGAGCGAGGGAGAGAGCGCAGCGACATGTGCATGCGATAAATGCAACGTGTAACGAGGGGCGGGGGAGGCGATGCCTGGGTTTTCGACTGTTGCTTGCCATCCCAAGTGGAAGAGGATGTGCAATAGTTTGCGATGCACGTGTTGGCGGTCAATGAACCGAATGTGCGAGCGGCAAAAGAGCGTGATGGGTGAGATAGGAAATGGAAGTGGAAGTGCAGGGAGACAGCGAACGAGAGCGCGCTCTGTCGTTTAATGCAGTTATTATTGACGCAGTCTGTCTACGTGCAGAATGTCAATGTCGCCATTGCTCCCCTTGTACCGTTTGATATCGATAAATGTATGTGCATACATGTGTAAAGGCTGTTATCGATCGATATACAGAACAGTGGATCTACATTGTTGGCATCATTATCGTTTTATCGGACAACTTAATGTCTTATGAAGTCGTAATTTCCAAGCAATAGCCAATAATTTAATCGCGCCTGCTGCTCAAATTCAACAGCCAGCAAATACAAACATACATAAAAATCTGTACGAACAAGTCGCAAAAACAAACCACATAGCTAAAGCTGTTTTGTAATACTTTAACTTTTCGCGCCTAGTTCGACTTCGTAATTTGTGATTAATTTAAAGCAGGAGGGGCAGTAAGGTTTCTCCTTACGTAAATGCCAAGTGAAAATCAGCTTGAGCAAGAACACTGGTAAACCACATTTTTAGAAACACTTGCACTTATTTTACTAACTTGGTTACGCTCAAATTCTTAAATAAAACTGTTTTTACAATCTAATAGAAGATTATTCGCCATTTTTACATGTGCATCGCAGTCTGGAGTCTTGAACTAAGAGCACGTATTCTTAGTTAAATATTACTAATAGGAATCGAGCAATTCTCCTTAATGTGAAGTGTTGATAATATGCGCTCAACTTTAAATACCCTAACCCTAAGCTGCAATTTCCATAGGGTAAGTCCAGAAAAGCCTCTACGTCGTTTGGCATTGATAATGAAAAAGTACAGAAATGTAATGAGGATACAGAGAAACGCAAACATACATATATGCAATACATTTGTATATCAGCAGGCAACAGTATAGTTTTCCTTCCAAGACAACTAGCCACAATATATTTCCCAAGTAGCTGCTCTGCCTCTCTGCATCCTCTCACTAGGTCCAGTTTTTGCATCTCGGTAAACAAATTTATTACATCAGATTGGATAGTCGGTACTATATGACTATATTATGCACATTCTTTATAACACACTCGTTCAGATGTACGATTGCAGTTACAAGTGCAAATCGGTGGTTGGACGCCTGATATATTCCACAAGTTCCGTCCGAGTTATGCAAGTCCGGTGCGATAAGCGTTCTCAGCACCTTGTGCGGAAGGGCCTATGTGCATAATAGGGCGTTTACAAAGTTGCGGTAGCTACGGCACGCCAACTTGTTGCGCACTCAGCAAGTGTAATGGGCTTCCAGCGAGTGGGCTACTATAGATTGCATCAAGATATTTTCCTTTTCTGTGTGTAATCAAAATTCAGAAAAGACAAGTCGTGATCTTACCGAATGCTGTTTATCGGGTTTTGGAGGAAGAACAAGAACTTTTAGTTGCTGTTAACACTTATTTGTTAACTTTTGATTGCTCGGCCCCCGACATTTCAGGGTATCCTGCCGTTAGAGATGGAACAAATAGCGAAGGAATTTCTCAGTAGGTCTTTAAGATAATTATTCGATTTCTTAAACTAAACATTTGCAAAAATAATTAAACTAAAACGCTTGCTATAACCCAATGTTTTTTACTAAGAAATGGTAAATTTTTTACCCCGTAACGTCGTAAAGGTGGAAAAAAGTGTCTCAGACCCAGCAGAGCAGCATCTGCTCCAAATTCTTGGAACTTATGCCTGCGACACGCCCACTGTGCTTGGCGACTGCGCTACGGCCGAGGTGGGAGCAGCTAAATGGGAGGAGGCAGGCGGATGCCCATAGCCATGGCTCCCATCATCCCCGTTCTCCCAATTCACACCGCCTCAACATCCCAGCCCACCCTGCATGTGCAGCATGGACGAAAACTGTTGCACGTCCTCTCGATGGCGTCGAAAACTGGTGCACGACCGCCACGCGAACTTTTTCTTCAGTTCTGCCGGTGCAGGCTGCGCAGCCCGCGTCGCTCTTGCCCTTTTTGCAAGTGGCCAGACCTTCTGGGTTTGGGCTCGAGGTTTCGCCGGCTTTGTTGGTGCTGGTCGTTCTCGACAAAGGGATGAAGCTTGAATTTATTGCACAGCCTGACTCGTGCGTCCGCTCCCCCAGTTAACAGCTCCGCGGCGGTAACGCAGATGCAGCACAGCGGCAGCGCAGGAAATGCGTTCGGCGCAGCTTTCTTCGTTTCGGTCTCTTTCTCTGCGCCCATTGAAATTTCTTAATTCTTGGTTCCCCGAATTCTGCGGCGCGTCGTGTGTTTACCCTCCATTATTTTAACAATATTTGCTTCCATTTTTGTCACTCTTATCGTCTTCACAAAAGAAATCTGGGGTCAACAATCTCGTTGCAATAACGAACTTACTTACAGTATACACATATGTATGTATGTATGTACATGAAAAATGCAAATGGGCCGAAGAAAAAGAAAATTATATTTCAATCCGATTTAAAATCTATTTTATAACATACTCCATATGTTTTTACACCATGCTTGCTCATCTTGAAATATGGAATTATTAAGACAAATTTTAAATAAATATGTAACTCGCTTTTCATTTTCGATCTAATCAAATCGGCTCACCTTGCTTGGTGTCTGGCAACTCCTGGCTTCCTTCGACCGAACTCTCTTTTAGCAAATCTGACGAATACGTCATCCGGTGAGCGGCTCTACGGCGATAAGAACGGAAGCCGAACCCACCGGCAATTTATATCCAATGGCCAGCGAAACGTCGACATTTTTCGACATTTTCGGGCGCGAAGATATCATAATAAAAATTTTATTGAGTAAGTTGAGCGGTTCTGCGCCCGTCGCAGTCGACGTCGCCGCTGGCTGAGGCAGCAATAACAATGGCGAAAATACGAAAACTGCGAGGGCGGACCACCTTTATTGCGTTTGTATGAGTATGGGCTTGAGGCAGCTGCGACATCTGCCGGCACACTCAACACGCGTACGTCGCATTAATATACACACAGCTACTTTCGTTCTGCGCCGGCTGCGCAGTCGGCGACGCTGCCACTGCTGCTGCCTCTGCCTCTGCCGCTGCCGCTGCGAGCTTTGTTCTCGGCAAATTTCGGTTCTCGTATTTCTTGACGTGCAGGCAACGCGGACGGACGTTACGTTCCCGGGAACTTGGACTTCGAGTAGTGTTAGAAAACTAAAGCTCAGCAGCTGCACATCAAATCGCCAAGAACATAGCCACAATAACTCAAATTGATCTCCATTGCCTTATAGAGAGAAGTAGTATCCATCGCAAGTGCAATTTGTGTGAACTAATCCTAAGTAAAACAGAAGTTCAGGAAGTGCAGCAAATCAAGTGTTTTGACTTAGCCTGAACCTTAAATCGGTACTACGTAATACAAATGTGCGATTACCTGTGAAGCCACTTATACGGACGACAAAAACAAACATATGTATAGCAACCTAGGTCAATATTGTTCAAAGTGGCGTGTGAATGTGCGCAAAGATAGCAACAACGATTGCTAGTTGCCCAGCAGATAATAACAGCAGTCGCACACGCACACTCTCTCACATTGGAGAACTCACTCGTGACTAGAACATATTCACGGAAATCGGAAAACAACAACGCCAAGCTCCAGAGGCGAGGAGAGCGAAAGAGAGGAGCACGATTCTAAACTTGAAGCTAATAATTTTATAATATCAAAGCGCGAAGGTTGCCAGCGAGTGGCTCGGCCGAAAAGAGCCGAGCGCCCCGAATGCTCCACATCAACATCAACATTGAGTATACGACCGATCGCTTGCCCAGCGATTCTCAGCCAGTGCCGACAATAACAAGACCCGTGCAGCAGTAACGAATCGGAGAACAGAAGTGTTCCTCTTCTAACGGTCCGTACCCAGTGTATTTTGCAATTGGTCACCGCTAAGTGAGAGCGAGTTGTCGCAGCGATTGAGATTACGGTTACGGTTGCGATTACGGACGCGGGTAAGAGTTCTGTGCGGGATTGGTCTTCGAATGCGACGCAGTGAACAAGTTTCGGCGGAAAACACTTGCCTCTGATCGATTAGCGTGTTTGGACGCGCGACTACCATAGAACTTACAAAAAGCATTCTGCAATCGCCATTAAAAGCCCAATTTGGATTACCATTCGCAGACAAAGAGAACTCAAAACTAAATATTACGGAAATTCTTAATAAATTTATGGTGAGTTTTCTGCATTTCAAGCTAGTTTGAGCTATTATTTTCGCATCAACTTGGTTTTTATTAAGCAGATACCGGAGATCTGATATTATTTTTCTATTATTGTTTTTTGACTGGTCAACATATCGTATACGTCATATTAAAGTCTTCTAAAAATTCCTCGCCATTTACGTCAACAAAATATGGCAAGTCAGTGATAAGCTTCGAAAAAGTATCACAACAGATCTATAAATACGAAATCAATAAAAATCGCACATACGCCCCATGATGCATTCATTCTTTTCCAGCAATGATTCTGGCCAGTTAGGCGATTACCGCACTGCAGTATCTTTTGGGAAATAGAAAAAAGGTCACAAAAACACCCCTCTCTATATAGACGATGACTCAAGGCTAAATAAGCCTTAGATCCAACCTTTTGAGTCATCATGACATTTGCCAATAGAAATCGTTCTGGGTATTCGCGATTTTTGATAATGATTAGATTCTAGAGGGGTTTCCTAAGCACTGGTGATTCATCGCCAAGGTGAGTCACTTTGGTGGTCTCAACACTTGACAGGATCACCCCTTCCAACTTCGAAAGGGAATCCGGATCAACAGGTGCGCAATACATGAAAAAACTTTTCATTTTCATTAGCGGAATTCACCACTTGAGGAATATGAGCCAAATGGAATGGAAGCATTCCACACTTAACCATGACCAGCCAATTTTTCAGCTTAGTAGCACTTACATTTCAGTTTGATTTGACTTATTAAGCAACGGTTAAAATAACCCCATAAAATTGGTAAGGAACTCGAAAGTCACAGTTAGATTCCTACCGAGGAACCTTGGGCCTTCAACTTTGTATCTAGATAGTTGGCTAGGTTTATGTTCGAAGGTAAGTTCCAGCGTCAGGTGAAAGAACAAGTAAACAAACCCCAGCGAATCAAAAATATCACTAGCCAGCAACTTGCGCGGAATTCTCTTCAGTCTTAATCTCTCGAAAATGATATGGAGGTATTTATGCTCACAGGAAGTTGTCGTCGCGGGGCCCAAAAACAACAATACCGATTAGGCTAAATGAAAAACACAATAAGTTAATGCTGGTATCGGTATCGCTATCGCGAATATTGGTTGGTCTTGCTTTTGGGTTGTCGTAGCTGCGTTCATTCACGACCCACCTGCTGGAACTTATCTCTTATCAGTTTCTGAGACATTTAAATGCTCGTCTTATGTGGGTGGGAGCAGCGCAATTTGCGTTATGAATGGACCCATGCTTAGATTATAGTTCAATGTTTCTTTGGTCGACGTACGAAGGTGTATCCGACCGTTCTCCCCGATTTGGCCTATCGCAATAAAAAGCTGGGGGACGGAAATGAAATTCAGTGATAGTAACTTTCGGTCGATAGTCGCATCGAAGTGCATCATCATCATATCATGGAATCTGACCTTTGTTTGTGCTTGTGATCTTTGGACCTGATTTTATTCTGCAATTGATTCCTCAGTATTTTTAGTACTTTTAACTCAGCTCTAACCATAAACCAAATAACCGATATTTATAACTGGCGTTTATTTTTAGAACTCCGCATAGCAACGATTTCAAGTGTTTTTTCCACACTGCGATCAAATATCATGGAAAGCGAGAATGCGAATTCGAAGCGAAAACCTTATCAGACATTTGACACTCTGATTCCTCCGGGAACATATGCCATTATTTGGCAATATACTCGCTATACTTTCCTCAACTTGTCTTTGCCCAAAACCAACCAAGACCAAGTCACATGACAAGCTCGTGAGGCAGGAAGAGGGATACATTCGATCTCATTCTGATTAATGCCGACCCCTTGCCTACCTCATTAAGCTGTGTGTTGAGCCACCTTGGCAGCGAGTAGCCAACTCTGGGTGCTCTCTGCATGCTTGTATGGGTCCGTGTATATGTTATGTATCTTTGGGGATACACACATACATACATACTGCCAAAAAATTCTAACGCAAATGAGGAATAAAGCGAAAAGCCGGTTCGCAGACATGCGTAAAGCCCGAGTATCTGTGTGTGCGCCCAAAAATTCTGTATCTCTGCAGAAGTATATCAGCCCCATATCTCCCCTCCCTTATCGCCCCGTCTCCCATCGGTCCGCCATATTTTTGTGAATTTGTTATTGGTGCCGTTTTGGCAGTTATTTCGAATTGTTGCTGCTATCGCGCGTTTGTTTATAAAGCTCTCGCGGCATATGTACAACGTTACGTACATACATAAATTTTGATGTATGTATGAAGAACTGGTGCCCCTGCATAGCTCTCCCCTCTCGCCATCCCAATGACTGTTTTTTTGATACTTTTATAAATACAAAATGTTGACCTTGGTTAACAAATTGTTCTTATTTATTCTCTTTCTTATTTTGTGTTTCTAAGTGCCTGTTATGCGAACCGGGCATATACATATATATGTCTGTACGTATGTATATAATATGAGTTTTTTGCATACTTACGCACTTTTTTGGTTCTTGTGAAAAGTTTTCTATGGTCAGTATTTTGTCGAGCCTTTTATAAATGCTTTCAACCACTGTAGGGGTACTTAAATATTCTTCAAGAATCTGGAAAACCGTCAATAAATCTATGATAAGAATCTTCCAACCCAAAAACATGGCGACGTATATTTCCACGATTATTGTTTTCTATCAATGACAAGAATAAAAATATGGCGCATGCTAATTAAAATCCACCTAAACTGATACCAGGAATAGCATACAAATCGCGAAAGGTTTTCATCTCTGGTAAGTTTTTAGTGTAGAAGTTAAGTAACTGCGGAATTAGCCTTCTTACTCTCACTCTGTCGCTATTATCGTCATACAAATACATTTGACGTTAAGTAATGATTCAATTCTCTTCATAAACACGCTTGATTACTGTGGCCAGATTACACTGTTGCGACATGCATGTATTCACACTCACACGTAATACATGAACAATGCGCCCTCAGCGTACACTGCAGCTGCATCTGTGTGCATTTGAAAGCGAGTTGTACGAATGTTTGTGCTTGTGCCTGCGAAAAATACAGCAGCAAATACAGTGTTTGCCAAGTTCAAGGACAGGACTTTTTGACGCTGCCCGCTGGCTGTACTCCGAGCAGTCGAGCTCCGTTCCTGTCAGCTGCTCCGCGGGCCTCACTGCAGTTCAGCATACAAGGGCACACTGTACCAAGCGTTGTTTGAGGCCAGTGCTTGAGCCGGCGCTCTGCTCCGAAATTCAAGTTCAAGGCGTCAGCCCTGTTGTTCCCTCCGATGGGTTGCAATGCGGGTTATACTGTTCTGTTGCTGAGCTGGTGCGATAAACGATATTCGATAACCGATACCAGATATCCCCCCGAAAAGAGCGGAAGATTGAAAGCCATAGGACTGAACTTTCAGTGTGCAGTTGCTTCATCGGTTGTGGTTCCTGGCTAGCAACCCGTTTAACGTGTTTTGCCAAAAAATTCAAACGCGCATACATATTTGGGCTCCTTCTGCCGATAGAATCTCCAAAGCACTCATCGTGTTTAGTCAACTCTCTTTGAGATCTTCGTTCTTATTAATCAATCGTGAAGGTGGAATCGAATGAGGGGCTAAATCGGATTCGGAAACCTAACCAGTTTGAGAACACGCCCCCGGGATGGGCCCTTCGATATCGCTGGCCACAGTGCTAATCGAAATGATCCGGAAGCTCTCGGCTAACTCGTTTTACTTCCACAATGCAATTACGAATATATCGAGATCCCCAAAAAGTTCACTCAAGTGTAGGTGATTATTTATAAAGTCTCGTAAAAACGCTTTCCTCTTGATTCAAGAACAAAAGAAGCGGATCTGTAAGGTGTGTATGTACGTTCAATGTGTCGATTTTCTGCTTTTGGGGACAAAGAACATCAAACATGCCCGTAAACTTCTGAATGTCCCTTCTCATTGAGTTATTTACTGTATTTATTTTTGGCTTTTCAGAAAATGTTGTGTGTTGACTGTGGCTGATCTGGCCGCTCTGCTCCGACCGTCCATTCGCGTCTGGATCCAGATCCCCGCCCCCAAAGGCAGTGTTTTTTGGGGCTTCTTGCCCTCGAACACTTATACACTCATACGCGTACAACTTTTTCGGATTTCTTTTCTCCACATTTTTCGAAAAATATCACTGCGAGCTTTTTCATAGTTCGTTAACCCTGGGCTGGATTGAGGTTGCTCTGCTGACGTCGTTCGTTGCTGGTGGAAGCGTTTTATCGAGCAGAATTGTATATTGGGCAGTTCTGTAAGGCGCTTTTTGAATTCTGTTCAAAGTCTTGGATTTCAGGATCTTGTTCTGAGGAACATCTGTCAATCTAACCACTTTCGCAACGTATCAATAAATTATATGTTAGTATGTATATGTACAGAGATCGGGCTAAATTTCAATAAGTATGCAATGCGAAATTGGCTAGAGCACACACAAACACACATGCACCCATAGACACAGTTTGACTGCAGCGCCCGCTGCAGCGCCAACGCAAGCAGAGCAGCGGCTGAGCTCGGCTGCACTCACATTGTGTGTGTGTGCGTATGCCGAGTTGGGTAGTGTGGCGACTCACCTCACACTCTCTCAATAGCTCTCGTTGTTGTCTTGAACTTGAACTACACGTGGAGGCCGTGCATGGGGTTTCGTCTCGCTAGCCGAGCAACACAGGCTACTGTAAGGAGGTCATGCATGAGTTTTCGACAGCATCGCAATCAATGCGCGTGTTGGTTCGTTCTCTCCTCTCCCAAGTCTCACGCTCTCTTTGTGACTCTCTCCCTCAACCTCCTCCGCTCATGGTTTTGTTCTCTGCAATGAGTAAGCATGTTGTTTGTGGTGACTGTTGCAGTAGCAGCAGCAAAAAATACGCCAAGTGGGTTGGTGGGGGATGGAGGTGCCGAACGAAAGGGAAGGTTTCCTGACTGCGCCATTTACATACGTACATCTGTATGTACATGGATGAAAAAGCGAAAACACGTCATGGGGGTTGCCACTTCTGTATCTCCTGTACCTGCGAATTTCGTTTCGCCAACTAGCGCAACTTAAAGAAAGCGCTAGGAATATTACGACACATTCTTAGCTTAGGAACTATAAATTCCCCCACTTGCGCCACACCTACCAGTGTTCTCCTCCTCAACTGTAACTGTAAATTGCTTACTGTGAGTCTTTCTCGCTTTTTGACCTAGGCCAACCGCTGCGCCCACGCAATTTGTGCGTGGCTCGTCGAAATCGACGCAGACTACGGCAGAGGCAGAGGCAGAGGCAGCAACAATGGCAGAACAGCGGCAGCACAGCTCAAGCTCAGACGTCGTGTCTAGACCTTCGCAACATAAATAAAGCACTAAAGGAGAATGCTAAAACTTCTAAATCTGGCATGTTCGGCCTTTCATGTATTACACGCATACATGCATTCGCGTGTGTGTGTGTGTATGTACATATGTAGCTCTCTTGCTCTTTTGTTATGGTAACTTCTGCCGGAATTCAAATGATCATCTCTAAAATTGAATTCAGGAGGATTTAGTGGCTGCTCTTCCAAATGAATTCAAAATTTGCAAAATGTCCACTAAGCTATATTCACGGCAGCGAAAAATCAGCGGAATTAGCCGGTTGGAGTCGAAAATAAAACCACTTATAATTTTGTATAATAAAGCATCCTGCCTTGATTACCTTTTCATCTCATGACTGTAAAATAAGATATGCAGTTATAAACAAATTAAAAGTGTTCTCAGATTCAGGTTCTTCAGATTATTCAGAAAAGGGGCGGATGGTCGGTTAATCAGACATTTATTTCGGTCAAATGTCACCCCCGGGTATTTCCAGTCACTTTAGTTTCATTCGATTTCGTATCTTATCGCTCTTAATAGTCCTCGTTCGATTTCATTCATTTTGAGGTTTCCACTAACTACATTACTGCTGGCGTGATATGTTGTATCGCGTTATCTTATCAGCCGGGCTCACCGAAGTTCAGTTAGTAAAGGGTTAAGGAATGAATAAAAAGCTATAGTGCGGTTCTTTCGTTGACTCGCTGAAATGGAAACTCCAGAGGGAAGCAGAATTCACCCAGAAATACGCTCGTAAGCAAAGAACGGGCGAGAAGCGGAGATGGGGAAAAGCTTACAATTTGCTCATATTTAAATGTTCATTGACCTCGTCAAAAGTCCACAAAGAAGACACCAAAAACCAAATCCCAAACCGCCCAACTCAATAAATTTGTGTGTGTGTATGTATGTATGTATTTATGTGTGCTCAGGCAAGTGCCGCGGAGGGGAGCTGAGCAGGGGATAAGTCAAATGTACTGACTATAAAAAACATTTTATTTAATTATCTAAGTCATGTGTAGAGGTACATATGTACATATGTAAGTATGTTTGGTGTGATAGCTATAGGCTTTACTGATCTATCCAAACACACTGACTTCGCCCAGAGACCCGTTTCAAGCCGCTCTATTTCAGAGCTATCCCAACAAAGCAAGGGCACTTTCTTTTTTCCACAGGAACAGCTTTCCCTGTCCTTCTTTCCCGCTCCGAAGGACCCTCTCCCTCCCGAAAACCACGGGCATTCACTTACACTCGCAGTAGATCAGTGTATTTTCCCCCGAGTCCGAGCATTGGGGAATGATCGGCTGTGATCACGCTCGTCACTCCGACCATTCTCACTCAGAAATAGTTTTTGTGTCGAATGTTAATGAACTTTTGCGCCAGTTTAAGGCACAGCCGAATAAACAGCGGCAACAATAACAACCAAAGCCGATAAAGTTTCTTGAACCTGCCTTCACAGAAACTTTTGTATTTCAGCAGTGGCTTCTCGTGCCCATTCTGCTTTCGGAAGGTTTTTCATAAATGTTTGGATGTTGAAGGTGGAAACTGGGCGACGGCTTTCTATAGGGGGACGTTTGATGATCGCCCGATACCGGGATCGATATGAATATGTTTTATTCTTTAAATTATTTTTATCAAATTAAATGTTTTGTTCGCCATGAAAAGTTGAACTTTGAAGTTGAATACCAAATACCGAAAAGACAGTGATAAGAACATTGGTTATTCCTATCCTTAACAAAATCTCACCCTGATTACTGTGTCGGACGTCAGAACAGTGTCTTATCGACTATATAATTACATCAACGCGAACGCGAAAGCGATTGCTATTTTAGGTAAGATGGTAAGAGAACCACAGAGGGCTCAACTATCAATTGGGGTTTAGAGTCCATGACTCATGCCCCGATTTTAGGGAAATTATGGAGCACCATAAACTTGTATCGTAGCTTAAGGTCAGAAAACACTCAAACAGAAAAACACTCGGAAATTCCCCTTGACATTCCACTCAAACATTTTCCAATTGAGGGAAATTTCAGATCAAATGGGACTATTCTTGTTGGTGGTTGCTTTTCCCGAATCGAGGTTTGAGGCAGATTTTTCGGGAACTCACCCACCAGTTCCCGTCACACCATCGAATAGATAACCTCGTGAGCGGCGATGTGAGCGTTTCCGATTCGAATTCTACTTTGTTTGTGTGTGTGTGTGCGTAGGTGTGTGTGTCCCACACTTCTAAAATGACCGACTTCTCAATGAACGATATTTTGAGATCATTTAGAAAAATGCGAATGAATAAGGGCTCAGGGCAAGGCGGCCATCACCAGTACCGCAACCATCAGCAGCAGCCTCCTCAGAATATCCAGGCCTACCAAAACACCTACCCCGTGCAGCAGTCGAAGGACTTGAAAAAAATTATCAAAATCATTAAGAAGAACCTGATTAAGGAAAAAATCACTCGTCAGATGAAAATTCTTGTGTAAAATGTCATCATGTCAGACCAAATAAATGTATAACGCACTGAGTATATAACAATCCCAAGACTGCTGATATATAAATGAAGGACTGATACCTATAAACTCGAAACCTGTTCAGCTAAAGTCTGATTTTGCAATCCCAATCAATAAACCGATTCGGAAGTATCTTATAATCTATAAACAAAAAGATCTCTACAAGTAACGCTCTTAACTTTTGATGTAATGACTGGACTTGAACTATCATAAAGGAGTAATAGGAAGCACAAGTATAAGAAACAAGATGACTGAAAGCAAAAATGGTACAAAAACCTGGACTCCAAAGCAAATCTGGATTAAAGATGTCCTTAACAAATCGGGCACTGAGTTGCTGGATATATCAAAGCCTCAAGCGAAGGCTGCCATCAAGAAATCGCCAGCGAAAGGTACTTATCTGAGATTATCCCGTCAATTTGGTTCCCGAAAGGTTCAGACCGAAAAGTTCAGTTTCCTCGCGACGCCATTTTGTTTTGGTATACGCAATTCTTGTTGGGGGAAGGTGTGGGGTTCATACTATCATAATAGTAAACAAAACTGAGATATACAGTGAGAGAGAGCAGAGCTACAAGGGAAAAAGCCGGTTGGCACGGCATATTGTCTTCCAAATATCCCAGTTGGGACATTTTACCGCAAGGGTCTGAATGAAATTCCTCCCATTTCCCCACTGTCTTTCTCTCTCGGTCACCTTTTCTCTCATCCATAAGCTACTACGTTTTCCCTTTTTTTTTTTGGGAAAACTCCGACCGGCAATAACAGAAGTGCGTAGAACCAATGCAAGGGGTGGGTTTCCCCTTTCCTCCCACCCTCCTTTGCTTTTACGAGGCTTTTCCCAACCACCCGTATTGCAGCCGTATTCAATCTCTTGGGGGTTTAGTGCCTTTCTTAATTTCGTAACTTCCTAAGACGTAGTATCAGGATTGATCGCATTTCTATCGAACTCGTAAGACAAATAGAAAAAAAAGTTTTTTTGGATAAACAATTTTTATAATTCACAATTTTAAAAAAACAATGTATCAAGCGAATCAAGCAATTTAGCTAATCACAACCTTTTCGCTCAACCTCTTTGTTCCAGATTCAGCCACAACCAACATGGTTTACTATTCCGCCAACCAGCTGCTCATAAAAACGGAGCAATCTAGTCAGGCCCAGTTCTGCCTTCAGGTGCCACCCCCTCTGACGGCGACGACCACGAGTGTGGGAGTTGGAGTGCCCCCGTCCAGTGGCCAGCAAGAGCAATTCGAGTTGCTGCAGACGCCACAGCAACGACAACTGCAGCTGCAGGAGCACCAGCAGCATCAACAGGAACAGCAGCAGTTCGTCAGCTACCAACTGGCCATCCAGCAGCACCAAAAGCAACAGCAGCATGAAAGTATTATGACCACAGCGCCGACGACAGCCCCAACCGTCACACAGCAGCAGATCAAGACGGAGCCCTCCGCCGTGTTCCCAGCTTCAGTGACGGTATCGCAGGTGCGGAAGCCAGGCGCCACCAAGCCGCAGTTCAAGTGCGATCAGTGCGGCATGACCTTCGGCAGCAAGTCGGCCCACACCTCGCACACCAAGTCGCACTCGAAGACGGCCGATCTGTCGGCAAACGCCGGAATGGGCGCCGGGGTCGCCGCCACTTACCTCACCGGCGGCCATCGAGCTGAATGATGTGGGTCTGCCGGTAGGCATTCCCAAGAGTCCGACCATCAAGCCCCTGGCCAACGTGGCTGCCGGAGCAGATCCGTATCAGTGCAACGTATGCCAGAAGACATTCGCAGTTCCTGCCAGGCTGGTAAGTTACGCCCAAACCCAACACTGTGACCATTGTTTCATATCATTACCGATCATCCAGTTCCTGCTTCCCGGCTTCTTACTTATCTTGCAAGTTTTTATTTCGTTAGCCAAGGCTTTCAGAACTTAGAACTAGAATCGTTAGGAGTTACACATTTCTGACCTACGACCGTTTATGGGGGTTACAAGATAATTTAACTGCCATTTAAATACAAAATTTCATTGTACATCCCATTTTCTTGCAGATCCGCCACTACCGCACCCATACCGGCGAGAGGCCGTTTGAGTGCGAGTTCTGCCACAAGTTGTTCAGCGTTAAGGAGAACCTGCAGGTGCACCGGCGAATCCACACCAAGGAGCGGCCCTACAAGTGCGATGTGTGCGGACGAGCCTTCGAGCACTCCGGAAAGCTGCACCGCCACATGCGCATTCATACCGGCGAACGGCCGCACAAGTGCTCAGTGTGCGAGAAGACGTTCATCCAGTCCGGCCAGCTAGTGATCCACATGCGCACCCACACCGGCGAGAAGCCTTATAAGTGCCCAGAGCCGGGCTGCGGAAAGGGCTTTACCTGCTCCAAGCAACTGAAGGTGCACTCGCGAACACACACGGGCGAAAAGCCTTACCACTGTGACATCTGCTTCCGGGACTTTGGCTACAACCACGTGCTGAAGCTGCACCGTGTGCAGCACTACGGCTCCAAGTGCTACAAGTGCACCATTTGCGACGAGACGTTCAAGAACAAGAAAGAGATGGAGGCGCACATCAAAGGCCATGCTAACGAAGTCCCCGAGGACGAGACGGAGTCAGCAACGGCGGCAGCATCAATCGGACAGCCGTCCTTGCCAGGAATCAGTAGCACCTCGGAGAGTAGCAACAATTCGCCTCCCAGCTCGCCGCCGGCAACGAAGAAGCCTCGCCAGCCACGACAGCCTCGCGGTTCCAAAGCATCGGCAGCCACACTCTCAATCGCTTCCTCTTCCCCTCTCTCGCCCAGTTCCCTCAGTTCCACATACTCGCCATCAGCCAGCAGCCTTGCCTCGCCCCCACCGACGGCGGCCCACTACCTGCCCCCTCAGCTGGAAGCAGATGCCTTGAGCCGGGACAGCGGAGTGTCGAGCGCCCAGCTTGCCCAAAACAGCTTTGCTGATGAGGAGCCAACTGATCTGAGTATGCAGCAGGGCCATGGTCAGGCGCCAACGGCCTACTTCCAGGCTCCGCCTAGTCTTCTGGAGCTGCAGCCACAAGCCCCTGGCCTTACAATCAATCCTGCCCTGCTCGAAGCAGCCAATATGGCGCGACGTCACCACGACAACGATGACCAAGTGCAGGATGACGATGTGCACGCAGCAGCCTGGCAAATGATGCAGCTCCGCCGTGGTCACGGGTCCTTAACGCCGACGGAGCCGCAGCCCCAGACGCATGAGCAACTTCTTCCTACTCTGCATGTCAGTGATCTCGCGGCAAACTACGATGACACCCATGAAGCCACCATGCTAATCGAGCACTTCAAGCGGGGCGATCTCGCTCGCCACGGGCTACATAAGGGCTATGCGCCAGTGCCCAAATATGAGTAAGTATTATTTTCCCCAAGCCAGATGATTCGACCACCAAATGCAATTACATATTTACCCCAAAAATGCAGAAGGAGTGTTAGCATTTTATTCATATACAATATATTCCTTTCAGATCGGCTCTACCCAATCCGGACATCGTACGGCGCGTCGAAGCGGCAATCGGACTGCGGTCCAGCACGGAGTCACCCGAACGCAGTTCCTCCCCGGAGAGCGACTCGCTCATGATGGCCGACCGGAACGTGATGACGCTGCCCCTACGCAAACGCAAGAACTACATGAACAAGGGCGACGATGGTCAGATGGATCCTGAGAAGGCTCTGGGGGCTTCGGGAGATGGATCGACCGCGGCTAGTGCCGCAGCTTCCGTTGTCGCCGGGGATGGTCCCGGGTCAAAGGTGATAAGAATGAGCTCGGTCATCCAATTCGCCAAGGCCTCTTAGGGGCCCAAGGCGCATCCCCAATCAGCATTAAGACTGTCCAAACAAATTCTAACTGAAATTAGCTTAAGTTTTGTCTCTGAGGTTCGAGGTTTGGCCCAAATGAGAGATGAGGCAGAGGGATCCTTTCAAACAGCAAAAATGAAAACGCCAAAAGTATTATAAAAGAGAAAATTTGTTTTTAAATTAATATTACTTCCTATTACGTTTTGTTGGCCTACTGATGTTGGCCTGATTTTGTTAGATGTTTCATTTCTAAAGAGTTTCCCAGCATTGTAAAAGTTTCGTTTCCGCATTAATTTGGCATCTAGTACAGTTTGTTTTCCTTTGTTGTCACTTAGTCGAATTGCAGCAATTGGCATTATGCGTATTAAGCATTAGCATAACTAAGTTAAATATTACGATAATTACGATCACTTCACAAGACCCAACGCTAAGCCGTTAAGAGTAACCAGTTAAGTGCATAATTATACAAATAAAAATGAAAGGGTATGCGAGAGGCCATATTGGCACCTAATATTTATGATACCGATACCTATTTATTATTGTAATAAACTCTGCTCGCCAAACTTCTTCCTTCCCCTCCACCATTGGTGTCCACACCACCCTCGACATCGCGCATCCATCATTTTATATGCATTTTATATTTTATATATAACGGCACATAGGCACTAAATAATAGAGTAATGAAAGCGGATCGGTAATTTTAATTTTACAACGGAGAACATTGAACTGATAAACAAGAAGAAAGCAAGCATAATTAGACTTACACATTTTCAAACAAGAGAAACATTAAATTAAGTGCGTCGGATCATTTTTGTAAGCGCAGTATAATATCTAAATCTAATGTCTAAATCGTAAAATCAAATATTGCATGAAAACGCAAGAAGCAAATGAAATCTGAAAGTCAATAAACAAGCGTGTAATAACCTAATATTAGTTTACGTTTTCATTTAACCTTTAAGTTTGGTGATAGAACTGGAAATAGATTTCCTGTGTACAACGCTGGCTCAAGGCTCTGCAAATGTTTTAGTTTCCCTATAAATTTACTCTGATGGCTGTGGACCACACTTTGCAAAATTTTCAGCCCCGTGCTCTAATCCATACATAAGTTTACGGACCACCTGAAGTCTGAAGTGATTTAAATGTTTTTAAGGACCCAAATATCCTAGATGAAGTTTGAGGACCAAGGAGCATTATTACTATCTAATATTATTCGACATATGAATGATAAATGCAGGAAGGGAATTGCTCATTGGTTCGATCTCTTCTTATAGCGCGAGTTCGGATCGGTGTCAGGATAATAGCTGTTAAACTGATGGGGTACCTACCCACAGAGTTGTCGACTTATTTTTCAATACATTGGGATGTCGTATCCGTGCGATGAAACCTCTGTCAAATGTAGCTATATCCTATATAAGATCTTTCAAACCTGTTGTCAACCCAAGATTGCAGATGTGAACAGCCGAAACTATTGAAGACTGTATTTAATTGGTCTTTAATGTGATGGAGGGTTTATGCTTTCTTAAACAGGCACGTCCTTCCTGAAGTTTTTTGAGGCAGGGACAGGCCACCAGAAAATTCGCATCAGGTTTTGGGTTGACTCAGGCAGGATGGTTTACAACAACGCCTTTTTCTTCCTGTTTTCGCCTGCAACATCGACGGAAGCTTCTACATCTGGGCCTGGACTCGATGTTTCATATGCACAACCTACGACACCTCCAAAGGGTAGCTGAGCTGGTATAGAGCTTCAGGATATTTAACTGTCTTTGGCGGGGACAACTTCAATACAAGAGGGGATTCCTTTGGGAACACCGATTACTATCTTCGTCCTGAGATGGTTGAGATCGACTTATTCATAACCTATCTAAAATATCACAATTTAGAATGCTCCGACCACCGACTATCAGGATATTTATTATGATTATATATTTAAGGTTTTGCCACACTTGCGTCGAAGTCCCTACTTTTTAGGGACTTCTTTACATTATCCTAAAGCGTAACAAAAATTCTTACAAAACTTTCTTTAAAGTTGCCAATCACTGATTATACCTCAAACATCCACCTAAACACTTTTGAAAGAAATAACGAAATTAATTGCTTAAATTTTTACGCAATTCAAAAATCAAATTTTTTTAAAGTCGAACTGTAGCTAAACTTTTTTTAAATTCATATAAGCTAAGTGAACGAATATAGAAGTTCGAATCTTAATATCTTAAGCTAATAAATACCATCGCTTTTGAAATTATCTTCTTAGAACACTCTTAATCTCTGACCGTAACTCTGCAGGCTTTCCTCTTCCATCCGGTGACCTTTTGTAGTTTTACATCTGCATAATTATTCAAAGGATTTATTCCAATAAACCCACCATTTCATTAAAAATAAGTTACAAAGGGAAGTTTCATTGTAGAATGCCTTTATATATCATTCATTTGCGACTATAAGGTCGGTGCTGGAACCCAACACAGCTCAATGAACTAACATTTTGATTATAAAAAGGATTTTACATTTAGCTTTACTGCTTTAAATAGTGCTGCAGTCCATTTACCTGTTTGGTTTTACATTTTAATTTAATAGCAATTCATTTAAAAAGCATAAATAACTGGCAGATCTGCGGAACGAGCAACGCCTTCTTTAGGGACACACAGATAAGCAAATTATGGTACAACTAAGCGAACATTGCAATTAGTATAAGAGATAAGGCAGCCGGCACAAACTATACACTTAAAATAATTAACATGATGGGGCGTGGGGCGAGGAGTTGTGGCTTATGCAAGAACTAAACCCTGTTTACAAACTAATAATGCAAGGCGATTAACTCTCTTCTGACCACTAAACATCAGATGCCAATGTAGGAGCACAGCACAAACACGGCAAAAATCATAACGAGCAAGAAGGCAACGGCAATCCAGGCGGGGATCGTACCTAAAAAAAGATGAAGTGAGAAGAATTCAAACGTTCCGCGATTATTGCTTACGCCTTTGCGGCAGACTGTGGATGCAGACTTTGTTGTCCACGGAAATGGAAAGAACTGCTGCCTCTGTGTCGCTAGAAATGGGCGGTCCCTCCTCGTTGGTGATAGGCAGGAACTGAAGGCCCGTTACGAACATGGAGTGAGCATGGGGAATGTGGAGCACGCGCTGAAAAACGAACGTAAAAAACGTGATACAAATCCACTTAACTTTTTTATGGACCCCTTTAACTTACCTGCAAACTGAATGCTATGTAAATGGAGACGCTTCCCGAGAACATCGTGCCGACGGCCACGAACCGACCGTCGTCCCGCACCGCCAGTGAAGACAAACTCTCGTCGATAGCAACAGCTTGACGGAGCTGTCCGCTGGCACAATCCCAGTGCTGCAAAAAGCCGCGCTGCTTGCCGACCTTTCCCAGCGGATTTGCAATTGTAAACAGGCGATAGTGGTCCTTTTGCGCCTCTACGGTCCCGAAACGGCACCGCTTAAACAGGTACTTGGCCCCCTCCGGCGTCTTCCACTGAAGCTTCTGTAGCAGCTTGCCGCTGGCCAGATCCCACACCAAGCCCTGAGAGTCCTTTGAGATGCTGGCTATGAGCTTGCTATCGGGGCTAAAATCCAGGTCGTCTATCTCCTTGCTGTGCGCTGCCAGCTCGGCAGCCAAAGTCATCTGAGGGAACGTCCACACTCGTAACTGTCCGTCCGTGCCACCAGTAGCCATTAGTCGACCGTTCCCACTGATGCGGACCACACGCTGCAGGGGCTCGGCGCCCTTGAGGAAAGTCCGTCTGCACTACATCCGCAGCCTGAATGTCGAAGTGCAGCCGCTGAAATTGCCGCAATATATCGGCGGTGGAAATCGGAGACTTATGCCCGTTGGCGACTGGCTCCACACCAGAGTGTGTGTTTCGCTGGCGCAAATTTCCGTTTTCATGCGGACGCTCGGACGGCGCGGGCTTACCGTCCCCGACGTCGTTTCCACTCACATCATCCTCTGGCTGAACGCGCGGCTGGACGTAATACATCTGACAGTGCGCTTCCTGACCGGCGCACAAATAGGCTCTTCTGCCGCCGTTGCGTACCGCGAAATTCATCACCACGTTGGCGCCCGTCTCGTGACGCAGCACCTCCTCCGCGCAAAAGTGACTCCCATTGTGGTACAGCTCATAAATTTCCTAGAAAGCAGATATGGGCTATAAAAAAGTAGGTGGAAGGACATAGGATGAGTGCATTCCATACAAAGCCGTTAGCCACGCCCGTCTTGCTGGAACCGCCCCCACCCGCCACCAAGATGTGCCGGCTGGTCAGCATGTCTACGGCATACAGAGGAAAGTTCACACGGGCCAGTAGGCCGTCGCTGGGACGACGGGTGTGAGCCATTATCAATAATATATCACAATCGACCGGACGAAAGGGCAGGGGATTGTGTGGACTGGAGTTTATCAGCTCTGTCTGTGGAGCAGGCGCATCTAATTGGGTCGACCGCTGACGAACTCCGGCTGTAAATTAAATGGTTTGCTTCAGTTGACGCTTCCCATAGGGATCCAAGTTGTATTGTTTTGTGCCGTGAAAGTTGTCTTAAAATTCCACGTACACTGAATAGCGGTGGCAGTTCGGGCTATCGATACATCGATAAGACCTCACAAAGCAACATTTTTATTACTATAAAAATAATAAATATAAATATATTATTCGTATTCGTAGACAAGTATACCGGAATTGGGAAGAAATATTTATTGAGGCGAATTAAATCATCTGCGAGTTCTTGTCAGCCCTGAACTTTAACTTCCTGGGTTGCCAGATTGTGGGACGGAGCATACAGCTGTTGGCCAACAAACCGAACAGCCGGTAGCATAAAAAATAATCGCAATTGTTATTTCGAGCGATATCGAACTTTGTAAGACATGATAAGAGCTTAATAAGAGTCGATAATGGCATTTAGAACTATTCACTGTATGTATAGTAAACAGTTCATTAGGACTTTAATTAGAAGTAAAAATATTTTATCTTTCAAGAACCAATTGAAAAATGTATATGGTTTAACACAGATAGTTTTTAATGTTGGTTAAATATGCATTAAATATACATGTATATTTCACTATTATTACTCGTACATGAGAATGGAATATTGTTTAAGGCAGTAACCGTTAATCTGTTATACATACATAGCACGGGTATAACCACGAAAAACTCAAATACTTTTTTAAGATTACAAATCATAACCGGCGATCTTCAAAGGCTAAACCCTATTGATAGAACAACTACATAGCTTTAAATAATTTAATCTGCAAAAACTGCAATGTAAAGGGACTGGAACAGTACTTCTTTTTGTGGGTAATTTGAATATCTAAGCTTGATTGGGAGAACGAATCTTCTAAGAAATATTTGCAAAGCAATGTTCGTTTTTTAACTTTAGTCATGTATAACATACATATGTACACATGTACGTACATATATGTAAATATGTGTATGGTTATATTTATTTATTACCTTACCTACATATGTACATACATACATAAATGAAAAATAACAGTAATTTTGCTTGCTTTAATTTCCAATATACGGTGCATTTTTACGAATTACAATAGGGGTATATGATAGTTTTCGCATTATTTAAGTTTTAAAAGTTCTTGCAACATTTTCCCCAATAATAATAATAATATACACATTGTATGTACATATGTTCATATGTATGTACAGTGCTTATGCCCTGTCGATCCCCATTCTATATGTTGCAAGTTTCCCATGATATGATAATAATTTGTATGTTTGTACCAAAATTTAAAGCCTGTTTTATGCCTCTCGGAGTGAAATCTGTCGCTCGACTGTCTATGCGTTTGAACTAGTTTCTTACAATTATTATCAAAGTGCGTGAACAAGTTTTCTCGCACTTCGATCGAATTTCACTTTTAACGGTACCAAGGCGACTAATTTTATTTTCTCTTAAGATATAAAATAGAGGGCGAAAATAAATGTACACAATTTATACATACCTCTAACATGGTTGATATAATATTAATTTTTACAATTTTTTCATAATCAAGTGAAATGTACATCTTCAAAGAAGAGCAGCAGAAGAATTTTAGGACTTTAAAGTTCAGAATTCGACTACGCTTTTTGCAGTTAGATACATATGTACATACATGTATTTAAGTACCTACATCAAGCGCCTACGTTTGAATTGCAACTGCCGAAAACAAAGAAATAAACAAACAAAGAAATGAAAGAGGCGCAGGTGCCATCTCTTTCACACTCGCGCAGCTTCCCGTCCAACAACATAGCACAGCTGGTGCTTACCGACCGAGACGCCGAGCCGCTGCTTTCGTTTTCCTTTCTGCTTTGTGTTTCTTCCTTGCTCATTCGTGTAATTTTCGCCGACTCGATCGCAACTGGGAAGAGGTGCCGATCGCGTTTCCAAATACTTTAACTGTCAACATAATTAATAATTGTGCGTGTGAAATCTAATATAGCAGAGCGGCCTATAGGTAAGTACCCGTACCTATACAGATACATATGTAGATATATACAAACATCCATACATACATGCATACATATGTACGTATAAATTCGCCTTCAATCTGGTTTAAACCGGTGCAAAGATCCCTTCTTCCTACTGCGCAATTGCAAAAACAGCAACCCGCGCCAGCGCTCTTGTTGCTTTAGCTCTTTGTGCCTTTTCTTATTACATATATATGTATGTATGCACATATGTACCTATAAAATGATATTTAAAGTTTAAAATGCATTTAAGAGGCACCTCCGACAAACAGCAATAAATAAATGAAACTTTGTTAATACATACTACATACATACATTGTATGTACATACATGCTTACATAAGCGTAAGTTTTCCTTCTCATGTCCACAAGTAAAGGTCCATTTTTGTCCAGTTATTCCCTATATGGTTTATGGGGTATGTATGTATGTACATTTTATATATTTATATATATGTGCATGTGTTTTGACCTTGGCGCCAATTTATGCAAGAACTTCTAAAACATAAACTTTTTCAAAAAACAAATGGTCATACATATTTATTCATCTACTTGCAGATCTTTGTGATATTTTATATATTTCCCTGTGTTAATTTTTTTAAGTTTCGAAGCCGAAAAGGAAATATTTTTTAAAATGGTTAATCATACTTCAAACGAGGAAGGTAAGTTTCGTTTATTTATTTTTTAAAGTATTACCTACTCTCAATATATGTACATGCATAGTTCAAATTTATTGGCTTTAAAGAAAGTTATAGAGCAGAGATCCGTCTGACCTCGCATAGATGCTGCGGAGCCTATAGCAGTTGGTAACCTTGAACGTTAGAAGAGCTACATATGTAGTTAAATTAGTTAATTATGCCAAAATCTTTTTATTTAATCAGGATCAATAGTCGAGTTGATGTGCCATGTTTGTCTGTCTATATAAACGCTATGTTCTCAGTATCTACAGGAGATATAATTTTTGTATTAAGATTAAAGTGTTGATTTACTCTTCAATTTAACCTCTTTTAATACCCATAATTTAATTTACAAAACTTGTTTGAATCGCAGCAATCTTTTACAATTTATTGAAATATGTAGATAATAATATGTAGGAAGCGACGTTACTGTCCTTATATGATTTGAGCCACAGATAGAAAAGTTGCTCACAGTTATGATAATTTTTTAAAAATTGGTTTACAAAGTAACGAATGTTTAATCGGTCATTTTGTTTGAAAGTGTAAAGAAGGTATAGATTTAAAAAAGTTTAGAAATTCTCTTACAACTTACAAATAAGTAATTTATTATCAATCAAAAATAAAAATGGGGGTTAATACTTTTTCCGTTCAAATTAAGAGTACTGCCGTTGACTCTACACAAGCAGCCAAAGAATAAAAAATCTTGGAGCTCTTTGGGTTGCATAAACTTCTTACCCTATCTTAATATGTATTAATAAAACGTAGTTTTCCAAGTAGTTCAAAAGGTGTATTAAATTTAATTATTATTCATCTGTTATTATATACTATGAACAGCCAGTTTTCCATGGGGTTTGTATGTTTGGACTACTCCTGCTTAAAGTTCATGGTGAATGAAGTTTACTTTAGCATTCGAATCAGCCTTTCGTTTACTGTAAAAAATCTACTTATTTAACAAACCACTCTAAAAAACACTAAACCTATTTTTTATTGTGTCATTTAATGTTGTTACGAAGTATCAGCTCAAACTAGGGATACAAAAGTTCCTTAACAAGTTTGCAACGGGACACAGGGAGTTCGCATGTTGCCGGCGCGGCATGACAAGAATTCATAATTATCTGCCCAAGCAGAGAACCAGAAGGAAGTCTAGGCTTGCACGTCTCCCTATTGCATTCGTATTTGGGGTTGAACTTTGTGGACTTTCGCGAAGAGTAATTTAATTTAAGTTGAGTTTTTCTGTTTCAGTCCTTGTCCTTCCTTTATCGATAGGTAGGGGCTCTATTCATCTGGAAAGGTATTTGTGATAAAGTAGGGAAAACGTCATAACCTCGATTAACTCAATGTAGGAGTATGATCTTTAAAAGGTCTTCCTCAGCTTTCTTCTGTTGTTATTTTGTATAATATAAGTTATATTTGTAATTGCTTCAAAACAAACTGCCACCATAAAGGGTATGAGAACGCACAAGATCTGTAGTATAGCTAAGACTTAGAAAAGGAACATTACCAGAGACTGCAAGACTTAGTTAAGGTTTTTGTTTAAAGAGGTGTTAGTAAATGCTAAATTGCCGACTGCCTGCCTGTAAAGAAAAGTATTGCCTTATTTTTGCAAAATGTCCCATAAATCGCCGATTATTGCTCTCTCAATCCTGAGACCTGATGATGATGACGGCAATGACGGAAATGGTGTAACCGCACGTTTAGTGAAGACATTTGCGAATTATGGCTTTGTGATTAGCCATAGCAATACGAGTATTGTTGTATTTCTACGGGCTCGATTGCTTGGATCAATTAGCTATAAGACCACATATTTGACCAAACTCTGCAATGTCTTTAATTCCCTTTAATTCAGGGATTCGTTTTCCAACAACCTGAATCCATTCGTCTGCGATAAGTATAAGTTCAAGACAAACATTTATTAAGTTGGATGAAGAGCTTACCCTAATAAAACGGATTGTAGTTTTTTTGGTTATATACCGCTTTGGTTTGCAATTGCAACTAACAAATAAACTTGTGACGCAGCAAGTGCATGGGTAGCGGAGTACGAGTACGAAGACCTTTGGAATAAGTGTGCGATTTGCTCCGAGAGGGCTTAATAATGTTGCAAGGCCCTAAACCGTTGCTACGAACTTTGCCCATAGCCACAGACCGACACTAACGGAGCAGACCTACATAAAAGCTGTTGATAGAAGTCAGTTGTTGCCGCACTCACAACTAAAGAGTGCAGTAAGGGAAAATCGTTATCATTATGTACAATTCTATATAGGGGCCGAGAAGGGGTGAGAGCGAAAAAAGGCAGAGGCATACTATGTACGCGTACACTTTTCGCCAAAGTTTATTGAACCGGAAGTTGAGTGGCGGTTCCGCCTGTGAAATGCGGCAACAATGGCAACTGTGCATCCAGGGCAAGGAACAACTCCGGCCAAAGCTCTGTCCCAAGGCTCTGGCCATGTGTCTCCTGCATGTCTGTATTGCGGATTTTCCCATGTTGTTCTATTTTCCTTTTCTGAAAATCATATCTTCCAGGAGTTTCAAAGTCCGAGTCCAAGCCCAAATAGATGGCGTTGAGGCGGTGCCCTTAGTTAAAAGCGACTATA